TTATAACTGTGGTAATTTGTAGGAAAAACTATCTTAAATTGAAAGCTAAGAATACTATCTATAGTAACGCGCAAGAAATTTCAAGCATTAGATCAATCGATTGCTTTTCTCTTTTTAGTATATAAAGATACAGGCAGACTATCTGGTCCCAACCCTTTTCATCTATGAACTTATATATTGGTGACTATATAATAGTCGTCATAATCTAGTCTAACAAATTAAATAAAAGCACTAGACAAAAGGTTATCGTCTGCTCAAGACAATGAATTCATGTCTTGCTTAGTTTTTGCCATCTTTATATGATAGTTGTTTTTGTAATATATTTTAACATACTAAACGCAATAAATATTTTTTGGTGCATAACAAGACAAGACGGAAGGAAGATAGTGAATATAAAACAAACGCAAACAAACAAAAAATATGACACTCTAAGGGTTGATCAAGGGAAGGGCACGAGGTGCGATGTCCCGGAATGTCATTCCATACCCCGTGATCCAATTTTTTTCTGATTTTTTTTCGAATTGGCTTTTTATATATTTTTTTTTTGTGTCAAAAATTGGCTTTTTATATTTTAAAGTTCTTTTTCCAAATAAAAAAATAGTAAAGCTTTTATAAGCAGAATATATATATTTTAGATCTGTAATTTTTGTTTCCAAAACCAACTTTCTTATAAATCAAAAGAACTTTTAGGTATTTTATTTTAAAAGACTCACAACAATTTTTTTTTATCAAAAGTTTGAAAACCAAATTTTTGCCTCGGGGCTCCGAAAAATCTTCACCCGGCTTACCACGGAACATACATTTTACTACAATGTTTCTGTCAAAAAAAAAAAAAAACTACGATGTTTATTAATGCTTGTTTTGGGGGAAAAAATGAATTGTAAATGATGACTTAGTAAATGGTTGCTGCAATTGTCTCGCGCTAACTGCAGCGCATTCATCATTTTTGATATAAAATATGCTCCTTCAGTTTCATGAAGAATTTAGCACTTAAAGTTTTGACTTTGGTTTTCATAGCAATGGAGTGAACAAAGAGTAAGCTGATAGATTTGGAGGTGATTCTCACAAGTCACAAGTACAAAACAAATTAGATGAGAGCAGAGTACTTAATTCTGCTCTTATTTATGATTTAATGCTGGACCTTGATTGCTGGTCTCGTTTTTTTTTTGTTATTTATTTATTTTTACTGATATAAAAAAAAATGCGTTAGTGTCCGAACTTTTTGGATAAGGGTAATTTAAATTGTCCTTTTGGATGTTGATAACTTATTCTAGTGAGTAAAGGTCCATGTCGGATAATTATTCTAGTGTGCTACAAAGAAAGGCCTAACGCCTAAGCAATCGGTTGTGTTATAATATTTTTGTTTGCGCTTACATGCCTAACCACAAAAACCTAATATCGTTGTGTTATATAATTACCAGACGGTTCAAATAAATGACCTTTACCCGAAAGTTTCGGATAAATTGGGTCGGCTACCGGCTACGAATACGATTGGTGACCCGATCCAAAATATACACCCCCTAGTAAGAAACCTTTAAACCTTTAAAAAGATTTAACGTCATGAGAGCCGGAATTATATTTTCTTACAAGCTAATGACGAGTCGCTTATATTTTTGTGAGTGTATATGTACACACATACATAATTATTTTTTGTGACAGTTTATATATAACTAAATTATGTAAAAAAAATGGATAATGATAATGCCGGAATACAGAGTTAGACATAAAATTGCATGGAGAATAGAAATGATGTTGAAATGGCACTTTTGGTATCACGTAACGAAGCATTCATTTCATTCACTCCTAATTAAAATTGAAAAGGAAAATTTTATAATTATCAAGTTGCCACGCCTGATCGTTTTTTATTTAGTATAATTTCCCGCTCGACAAATATTTTTAACCCGCGATTTAACAATAGTTACAATACACATGACATTTTTTGACACGTGTCACTTTTTGTCGTTTTACTTCAACTTTGGACCTCAGTTAAACAAACAAACATACGTTACATAGTCCCAGTCTCATATATATAATTAGTAAATATTAATATATTTCATGTTTTATAAAATTAAACAGTATCAGATGTATAAACAAATATCTAGTATATATTTGGTAATTTTACAGTCAAATGCCACTTTATTTAATGTCAACCAATCATGATTGTTATGCAAATACACTAGTTTTCCGTCGCTATATAAGTTGTATAAACCATCTAATACTCTACTTATAACAACAAACGTTTGGTCCATCAAACTTGAGCAATCACAGTTAGTAATTATACCTGCTGAATTGAAACCACTATAGCTCTTAATCAACTACAACAACACAGTGTTGACTTCAACTTTCAAGTAAAAATTTACGTGTATAGTACAATACTTGTAATAAGAAGACGTGCAGCACACACATACACACGCATATATTGACATACAGACATATATCTTAATTCGTTATATTGCAAATGGGAAATGAAATTACATAGATGGTAATGATGTGATTTATTTCTGTTGGAATAGGGTTAATAAATTTGACCAAAAAGAGGAATAGGTTTATATTAAATATTACTATATTCATTCACAAAATATCAAATAAATACAATTTCAAAGGATATATTCAATATAAAAAGCACAGATATATTAAAATAAATAATATACCAATAGTTGCAATGATATTTTTGCGAGTCTAGCTCCATAGATTTACTGGATGAATAAGTTGACTTTAAGTATAATCTTACTTGATCTTGATTTCTTAACAAGACTATATATTTGACGACATAAAATATTTATATATATTTATACTCTACGATTTAAAATAATTAATCAATTGGCGCATGGTTAATGTTTAATGCTGCAGTGATCAGGGTCCTTGGTAGTAGACCATTATAACTTATCAGAATGTTTACTGTTTAATCTTGATAAACTGTTTTCATCTGATTGGAAACCAATCCAAAGTCAGTAATCGGAAACCGTAAATTTTTTAACATAAGTTAAATATATTTATTTTCTATATCCACAAAACTGAATGCTCTGAGGCGGACCTGAAAAACAAACTGAATTAAACTTGAATTTCTCTGAAAATAATTATATATCTGATTAAAAGTTGAACTCCAACTCAAACTATATAAAACATATCCATATTGAATTAGGTTACATTTATTATACTATCCATGATAAAAAAAAACTTGGAAAAAATTTAGATTTTATAATGGAAATCCGGATTGCACCGAGTACTGGCCGTGTTGGACGAGCGAGTATTGATTAAAAATCTGTGTTTCAAACCATAACTTTATTCGTATTCTCTTTTGGTGTCACTAAATTATATATGACTGTGTTTTAACTTTATTTATTATGTTTTAGCAGTTTCGATCCCTCTCTGATGATCATACATATTATTATATGTATCAGTATATATATGCATAAGATAAGGATATGACGAGATAGTTGTGGTCAAATGAATTGAGGGTAAATGTATAGTATAATGATTCGTGTTAAGGCAACAAAATGGACTTACTTATGATTCGAAAGGTCTCTCTAAAGTTAGCACCCAACAAAATCATCTTCAAATTAGCACACGATTTATCATTTCTCTTTCCAACCAAAAAAGAGCTTCCTTCTACATCCAATTATTCATTCTTTTCGTTATGTATTAAAGTATTCAAATCGAAAAAATTTCATCTTTTCGGATATATATCTTTAGGCAGTGAGACTGTTGTTCGTAATTATCTAAACTTTGGAAATTTTGGAGTGTGGATAATACATATGTTGAACCTTCAACTTTTCCATGGGACCGGAAGAAAGCCGATAAAATAAATTTCCTAGTATTTTACCAAGTCGTGAATTAATGCTGCATTAACGTATAATTATGTCTGTTTATATTTTTTTTCTTAAAGAAAATTTAGGTAACATTTACGTGTGCATAGATATTTAACAAAATTATATAACTTTGACTGTCTTTTCATGTGCATTAACGATTGTTTGACACACAAGCCACTAAAACTGATGTTTCTCGCAGACACCTGTTCCACTGCCTTTGAAGATCTTTTGTGTCTTGTCCACGATATAGTGTGTGTGTGTATATAATACATGGCTAGTCAAATATATTATTTAATATGCGCTACGTAAAGATGGATTCTTTAATTTGGCATGATGATACGTAAACCGGCTAACGGGTGTTTGGAACCAATTTAGAGGCGTCTGATACATTACAAAGCTAATGTCTGTCCTAGTTAAATAAAATTTAGAAGGTTAATTGTTGCCGTTTTTTGGGGTCTTTTGTATGTCCATATAATGGTTTGGCAATTCTGCATATAAACCCTTGTCACCTTACTAATTTGGATGGCATAACCATAAACCATTAAAATATGTCTTTACGATTTGATTGTTTTTTTTGCCAACATTTGGAATGACTATATAAATGTCTTTGCGATTCTATACAGTTTTAGCGATAACACATAATTATGCAGAACTAGTAAATTTACATTAATTGATCATTTCTTAATTCTATACAGTATTACCGATCACATAATAATTATGTCGTTCTTATTCTACATGTTTATTTTTCATGATTTTGCATTTCAAAGTTTCAATCAGAACTAACATAATCACCTAATGGAAAATGAATATAAACACGACAGAATTTACCGCAAAAAAAAATACATATACATAGAACAAAAAAAAACATCCAGTTTGCATGCGCAAGCGCAACCCATAAATCTCACTCACGTTACAGAAACACAATAAAACAAAACAGAATCAGAAACGCACACTAATTAGATCACTCACAAACACAGAGATTCACAGATACTTACACGCATAGATACATAGACAACATACAAAACAAACACAAACTCTCATCATCTTTCCCGTTTCATTATGCCTGCAATCATGAATTCTTGGTCTCTTAACCCGCATGCTCCTCCTTCTCTATCCTCCACAATCTCTCCTATATATACCACTTCTCTCCCACTAATCACCACTACCTCTCTCTTCACTCTCTCTCTACACACACACACACACATTGACAAATTTTCTCTGTTCTTGCAACTTCCTCTGTTCTGTTCTATTCCCACATCTTCTTCTGACCTTTGCAATGGCAGTGTCCGGGTTCGAGGGTTTCGAGAAAAGACTCGAGCTTCGTTTCTTCGACCACGACGACTCAATAACCAACAATAACAACCCGATGGGTCTCCGTTTAATCGACTTCGAATCTCTAGACCAAGTCTTAAACGAAGTGCAGTGCACGGTGGTCTCCGCCGTAGCCAATCGCAGCTTCGACGCATACGTTCTCTCCGAGTCGAGCCTCTTCGTGTATCCAACCAAAATCATCATCAAAACGTGCGGCACCACGCAACTCCTCAAATCAATCCGACCGTTGATCCACCTCGCGCGTAATCTCGGCCTCACGTTACGCGCGTGTCGCTACTCGCGCGGCAGCTTCATCTTTCCCAAATCTCAGCCTTTCCCTTACACAAGCTTCGACGACGAAGTCACCATCGTCGAAGAAACCCTCCCGAAATCTCTCCGTTACCGTAAATCCTCCGTCATGACGCCGTCTAATAACCCCTCACGTGCTTGGCACGTGTTCACCGCCAGCGCTGACGTGGAATCCGACGAACAGGTCGTTGTGGTCGAGGTGTGCATGACGGAGCTTGACCGAGTCAACGCTCGAAGCTTCTTCAGACGGAAAGGAGACGAGAAAAACAGCGATTCCGCGGGGAAAGAGATGACGCGGCTGAGCGGTATAGATATGATAAACGCAAACGCGTTTATTTGCGATTTCGCGTTTGATCCTTGCGGTTACTCGATGAACGGAGTCGACGGGGACCGTTACTCGACCATCCACGTCACGCCTGAGGACGGCTTTAGCTACGCGAGCTTCGAGTGTGGTTTGTCTCTCTACGAAGACGGTCACGGAGATATCGCTGAGGTTTTGAGCCGCGCGGTTAATGTTTTCCGGCCAGGTTCCGTCTCAATAGCCACCACTTACGGCGGCGAGGATTATAACCACGAAGTGACGAAGCGCGTGGAGCGCGTGTTGGCTAAGAAGCTTGGTCTTAAGTGTCGGAGCCGTCTTATGGACGAGTTTCCAGGCTCTGGAACAGTCGTTTTTCAGTCATTCACGCCTCGCCGGAAATAGTCTTCGCCGGAGGAGGAGGAACAAACAAAAAAAGAAAGGGGTTTTAGGATTTAATTAGCTGAGAGGAGAAAAGAAGGGAGGTGATGACGTGGAGGGAGATGATTGGTTGACTTGGGTAAGGAAAGAGATATATAAAAGTGGGAACATATGATCATGCACCCCACTTTGCACTTGTGGCAGTGTCACGCCTAAGCATTTTTGAGGTTCAGTGTTGTAGAATTTTAGTGGGGGAGGGTAAAAAAAAGGTTGCCTCTTTTTTCTTTCTTCTTTCTTTCTTTTGTTTCTTATGTTTGTTTTTTTTTTTTTAAATTAAAAAATTAAAATTATATTGAATCTCTATATCAAACTTTTCAAATACAGTCTAATCTGTATTACAAATTTATTTACTCACCACCGTATAGTGAAACATTTTGATAGCTCAAAAGTTTTCGTTATGTTTTGTCAGTTTCAGTGACTTTCGGCGATAGCAAACATATGCTACAACTCGAGTCGGAACTATCAGCACGCTGATAAAGTTTACGCTAGTTTCTGGTGTCAATCAACAAATTCAATATAACTAGCATTGGCGTCATCATCTTTAAACACAATAGAAATCTAACGCTGTTGACACCACAAAATCTGATCATAATATGGTCTCAAACTGAGAAATGTGCGTGGCTTGAAGTTTTAGATGATTAAAGAAAAAACACCAAAAAGTTAAGCCTTCGCTACGCTTTTTGCAATTGACCATATAAAAATAAACAATAGCTTAGATAAATTAGTACATAATCAATGTTAATAATCGCGCATGTAAACTCTTTTCCACCCCAACATACCACAAAATACGATTTGCACGTGACAATAATAGGCTAAAAGTAAACCCCAGTTTTATAATTTCCAGTTGCGAAACGTAACTTGTTTTGCCACTCTGAGCAGTGGAAGCCACCCCAACGAAACGTAACTTGTTAACGATTCATATAATTAACTCAATTTTTCCTTTTGAATGATATTCAAAGAAAGCAGAAGTAATTGGACAAATCTCACTTTCACCCCACTGATAACTATCAACCTTAATTTAAAAATGGATTCAACTGAAGCAAAAACAGAGATAATCCTCTGAATGAACCCAATTCATCAACTAGGAAGACAACAAAGCGGTTTCAACAGTATCGGAAGATGCTGTTTTTTTCTGCGACATAACCATAGTTCAAAACTCAGAAAGAAACTCAACTACTTAAGAGAGACGGCAAAAGAATAGATTCTCTGCAATGAACCAAAATCACCAGCAAGAACACGAAAAACAAGATTCATATTGGATTTGTTGAAAAAAGCAAGTGGGTTGTTTTACACTGTAGGAAAGCTTGTGCATCTTGCGATCCCCATAACAAGAGCAGTCGTCAGAAAATCGTTTCACAAGGTCTTATTACATATAGATGAGACAAATAATGTGGTGTTTATATAAGAAGTAACTAATCAATACTTCCTAATTCAGGTCTGGCTTTTGATCCTCATCACCGTCATTTCTTCATTTTCCTTTCATGACATGCCTTCAAAGCTTGAACGTCTTTGGAACAAATCACAAACAACAAAAAGCCATCAACATTTTGTCTGAATATATCCGGAGGACAATAAAGCTGCCATACCTTCTCTTTAACATAAGAAAGTTCAATCAATCCATCATTTCTTTGATTAAATAATCCCAATTTCGTTCCATGAGATAAAAACCCTAAACCCGAGCTCTAAAACCCTCAGATTTCAGATTTAAACTGCAACAAATTTGAGAACAGAGAAAGACGTACGTTTCTGGCAAGATTTCCAGTCCCTGTTGCTATCAACAAGACAATCCTGCAAACACCGGAAAAACAAACCGAAATTTGAGGGATTTGAAGGGAAGATTGGGGAATCAAAGAGGTGAAGGAACAAAACCTGTAAAGACAAATAGAGAGAAGAACACTCCTTGAGCTGTTTCACATTCTCGTCGTCGTCATCTGCATCCATTTGATGATTCGGAGGAGATTGCGTCTCGGAGTTCGGTTTCTCCGACACTTTCTCCATTTCAATTCAGGTTCTTCAGCTGACAAGATTCAGAAATTAGAACTCTCGGCTTAGATTAGGGAATTTTCGTGGGCTTTTACTTAGTAAAATTTACTCAATCTAAAGCCCATGCCCATTCGTATATAAGAAGAAGCTCTTATATAGTGGTGGTCAACACGTGGATAAGTCAAAGGATATATGTACTAGACTACTGTACAAGATTGTTTTTCTACTCCAAGATTGTTGTCTGTCTCTAATGACTTCAGGTCCACTAACCTTTGTCGGGTTGTCCGGAAAACACACCATCGTGGGAGCTGTCACATTTATTCCTTTTGAAAATATCTGAAAATGGTCTATTTTGGCATAATTTTTATTTTGTCCTCGCAGAAATAGAAAGATGAACCTCCAATAATTATTAATACGTATGTTGAGATTTCAAAAAAAAAAAAAAAAACATTAGTCTGTTACTCTAAATATAGTATATTTTTAAAAAATAATTATATTTATCAGATGATGGAGTATATTCTCTGGGGATTTTCTATTTCGAAAGCAAGAAAGCAAAAAGAGGATTTTATTTCATCTAAAATTAAGAAAGAAGAAGACCAAGAGGAGAAGAGGCGGATTTTCAGTTATAACGAAAGAGAAGATGAGGTGTAAGAGAAAACCAATGATCATGTCTTCCGTTACTTTCTCTCTTCTCTTTCCTTAGTCTTCTCTCTCTCTCTCTCTCTTCCCCTTTTTTGTCTCATTTTCTGTCTCCGATCCATGGAAGGCGTTCGAGACTCGTCACAAACTCTTGCTTCCACGACGACGTCATCTTCGTCTCCCTCCTGGTAATTCTCTTCAAATTTTTCTAAGCATCTAAAGATACTGTTTTAATTCTGTTCAGAGAGACATACATTGTTGTTAACGTGAACAAGATCTACAACTAATTATGTACCTTGTCTCGCAAGTTATTTTCATTTCATCTGAAAATAACTCAATTTTCTTTTCTGATGCAATGTTGCAGCGATGTAAACGTTGAGAATAGTGGAAAACAATTAACTCCTCTCTCAACAAGAAGATCTCGAGCTGGCTTCTCTGATTCTTTCTCTTCTCATGGTAATTAATTCATATTTGCATCAATATATAAGAATTCATTGACTTGATATTGTTCCTGTGCTAAAAAATTTTCATGAAATTCCATTTTCTCTGCACCAGATTTACCATCATTCTGCCCAGATGAAGATAAAATAACAACATCCTGCCCCAACAAATCTGAATCTGAATCAGACGATGACTTTCTAAGGAGCATAGAATCCGAAGCATCATCTTCCGTAGTGAGCACGTCAGACTCATCATCATCAGAAGCTCATCATCATCATCCCCACCACCACCACCACCATCACCATCATCATCATTCATCTGTTGGTCCCAACAACGGTCACTGGAAAGGTTTCTTCCGTTTACTCAAGAAAGGATCATCCGCGATGCCATTCAACACGTTCACACCTCTCAAAGGAGTCCCGAAACTGACCAGACGTAAGAGCAAACGCATAAGAGATAACATGGTCCCTGTTCTACCTTCTGCTGCTCTTGACACTGGTGACTTGTTCTACTTCAAACCCTCCTGGAGAAACTTCTCTCTCCAAGATATTCAAACCGCTACAAATGGATTCAGCCGTGGTTCGAAAATCTTTGAGGAAATCCTTAGCTTGTTAGATTTTTAGTCCACGGAAAAATTATTTATGAAGTGATGATATGTAACATGAAAACTGTGGTTATTATGGCAGAGAATCTTATCGGAGAAGGAGGATATGCGGAAGTGTATAAGGGACAGATGCTAGATGGGCAAATAGTGGCGATAAAGAAATTGACTAGAGGTTCTGCCGAGGAGATGACGATGGATTATCTGTCGGAACTAGGAATCATAGTTCATGTAGATCATCCAAACATTGCTAAGCTTATTGGATATTGTGTTGAAGGAGGAATGCATCTTGTTCTTGAGCTATCTCCTAATGGAAGCCTCGCTTCTTTGCTCTACGGTCAGAAATCTCTTGTATTTGATGATTTTGTTTACAGTTATCTATAGAAACTATTTTCAAGTTCTATGAAAAAACCAAAATAAAAAGCAACTTCATTTTGATTAAAAGAGGTTTCAAATGATATACATATTGTAGAGGCGAAGGAGAAATTGAATTGGAGCATAAGATACAAAGTGGCGATGGGAACAGCAGAGGGACTGTACTATCTCCACGAAGGTTGTCAGAGAAGGATCATTCATAAAGACATTAAAGCTTCTAACATCCTTCTCACTGAGAACTTTGAGGCTCAGGTAATAAATGAGAAAGTTAAGATCTTCATGTTTTGAAATATTTAATAGTCTTTCAAAAAATTATAATTATGAAACAATAATGAACATGTAATGGTGACCGTAGATATCTGATTTCGGGCTAGCAAAATGGCTACCGGACCAATGGACTCACCATACTGTCTCGAAAGTCGAAGGAACATTCGGGTTTGGAATCTCTCATTGATATAGATCATATATATGCATACGCGGATTCACATATATATTTTGTGTTTCATGATATATATCTAATTCATCTTATGTGTTCATGGATCAGTTACCTTCCGCCGGAGTTCTTCATGCATGGGATAGTAGACGAGAAAACGGACGTATATGCTTATGGTGTCCTGCTTCTAGAGCTCATCACCGGTAAACAAGCCCTCGACAGCTCACAACATAGCCTTGTCATGTGGGTATGTGATGTAACCATCTCTTTAGCCCTAGCCATATCTCTTACACTTTTCTAATCCGGATTTTGATCATATGGGATTTCTAAACCAAATAGTAATGAGTAAGACTCACACAAATGTGCTATATATATTAATAGGTTTATGTCGTATTTTTTCCTTTCAGTACGTGATTAATTACTAACATGGGTCAGCTATATGTTCTTTCAGGCCAAGCCATTGATCAAAGAGAGCAAGATCAAACAACTTGTTGATCCGATTTTGGGAGATGACTACGACTTAGAAGAGTTGGACCGTCTTGTCTTCATAGCGTCCTTGTGTATACACCAAACCTCCATGAACCGGCCTCACATGAGCCAGGCATGCATTAACAAAACATTCAATTCCATCATTTAGTTACCACTTTTCTATAACAAAATGATTTATCTGAGTCACATATATAATGTGTGTTATGCATACATATATATATAGGTTGTGGAGATTCTGAGGGGAGACAAGTGTAGCTTAGATCAGCTACGAGAACAAGAAAACTCCAAACTGCAGAGGACTTACTCCGAAGAACTAATGGATAACGAAGAATACAACTCGACAAGATATTTGAACGACATTCATCGACACATGGAGACCGTTCTTGGAACATCTAACGACCCCTGAAACATCCTACTTGCTAATTAACGCAATAGAAGGATTTCACTTATTGCATATGTTCGCTTTAGATTAATCCAATCCGGATTGGATATTAATTTAGAAGAGAGGACCGGAAATGGTTCAGTATTGCTCTCCAAATATATGTTGTACCATATATATGGTGTATGTGTATGTGTTTGATCATGATTATGATGTTGTGTTCTTTTTTTGTTTTCCATCTTTGACTTGAACTATTTCTTGTTAATGTTATCCCTTTTGTTCTTTGTTTTTTTCTTTCCCCATGTTCACGTACTATAAATTGGATTTGATTATTAGACATCTTTTATGGTGTTGAACTGCTTGATTAAGAAAAAAGAAAAGCTATGTTTGTATAAAGTATGGCATAAACAATTTCGCCATTTCTCGAAAACTAAATTATAGAAGATCTTCAATTTACATTTTACAACAAAGACAAATTAACACAAAATTACGGATTTGATTGGTTATTCGAAAAATGGCGAAATTTGTTCGTATGATTTTACCAGTTACACATTTTTGCAAAATCATGATTTACATTCTATTACTCTGCAATCCCCTAAGATTAGTACAAATACATAAATACATTCCGCCATTTCAAAGTCTTTTTTGCCAAATATTTTTTTCAAATGTTACAACAATTTTATCGTTACGAACTTTTTCTCACCAGTACTGGGGAAGTCGAAAGATCATATCCGGTTCGATTTGGTTCGTTCGGAACCAAATTTCATGAACCGAAACGCAATGCGATGTGCGTGTTTTGTCGTTATCTCGTTAGGCAGAGCATAAACTTGTCACCACCGTCGACATTTTTCCCGAGAATTCTCCTCATCTTTATTTTCCCGGATTTTTGTTTTTTGTTTTTTAATTGTTTTAAACTCCATCTTCCGATTTCTACCGGTTCTCGTGCATCTAGATCCAAGCGACTACGATGTCGATGTCTCGTCGTGGAATGCTGTTGTTCTTCGCTATCCTATCGGTCCTGCTTCAATCTTCCACTTCCCTGATCAGTTCCGCTAGCGCCATCGTCAATCCTTCCAAAGTTAAGCAGGTTTCATCGAAACCCAGGTTTTGCTCTCTCTCTCTCTATAGCAAAAACCCTCAAGTGATTATGGAAAATTCGAACCTTCAATATCTTTATAAATCGGAAAATTCGATGTGTGTGTTCTTCAGGGCATTTGTGTATGAAGGGTTTCTCACGGAATTGGAATGTGATCACATGGTCTCCCTTGTGAGTTTTCTTCGATTTTAAGCTTTATTTGGAACTTCTTCTCTTGTTTTTCTCTGGTTCAACATTCTAAATTTCGATTTTTTCGGCAAAGGCGAAAGCGGACCTGAAGAGATCTGCTGTCGCTGATAATGATAGTGGAGAGAGCAAATTCAGCGAGGTTCGAACCAGCTCTGGCACGTTTATCTCCAAAGGAAAGGTTCGATTTTCTCTTTGTTTGCTTCCCTTGTTCTTGATTCGCTAATTAACTTAGAATCCCAATTCGAATTGGAAACTGGATATCTCCCTATGTAAAGTTCGATTTGGTATAGATTTGGTTTCTTGTGTCTGACATTTATCGTATAAATGATTGATCTTGGAAGTTAGTAGGTTGACCTCAAGATTATGTTAAATCTATAAGATACCAGATCTTTTTCCGGATCAGGTAAGATTTTGTGTAAATGGTAATCAAGTATGAAATTTTTCTACAATTACAGCGACGTGACTTAGATCTGTAGATGTTGTGTCATTACCGTGATCAGTCCCATGATCATATGAAGTTTTGTTTTGTTGATCACAGGATCCCATTGTTTCTGGAATAGAAGACAAGATCTCCACTTGGACATTTCTTCCAAAAGGTACAATACGCTCTGAAATGCTTAGAAAGTACGCAACTAAAGATGGTGCAAAATCTTGGAAATCTTAGTATCTTGTATTCTTGAAAGCTTCTCAGAAGATACTTTTCATCAAGTCATTTGCTTTCTATGGTTACAGAAAACGGGGAAGACATTCAGGTATTGAGATACGAGTACGGTCAAAAATACGATGCTCACTTTGATTACTTTCATGACAAAGTCAATATTGTCCGTGGTGGACACCGCATAGCAACAGTTCTCATGTATCTATCCAATGTGACAAAAGGTGGAGAAACCGTTTTCCCCGATGCAGAGGTTTGTGCTATCTATGACTATGAATTTTTGCCATAACATTTCCTCAAGTGATATCACCCTTTGGTTCATTCTCTCTCTCTCTGAAAGATCTTATTTTTATAGATACCTTCTCGTCGAAAACTCTCTGAAAACATAGAAGACCTTTCTGATTGTGCCAAGAGAGGAATCGCCGGTGAGAAACAAAACCGACTATAATAAGTGAATTCTTCTTTTCCTGGAAAGAGTAGAAGATTTTACTTTTTACATCTTTTGATTCTTTATGGGTAAATGTATATCAGTGAAACCAAAGAAAGGTGATGCTTTGTTGTTCTTCAACCTCCACCCAGACGCAATCCCAGACCCATTGAGCCTTCATGGTGGATGTCCCGTGATCGAAGGAGAGAAATGGTCGGCTACCAAATGGATCCACGTGGACTCATTCGATAAGATTGTGACACCTGACGGGAACTGCACAGATATGAACGAGAGCTGTGAGAGATGGGCAGTGCTTGGAGAATGCAAGAAGAATCCAGAGTACATGGTTGGAACTGCTGAGCTTCCTGGCTATTGCAGGCGAAGCTGTAAGGCTTGTTAGACTTAATTATACTTCTCCTCTTTCTTGTTCTGTGCCATAAAACTCTTCAAAGTTTTTCGGCTTTTCGGAGTCTCTTCTGTTGTTGTTTCTTGTAGAGTTGTAATCGTTGGTGAGATTTGTTCTGATTGGAGTTCTGTAAAACTACAACTGTTCCCTGGAAAGAATAATATGTAAACACATAAATTTAATCAAATCCTTTATAGGTTCGAAGTGTATATTTTGTTGTTGTCAACTCAGTGTTGTGGTGGGTGCGATCCATTTCTTCTTCTGTTCTTCAAAGCTTTTCTTCTTACCTTTTGTGCCATAACTCTCAAGAGTTTTGTTTTTTTTTTGGGTTTCTTTTGTGTTGTTCCTTGGAGTCTTGTTGTCGTTCATGAACATCTCCTGTTCTCAAACTAAGTGGTTCTGTACTCATTTTTATTATTATCATAACCCATAAAAGAGCTTTGTACTAACTGGAGTTTCTGTCTAGTATTGAAGTTTCTAACACAAATCCGAGAAAAGAGTAATCTTTAAGCATATAAGTTCAGTCAAATCTTTGAGCAGTTATAGGCATATCTTTTTTGTTGTTTGTCAACTAACTTGGTGGTGTGTTCCATTTCTTCCTTTGTTCTTCAAAGCTTCCTATGACTGCAGATTGTTTCTTATCATCGAGTGTAGAGGCAAAAATATCAAGGCAGCCTCTCAAATCTACACTTTCGAGTATCTTTATTTGTTTTCGGCGCAGTTTATCAATCAATATCTGACCATCTTTGGATTCATCTCCTTCAGCGATCACTTTTATATGCTCAGCTCGCAGTTTCGGCTTTAATGAAGCGTGATCGCCTCCCAAGAAAACTGCTCCAAGAATTTCCCCTAAGAACATGTCCTGCAACCACAATTTAGGCTTAGTTCGAAAACCAAACAATAAAGAAAACAGAATGAAAATAGAGGCATTACCAGGTGCTTGTATCTCCTGTGTTTCTGATGAAGAGCTTGCAATCTAGCAACCAGCCGTTTCACAAACCGGGCTTCCGGAGTTTTCGCCGGGGAATAGAGTCCATTAAGCATCGTTTGGAAAGAGCTCAACTTGTGTTGTGTTGATAGAGGTACGAGTGTGATGTTTAGACTGGAATCAAGAACGTTCTTGGCTGCTAAAGGATCAAGAAACATATTGAATTCGGCGTATGCATTTGAAGGAACCGTGAATATGTTCCCTTTGTCTGATTTCTCACGGTTTATATGTCCTCCCGTAATGTAAACTTCCTGCAATTTACATTAGAAGCCATCAAAATTCTAAACTAGAGATCTTTGAATCTTGATGAAAATATTATTAGAGAGAGAGTAGCAGAAATTTGTTGCCTTGATGAATGAGGATGATTCTTTTTCTGATGAGATGATCTTAGCTAAGTTAGTCAACGGTCCATTGGTTAGTACAGTGATATTAGTCACCCCATTGCAAGATTTGGTCAGATTTTTCCAAACTTCAAGTGCCAGAGGTTGTCGGAGTTCAGGCCGGTTAGTATCCCTCGGAGCTCCATTTTCCATTGAGTTCTCCGCAGTGTACCTGCATAAACAATTGTTAAGAATTCACATCAAAATAAGAAAATGAGATAAATCTATATGTTATAACCGATTTATATACCTGCGAGGACTTCTTGGAAGGTCACGAGCAAGACCGTAGAGAGTGTCGGAATCAAGAAATCCGCCACAGCCTTGTGGAATGGCCTTGACGTACTTGCAATCTCCAACCGGTGGGAAAATCGGATCAGATTGGTTTAACGCAAACATGTCTCCCAGACCGACCGGAATGTCGTCGCGACCCATCATATGAAGCAGATCATAGACAACATCGATTGTTGCTGCATTAGCCCAACCATTTGGGCTCACAATAATGGCCTGGCGGAGTCAAGATAAAGTAGGTTACGTATGCGACAAGCAACACTTTATATGCGAGATAACTTGTGTAACAAGGAACAGTTGGATCTCTTTTATAATCATACCTTCAAATCGATTTTCTCTACCGGAACCTTAAGAAGGTAGAAGAGAGAGAGGAAATCTCCGGCGCTCATGTCCATGTCGAAAACAACTGGCTTTCCGAGCCGTATTTTGCTAAGATCTGGTCTCAACAATTCTTCTTTGTAGTATGGAAACTGAGATGAAAAGTTAAATCTTCCTGTTTCTTCAGGTCTATTCAAAACCTGTTCATTAAGTAAGCAACTCTGTTATATCAAACAAAATAAACGTTTGACCTTTAACTTTTTCCACTTAAATTCGATTAGAATTAGAATATGGAAACTTACTTCCAAGAAATCAACATAGAACTCTCTGTCAAGTTTACTTTTGATGTTTATGTTCGGTTTAGCTCGTGTAGCGACAAGAACACGTACTGAATCAGGTCCAGAGATCTCTTGGGTGTAACCATCCTAATAATTGTTAATCATATAATAGAAATTACAATGTATTGTTTCCTCTGAAATGAAACCAAATCAGAAACTAAAAAAAAAAAGGGTAATAAATTAAAGGAAACACGTACAGACCTTACACCTTCCTTTACCGCTTTTTGGTATGCAGATTGGATCTCGCAAACCCATCTGAACATGACCACTGTGAACTCCTCCAAGGGTTAGGTTGAACTTTGGAATTTTTCTTTTGTCAAAGAAAGGATTTGAGCCATCGGATTTTCCATAAGGTTTGTTTGAAGTAACAATGGTTATGTTCATATACTCCATCTCCGCGAAATCGTTCTCACCATTTTTGTTGTTCTTATTAGCAGAGTTTCTCATGATTGAGACTGCAACACCAGCTGTGAAAGAATCCCACATGAAATAGCTCTGGAGAAAATACGTTACGTGATGAGTGGTGCATGTGTCAGATAAATATTGAGATGATGAAATAACAGAATAATAAAATAGCATAATTTTCATGAAGAACAACAAAAAATTGGCTAGTGAAAACATTTTACAGTATGGGAAATGGATCTCATGCATATATGATACCTTGTAAAATTCACCGTCGAACCAAGTGTCTCTGGCGATTTTCAAAGATAAGAAAATGTATTGAGCTTCGTATGTTCTCTGGTTGTTTTCGAATGTCTTAAAGAACTTCTTGTTGATAGGTATTGTGTTCGTTGCATCTAGAGGAACTAAAGTCACTGGGACACCTGAATGAAATACCTGTAATAAATTTTTTCTTGATTATTGAAAATTGTCTTTAAAAAGACTAGTTGTTTATTGCGCTGCATTTCATAAAATATATTCATGTGAGAAAAAATGAAAAAAAGGACAATAAAGAACCTGATAAGCAGCAAAAGGATCAGCGAAGATGTTGAATTCAGCGTAAGGATTACTTGTATAATCAGTGAACAAGTTCCCACGGTTTCCACATTGTCGAGATTGACATTCCTCCGCCGTGGAATTCGCCGGACAGCATCCGGTAGGGTTTCCCGACCGTACACCACCTCCCATGACGTAGATGTGTTGGATGTTGTGTTTGAGGTTAGGATTTGACATCATGAAGAGAGCAAAATTTGTGTGAGATCCGATGAGGATCACGGTGATTGGACCTTCGGAAACTTTGTCGGCGATTACTTTTTGTGCCGTTGGTTGTCGGAGAGGAGTATATCTTCTTTTTCCCTGTTTTTCACAAAGACAGAACCGAGTCACCGACCACAATTCACAAACGCCTATCTTTTTTTCTAACAGTTAAAATTATAAGTTCAGATTTTGTCTTTTTACAGATTTATGGTTTTTTTTTTTTATATATCAACAATATTGGAGCGTTCCAAACTGAAACTCAGACTAACTCCATAAAACTCATAGAAATTCGGCTTTTTCTACCACTAAAAACATCTACGGAAATAATTGATGATTGAAATCGCAGTAAAAGTAACCTAAAAACCATATATGTATATGCTATGAATCGACGCTATCGATCCTAAACCTACAATTATTTGTATCACTACTATGCTTAAATCTATTAGTAGCCGACAAGTGTTTGGTTGGATATACAAAGTATGATACTTCTAGTCGAACCACCATATACAAAGTAAGAATCTAGCGACACGTGTTGCAGGCTTGCAGCTAAGAGATACCAATACAAGTGTCACAAAACCTTCTATATAAAGTTTGACAATTTATGAGATTCTAAATGGTGGTTGCGATTAAAATAACTTAGTTGGAGCGATGCGATAGGATATAAATCATGCTATTCGAGTTTTTTAGATAACCAACGCTATTATTCTAGGTATAGTTGATACGATCAGTATACATATTTAAAACTGGTCTGGTCAAATATTACTGTTTCACACTTATAATAAAAATAACCTTTTTCAGTCAAGTTATTCATAGATTGTCATTAATTTATAAACTTATTAAACACCAATTTTTTTTTTTCTGAAAATAAAAAGTTCTTCAAATTCAAATATTTTTGGATGTTTGTCAAAAAGTTAAGATTCATATTTGGCTTTAAAGCTAGAGGTTTTTTTTTGTTTCATTTCTAATAATGACGAAAAATGTGTATTTTCAATTTATATATGAGAACGGAAGGAGGGAGACAAAAATAAAATAAAAAAATACCTGAGGAAGAAACTGTTTACGAAATCCAAAATTGGAATCAATGTCAAGTAGGCCTCCAAATCCTTTAGGAATGGCTTGTCTGTATCTACATCCTCCTGTCGTTGTCATCCCCTAATGCACAGTTTTCACATTTCAAACCAAATTAATACAAATTATTCAAGAAATCAAATTAGGAGAAGAATATTTAGGCAGAGAACCTGTTCGATGATCGGGAAATAGCCACCGACGTCGGAGAGAATAGTGCCGTCGTCGAGAATCCCACCCTCCCCGCCGACACCAACGGGGATATCGTCACGACCCATCATGTGCAATAAATCGTACACATGATTCACTCCGTGTCCTGCGTTTGTCCACGCATTTGCACTCAATGTGATCCCCTGTTTCAAAAACAGAGCATTAACAGAAATTAAGCTGAAAAAAAAAAAAAAACGGGAGAGATTGAGAAAGTAGTGGGCTTACGACTAGATCGAATTCTGATTTGTTGAGTTTCAAGAGGTAGAGTAGAGCAAAGAAATCGTCTGTGTCGACATCTGTATCCACTAGAATACGGTGTGGGCTAGACAAGACACAAGGGAGGTTTTGTCCTAAGATTCCGAGAATAGCGACTACTGTGATGGACAAGAACCATAAACTCTTCGAAGTTGGGTTCATCAACATCTTTTAGAACAAGAAGCAGAAGAAGAAGAAGAAGAAGAAGCACCAAGATTGATACAAGTAAGAAGGAGGAAGAAGAGGCAAGAAAGTTTGGGGAGATATACTGTTTCTTGCCTGAAACTGAAACAAATCCAATATCTGATTCAGATCAAGAAACAAATCCAATATATATTTTTTTTGGTTAAAATCAAATCCAATATATATATATATATATATTAATTATGAGGAGTCACTCAGAGGAGACTGTTACATCAAGTCTTTGTTCTTTTAACACAAAATGGAGAAAAAAGGGCAAAGGATAAGATTTCTAAAGTGTCTTCAGAATTTTTTTCCTTTTTCACGTACGTCTTCCTCTTCAGAACTTTGTTCCTAATTATGAGCAGAGTAAAGAAAACTTGAAAAGCATTCGCATACATAAACAGGTCACTGATAAGTTTTCTTGAAAACAAAAAGGATATACCGACGTGCAGAGAGAGAGAGAGAGAGAAAGAGGATATAAGTAGTTGCGATGAGGAACGAGAATATTAAAAGTTATTAACATCTAAATCAGGAATAGAAGATCCCTTAAAAAATACCAAAATCTTACTTATTAGTCAACTTTCTTAGAAAGCGCGTCTTCAACGTTCCCTCAAAAATGTGTAAAATGTATTTTTTCTATTTTATTTTAATTTAATATACCTGTCAAGATTCTTTCTGGTTTGGAGTGCTAGTAACAACAAGATGAACAACGTGAACGAAGAAAATGAATAAAATGAACAGATAATAATTAAATATAGAAAGTTTTGAGGAATTTTATAGGAAGGAAAACTGAGATCCGAGAAAAGTGTTGACTTCAATATTCACGTGGAAAATACGACGTATTGTCACGTGACGTGATCAGTTCTTATTGGTTGGAATATTTCTTGCAAATTGCAATTATTTTTTTAGTAATGTAATTATTGTTTTAAAGGTGTTTATCTTAATTAAAGTGAAGTGAAGTTATGTAGCTTTTTATTTTGTTCTCTCTGACCTTTTTATCTCTGTTATCTAGATAAAGTAGCGAACCCCGTTTTCTACGTACCATGCTGCTATGTAATACTTAGTTAAATTTGTGAAATCGTGAAGGGACCATATTAATATTGATAACTTAGACTAGAGTGAAATGAATGTCTTTATAAAAATCAGGCGTACCGAACACTAGCTTATTGAATATGGACCAGTTCCAGAAACTACATTCGAGCTTTAATTATTTATTTACCTTGATCGTTAATATATATATATATATATATATATTTTTTTTGCATATATCATCATTTTAAAAAGGTTTTTTGTATAAATATAGTGACATTGTATATTTTTTTCGCTTTGGTAATCAGCACCGTAACTGCCTGGACCTTTCCATCATGGCCAATTTTTTTTAAAAAAACTCTGGATTCATTGAATGATACATATTTAAATAGTCCAACCATATATAATCATTCATGATCTACGAAGATTCTACTTTTATAAAAAAATAAAGTAAGAGAGTGACAAAAAGAGTATTAGAAGTCGTAGAAAATAACATATAAGAAGAAGATGCGAGAAGACATAGAAGTAAAAAATGGAGATTTTTTCTTTTTTGGTCAAACAATTTCAAAAATGGAGATTCAACTTTATGATTTTGAGGGAACTTTCACAATATATGGCTGCAAAAGAGATATGTCAACGAAGGAGTTTGTCCCGCGGTGATGGTTTATATAAAACAAAATAGGAAACCATATGTTGGTTTGTTAATGTGTTATTCGTACGTACGACAATATTTGAGAATCTAACATTCCATATTCCCATTTTAGAACAAAATTTTGTAATCCGCTGGGGAAAAAGAGAATTTGACGAAAAATAATTGTGTGAATGAATTACTCATCTAAATGTTGTACTTTTCTAGGTCGAAAGGAGGTCCCCACATTATCACCTTCAGTCGTTATTCAATAGTGAAGAGTTTGCATGCTTCCATCACTATAAACTGAGGTAGAGCTGAGTAGTTATATTAAAATAACTTTTTAGATTTTGTATAAAAATAAAATTACAAAATTTATACATATTTCTACTATGGTAAATTGGTAATACAAACTTTTGGGACAATTATACATATCACATCAATGCAGAAAGTAAAATTATTAAAGGACAATCTAAGGAAATACTACAATGTTTACAACTGTCGTAAAATTTGGGACACAATTTTTTGGAATGGTATTTTTATATATTCTTTAACTAGAAAATCAAAATATCGAAGAAACAAATTGATAACATATAAACAAAATTATTCGTGTGCACCAAAAGGTAACGTGCTTTGTTTTATTGGACTTTGATGATTCCATTTGGTCAACAACCACTTGAGTTTTGGCCCATATTGATAAAAAAGGTGTAGCATAAATCACCAAAAGATTCTCATTCTTCTTGACCTTAGTTGATTATTGGAAAGGATTACTCGTAATAATTACTTGATTAGTCTAGTGCTTAAGCTTATAGCACTAACAATTTCCATCTGTCTCCACCAAGACCAAAATTATTAATATACATCTATCCTTTTGCACATGTATTATTGTTATTTTTCTCTAATCATAGCTCATAGGATAAGCATTCACTCCTCAGATATTCATAGCTCAAAGCTCCTTTTTTTTTATAAAAAAAATGGTCTATCCCGTAATGGGTACTGGTATGTGTTGTAGCGTACGGCTTGGGTATTTGGAGCACATTCCGAGTCAAAGAAGTTCTACGACATGTTTTTTTTTGAATTATTATTATTTTTTATATTTTTTTTTGTTTGTCAGGGATTGGGTTTTAGCTTTGATTACAGATTCTTTAAGGGATTTGTAAGAGACAAAAGATTAAGATCATGATTATCAAAGAAATTGAGCTGAGTTTCTTTTAATAAAAAAATCAATTTTAATCAAAAAGGTAGACTAAAAAAGGAGGATCGATTCCTATATAAGGATTGGAAGGAGCGATCCTTGTGCTGACGTGGCGCCTTCCTATTGGTTAGAGGTTACTGTTGGACTTTAATGGTTTTTTTTATTATTCTCTCAACTTTATTAATATAATAATTGTCAAAAAACACTCACATGAATTTCTTTGATAAATATGCTCTAAGTAAAAGGGCTTTTGAAAGTTTAGGTTTTTTTCTTGAGAGTGTACGTTGTTAAATCAACGACCTTTAAAACACCTTCAACGTTGGTTATGTGACGACATTGATCAACTTTTGTGATGTTACAGCTCGCTTGATCAAGACAAAAAGCCCAAAACAATTTTGATCACAGTCACTTATAAAGTATCAATCAAACAACTTAGAAGAAGCAACGAATGTTGATCAAAAAAAAAAGAAAAAGAAGCAACGAACAATATTCCTCATACTCAATAGGTGGCAATTAGGGAAAAAGCATATGAATTTCCTTCAAATGATAGTAGCAATCTGCAAACTTATAGTCTATGGCACACAAAATGAACACAACTTGTTTGATCGATCAAACAAAGTCATTTCGAATTTACAAATGATAACAATTACAAAACCATAGCAAAGCATCGAAATATGTTTTGCACATCAATAAGAAGACCCATAACAAGTTTTAACAGTTTCAAGCCAAAGCTTATATATAAACACGGAGAAATTTATTTCGAAAATTTTGACAGAGCAACGGAGAAATATTTTTTCTCACTGATCTCCGGCGAAAAGAAGCCTTCGAGAGGCGGCGACTCCAGATTTCTTGTTCTGAACATCTCGGAAGCCCGAATCCGACTCGTCGTGATACCATCCCACGGATCTCTGCGCCTCCTGTACGATCTGAGATATACCTGCATCCAAACAAAACCAAATCGCACCGGAAATTTTCCAGAATCCATCGGAGAGAGACGAGAGAGAGGGAGAGTGTACCTTCTCTGACGGATTGCTTGTTGTGGCGGATATCGTGGATGGTGGCGGAGATCTTCCAGTAGAGAGGGCGGCCGACGTAGAATAGAACCACCATTAAAGCGATCAGGATCACTATACGGAACCAGATTCTCGTTGATGATGATTGAGACGCCATTGATCCCTCTCACTCTCTTCTTCCAGTGATCGAAAATCGAGAGAGAACAGAGAAACTCAATAATAAAGCCAAAAAAAAAAAACTCGAAATAAAGAAGAAAAGAAATCACAGCTCAGCAGATTAGTTCCGCCACGTCACCGCGAGGAGGCATGGCTACAAGCGAAGCCTCTGGTGGATCTGGAGGGTTCAGACAGAGGATTTAATGTTTTTTTTTTTTTTTTGATAAACGGATTCAACGTTTAGAAGCCGGTCTCATTCTAAAAACGGACGGAAAAAAAAAAGAGACTATGTATGCATGGATTGTGAATCTGTGATGATCACGCTTGCATATGAAAGGACCTCACTCTTTATACACAAGGTTACACTCAAAATGAAGGATTGAATCGATCTATCTTTCCACACTTCTTTATAATCTCCACGACAGTTCTTATATCATTATGAAGAGTTCTAGATTATTCTCAAAAATACACACAAAGAACAAATGTTGACAAATGACCAACTGGTGTTGGTTGAACTATTCTTTTCCGTCCATTTAACCACGATGGCCTGATTTAATTTGAAAAAATGTATAGAGGGGATTGTGACAAAGATGTAAACGTATCAAATTCTACTTAACACTCATGGCTTTACGTGAACATTTAACCATGATACCCTGATGAGTAAAAAAAATAGGGTTTGTGATACAAAAGTATTAAATTCTATCTAAATCAATATTAATGGCTTATTGTGAAGTGTGAATAGTATAGTCTTTTTTTTTTTTTTTTTTTTGCTTAATGTGAATAGTATAGTCTAATTAATGTATCAAATTTTAGAAAGAAAAACAAAAATCAGGATTAGCACTTCGCCATCTATAAGATAGATATGTGTGCTGTATTAAAAATTTATGACTTCTGCATCGATCCCACCACTTCATATAAGAGTCAAAAACAAAAAAAGACTTAGAAAACGGCTAATTCTATTTTTCTCCGACATCAATTGAAAATCGATTTCTAAGTTGAGCCACACCGTCCTTTTTGCTTAACTGATTGCCATTCCATTCCATTAAACTAATTTTCTTAAATTTTCCACGATTCCCCAATCCCACGTATACCAATGAAAACCTAACTGATGGAAACTTTAACGCAAACAAATAAACAAAAATGAAATAAACCTATTCTTAAGATATTCAAACAAAATCCTCATATTTTTTACTCATACTCCATCTTGAGCTCACCACCGGGGAAAGCGCGAGTCTTTTGATAAAACTCCCATAAATTTGATTTGTATCTCCGCTTATGCCTCTCTTCGAATACAAGCTTGGATCTCTTCGAGTGTCTTCCCTTTAGTTTCAGGCACCATCTTCGCCACAAAGATGATCGTCGTCACTGCAAAAGCAGAGTACATATAGAATGTACCTACACAAACAGAACAAACATACACTGGTCTCAAATTTGGCGTTTCTAAAACGCTTTTATCTTACTTTCAAAACACATTGATCTTCCAAACAAGCTTTTAAAGTATGTACCTGGAGAGCTCCAGCTCATGAGGAAGTTGAAAGTGTAAGAGACAGCCCAAGCACCAGACCAATTCACCAGAACCACTAAGCTTCCTGCGATCCCCTTCACGTTTATTGGAAATATCTGCGTTTGTTTCATCCCAAAAAACAGAGCATGACTTCAGAGTGTGTTATACTCTTCCAAAAGCATTGACTTTGTTTCAAATAGAAACTTGATAAACAAGTAATGGTTCTGTTCAAAACGAGGTTACTTTCTACGCAAGGAACCATACCTCAGACATTATCACCCAAGGAACAGGTCCCATTCCGATGGAGAAAGCAGCTACATAGATCTGGATAGTGATGAAGAGACAAGAAATTTAATACCAGTTTCACGGACAACACAATATGTTTAAGGTAAAGCTCTGTTCTTTATTTCTGTTTTTAGTGTTGAGTTACAACTGATTAAGTTTTACTTACAAGTACACCTCCAACGGCTAAGACAGGAACCCATTCAAGCAACAAGCTTTGTCCCTGAATCCGAAATAGCAGATTCGATGTAAATATTTGATCCAATGAGCATATTAATTGATTTCAAAGTGAAAACAGGGTTTAGCTAGGGCTTATGATATGAACCTTGAGGACGAAAGATGTTCCTGTGAGCATACATCCCAAGAAGATACCACCAGCTGAAATCTGCAGGAAACATTTGTATATATATATATATATATTTTAAAAAATTGGAACTTTCAACTCAGAAAACGCTCTCTGTAGATTAAAAGACTTTACCATTATTAGTGGCCTTCTTCCACATTTATCAATCAAGATTGTTCCAAGAACAGTAATGGGAACCTGTTAAAATGATACTATTATATACGAATCATTATAGAGAAGAATATCAAATGACGTGAAAAGTTTTATTCACCTGAACACAAGCAATAGCCATTGTTCCAAGTTTTCCAGACGAAAGCCCTGCAAGTTTTTAAGAGACATGTTAGAATCTCGAATGAATTTGGTTCTGATACAAGACAAGATATTAAGGATTGTTGTATATACCGGCTCTTACAAACGTTTCGCTTGCGTAGAATCCTATCCCGTTGATTCCCACAAACTGTTGGAATACCATCAGGGAAACACCAATCTGAAGAATTTTCGATCACATGTGAAAGAACAAAACACATTCAATCTTCTGAAAGATTTGAGTCAAATAAATCAAATATACACAAAAATATTGAAATTTTTTTGTTTTTGTTTTTTTGGCTCTGAGTTAAACTTACAGTGACAGATCGACCATATTTCTTGGAGACAAGATCTTGGATTCTTGCTTTTGGTAGAACTTCAATAGCTTGAATCGAGACTTCAATCTCTTGTGCTTCATTGGTGATATCTGTCTTATTTCCTCGCAGCTTTTGTAGGGCTACCCGAAACTCTTTCTCACGGCCTGCTTTTGCCTGGAGAAGCGATAGCATGAAAGATTTAGGAAACTTGTTTTTTTTTTTTCTTTCTAAAAGATGGATAAAATCATGTACGGATAAAGGAACTTACTAGCCATCGAGGAGATTCAGGTATGAAGCATAAGCCAAAGAGCAAAACAATGCAGGGAGCAAGTCCTTTTAATCAAGACAACAAAAACATTATATATTGATCAGTTTTCAAAAGAGAACGTCTAAAGATTTACCAAGTAACTCAGATAAATCATTTACCGGTAAGGGCAAGGGTTTTCCAGGAAATGAGAGATCCGATCATAAAGGAAACCGATGAGCCGATCACAATCATGAGTTGGTTCAGTGTTGTGAGTCCACCTCGAAGATTCTTGGGAGAAATCTCAGCAATGTACACAGGCACCTGTTTTTGTTGATTTGTTTACTTTGGAGACTGAGATTTTTTTATAAACAATTTGGTTCATAAATATCAACATAATTCGCAAACAAAAGAGTAAAATTTTAGGCCGACTATTTTTTTTTTTTTTGGATTACTAGATAAAAAGAAATTGATTTCAAGGGTCAAAAATTTTGGTTAGTATAGGACAAAGAGAGTAAATTACCACATAAGAAAAAACTCCAATTCCATATCCTGTGAAGAACCTTCCTACATCAAGTAACAAAGCACCCTGCACCACATTTTAACATCATATTAAAATCTGATATCGATTTTATTTATATTGGATATACTAGAATCTCAGAGACGTAGCTTTGATGTTGCAGATATTTGAAAAGATAGGCATGTATGTGTAAATTCAGATACCTTGGAGAAGAAGACAGCGAGCCAGCCAGTAATGCAGAAGCAAGCTGACGTTCTCATAGCCTGAAATGAGTTATATGTACATACAATGAGCATTGAAATTTTTGAAATTTTTTATTTGGGCCACTTAATTATTAAGTTTGGGATTGAAAAAGGATATACCCCTTTTCGGCCGGTCAAATCTGAAATTTGCCCACTCATAACAGCACCAAGCATTGCACCGATTGTTAATATGGACCCAAACATGGAGAACTGCATTTTTACATTACACACACAAAAAACAAAAAAAAATTGATCTCATATTGCAATAAAAATCTCCAGTTAAATGGTTTTAGTGGATTATTGGTACTAAAAATTGCTTAAACAGCTGGAAATGTAATTACGAAACTCTACAATGTTTGTCAATTAGTTTTGCAAAGTGAACTTTGGAAAGAAAACATGTACGCATCTTCGGTATTAGTTACCGAAAATCTCAAATAAATCATCTAGGTTAACGATTTTTTCCGACGAATTAAGCAAAATCGAATATTAGATGTGAACTTAAACGTACTAAATTATACTGCAAGGTAAAGACAGGCTTTGAGATCAGAAGTATACTATTTAATAAAAAAGAAGAAGAAATGCTTTGGCTCAGACAGAAGTGAAGACACAAACCTCTGCAAGGGAGAGATTGAGATCATGTCTTATAGATGATTGAGTAGGCGCTGAGTATCCAACCTTCAATAAACAATTTAAAAAAAAAAAAATCTAAGAAAATAGTTTGGTGAAGTAATTAAGACAGAGGCTTGGAAACCTCGGATTGAAATAGAGTACTAAAAGCCAGAACTTACACAAGAGCCAAACTCAAAGGAGCCACACACAGCAACAAAAGTGCTGAAGAGAACCATCAAGTAAGATTCATTAATCTCACTCTTTTCACCATCATGATCAGCCACTTTCTTCAACAATGGATTCTTTAGATCCTCCACCTTATTTACTATTTCACGGTTTTCACCCCTCTCCACATCTTTGATTTCCTGAATTGTCATTCTCTCTCTCTCTCTCTCTAACTCTAACTCTAACTTTTTGAGAGAAAAGGAAAAAATCCAGGAAACAGAGAGAGAGAGAGAGGGGTGAAGAGTTGGCTTTGTGAATTGGGGTATATATAGGTAATAGAAGTAAGTAAAGTCTCGACATGAGACGAAGATATTTAAGATATTTGTCCTTTGACGGCAAAATAAATTAACAATAAATATATTATCTGCGAATTAATGATTGAGATTGGTACTGACAAAAATAGTTCTCATGTGGGATGAAGCTGTCACTGACATGGCTCTGAATGATGTTACCTTAATCATCTCCCCATCCTTATCTTTTTTTTTTACTATTTAATTTTTTTTTTCTCTCACACTTACTAGTTAACTAAATATATATAAACTTTAAAGTAATGTAATGTCATATGTTATTACAATATTTTGCCTTTCTATATTCCGAAGATTCAATCTCTATTTCATACATCGAACAAACTATATAGAGTTGTTGTTTTCACGTGTTAAGTCATTCGTGATTATATTACATGAAAGTAAAACAATATCAACTTATATATTAAAACCAAATCTATACGGTAATATTAATGAAATGGAAAGATTGACTGTAAAAATATAATTGAATAGATCATAAAACAAATTAAAATATTACTCATGTCTATATATGACAAAAAACAATTTCTGATTGTAAACATTATCATTATTCATCAAAAATGTTTTTTAAATAATTTCGGATTTTGTGTTGATATCTTACCATGTGGGTCTCACTTTTTTTAAACTTCCCCTAGTGATAACGACCACGTATCAGCTTATATGTCTTCTTGTATAGTTGTATAGCTAGATATTTTGCTTTTTTCTTTTTTTTTTTATCTTAGCTTTGTTAGTGTTTTAGTGGTTAGCTTAAATGTAATTTTGTATACTGTATATAGATAATAACTATATAATGTTCTGTCTTTTCTTTAATGAGAAGTTGTTAAAAAAACAAAAAAAACTTATTGCCAGCTTTCAAACCTTCTCAATTGTTCTCAACAATGAAAAAAATTTCATCAAAATTGTCTTTCACAGATATTTGTTGAAGCGTTCTGTTCATACCGTAGGATGTCATTGATTTTTTCTAATCCGACGAATGACTTACTTCTAGATATATAATTTCGTCTTATGATACAAGACAAATCTCTAAAATTAATGAATACTGATTTTATTATAATAATAACATCATTAGTTGAAAGAACGGATATTTTGAGATACGTTTAAGGTACTTAAAAAAAAAGTTTAAAACTCTTAATCTTTATATTGGTCACACAACTGGCAAGATTCAAAAAAAAATTTTCGCTGTCTGTGAAATGTTTCCTCTTTTTAAAGTTTTTTTGTTTCTTTCACAAAACAAATTAATTACAGTAGTTTTTATCTTTCTCTCTTACCCTATGTCGCTGCTCTATTCTTATTTATTTATTTTTTATTGTGCGGTAACAAACATCATTCATCCTCCAAGCCGTATATAGTTGGTCACTGTATCTATGTGTCTTATGCTACCCCTTCCGGTATGTACAGTAAGAAGTAAAGTTGAACATGATCTTTATATGTTGGATGAAAATAAGATACAGTTTGGATTGTATACAACTAGCTACTTGTGAATAGTGTTCAATGAAAAATGTCGAGAAAACCGGACATTGTTCTATGCAAAACTGAAATGAATTTTCAAAATGATCTCATCGTTGTTGAACAAACACCATAATAAAAACAAATACTGACATAGTTATTAACTGCGAAGGTGAAATGAGCATTTCCGCTGAGATTCTATAAACGTCCAAGAGTAATTAAATATTTAATAATTTTCTTCCGTTAAAGAGAAACTGAGAAAGGCTTCCTATAAATGTGAAGCAAACTTCTCGAGGCAAAATAGATTAGTATATATGTTCAAACACGTTAAAGCTAGCGTTTTGATACGTATGGAGAAAGGTTTATCAAACTCTTAGCCAATTAAACAAATTAATAAAATAATAGAATGTTGTCGTTTACCAAAATATGACTCAGAACTGACGCATCAATTTCCATTTGTGTGCCTCTTGATTGTTTCCAAATCTCATTTCCTTTGTCTTTTTCTACCCATTTGCGTTCTACGATGCTGTACTGTATTGCTGTTAATCTCAGCGCCGATCTCTTAATCCAAGTTGCGTTTTAAAACTATTTAAAAAAATCTGAACGATATTTCCAAAACAGAAATTATTAAATTTATTATATAAAAACTCTATTAAATAGTTTAATATTAACATCGTAAGTAACGTTGTCAATAAAATTTTCTTAATTATAACAACTCAAACTAATATTAAAGAGATAAATAGTTTTTTATTCAAATCATAATTACCAATAGGCTCCTGTTTTTCCTACATAAATACAGTAGTTTACTAGTATTTCGTTTTAATTATGGATTGAGTAAGTTAGAGACTGTAACGGGTTAGTCTACTGTATTGTCGTAAATGACAACATTCAAAAAGTCAAAGTCAAAACTTGATCTGAGTTACTAAATACTAGAATTTAGAAGGATCTTAAGAGTCGAACCATAGCTTGACGCAGAATAAATAGGAAACATTGGATCATCAAACTACGATTAGTGTTTCAAGGTTTCTCCAATATATAATTTCTTAGACCAAAAAAAAAGGTTACAGTGAGCGAAAAGCAAGCCCTAATATATATGTATAAACACTATTCGATGAGGATGATCAATCACTGGTCAGACCATTTCCTATTATTACAGTTGCAGCATCACCAGTCTTTAAGAAATTAGAAGAGCACAGAAAAAACAACTAAGAATTCATTCATATGATCAGTAACCATCTGTCTGTCTCTCTGAGAAGCTGTAGCTGAGTTAAAACGAGTCTCTCTGCCATTGAACTTTTTATTCAAACGTTGTGTGCCAATCTAGTTCGGATTGCCACTGCCAGCTGTGTAACCTTATTTGGATGGTAGAGAACCGCACAGACCGCAAAACAGACCACGAATGTAGCGATTAAGAAAACAGTTTGATGGGACCTGAATGTTTTGGCTTTGTGTATTGGTATACAAGACTTCCTTGGCCAGACTCCCATGTCATTTACGTCCATGACAACCTCTTTGTTTATAAGAGGATCAGTCTCTTTTCCGCCAGTATCTGGTGAAGCCGCCTGTAACCTCTCCTTACAATCTAATCCTGCTTCTGGATCCTGTAAGCGTAATAAATGGCTATTGTTAATAAATAAAAGTATGCAAAAACCAATAAACAGGTGCGAGATTGTGCGCAGAATCCATTAATATCGTCATAATGTGCCAAAGATATCATGAAACACAAAATTAACTATCAGCAGCAGGGCAAGAAACCAAATGTGCAAGAGAAGCAGGAATTGTGTACAGGGTCCAGTTTAGATCAAATACGGGGAAACAGATATTAGTGAAAAAACCTGATTGTAGTTAAACATTCTTGATGGTATGTCCTTCTGGAAACTGCTCTCACAACAGCACCCTGATATTCCTGGTTTCAACTTTGAATCTTCATAGCTTTGCTGCTTTCTGGCTACATTCATATTTTCATGTAGAAGCCTCACGTCGCAGTCACAGGTACAGTGAACAAGACTGTCTGGATCCATCTTCTTCACCAACTTTTCCAGATTGTGCAGTACATTTCCTAAGATTGAGGCCGAGTTACTCTGTATCAGATAGTTCAAAACTCTGTTGTATCTTTTTATCTGACATCTGTTCACGGTTTGCTCAGTGCATTCTGAAGAGGGCATCTTCACTGACCATGCAATATCCAACAAGAGACCTGTAAAGGTGCTCTGTCTCTCTTCGAAATCCCTGCAACAGCAAGTCAAAGAACAGCATGCGGTAACTCCTTGTCCCTCTGGAAAGAGTGTAGCGTTGAACTTCTGCTCTATTAATTTCATTTCGGAACAAATAGCTTTATCTCCAATTATTAGAGGTATGAAATTTGATAGTCCAGATTCATTCTCAACCTAGAAAAGGATCAGAGGAGGACCATATTATTTGCAGAAAAGGAGCTAGTTATAAAAATGTATATCCTCAAAAAGAGGGTACCTCGACAAATGCAGGGCCAAAGAGATTAGGGTCAGAATTCACAATATTGATCTTGTAGAACTTGTTATCACAAGAACGCTTCCCATCTTGGCCCGGTGCAGGTAGAACAGAATAGTTATGTGGTAAGTACTTCCCAGAAAAAGACACAAGAAACCTGTAATGAAACCATTATCTGTAAGCCCCATGTTATTTTTTCCTATTCAGAACTTCTTAGTGGTCACAATTCAAAAACCAAACCAACACATGGTGAGTAGTAATCTAAATGCAACATTTTGAAGTGTCTTGCAATATCAACTTCATCCTAGACAGAACTAAAAATGAGAAGAAGCTCCAAGCATATATATGAAAATAAGGGTTGACATCCATACCGGCATTTGGGTTGCAGAAGGTTATGTCCACATACAACGAGTTCAATTGGTTTTCCAGCTTCAAAACATGTAGGATACACAAACTGAAGTTTTGGTGATTCTAATTTTACATCGACTCTCTTTAAAGTTGTCCCGCCTGTCAAAAACAAAACAAAGTAGAAAGAACTTACATCAGAATCGTCTAAACTCACATGATTATGATTATCCAGAATGATAGGGAGAAAAGAAAAATAGAGAAAAGTAAAGCACATCAACTTGCCTTTCATAAGACGGAAAATCATGTTGTTCAAATAGACAGTCATCGAGCCTCTTCCAAATAGCATTTTTCCAGGTTTAAGAATAAATTCATCCAGATATGCCACAGGATCTTTAGACAACTGCATAAAGGAACAAATAAAAAAAGTTAATTACACTGCATATTCAAAGAGAGAGCTCACAGGGAGAGATATTAAGTTTGTATTTTCTCCCTCCAGGACACAATATTCCAAACGGTGCTAAATTCGCAGAAACAAATGAACTCTAGGACACACAAAAACGTAAGAGATGTATATAAGATACTTAAGAGGTAAAAGGTAATTAGAGCAAATCTCGAGATTAGACACTCTACTGAAAAGAAACAATTCTGATGAGTCACAGATAAAGAATGTACCTTAGCCCACATAATCTCTGGCATTGCTATAAATACAGTCAAAATTGTACATCCTGGACGGATGTAGCCTTCCAGCTCAACAGGCATGGTGGCCAACCATTGGAATATCTGCAAATTCAATTAAACACGAACAAATTAGTTCTTTCAGACTCTGGAAAGGGTAAACATAGTCTCTGAATACTAAACTGTAATATATAATTCTTGAGAATACTTGATGCCGTAGTCTCCGTGGGAACTCCGCTGGATTCCAATCGTAGAGCTTGAAGGAGATCCGACCAGTAGGGCACTACAATGAAATGAATGAAAAATTAGTTTACAAATCACACAAAAGCTTTTGATGTAAGAGTGGCTGAAGAGAAACTCACCACAGTTGAGTAAGCACTTTTGTTTTCACCACAGGAAGGTGAAAGTTCAAACTTTGTGTCATTGATTCCTTCTTCTGGTTGAGCTTCACCCGAGCCTGTAACAGAGACAAAGTTGTCTGCGTTGATGCTATGGGTAAAGGGTACAGACCCCTGAGCGGGAATATGCCGATCTTCAAAATTCATTGAAGCCTCTTGTTCTGCTCTCTGGTCACTAGAGTATGTATTATCTGCTTCGAAATTAAATATGGAATAGCGGAATCAGCTTGAATTTCCCATAGGAACCCAAACATTGGTCACTAGAAGAACATGCAAATTAAACAACTAAGACAGGAAACCACATGGTGATATGAGTTGTGCCTGTTCACTTATACCTTTTGCATCATCAACATCAATTACGCTGTTATCATTCTGTGATGACACTTGTTGTTGTTTTGGAGCAACGCCCCCTTTATCTACAGGTTTCCTTTTCCGTCTGTTATTGTGACGCTCTAGCTTTCTCCGACAGCTACGTTTCCCCTCGTCAAAGTCCGAGAGTACGTGGAACCTGCCATATAGTTTACTCATTGTAAGGATGGAAACAGCAGCGATAGGACAAACAAAAAGCATAAAGTTCCCGGTAATAATACTGACTGGTCGACAATTAATAAAGGGGAAATCGGTTCAGCTCAGCCTATGACGAACAAAGAGAGTTGGTTAATGATTTATGTGAAAATCTGTGGAATCATTCAAACAGATCCTAATCCTATCAATCAGACAGCAAAAATCAATCCAGATCTTGCTGATTCCGTATTGCAAATCAACTCTCGGGAACAAAACAATCCTGAACAACTACAATTCAATACAGAAGATAGTATTCATTAAGCGACGGCAAAAACGCATCATACGAATTTGTGGATGAACTTAGTCAACCACGAGATGGATAAGAGATTAACTAAGACAGTTCTCGCTGGATTCAGCTATCAAATCCAGTTCCAAAGTCCGTGAACAAATCTCAAAGCTAAGATTGCAAAACTGAAAAACGAGAAGAAAAGAAAAAAACATACTTTCCACACTGTTGACAGTATCTCTTATTCTCTCCGTCAAGCACAACGGAGCTGGCGTTGGCACACCGGAGGCAAACCCTATGCCTCTTATGGTACCCTTTGAGCTCGCTTATGTCCGCTTCACAACCCGGAACCTGACATCGAGCCACGCCCGACCCGCCTCGAACCCGCTTCTTCTTCGGCAGCTCAGCCTCCTCCAGTTTCTGATCGAGCTCCGGACACGAGCACGGAAGCATACCTTCGAGGAAATTGGAACAAATCAACCTCGGGTCCCGCTTCCTAACCCGATCGGAGCCTGAGCCCGATTCATCCGGAGACGGATACGATTCAGATTCCACCGGGGGTTGCGTCGCAATCATCGGCGGCGGAGGAGGAGGAGGAGGAGGAGGAACGGGAGAGAAAGGGGTTTCGGAGTCAAAAGAGACGAGAAGTCGGTCGTCTGCGGTGAAGTCAAGGAGATCTCCCCAATCCCACATAGCGGAGGAATAGGTGGAAGGATCATCGTTCACCAATGTCGGAGGTTGAATTTCCATCTCCGGCGCCGATGGCGATTGCGACATAGAAGACATCTGAAGCGTCTTCAATCATAAATTCAGAGAATTGTTAAAGGACCCATCGGTTGTTAAGGAAGTTGGTGATTTTGGTTGGAGGTTTTAGGTAATTTTACAGAGAAAGTCATCAAATTCTGGGAAAAAGCATTTACAAAAATTTGCAAAGCTGAGTTCTTTTTTTCTCATTTTATTTTTATGCATAAAATATTACTCCATAAAATATAATAAAATAAAATAAAATTAATGATCTACAATAGTCTACTCAATGAACAATTAACTCGTTGAACTAATAAACACAATCATGATTATTAGTTAATCGTGCTAGAAATAGTTTATTCACGTATTCTTTGTCACAAAAGACATGATTGTAATAAAACTTTTGACCTAAAAAAATTAAAGCCATTGTATTATGTGATTGCCTAATTGGAGTCCAATTTCGGGTCACATGTTTAGAATACATAGTTTCATAGAAAAATTGCTCTTTATTAAAAAAACCACATTTCCTCAGTTAGGAAAATCTGTGATCGTTAAGCGGTTAGTTAAAAAAAAAAAATCATTTAATAGGCTGATTTCAATGCTAGTACTTTATAAAAATAGCTCACATATGGTATAGAAAACATTGAGGTCAACTAATAAACAATATCGCTTTCACATATAACACCGTTTTTTTTTTGTTATACACATATAACACCGATAATACATGTAAACTTTTTAATACAAAATCATTCTGGTGTCTCAAAAAGAAAATGAATAATTAACCATGGCATATAATTTAGTGGTTTGTATTGAATCTATTGGTGATTTAAGTGATGTTGTTGAATACTGAAAAGGAAAACAGATTTTAGAACGTAAAAAAAGTTTAAGAGAGGTAAAAAAAGTAAACTACTGATTAAAATTGATGGGAGAGAGATTATTTGGGCCGCCGGTTAAAACCTGATCGAGGTGAAGCCGTGAAGGGGAAGGAAGGAGCGTGCGTCTGGTCTGGGCCAGGTATGAGTGTCGGGGCGTGACAAGCACGCGCTACATGGTTGAAACTAAAAGAAAAGAGAGTCGCGTGCAAGCTACGCGAGTTTGAGGAAACCAAAGGTTCATCAATCGTTATCGAAAACGACGTCGGATCAGTGTTACTTGGGACGTGAGCTACCCAAAGTGTTGCATCTCTCTTTTTCTTTTTCTTTCTTCTCCAATAATAACGGTAGAACTCTGTCTTCAGCTTCCAAGTCAAATACCACTGGAATATAGACACGCGTCTAATCTTCCATGTGATAAATATATCCTTTTTGTACTATATACTACCAATAATATTATTCATGGTTAATGATTGGGAGAGAGAAAGTATATGTTTTGATATTAGCCCACTTCTAGGATGGGCCAGTCCGGGCCACAGAATAACTGATGACCCACCAAGACAAAGTTGAAAGTTGAAAACGGGAAAACAAAAGGGTTAGGTGAGATTGAGCTAAGTCCAATGGCGCCTATTGGAGTAGTCGATTTAGTAGAATATGGAATACCATTGGACTTAATACTTACAGTACTTACATAACTTATTGTAATACGTACTCCAAAAGTGCAAATACGTCTCCAAGGCTAAAAGGTTCGATGATGAGAATGGAGGGAATAATTCATAGAAGACATGTACATGAAAGCTATCTGTATATTGCGACCAAAAACAGAGAAAAAGCTATTTGTATATTATAACAATCAGGGTTTACAACATAGAAATCTTGCATTACAAGGCACGTCCCTTCTTGCTAATGTCGGATAACTTGAGGCTAAAAAAGCAAGCTTGGCTTCCACAATAAGCAACAATGGTTTCAATGGTTTCACTTTGTGCTTGTTACCTTTGGTGGTTGGTTATGTGGTGGGTATGCCAGGAACTTGAGGAACGGCTGGTTTAGGCTGCTTGATCTTCTCCACCAGCACTGCTTGAGTCGTGAGAACAATGCCGGCAACAGAAACCGCGTTTTGCAGGGCGAATCTTGAAACCCGACAAGGATCTGCGATTCCAGAGTTTAGAAGATCCTCAAATCTTCCAGACATTGCGTTGTAACCGCTTCTCCATTCGAGTTCTCTGGTTTTCTCCACCACACCTGATCCATCAACCCCGGCATTGGTTGCTATGGCCATTGCAGGTGCCGTGAGCGCCTGACAACAAATAAGTGATTTTAACTTTTTGAATGTTTTTTCACGAAAACCAGAATGGTTTAAGAAAAAAACAGGTTTCATCATGTCATTATGTTTTCATACCGTAGCTACAATATCTGCACCTATTTGTTCGTACGAATCTTTCATTAGATTCTTCTTGATTCTCGCGATCTCATCTACAAGATGGATATACGCCGCACCACCACCTGGTACTATACCTTCTCTCATGGCTGCAAACGTTGCGTTCTTTGCGTCTTCTATTCTAAGTTTTCTGTCCTCAAGTTCTGTTTCTGTGTGACCTCCCACCTGAAGTGACACCGGGTTAAACTGATGCTTTCAAGATGACTCAAAAGAGAAATATCAATAACCGAGACAGTTTTTTTTTAGTCTAAGAAAGGGTAGACATTAAGTTCCGCAGAAAGCACAAGTTGTTGGAGCATTTTACAATCAAAGAAGGGTTATTGTAAAATCAGACCTTAATTACAGCCACGCCTCCTGTGAGCTTAGCAATTCTCTCTGAGATTTTTCTTGAAAGATATGAATTATCTGTCTCAGCTAGATCCTTCTTCATCTGAGCAATTCTTGCCTGAATCTCCGGTTTAGTTGAAGCGTCTGCAACTATAGTTGTTGAATTAGCTGTAATTATTACTTTCCGAGCAACACCAAGCTGGTCTGAAGTTGCGCCCATAAGTGTCATGCCTAAATCTCCGGAAAGATAATCAGCTCCTGTTTTATATCATTTGTGATGTTAGCAACCTGAAAACTGTCGGTCAAAATCTATATAAATGGTTGAGAAAAACCTGTCATGAGTGCAATGTCTTGTAGCAAAGCCTTTTTTCCATCCAGCATTCCAGGACATTTTACAACAGCAACATTGATCAAACCTTGCTTCTTGTTCACCACCAGTATCTCAAGCACTTCCGCCGATATGTCCTCCGCTATTATTAGGAGCGGAACACTCAGCTGTGAAGTTTTCTCCAGTAAAGGAACTAATTCTTTGGCTGCAGTGATTTTCTGATCCGTCACAAGGATTTTAGCCTTTTCGAATTCCACTATAGACTTCTCCTGGTTTGTGATGAAATGAGGCGACATAAAGCCCTTGTCAAACTGTACAAAACAAATATTCCTCATGAATCGCAGAAACCCTATGGTTTGATAATCTAAAAGATGATATGGGGAAAACTGCTATTGTGAAGCTCCAGCTAAAGCTTGACACTAACCTTCATACCTTCCTCAATTACAACAGATGTTTCTGATGAGGAAGATGATTCAATGGATATGACGCCATCGGGGCCAATCTTTTCCACGGTTTCAGCAATCAAGTTCCCCACAAATTCATCGTTGCCAGCAGAGATTGAAGCCACGGCTACAGACCACAAGAATCCCTTTTTGAATTATTTCAAACTAAGACAGGAGGTGGATCAAAACTTAGCTATGGTAATAAGTAGAAAGTAACCTTTCACATCATTCTTCCCTTTGACAGGAATACTTCTTGTTTGCAACACCCGAACCAACTCTTTAACAGTCTTGTTCATTCCATTCTTCACGGAAACAGCATTAGCTCCAAAAGCAATTGCCAAAGAACCAGCTTTGATCATTTCTCTAGCCAAGATGATCGCAGTCGTTGTCCCATCACCCGCTGAGTCATTCATTTTTATCGCAACCTATACAAAACATGGAACTTGCAAGTTTCAGGTTACGAATGTATACAAAATCAAACAATGAAATAACGAGGAGAAGGGAATCAATTTAGCCACCATGAATGAATAACCTCTTGGATTAGTGTTGCTCCAGCATTCTCGATGGTGTCAGGGAGCTCGATGGATTTAGCAATGGTGACACCATCGTTAATCACTTTGATTGTATCTGATTCAGCCAGCACTACATTACGACCTGCATCGTTTCCACATTCAAACAAAAATCAATTCAAAAATTGGTTCTTTATCACTTTAAGAGATCCCTAAGAGAGGTTGGTTTGCTCAAATTCACCTCAAAAACTAGTCAATCTCACGCGATTTCATATAAATAACAAGGAGAATTTTTAAAAATCCGAACTTTCGAAATTCGGCAACATTCATATCACCTCTAGGGCCCAAGGTGCCGGAAACAGCATCAGCTAACTTATCAATACCAGCCTGTAGTGCCTCTCTGCTATCTTTTCCGTAGAGTATCCTCTTCGCTCCTGCCCTCACCACCAAGAATTTCCTCGGTGGCTGAGGTTTCTTACGCTGGCCACTACGGCTCTACAAGAGCGAGAGAACATTTTGGGGTCAAAACAAGAAGATAATCTCGGGAAAGAAATGGGTCGACAGGAAGAAGAACCGAAACTCACCGGAGAAAAAGTTGCCGAAGACAAGGACGACGGTGAAACGGCGAACATTTCGTGTCTTCCGGGGTTTTGGAAAAGAAGCGAGGGAGGTTTTTCCTTGAGGTTTTAATTGATGTTTGTGTAGAGTGAGCGAGTTATACCAAACTGTTTTTTGATTTAGACAGATTTGCTCAAAGTTACTCGGACAATAAAAAAAACATCGAAGAGAAGGCGAGAGACTTCTTCAGCGTTTTCTTCATCTTTGGGACTTTTTGATCCAAACATTTAAAAGAAATTAAAGCCCATAAAATATTTTGAATTTGTCGGCCCATAAAAAGTAGCAGCTTCTGGCAAATGTTGTTCTTTTGAAACTCTCTTGAGAGTCGTCCATTTCTTCCTCTCTCCCTCCAAATTTTCACCCCTACACAGTTAGGGCTTTGCGATTCAATTTCTGGGTGGATATTGCTGCGAAGAAGACCAAGGTTAGTGTGTGAAATCTCGATGGCGAGAGCGAGGAGTCGGAGCAGAAGCTATAGTCCCCGTCCTCGAGGCAAGTCGCCACCGCGCGAGCGGAAAAGCTACGACGATTATCGCCACCGTGAACGCCCGTCTTCTCGCGATCACGAATCCTCTGATCCTTCTGGTTTGCTCATCCGTAATCTCCCTCTCGATGCTAGGTCTCTCTCTAAAATATATATATATATATATATATACACTGTATTTATATTCCTAAATTTCTGTTCGTAAATTCGAGATGTGTGGATTTTCAACGAGTTGTTAATCTTAAGATTTTTTCTCGAAGCAATTAAATTTTCTTTGTGGAGCAATCTGTTAAACGACCCCTTATGGTTCTTACCGTTTGCTCGTTTTGTTTTCAGGCCAAATGATCTGAGGGATTCGTTTGAGCGGTTTGGTCCACTCAGAGACATATATCTGCCGAGGAATTATTATACTGGGTATGCGTGAAGCTTTGTCTCTTGCAATCAGATGCATTATAGTTATTTCCTATATGACCTTTAGCTTTACTGGTAATTTCTCCCAACAATATGGTCTTTGTGTTTGCAAATGCTCATGAAATGGCTATATAGAGCTAGTTTTTATTGGGAAATTTTTGTGTTTTCTCAAGTATGTGTTGTTTTGACCAGGTAACTTTAACTTTGATTTGATGATGTTTTTGTGGTTTAGGGAGCCGAGAGGGTTTGGATTTGTTAAGTACCGTTATGCTGAAGATGCAGCTAAGGCGATGAAGCGAATGAATCACAAAGTTATTGGTGGGCGTGAGATAGCCATTGTTTTTGCTGAGGAGAACCGGAAAACTCCACGAGAAATGCGTACAAGGTGAAGAATCCGTTTTCTTGCATCTGTATCAATCTTATCCTGTAATTATATGTGTAAATGCGTCGTTAGTGATTTTCCTCAGTTATCCCAAACTCCATTTTGGTTTAATATAGTGGTCGATATGAGGAATACAAGAGGACTTCACGCAGATCACCAAGGCACAGATACCGTTGTAAGTACTTCTTGATACATGTCTTGACTACTAATGTGTATGGTTCAGTACTTCAGTGTAGAACAATTCCTATGTTTCTTGTGATGCTTACTAACCGAGTCCTTTCTTGCTCATCAGCTCATTCACGGTCGCTTTCTCCTGCAAGGCGAGAACCAAGGTTTGGATCTTAACCATTAGATATTTGCTATTGTATATATACTCACTTCAATTAGACTATTTGTTTTATTGGCACTTGCTAGTGTGAAGCAAATAAACATTGTTTGGTAGTCACTAAGATTTGGCCGTACAACGAGAAACACAAATTGGAGAACCTTTAAGTTTCTTTTGGTGTTGCTTCCCCCCTGAAACCTAAACGCTGATAGTAATTTCACCAGCTTTTTTTAACTAGAGCTTGAATACCGCTTGGTCATCTGGTTATCTGTACTTTGCGAGAGCGTTTTTGGGTTCTATCTGTACTGAATCGAGTTTGACTTGTCTTTTTGTGTATATTTCATTCTGTCGTCCACTTGATGAATGAATGAAAAAGCGTATAGTTAGCCAAATAAAGAATGATGTCTGGAGAGATGGAGCCATTCAAAATTGTGGCCAGTAGAGAAATCCAACAAGATTAAAGATAGGTTTTGTTTCATAAAGTCGGAGGAAAGAAAGGTTTTGGAGCTCTTTTGTTCCATAAAAGATGGTGAAAAGAGATCTTCCATCAGAAATGTGCATTCTAGATCCTAGAACAGTGTCGGAGTAGGAATTACAAGTAATCGATGTTACTTTCCGGGAACGGAAAGAAGGTCCAGGTAAACCAAAGGAACAGTTTCTAATCAGTTAAAGAAGTGGAAGAGTCAGAATAAGTCACAAAAGCCATCTGAAGAACATTCGTAATATATTTGCATTCTATATTCTATGCTTAAGAAAAGGTTAGTTGTTTTAGTAGTATGTAAGAGTTTAATTTCCCTTCTTTTTTGTCACTGGCACAGGCACAGTAAAGCAAGAGAGGATGATTCGTACTCTCCTCGAAGGTCAAGATCTATTTCCCGTTCCCCTCTACTCCGAAATGAGAGGCAACGCAAATCGCACAATGTGTCTCAAAGCCCAAGAAGAAACTGTAGAAGTCCCCGAGAGGAGAGGGTGCTTACGAGGTCTCGAAGTCTGTCAAGGTCACGTTCTCGGTCCATGAGGTAAAGAAATAGCTGCATTGTTATTGTATTTGCCTCAAATAAAAATTCTCTAATCAGTCTGGCGTGTGTAAAAATTCTCTATGGTGTTTCCTTGCAGTCGTTGATCTTTTTCAAGTGGAGTGGGACATAAGATCTGGAGTTTTACGATGGATGTGTGTTCACTACCTTTCTTTTTGTTTGTTTGTTTTTTTCATACCCAACTTCATAAGTGTCATTTCCCCTTCTTTTTTTGATAGTGTACTTAAATATTTCTCGGAAGAAAGTCTATTTAAATTAAAATGTGCCTTTTTGTCTTGGTAATTTCACAGACAAGTATCTACAAGTCTAACCAGAGCAACAGATTCCAACCGTTCGATAAGTTTGGATAAAATTGATTGAAGAATCTTATAAACACTGAGTTAGTGTCAACTGTCGAGTATGGTAGAAGATAAGCAGATAAAATGTGCTGATTAAAGTATCATCGAACAACAAAAAACTGAGTCATTTGGTTGTCTTTGAGAACCCACTACGAAAGCATTTGAGAGGAAAAAATTGGGATGACAACAAAAGAAGAGAGAGAGAGTAAAGCTCATTCAAAAATGAACAATTTGCTTTATTAGGAGATACAAATTAAAACATGACAATTACTTGTGATTCTCATTTCAGGGGACACACTTTCTCGAAGGCTTCTTGCTCTTTCCTACACAGATCAAACTCGTTCGTGTAGTAATACATGCACCCAACATAATCATCCATCTCCTTTTGGCATTTCTGGTGAAGATCCTTCAGCCTGCAACATTCATCAATCCATCAACAACACTAGCAGTGCTTTAGAAGATGTACCATATAATGTCAGCAAGTTAACTCAACATCATCAATCTACTGTATACGTGATCCAGATTGATGCCGATTACTATGATTGATGGGTTCAAAGTCTTTTTGGTTTCATATTACTAAAGCATTGTATCATTGTATAAGAAGAGTAAACAACTAGTAAACATCAAAACTAAATCTTAGACCAAAACTCCAAGGGAAGCAAATAGCTTCTTAATGGCCTTTGAGTTAAGGAAAAAACTAAAGTTGTGAACATGTGAGAACGATTATATACTAGACAACCCAAATCCTACAAACATTGTACAGTACTTTGTCAAGTGAAACAGATGGTTACTCCATTACTTTGTGGTGCCACTTTCAAGGATAACATGATGCAGCAAATGCACGCCACAGATTAGCTCATTTGGACTCCAAACCAAATACAAACATTTCCTAATTGATTTTATCGTGTTTAAAACCACCTAAGCTTGTTGGAAAGACATTCCACGAAACTGTCAAAGCAATGTTCAATTAGTGAAGTACAGTTTTGCACAAAGAGAAAGAAGTAATCAATCCTCTACAGTTCCTAATTGTCTTAGTTACACTGTATGATTAGAACCCTAAATCAGCAATCTGATATTCCATGTCTTCGTCAAAATTAAACACAAGGCATCATAAACACAATCATCCAAAGAAAGCCAAAAGTAATAAACAACTTGCGAAGAGATAGAACCAACAAAAATTGAGCTGAGAAACGTACAAGCCAAGCACGCAGCGAGTGACGTCGCGACCCTTCTCGAGGCATTTCTCGGGGTTGGGATCATTCTTCTTGCATTTGAGGAACGCGACGTTCTCCGGCATACATCTTAAACCTATATGCTTCGCCGACGCCGTCAACACCGCAGAAGTAGGGATCGGGTTACCCGTCGCGTCCACCGCACTCGACATATCTCAGAAATTCGAAATAGTCCTTAGCTGAATCCAAAATGGAGAAGATCAAATTAATCTAATCTAATCGCAATCCCCAAAAGAGAAAACAGAAAGAGTAAAATCAAATTCCTCGAATCCACACTACAAGCTAACTGGTTGATGATGAACGAAGGAGCAGACAACGACCAGCTTCATACCTTTTCAACGGATCGATTTGGATCTTCTTCTCCACTGAGTTACAAACGGAACAGGAAAGAGAGAGAGAGAGGGGGGAGATAGAGAGAACAGAAACCAGGTGAGTAGCTCAGAGAGAAATGGGTCGTATTGGGCCTATCAGATCGATAGAAATGGGCCACATTGGGCCGAATGAAAATAATTTGATGTCAGAGATTTTTGTTTTCTACTCTCAGTGTTTCTTTCTTCATCTTCTCACTCCCGATTTCTCCTCTCCGCCGTCTCGTAGCCTTTTGCTACATCGGTAATTTTCTGTCCCCTTAGCTCTGTGTTAAATTATCTGTGATTTATTTTGTTCGTTTGAAAGTTACAGAAACTTCTTCGGTGAATTTTAATGTTTCATTTTGTGATTTCGCGCTAGCTTTTTTTTTCTCTTAGTTTCTTGCCCATTTCGATGGATTGAATGATCTATGGATTTTATGTTTTAAAAACGAATGTTTTCGCATCGTTTTTTTCACCGGGATGTTATTCGATGTTATTGGAGGCAAACCATGGTAATCTTCCCAGTGCTTAAATGAAACGAGAATGATCCTTCCCAATTTTATTGATCTGCTTTGAAAATCATTTTGTTTTTTTTTTTTTAAAAGGTAGATTTGAGGAAAGTTTCGTGATTGCTCTTTGCTCTGTAGCTTTATTTAGGTCGCATAATTGCAAATATTGAAGTTGAGATTTGATCTGTCTCTGGTATAGCTGTGTTGAAGTGAGAAAATGGGGGACAAGAGGAAGAAGACGTTCATGTTCATCCGTCTTGTCTCAGCAGCTGGAACTGGATTCTTCTATGTGAAGAGGAAGAGTAGCAAGGGTCTTCTAGAGAAGCTTGAGTTCCGCAAGTACGATCCTCGAGTCAACCGCCATGTCCTCTTCACAGAGCAGAAGATGAAGTGATTTAAAGCTTTATTTTTTTATTTTTCTGTGTTTCATTTACATTCGAAGAACCCATAACAAATCTCTGCAAGTAGTTGTTTTATCAGTCAAAGAACTTGACAAGTTAAGCTGGGGTTTTAGACTTTGTAAGTGTCAGTTTAAGGATTCTTCCGACCTTGAAACGCAAAAAGAAAGTGGATCTTTTTAACGGTTTATGTATAAGACCTCAGATCCTAGTTTTCATTCTCAAGCAATACACTATACATTAACTACTCATGGTGTATAAAATGCATACGATTTTAACATAATCCAGGTTCAACTAATGCACTAACATCTTGATGTCAAAGAATGACAAACTGACAAAAACTAGAGCGTCTTGGAGATTCAAAGAGTTGTTTCAAGAGACCGGGACTGTGCTTTTTCCGACAAGACTGATTCAAACGCAGAACAAGCTTCTTGAGTGTTGTTGAGTTCTCTAGAAATTATCTAACCAGGTCCAGCTCCGTTGCTTTATCCGTGATCGGGCTTGTAATATCAACAGATTCAAGGGACGATATCAAAGAGCGAGGCAGCAACGTCAAAAGTCCACTTTCCCCCTGTGTCACCAGAGAATCATGAACCAATTCCTGCAAATCCCAAACCGAGACGACACAGAAACAAAGATGAGTGGTTAGAAAGTAAGAATCTATGTTAAAAAAAAGAAACATACAAGTTGTAGGCAAAATCATTACCAAGCTGAGTTGTTTCAGATTCGGGCATGTCTCAAGAATGACTGGTAACATCTCTGGAGAGGAGTTTGAGAACATAGTAACACGCAAACGAGCCAAGCCATGAAATTTGAATCGTGGGTTCATTTCCAGGTAAGAATAGATGAACTGCCATATTAAGTAACTTAACATAAAGAAAATTAGTAAAAATTCTAATTATGGCAAAGTTTATATACAGTACCTCAAGAGTCTTCCTTGAGATGGTCAAATCTCTGACGTTTGAAACACGGGTTAGAAAATCACAAATATTATTTCTCTCCACCAGTGCACCAGCAACACCACCTACCGCTTCAAACACGACGTCAATATCAACCTTGACAGATTCACTCATAGTGACAATCTTGAAGCTTTTGTATTGGTAATCTTTGAGACTCAGATACTCGAGTCTCGGAGTATCGATCACAACTGTATGCCCACCATTCTCAACACAATCAGGATCCGTCCGTTCAAGAGTGAGGTTCCTCAGTGACTTAGAGCGGACGTGTAAAACTTGTACGGAATCGTATCTTCCCTGGCTCATTTTTAAAGCCTCGAGAACCGGAGAGCATGAGATTATTGTCTCTGCAGCGTCATCTCCGGGAAATACAACCTTTTCGAAGTGCAGAGTCTTGAGACGAGGTAAAGGGCAAGACTTGAAGTCGTTCAGAATCACGAAACTGAATTTCAAGCTAACCAATGTGTCACACATTAAAAAGATTGAAGGAGTTGTAGGAAGGATGCAAAATCCAAAGTGATTCTTGATTTCGAAATGTTGAATCTTGCACTTGACTACTCTCATTAGATATGCCTCGACTGTAGAATTTTCATAGTCATCGTGGTCAGCGTTTAGCTTGAATCCGCGCAAGTAGGAATCGCCTCGGAAATTCAGAAACTTATCGACGAAGCTCACACAGGTATTGTCCTCTGAGAAGTCAGATTTGTCCAAATCTAATCTAGGATCCCATCGCCAGAGATCTCTCCATCTTGAGGACAAAACACTTGTCTTAACAGAATCCTTAGTAGTAAGAAAGCAAAGTATGTGACTTAGCAAAGATTCAGGCAATATGCTAATCCTGTCTTCACCACTTGTGCCGATTCGTCCTTGCATACCTTTTTTGTTCAAGCCTTTCCGGTTTTCTAAAAAGACCTGAAAAATGACCAGATACGAATATCACAAATTGACAGATACACTAATTTCGAGCTCTGAAACTGTTCTGAATAATCATATGCTCGATCCTTGTCTCGATCGTTTAAACTAATAATTTGCAGTACATAAATGAAGCAAGGATGAAATTGAAAGACATACATGGTTAAGTGATGGCTGCAACTGAAGAACCCGACCGGAGAACAGAGTAAAGTAGAAAATTATGGAAAGTAACTAACTCACCGGAGATGAAAGCGATTAATTCCTTGTCATTTTTGACCTTATTTTTGTAATCGTCTGGATAGTCAAAGAATTAGTGGGTTTGTGATGCACTTTCTATAAGGAGATGTTTATGTATTACGGACGACAAAGATAATGACACTACTTACCCCACTAGTTATCAGTCCAATCAAAGTCCACACCAATAGCAACCTTTGAATAAGTTTTAACACTCAGATATTTCGGTCTTGCTGCTATTTTCCCAGTTCTTCAGCAAAATTCCAACTTTTTGGGTTAGTGGTACTGATATCTCATTTCTCGAAATGTTATTTCTTTTCGAAATTTTCCACAAAGAAAAAAAGATCAACCAAAAAAAGGAAAAAAGCATAAGCATAATTGCAACAATGGACTAATTAACACAGAGCAAAACAAAGGCGTAGGAAGGATACAAAATGACTAGGTCAGTTCAATTCAAGCAATGTATGTTTACACTTCTTTAATCCAGCTTTAGAACCTAGTGGGGTTTACATAAGTATAGAATTCAGGCCACGGATTCGGAGTTGGAACCACTGGAAGAACTTCAAACTGGCACAAACGAGAGCGTCTTGGAGATTTCATTAGTTTTTTCAAGACACGAGGCTCGTGTTTCTTTCCAGAAGTCTGATCCAAACGTAGAACAAGCTTCTTGAGTGTTGCCGAATTCTCCAGAAAGTATCTAGCCAGATTCAGTTCACTTGCTTCCTCCGTGACTGGGCTTTCCATTTCAACATATTCAAGTGACGATACCAAACAATGAGGCAGCACAGTCGAGAGTCTGGTTATTACTGTCACTGGATAATCTTTAACCAATTCCTGCAAACATATATAGAATCAAGAGATGAGCAGATAAAAAACCCTTTTTAGGTAAGAACTTGCAAATTTTAAGCTAATAATTACCAAGGTGAAGTGTTTCAGATTGGGGTAGCTCTCAAGAACGATTGGCAACAGTTTAAAAGAGGCGTTTATGCACATAGTAGCACGCAAACGGGTCAAGTAATGAAATTTGGGCAGCGGGTTCATGCCTTGGAAAATATAGATTACCTGTAAGCAAAGGGAAGAAAAACAGCACACGAAGTGAGTAAAACAATGATTTATGCTGCTACAGTTTAAAAGCTTGTCATCAGTATCATATACCTTAACAGTTTTCCATGAGATGGTCATATCTCCAACACCTGAAAAATTGTTAAAGAAATCATAGAAGAGATTTCTCTCCTGTAAGTAACCAAGGAATATCTCAAAGTCAGCATCCATATCAACCTTGACAGAGTCACTCATATTGATTATCTTGAAGATTTTGAATTGGTAATCCATGAGACTCAGATACTCGAGTTTCGGAGTATCAATCACAACTGACTGTCCATCCTTTACAGAATAAACAGGATCCGCTCGTTTTAAGGTGAAGCTCTTAAGTGTCTGTGAGCAGACGCGTCAAACAACTACAAAATCATCTTTACTAAGACATATTTTCAAATCTTCAAGAACCGGAGAACACGAGATTAGCGCCTCTGCAGCCGCATCGCTAGGAAAAATAACGTCTTCCAAGTACATGATCTTGAGACAGGGCAAGGAGAGAGACTCAGAATCATTCAGCCTGACGAAATGTAGCTTCAAGCATACCATTGCCTCACACACAGAAAGGGTTAAGGGTATCTCAATGTCATCAAAGCTGCTACGTTCTCCAAGCTTTTTCTCAACTTGGAAATGTTGAATCTTGCGCATATCCACTCTAGCGAGACACGGCCCATAAAGAGAAGCATTATCATTTTCACAGGATAGCTCTGATTGGTCAATGCTTAACTTGAATTCACGCAAGTAGGATTTGCTCTGGAAATTCAGAAACTTGTCGATGAAATCCACACAAGTTTTGTCATTTGTGAAATCAGAGCTGTCTAATTCTAATCTAGGAACCCATTTCCAGATGTATCTCCATCTAGAAGACAAAACACTTGTCCAAACAGCTTCCTCGGTCGTAAGAAAGCTAAGTATATGGCATAGCAACGGTTCTGGTAATATGCTTATCCGATCTTCCCCTTTGAAAATTCGGTCTTCCTCTCGAACTGAACGAGACGAGAGACCATGCCTGAATCAGAAATGTACAGAATCAGAAACCCTAAGCTTCGTTTCATATTTCTTATAAAAGCAATGTTAGGGTTCAGTGACGGAGCCTATGGCCGGAAAAATAAGATCAAATAGAAGAAACTTACCGCTTTTGGTACTTATGGTAGAGCTTCATCATCTTAGCTCTCCTGATCTTCGATTTATCGAGTAATCGTCTCTTGAGTCTTGAGCACGCGCTTCTTTTCTGTTTCTCAGCGAAAATAGAGTGCAGAGTATATAAATGGGCTATCCGGACTCCGACCGGGTCGGCCCAACTGATGCCACGGGTTGATACGATGATGTGGAGGATGCAGAATCAAGCAACTGTATCATTTACAAGGATTTCGAATCAAATTGGCGCCGCCGCTTGCGGAGGAAGAAGGGCCAGAACAGAGTTTCTCCGGTGTCGGCGGAGGAAGTGGAGGAAGCGAAGAAGCCGTGAAATTAAAAATTAATTCTTTTGCTTATTATGGTCCTCCTTTGGAATATTACAATTCAATATTTAATAAGTTGACTTGAAGAAGCCGTAAATGCATGCAGACACACACTTGTAAAGTCCTTTTCAGTCGTCGATTTAGCTAAATAATTAAGACACAAAAAAGCTACAATTTTTTTAATCCTTTTAGATTGCTTCTCTCGCTGGCTCAGAATATATGTCCACCGAATTTTATTTCGCATAAGAAATTTTCTTGAAATTTTGCTTCGGTTTTGATTAGTTCGATTACGATGCAAGAATCCGCGATACAACCGCCCAGAAATTGTGGTCTCGCTAAAGATTCTCCCTCTTCCTCTTCTTCTTCTTCATCCACTCCTCCTCCTGCTTGCTCTTCTTCTTCTTCTCAGGTATTCGAAATCTTATCTGGGTTTTAGGTTTTTCTTGCTGAACTGGTTTGGTGAGTTTCATTTTGTGATAAATCTAGGGTTTTTTCTGTTTAAATAAATCATTAGTGCTGATAAATGTTCCTCAGAGTCTGCTTCGTTGTAGAATTGTAGAAAGGTTGTGAATTAATCAGTCTGAGAATCTGATCATCAGGTTAAAGAAGACTCTATTGAAGAAGATGTCTCCGGATCTCAACAAAATGGAAGCCAATCAGATGTTTCGATCCAAATACCCCCAAAACCTATGCCGAGTTTAGGAATCTTGAGAAATCTAAGCCTGAAACGGAAAGCTTCTCTACCAAACTATGAGAGGAGATTGCTACTTAGTCCCAGCATTACAGAAACCACTGAATTGCCTAGCTCCACTACTTCGCCTTATTGGAAAAGATGTTTGTCACTTCCTTCCACAAATGCTGCTAAGCTGTCTCTGGTTACGTCTACACCGCCTGTTTCAGCTCTGGTGCACAGTGAACAACCTAGATCTAATGTGAGCTCTCGGTGTTTTTACAATCTAATGTGCAACAAAAGTTTTGAAATTTTCTTAAAGGAACTTCCTTTCGAGTATAAGATTGGAAATATGTTTTTGGGTGCAGAATGATGGTGTTGATCCTTCAGTTTCAAGATCTTTGTCCATGCCGGGGAGAAACAAAGTGATTGTACGATCTGTCTCTTTTAACAACAACAAAGATTACATCTCGAGCGAAGCAAGTGGTGGTATGTGACAAACTCCCCTGACATTTTTTAGCTCTTTTCTGTTTTGATATGGAGGAATAGATTGATCGACGAGAAGCATTATCAGTTCAAAGAAATGTGGTTTTTGATCAATGAAACGGCCAAGTTCACACTCATATGTTTCCATCTTTCTTGTGTTTTGATTAGCAGATCAAATCACTCCGGTTCCTGCAGAAGAAACAGAAGAAGAAATCCCTGAAGAAGAAGCGGTGTGCAGGATTTGTCTTGATGTATGCGAAGAAGGCAACACACTTAAAATGGAATGCAGTTGCAAAGGTGACCTCAGACTCGTTCATGAACACTGTGCCATTAAGTGGTTTAGTACAAAGGGAACGCGAATCTGCGATGTATGCAGACAAGAAGTCCGAAACTTGCCGGTAATTTTGCTTCGTGTCCCAACAATCAATCAACTTACCAATAGACGGGAACTCGCTCAGCAGAATCCACAGCCACAAACCATTAGGTAAATCAGAACTCTTTCAGAAATCATCATATCCTTTTCCAGAAATCTTTTCAAGAACAGTAACAATTGAAGATCGATTAAATGTTGCAGTGTTGGGCAAGAGTTTGTAGTGCTTGTACTCATCAGCACAGTCTGCTACTTCTTCTTCCTTGAACATTTGCTGGTAATGCTTGTTTTTTCCCCCGAGTTTTCGGTATTTCATTATAAAGATCTTATCTTTCATTACAAAGATAAGATAACATGACTGGGGTTCTTATATGTTCTGTAGATTCGTGACTTGAATTCCCAAGCTATCTTTGTCGCAGCGCCATTTTCATTCACCTTAGCTCTCTTAGCCTCAACTTTTGCTGTCGTGCTCGGTATAATACCGCTCCCCAAAGAAATTTCCAAAGTCCTATTTAATGACACAAATGTAAATTGTTAATTGTTAATATCCCAAACTTGCAGCTATCAGAGAATACATATGGACATACGCAGCTCTTGAGTTTGCACTAGTGGCCTTGCTTGTTCATCTGCTATATGTTACAGTAAGTAAATACTAAACCTTTATGTTTTAAGCTTTGAAATACTTAAAGCACCTAATCTCAGACAGACAATTGGAAAAAGTTCTCATGGAAAGATCTTTGTTTCAGTTTGGTGTGCCGGTTATCTATTCAATGCTTTTCGCTGGGATTCTGGGTTTCGGGATGGCAATGTGCTTAAACTTGCTGTACATTTGCTATTCCTCTCGGCTTGGAAGGGTTTCACAGAACAGGAACTTAGTATAAAGAAAGTCTCTTCCTTTTTTTAGTTTCTTCTGTTCTCCCTTAAAGCTTGTATATGAAAAGGACAAATTGATGAGTAGATAGATTCATCTGAAACAGTAACACCTGTAAGATGTATGGATTCTTTGTACGTTTTGTATGAAGAAACAAAAGTTTTGAGGAATTATAATGAAAATGTGTGAAGAGACAAAAATATTTGTGGAATTCAAGTAAAAGACCTGTTGTAATTGAGATCACATTTTATGTGAATGAGCTCGTTGTCCAGAAAAAGAAAAAGGATGAGATTTTGGAGGAGTTAAAATGTCACGGCCCTAAAAAATGTGAAAAAGAGGGGCGTTCCGAGAATCGAACTCGGGACCTCTCGCACCCAAAGCGAGAATCATACCACTAGACCAAACGCCCTTATTGTTTGATCATAGCATTGTAGTCTATTTCTTCCGCTTTACAAATCTCAGTAGCCTTTTCCTTCACACCAGAGACACTTGGTGGAAAAGAAAACGACCAAATTAAGATAGAACTTGACTAGTGATGCTGTATTACAAAAGTCAAAACAAAAAAAAAATAGAGCAAGAAAAGCGAAAAGGGTTTTTCACCACATTGAGTCCACAGTTGTGACTAAAACTAGAGTTCAAGACAGATTCCGACGCAAGTTAACGTCTAAATCTAAAAAAGAAAAGTACCCATTTTCGCACAAAATGCAAAAGACCATTACTACTACCAACCGCTAACAAAGAAACGAACCTCCCTACCAGAATTAGTCTAAGATCTGCGCAAGTTACGGGACAAGGCAGTTGAATCGAGCTCAAGATAGCCTCGAAGAGCTCCATCTCTTTCTCCAGTTAACCGGAATGCAGGAACATAATGAGAGAATCTCAACAGTTCACACATCGGGATCGTTTTCTTCACATCGATGCCTCCTTCCACTTTTTCCTTGAAGACCGAAATGAACCCGTCCACCCGTTCCAACATCATAACCTCGATGTGGCTCTCATTGTCGTCAAGAACTTCAACAACCTCGTATTCACGCTTCTTCAAGCTTGCCACCTTGATTGCATCACTCCAGTACTTGTACATTGCCCAAATTTCTCCGGTCTTGGGGAGGACAGTGTATACGTTTTTTCTTACACTCTCTTGTGCCTTTATCTGATGTGAAAAATCAGTTACCTTAGTGAGTGTCTCGTCCCGGCCTTTCTTCAAGGTGAAATGTCCACAAGTGACTGGCATTTTTTTGTCCCGCCACTGTGTAACATTCTCAGGAAGTGATTCCAGCTCTAGCCTGTTTACCTGCAGTTTAAACACTGGCTTCCATTCTACTTTCTGAATCTTGGCGTAACACTTGGGCAAGCCTTCCTCTTTACTGTTCAATGACCATATCTGGCCAGGTGCGAACTTTCCCATTAATCTATCAGCGCTGAAGTCATGAAACTGGAAATTAGGAATGACGACACAGTCTGGCTCTGATGAAGGCGGAGAGCTATGATGGACTTGGTTTGACTTGGCAGCTTCTATTGAGATAGAGACAGCTTCTTCTTCTCCTTCTTCAATATTTTGTGGTAATGCAGCTGTATCGAGCTCATAAGAACCAGCAGGAACATCATTCCTTTCTTTCCCTGTCAATTTGATTGAGGGAATGCTGTGGGAGAATCTAAGCAACTCATGAGGCGGAATCTGAAATGTATTTGATCTACCATCCGATGCAATTCGACAGAAGACACTTGCAAAGCCCTTTACTTTACGCAAGAACGCAACCTCTATTGCAATCCCTTCAGCATATTCCGACAGGATCTCAACAAACTCATACGTATACTTGCGCCGACGACCTGTAGACCAATTGATGTCCCAGTTCTTGAAGAGAGCCCATGTTTCTCCCATTCTTGGGTATACACTGACAGTATCTTCCATGCCCCTTACTCTGCATTGGATCGGATGAGAGAACGATGGAGTTTCATTTATGTTGTCATCTCCACCAAGTTTGTACTTACCAACAGAGACGGGCAACTTTTTGCGAACCCACTGCTTTGCTTTCTCATCATCTGGTTTAGCCTCAAGCCATGTTATCTTAAGCATAAAACTAGGTACCCTTATGACTTTTCTGATCAAGGCATAAAATCGAGGCATTCGATCCATGTCATCATACATTGCCCATGTCTGGCCAGCTTTAAAACAACTCTCTTCCCTGAACTTGTCAAAGTTATTGAAATCAGGATCAGGACACTCACAAATCTCTAAGTCTGATGCATTTTTTGAACTTGAATCCTTCGCTGCATTACAGACACCAGAGTCCCGAGAGCTTCCCACTTGGTCTTCTTTTACCTTCTCCTTCCCGTTGATCCCGTTTGGCAAGGTTTCTGCAAACAGATTCTTTTCATTTGACTTCTTTCTGAAATCAGACGCTTCAGCACTTGCTGCATCCTCTTCTTTCTCCTCATCATCACACACATTCTCTTTATATGAAACCTGCTGCTTACTACGAACTGACCTCCGGGAATGCTGTCCATCAGCTGCAACTTCTTCCCACCCAAAGCTACTCTCGCTGTAAGAACTGCCACTAGATTCAACCATCTTCTTTCTCTTTCTCTTTTCACTGCTAGTCTCAGCAGAAGTACCCGGGATTTTGGCTTTAGAACCCTCTTTCCTTGGGGAAAGTCTGGCAGAATTCTCCGGCTGCTTCTGTGCTGCCTTGCCAGCCTCTTGAGTTGGAACCTTGCTCTGTTGGGTCGCCTGAACTGGTGGACCCTGGAAAGTAGTTTGAAAAGCACTGAATTGCTTATTGCAACTCGGACATTTCACTAGTTTGTTGATATATCCCCTGAGAAATTCATGCTTAACTAGGCAAAAAGGGCATAACGTCAAAAAGTTTGAGCCAGCACTAAAATCAACTTGAGGCTTTTGCAGGTTTTGAGGTCTGAAATCCGCTGTGAAGCTGTTACTCGCTGCATTAACGTTTCTCTGGAAAACATTCTGAGTGTAAAAAGCCGTGGCCGGGGCTTGTTGGGGTTGATAAGACGGTGCTGGTGCAGGCCTTTTAAAGGGTTTGCGTTTAATGTCATGTTGCCTCCTTTTTTCTTTGTCCAAAAGAATTCTCTGAGCTTCACCAATCGTTTTGAAAGCAGATTCAGCGCCAGGGAGCTTGTTTTTGTCCGGATGGAGATGAAGCGCGAGCTTCCTGTACTGTTTCTTGATGGAATTGTCGTCTGCATTCTGCTCGACCTGGAGAATTTTGTACCAATCCATCTCGTCCCCAGATTTATCCGATGCTGCACAATGAACATCGCACACCATTATCATGTGAGCAATATTCTCCAAGGTTCCATCCATATTCTGAGCCTTAATTGCAATTTTACGAGCTTTCGGGAAATTTGACTTTCTCATCCAATCTTCTGCTAAATCTTTGGCTCGAAGAGCCTCATCTTTGTTGCTCATAATTGATTTCAAACCTAGTCTCTTGCGATACCCTACACGGACAATTTCGAATTTCAGCAACTTGTAAAATCAAAAAACGCAATGCAAAAGAAAAAACAGTTTTAACAAAGCGAACTCAGACATTCAGACATGAGAAACACACAGAACACATGCGGCGAATTTTCCCGAGAAGGAGTGAAAAAAGTGGGCTTTTTGACGATTTAAAGGAGTACTCATCGAGGAACAAATGATGTAGGGAACCAGAGAGTGAGAGAACGAGAAAAAGAGAGAGAGAGAGAGTCGGAAAACTCACCGGAGATCGGAGAGGGAAAGACGAGGTAGAGAAAGGGCACCGTCAAATGCTCACGTCGATAGCCAATTGACTCTTTGACTGAAATCTGTCTTCGTCTTCGTTTGTGGGGAAACACCTCACACGGTTTATATGCTTCTCTGGTTTTTACTGTAAATTTTAGAAACTTTGAGGTTCTTTGAACTTTGTATTCTTATTAATTTGCACTTAAGCCCTTTGAATTTTGCTATATTACTATAAATTGTCAAGAAAAAGGTTAAATTAGTCATTTTGTTTTCTTCAATATAGACATTTATACTCTACCAAACCTAGTTTCATAGATATAAAAGTTTTTCAATCAATATAGATATAAAATTTTTTCAATCAATATAAATATATTTTTTACCTTTATGGTTTTATATTTTACTTTTAGAGTTATGTATATATAATATTAATTTGAATAATACTTTTTTTGTTCATTGCAAACTTTTTATTATAAATATTAAATACATAGTTTTGGAATATATATGGATAGAATATAAATTTTTTTTGTTAAAGATGGAATACAGATTTGATATATAAAACCAACGGAAAACTAAAATTTTCCGAAGTCAAAGCTCGATATATGATAACATAAAATAAGATATTAAAACCGAAAAGTGAAAAACTAGAAATCATCAGAAAAATCGGAAAAGGACAATAGACACGGCATAACAGAACTCAGAAGACGTCGCCGAAAAGATCTACAACTGAAAACGGAAAAGACCCAAAGATAGAATAAACTAAAAAAAACTAAATAAAATGATTACCTTAAAATTAAAATTACATTTAATTTGAATAATACTCATAATATGAAAAACAAACAAATAACAATATTATTAAATTAAATTAATTTTTAAAATATTTGATAAATTAAATCACTTTAAAATAAAAACATGACATAATCAATTCAATGTAGTTATTGAATATCTTTAATTGATTCTACACTGAAAACTAAATTAGTTTAGTTTTTCTAAATGAAATATTCTTAGTTTAATAGTTTTAAGATTTAACTTGAATGTGTACTTTTGTGATAATATGTGTTTCTGGATAATATTCTCATTTTTTCAGCATTGTATCAGATATTTTATCTGATCAAGACTATAGCATAGGTGCAATTACCAAAACTTGAATAATTTATTGACATATAACAAACAAACAAAAAAATCTGTAAAATTTATTCTTTGCCCATAATTGTTTAATATTATGCTTGAAATTGCTCAGTTTGAATAATACAACATGATTGCTTGTTTCACCTCCATTATAATATCTCTAGCACATGGTTATTTAGAATGTTTCTAATGTGAACCAATGAAGATCATGTATACATCAACTTCGATGAAAGAGCATATGGCTCAAATTTTCTTACTGATTTTTGCATATCCTTATTTATCTAAGTGTCTGTACAATATATGCACTAGATAACTCAAAATTGATTATTTATTTGATTATTTTTTTACATCGCAAATGTTTTAATGGCTTGTGTTTCTAATGGGATGCAAATAAAATAAAATACACTAAGTCTATACTAAATTTTATCAATTATTATTTGAACTAATTTTAACTAACCATTAGAATCAACAGTTATAATCATTATTTTGCTATCATTGAAACTAATTTTAACTAATCATTACTAATAACTAGTAATTTTAACTAGTTTGTATACGAATCTAGGCGTTTTTACTGTTTGACTAGGTCCAATCAGAAACACCAGCTTTAGAGAAACAATATCAAATTTAAACGGTGATGTAATTTGTATACCACATGGCTCACGCAGACCAAAGACCAATCATTCACAAGTCACAACTATCCACCGTAAAGTACAAATATGAATGTACTTTAAGTTGTTTGTGTTTCTCAATCTTTGATAGATCAACATAACAACAAGGATCAGTTAGTATTTATAGGGAGATTCAGATCCCTACTAACATGGGTCACAAAACACAGATTTTTAATCTAAGCCATTTACTATCATTTAACTAAATCTAAATTATTTTCAATGAACAAGAATGAGCCACCGTTTAACCAAACGACTTCTTTCAAATCGAATAGAGATCATCTAAGCCTGCAAACAAATAACATTAAACAACTTCAAGATTTTTCACTACTGGTTCCATCAAATACTTTTCTGATTACGTACTTTATCTCAAAGCCCATACGTTAAGTGAGAAATTCAGAGAAACCTGCATGCATGATGCATAGATTGCTACATAGGTACAAAATCAAGAAAAGAAAAATATGCATAAAACATGGAGAAACCTGAGTAAGTTTCAGCTCTTAGATCGTAAATCAACAACAAACCAGTTTTGACTACAACAACAAAAAAAAAAGAGACCAAAAACCTAGCATAAAAAGGAATCCTTTGCATACCTCCTTTGCTTTTTTATTTTACTTATTAAAAATAGTCCTCTTCAAACAACACGTTTGAAGGTATTGCTCTATGATCAACTTTATAAAGCTCTTCTAAATCTCCATGTTTCTCTTTGGTGACACGAGATGCAGGAACGTGATGCGAGAACCTGAACAATTCGGACTTTGGGATTGTAAATATCGGTTCCGAGCCATCCACTGGGTTACTCTTATACTCTTTAACTGCCCTGAAAAAGGTATCTACACTTTCGCTAGAAAAGGGGTCAGGCTCCAACAGTAAAACCTTATAGTCCAAGGCATCATCAAGAACTTCAATAACGTCGTAGTGCCAACTTTCTTCCAAGTCATCGACATCAATGTCAGGAGTCCAGTGTCTGTATATCGCCCAAACATCGCCAATCTTTGGGAAAATGGTATATTGAATTCCATCAATGGCAGTTTGAGGCACTATCTGATGTGAAACATCATCTGGAGAGATTATTTGGACAACTTTCCTCGCGTAGAAAGTTCCACAGGTAATGGGCATTTGCTTGTCAACCCACTGGATGATATCTTGTGAAAAAGGTAAAGCCTTTAGTAGATTTATGTGTAGTTTAAATACCGGACCCTGCTTAGATGCCTGAGTAAAAGTGATCTTCTGAATCATGCCATAGTAGAGAGGCAATTCATCGTTACCGCTGTAAAATGACCAAACCTGGCCAGTTTGGAAAACCTTCCCCTTACTAGCAAAGTAGATGGCTTGGCGTTTAGGCTTTCTATTACTCTCAGAGTCTTGAGGGACGATGAACTCTTCGATTGTCTCTGGTAACGCAGTTTGGTCCAGCTCGTAAGCGTCTTTTGGCACACCTTTTCCTTCAGTTCCAGTCAGTTTGAAGGAAGGAACTCTATGGGAGAACCGATACAAACTGTGAGGTAAAATACGAACCGATACAAGTATGCAACAAATACACCAGCTCTATCCGCGTAGTCTGACAAAACCTCGACAAACTCATACTCGTATTTGCGGTGAGAATCTGGCTCGGAAGACCACTTAATATCCCAGTTCTTGAATAGAGCCCAAGTCTCGCCTTTTCTTGGGGATATAGTGAAATGACCAGTGTTGGTTCCTTCATTGCATTGGATAAGATGAGAGAATCTGGAACGATCTTTTGTGTTCTCATTTTTCCCAAGCCTGAACTTACCAGCAGAAACAGGCAAGTCTTCTTCAAACCACAGTAACTCTTTCTCATCAACTGGATCTGGCTCTAGATATGTGATCCTGAGCCCAAAGGAAGGAGCCAACACTTTTCTGATCTGAGCATAGAGTCTAGGCATCCCATCAGCTGTATCATAAAGAGCCCAGGTCTGGCCAACCCCAAAGTTTGCATCTTCCCTAACCTTATCAAAGTCGTTGAACTTTGGATCAGCTGATTCAGAATTCTCAAGTTGTATGGACTCTTCTCCCGGTTCTGCACATCCATTATCATCGGACTCTCTTCTATTATTCTGTTCAACACCGTGTTTTTCCGTATTGCAAATCTCAGCAGCATACTCGTTTCTCTGTCTCTTCTCACCAACCTTCACAGCACAACAACTCATATAAGAGAAAGCCTGAGCCTTTTCCTGCTGTTTTTTTGGTGTTGATGCAACTAAATCCCTCCTAATGTGATGGTTCAGGGCAGCTTTTTTCCTTCTAGTTAGCTCATTTACAATGGTATCCATCATCAAACAAAATAAGCACTTGACAAGACAATTCCCTTCTCTAGAGTTCCTGTAGATGATACAGTTATGGTCATCAGATACATTTACAAACAACGAACCACTAAATCAAGATGTGTGTTCTGTAGAAAATATACATCTGTTTAAACAAGGATGAGCAAATGCAAACGCAAATAGACAAAAGATGTGTGTTTTTGTAGAAAACACGCAGAAAGGGGCTATTTTTTCAGGCACACAGCAATTTCAAAATCAAAGGAAGGGATTACGAATCAACCCCATTATACAGTAGATTAATAATCCGAAATCTCACAATGGGCGAAAATGCGACATAAAGACAAAACAAATTTAGAAGAAAAAAAAAACAGATAGAAAAAGTTCCACGAACCGATTCGATCAACTTACCCCAACGACAGCGGCAGAAGCAAATCACGAGACTTTTTGGCGGTAAGGTAGTGAGAATGAGCGAAAATAAAAGCAATTTTAATTAGTGGATTAGTGTAAACTAGTATCTTGATTTAATTAGTATTTTGCTACCCGATCACCATTTTCGCGGTAAAAAGTTATTTATTATCAATATATATTTGGCGGGAAATCAAACAACTCTATAAGAGCACAAAGTTTATGCAACCGTATACGTGAGAAATTTTACAAGGTTGAATCTGTGATCTGCAGAGAGACCAATTAAGTCTGAAAAAGCAGATCAGCTTAGTCTACATCACATTACACAACAATTGCAAGAACTAGTTAACTACTATTAACTCAGAAAACACATCTAGTGAGATAGAATTTCAGACCAACATGCAAATTCTTGCTGTTTCATATCAACCTACTTTACATCATAGAGAAAGTCTAGAGATTCTTAACCCAACAAAAAAAAAACAATCTCTTTCACCAAAAAGCTAACCAAAAAAAAAAAGTTGAATCCTTCCTCTTCCTTCTCTCACTTCCTCTGTTCAACTGTGTATAACGTTTATAGGTGCTGCGTTAAACTCAATACTGAAAAGCTCTCTTAACTCTCCGCATATCTCTTTGGTTACGCGCAAAGCAGGAACCTTGTTCGAGAATCGGATCCTTTCCGACTTTGGGATCGTAAATATTGGTTCCGACCCATCAACTTCGTTAGACGTATACTCCGTGCATGCCTTAAAAAACCTATTATCATTTAGACCATCATCATCCTCATGAACGGATTCTTGCTTCAGCAGTTGGACCTTAAAGTCCAAGGTGTCATCAAGAATTTCGACAATGTCATAAAGACCATATTCCAAATCCTCAACATCAATGTATATACTCCAGTATCTGTATATCGCCCAAACTTCACCAATCTTGGGGAGAATGGTATATTCAACTCCATCCAAGGAGATTTCAGGCAATACCTGATGTGAAAGCTTATATGGAGTGATTATTTCGAGAGCTTTTCTCGCATAATAAGTTCCACAACCAACAGGCATTCCCCCGTATTTCCAGTTGATAACATCCAGAGGGAAACGAGTAGGCTTTAGCCGGCTTATATGTAGTTTAAACTCTGGTTCTTGCTTGAATGCCTGAGTAAAAGTGATCTTCTGAATCTTGCCGTAGTACAGTGGCATATCATCTAAACCATCGTGAAATGACCAAATCTGGCCAGTCTGAAAAACCTTCCCTTCGCTAGCAAAGTAGATGGCTTGAGGTTTAGACTTTCTCTTACTCTCAGAGTTTGAAGGCACGATTACCTCTTCGATTGTTTCTGGTAAAGCAGCTTGGTCCAGCTCGTAAGCATCTTTTGGCACTCCTTCAACTCCGTTCAGTTTGAAAGAAGGAACCTTATGGGAGAACCGATACAAACTGTGAGGTAAAATACGAAATATGTCCGCATTATCGGTTCCCATTCGAAAGAAGACACTTGCAAACCCTTTTGCTTTATGCAAGTATGCAACAAATATACCAGTTCCATCAGCGTAGTCTGAAAAAATCTCGACAAACTCATACTCATGTTTGCGGTGAGATTCTGGCTCGGAAGACCACTTCATATCCCAGTTCTTGAATAGAGCCCAAGTTTCTCCTGTTCTTGGGGTGACAGTGAAATGGCCAGTTTTGCTTCCTTCATTGCATTGGATGAGATGGGAGAATCTGGAACAATCCCTCGTGTTCTGGTTTTTCCCAAACCTGAACTTACCAACAGAAACAGGCAAGTCTTCTTCAAACCACAGTAACTCTTTCTCATCAACTGGATCTGGCTCTAGATATGTGATCCTAAGCCCAAAGGAAGGAGCCAAAACTTTTCTGATCTGAGCATACAGTCTAGGCATCCCATCAGCTGTACCATAAAGAGCCCAGGTCTGCCCAACCGCAAAGTTTGCATCTTCTCTAACTTTATCAAAGTCGTTAAACTTTGGATCAGCAGATTCAGAAGTCTTTGCTTGTGCTGCAACTTCTAAACTTGTATCACAAAAACCATAGTTTTTATCACCGTCAGGATTCTGAAAGATCCCCACATCGGCTCCGACATGAACAGCTTGTTTCCTATTTGACTGGCCATTCCTGTTCAAGGCATTTGGCAATGTTTCTTTACTCCAAAGATCAACCTCATGGAGTTGCTTTCCGCTTCCAGACTCTTCTCCTGCATCTCCATTATCATTGGACACTCTTCTATTGCCATCTTTACTTAGATTTACAATAACATCTTGAGACTTGCTGCGATTTTCAGTACTGCAACTTTCACCACACTCATTCCTCTTTCTCTTCTCACCAACATTGAGTGCACAGCTCAAATCAGGGGAACTTTTCGTTCCAGAGAAATGTATGCTTGGATTCGTACTTGGGACATATTTCTGTTGGAGCAAGGAGAAAGCTTGAACCTTTTCATGCTGACTCTTGGTTGTCGATGCAATCGAATCACTCCCGTTCTGATTGTTTTTTACAGTGATGCCCATCAGCAAACAAGTAAGCACCCGAGAAGACGAATTTCTCCTATAAGGTTCCTGCAGAAGATACAATTATGGTAATCAACACATAAACCATACCAACAAAGTTTGATCGGTTTAAACAAGGTGGCGCAAATACAAATGCCAGTAGACAATATATGTGCGTTTGTAGAAAATCACGCAGATAAGAAGTTAAAAGGCCTAACTTTTAAAGCTCAAAAAAAATTGAGCATTTCAATTACGGAACAAAACAATTGATAGGAACCCTAAATCAACTTCCCTCTACAATAAGAAATCGCACTGAGCGAAAATTCGAGAAAACCTAAACACAAGATTCAGATACAACACAGAGATACATCAAGTAAAAACATGAGCCTGTTCGATCAATTTACCAAACTATGGCGACATACGCAAATCGCAGTCGTCGGCGGCGGAGACTTTTGTGGCGATTAGTGAAAATGAGCGAATTAAGTAATTATAATTTGCCCTGTTTCTCGATTTAAGAAAAATATATTTTTTTTTTTAAATTGTTCCTCGCTCACCGTTTTGGCGGTAAAAGTTCATTGCAAATATTATTTGGCGGGAAACAAATATACAACTATAGGGCTGAATCTGTGAGCACAGTCACGATCACACAGTACAGCAACAAGTGCAAGTGTATTAGTTATAACTATTTTTTAGTTTTAGACAAGCCTGCAAATACACATGCTATTTGTGAAAATCTTAAGATATCCATACATCATAGTGATAATCTTATATCATAGTGAAAGTCTTAGATCATAGATAAGAACATACTTAGCATAAAAGGAATCATTGGCTTCCCTCACTTTTATTCGTTGCCTCAGTACATGTCTGGAAACCTCAGGTTATGAGGTAATGCTCGAGCATCAACTTCAGTAAGGTCTTTTAGCTCTCTGTTGCGAAAGATCATCTGGAGTGATTATCTCGAGAGCGTTTCTTGCGTAGAAAGTTCCACAACCAACAGGCATCTTCTTGTCTTCCCACTGAAGCACGTCCACAGGGAAACGAGTAGCCATGAAACGACTCACGTGCAGTTTGTATTTTGGCTCCTGCTCGCGTACTTGGGTAGCAGTGATCTTCTGAATCTTGCCATAGTACAGAGGAAAGTCATTTAGACCACTGCAATACGACCAAATCTGGCCAACTTTGAAAGCCTTCCCTTTCCAAGCGAAGATGGTCTCAGGATTAGAGTTTCTACTACTCTCAAAGTTTGAGGCAAATGTTACAGCACTGTCAGGAGAAGGGATATCCATCATCATCAAACAGAGAAATGATTACCACCGGAAAAGACAACTTCCTCTTCTAGTGTTCCTGCAGAAGAGATAGTAGATTTGGTAAGATAGCACGTACACATAGAGACGTAAATCTATGTTTGTATAAGTGTAAGATGGACAAATTTAAAATTCCAACCTAAATCACGCAGCTTCACTAAATAGTGCTCAGTATGCAAAGTGTAGAAATGTGTGAAGCATCACAAACCAGAAGTAAGTAATAAGAACCCTAAATAGAGCATATTTGTATTCACGAAACACAAATCTCACAGCTAGGGAACAAAGCGAAAACTCTTAATCCTAGATTGAACAAGAACCCTAAATACAGATGCTACGAGATATAGTAATTAAAAAAAAAAACACAAGAAAAAAATAAACAAACAGGTTCAATTAACGAACCAAAGCAAACTTCAGTCGTCGGAGGGCGACGGCTTATGCCGGAATAATGAGATAAGATACGTCTTGCATATAAATAGGGAAGTGTAGCCTTATAATATCTCTAGATTAAAAAAAAAAACAAAATAAAACAAAAACTTAATGTAATATCTCTCTCTTTCGGAATAAATCTCTGGAGGATCATCATTGCATGCATTTAGTAGGAACAATGGTTCACGCAAAACTCGGCACCCGATAAAGCATTGATAGAGACGTCTGTCTAGTTTGGAACCTAAACCTATTTTCAGCTACGGTTTCCTCATCGTCGTTTTTCATTCTTTGGAGGTAATGATTTCTTCGTTTGAAAATATCTCTCTCTTTTCTTATGCTGTCAAGTGAAGTGACTAGTCCAAACACACAAGATTTTTCAGTATTTTTTTTTTTTCTTTTGAGAAAGCAATCTTTTCACTCAGTATCTCCCTACTTAATTTATTAAACACAAAGATCTAAGAATCATATCAATTATCTGGTTATTAGATTTTGTTTCTTTTTTTTTTTGAATTTCTTGGCCTAGTAATCAATAAAAAACGTTTTAATGTTTATACGCCATATTTAAAATTTGATACGGAAATGCTGAATTTTTTCACAAATTATGGATGCGAACTCAACGAAAATGTGTTGGAAATCCATAAAATATGGTTTATAGGTAGAGTTGTTAATTATAAAACCGTTTCTAGAGTATAAGTTACGCGGGGTTTCGTTTATAAAACCTTTGGCAATATCCACTGTTAAGGAGAGTAGTAGATGCTCATTTGGAAAACGAAACCTGAGATTGACATAAATGGCCAAGGGATTGAATCAGCGAAATGGATTTGCTCGGTGACTTAGGAGGAAACGTCAGAACAAACAGTCGCTATTTCTTTCATATGTTAAAAACTAGGCCTAGATTCCAACCAACAAAAGAAAAACATGCATAAACTCATGGAGAAAAATTAAGAAAGTTTAAGCGTCTTAGATCTTAGCCAAGGACAAACCTTCTGAATCTGACCAAATGCACCAAAAGCTAACAAAAAGGAAACCTTCCCTCACAACAACATCCTTTGCTCAATAGTCCAGCGATGAAGGTAATGCTCTACTATCAACCTCGAAAACCTCTTGCAACTCTCCGTCTATCTCCTTGGTTACGCGGGAAGCAGGAACCTGATGAGAGAATGTGAGCCTTTTCGACTTTGGGATTGTAAATGTCACTTCCGACTCATCCCCACAGTTACCACAATCACATGTCCTACTATCAGCTGCTCTAAAAAATCTCTTTTTCTCTTCACTAGGAAACAACGCGAGCTTCAACGCTAAAACCTTAAAGTCCAAGGCGTCATCAAGAACTTCGACGATGTCAAAGTCCAAGTACTGTTCTTCCAATGCTTCGACATCATAGTGAGGAGCCCAGCATCTGTAAATCGCCCACACTTGGCCAGTCTTGGGCAGAATGATATATTCATTTCCATCCATGGAGATTTGAGGCACTATCTGATGTGAAACATTTTCTGGACAGAATACTGACAAAGTTTTAGTCCCAAAGAAAGTTCCACAACCAGCAGGCATTTTCTTGTCCTTCCACAAGATGACATTCTTTTGGGAAGGACTAGGCTTTAACCGAGATACATGTAGTTTATACTCTGCTTTCTGCTTGAATGCCTGGGTGAGAGTGATCTTCTGAATCTTACAGTAGCTCCGAGGCATGTAGTCGTAGTCGTAATAGCCGCTAAATGCCCAGAACTGGCCAGTTTGAAAAACTTTACCATTTGTAGTAAAGCAGAGAGCTTCTGGCTTAGGCTTTGGAACGGTAAGCTTTGCTTCTTTATAAAAAGGGACGATTACCTCTTCTATTGGTTCAGGTAATGCAGCTTGGTCCAGCTCATAAGCATCTTTAGGTAAACCTTTTCCTTCAACTCCGTTCAGTTTGAAGGAAGGAGCCTTATGGGAGAACCGATACAAACTGTGAGGTAAAATATGAAATATGTCTGCATTATCGGTTCCCATTCGAAAGAAAACACTTGCAAACCCTTTTGCTTTATGCAAGTATGCAACAGATACACCAGCTTCATCAGTGTAGTCTGACAAAATCTCGACAAACTCATACTCGTATTTACGGTGAGAATCTGGCTCGGAAGACCACTTCATATCCCAGTTCTTGAATAGAGCCCAAGTCTCGCCTTTTCTTGGGGATATAACAAAATGACCAGTGTTGGTTCCTACGTTGCATTGGATAAGATGAGAGAAGATGGAGCGATCTTTCGTGTTCTGATTTCTCCCAAGCCTGAACTTACCAGCAGAAACAGGCAAGTCTTCTTCAAACCATTGGATCTCTTTCTCATCATCTGGATCTGGCTCTAAGTACGTGATCCTAAGTCCAAAGGAAGGAGCTGAAACTTTTCTGATCTGGGCATACAATCTAGGCATTCCATCCACTTTATCATAGAGAGCCCAGGTCTGCCCAACCGCAAAGTTTACTTCTTCCCTCAGCTTCTCAAAGTCGTTAAACTTCAGACCAGAACATTCAGAAGTCTTTGGTTCTACAGACTCTTCTCTCCTTTCTCCATCTCCTTTATCATCTGACCCTCTTCCAGTGTTATTATTATTCACAACACCGCGATTTCCAGAATTGCAACTTTCAACATGCTCGTTCCTCTTTCTCTTCTCGCCAACACTCACAGAAAAACTCAACCCAGGGGAGAGAATGTTTTCAGCAGAAGCAGAAGAAAATGTTGTACCACCGTCACAAGAAGTCCCTTTCATTAAAGCCTCAGAAACAGCATTTCTTCTAAGAAGCTCGTTTGAAGTGATATCCATCATCATACAAAGAAACGATAAGCACTCAAGAAGAAAACCTTCCTCCTCCAGGGTTCCTGCGTAAGATACAGTAGATACTTTAACATTGGTAAGATAATAGAGAGACGAAAATCTATGTTTGTAACAAAATGAATGACTTAGATATTGGACAAGCGTATTATGATTCTAAAATCACATACATCATCAAAGTTCTAAGAAAAAAAAAGGTTTAAACTTTCCAGCGACCAACACACAAAGTTTCGAAAGTATGAGGCATCTCAAACAGAAGAGAGTAATAAGAACCCTAAATTAAGCATCTTTGCATCTATGTAAACCTAAATCTCACGATTAGACGGGATTACCTAAACCCTGGACTGAGCACTAACCCTACATTCAGATGCAAAATGGGATACAGGAATTAACAGCAAAAAAAAACATGTAGATACAATCGACGAACCGATTCAATCAATTTCTGCAAAAACAAGCAACAAAAGCAAACCGCAGTTGTCGGCGGTGGAAACTTTTGCCGGAAAAGGAGAGAGTCGAGAGGGGTTGTACTTAATAGAAAAGCATCTTTACCCCAATATCGTCCTTTACACGAGAATAGTCCACTGGCATTGGCGGGAAAATAATCTATTATCATCTCTATTTTATCTATTTTATCTATTAAATTATTAATAGTAGTAGCCCTAATTTATAAACCCAAAGATCATGTCTTTTCCTGGTTGCAATAATGGTTCGCAATTTGATTTGATAAATCATTTTATAAATGGCGTTCAAAAAGAAGAAAAAAGACATTTTATAACAGTGTTTTTAGAGTTGAGTAACTTGAGTTAAGTTGAAGTTTTGAATTTAACACAAAATTTTAATGTTCAATTAGACAGACATAATTATCAATCAGGTCTAGTTACAGGAGAAGTACCAATAGCACATATGATAACGGAGAAGTACCAAGAACTTTGGCTTAGTGACATCTTAATCTAAACCACTAGTGACATTTTTTGAACCAAAAAAACGCAAAACCTTGTCTTTTACTACCTACTCAAAATACATGGTTTTTCATTTCATAGATTTGAACCAACAAAAGAGAAACATACATAAACCACGGAGAACGAACCAAGACAGGCAAGAACAAAAGTTATGACAGAATGCACCAAAAACTAACAAAAAGGAACCCTTCCCTACCCTCTCTACATTCACTTCCTTTCCTCAATTGTCTTGAAGCCCCTCACGTTTGTAGGTAATGCTCTAATATCAACTTCAAAAAGCTCTTTCAAATCTCCATGTATCTCCTTTGTTACTCGGGAAGCAGGAATCTGATGCGAGAACCTGAGAGCTTTCGACTTTGGGATTGTAAATATCGCTTCTGGCCCATCCTCACCATCACAATCAGGATGCTTACTCTCAGCTGCTCTAAAGAAGGTCTTTTTCTCTTCATCTTCATTGGAAAACAACACGGGCTCCAACGCTATAACCTTATAGACCAAGGTGTCATCAAGAACTTCGACAATGTCATAGTCGCAGCAACCCACGTCCTTGAACTGCATTTGACAAGTCCAGAATCTGTATATGACCCAAACATCCCCAGTCTTGGGCAGAATAGTATATTCATTTCCATCCATGGAGATTTGAGGAACTATCTGATGTGAAACATTATCTGTAGTGAGTATTTCGTTTATTTCCCTCACCAAGAAAGTTCCACAACCAACAGGCATTTTCTTGTCTTCCCACTGGATGACATTCTCAGGGAAAGGTTTTGCCTTTAACCGACCTACGTGAAATTTTAATACTGCTTCCTCCTCGAATGCCTGAGTTAGAGTGATCTTCTGAATCCTACAGTAGTTCAGAGGCAATTTACTATTACGACTGTAAAATGACCAGATCTGACCTGTTTGGTAAACCTTTCCCTCACTAGGAAAGTGGAGAGCTTCTGGTATAGTCTCTGCAAATAGATGAGAAGGGACGGTTTTCTCTTCGATCTTTTCAGGTAATGCAGCTTGGTCCAGCTCGTAAGCATCTTTTGGAACACCTTTTTTGTCAACTCTTTTCATTTTGAAGGAAGGGATCATATGGGAGAACCGATATAAACTGTGAGGCAGAATCTGAAAAGTATCTGCATCCCCAGATCCCATTCGAAAGAAGACACTTGCAAAGCCTTTTGCTTTATGCAAGAATGCAACAGATACACCATCTCCATCAGTGTAATTTGACAAAATCTCAACAATTTCATACTCATATTTGCGGTGAGAATCTGGTTCTGAAGACCAGTTAATGTCCCAGTTCTTGAATAGGGCCCAAGTCTCGCCTTTTCTTGGTGAAACATTGAACTGACCAGTCACGGCGCTTCCATCGCAAATAATATGATGTGAGAATATGGAACGATCTTTAGTGTTCTGATTTTTCCCAAACCTGAACTTACCAACAGAGACAGGCAAGTCTTCATCAAACCATTGGATCTCTTTCTCACCATCAGGATCTGGCTCTAGATATGTGATCCTACGCCCGAAAGAAGGAACTAAAACTTTTCTGATCAGAGCATACTGTCTAGACATCCCATCTGCAGGATCATAGAGAGCCCAGACCTGGCAATATCCAATATTTGCCTCTTTCCTCAGCTTATCAAAGTCGTTAAACTTTAGACCAGCACATTCAGATATCTTTGGTTGTGCACCTCCTGAATCAGAATCAGATAAACCAGAGTTTTTATCCACCTCAAAATTCCCGGAGCTCCCAAGAGCATCTTGATTTTCATTCAACTTTTGATTCGTGTTTATGACATTCGGCAATGTTTCTTCAGAACGATCAACCTCATGGAGTTGCCTCCCCCATCCTGACTCTTCTTGCCTTCCTGCATCTTCAGTATCATTGAATCCTCCTTTATTACTGTCAATAACATCTTCAGAGTTCTTGTCCACCTCAAGCTCTCCAGAGTTCTCCACAGCAGCTACCACTTGAGCATCTTGATTCTTATCCATCTTCTGATCCGGGTTTATGGCACTTGACGCTGGGTCTTTAGAACGATCAACATCATGGACTTGCTTTCCGCTTTCAGACTCTTCTCCCCGTTCTTCATCTCCATTATCATTGGAGCCTCTTTTGTTATTATGCACAACACTGCGGTTTTCACTACACTCGTTCCTCTTCCTCTTCTCACCAACGCTCACAGCACAACTCAAACCAGTGAAACTTTCCTTTCCAGAGAAATGTGTGCCTGGATTCTTACTCGGGACTTTCCTTTCCAGCTCAACCGCATTGAACTTCCTCTTGCATTTACACATGACCCGCTTGTTGATATATTTTATCGGTAAACGATACTTGAGCTCGCAGAATGGACACATACACCGAAATCTTGGACAAGAACTGAATGGAACTGTCTGAGGTTGAGCTGTTTGGGGCTGAACCTGGTTCTTGGGTGTCGACGCAACCACATTGCTCCTAATAGTATGGTTTTGACTCGACGCAGTTTTCTCCATGGTAGACAAAGCTGTCTGACTTGCTTTTTTCCCTGTTGTAGTAGTAGCGGCTTTGACAGGGGATTTGCTCGCAAAGAATTTCGTGTAGCAAGATGGACACCGTGTCGGATTGTTGAGGAGGCTTCTATAGGATTTGTACCTCACAGAACAGAATGGACATAAAGTCCAAAACTTTGGACGGTCACAGGAAGGCGGTTGGGATTGGGCTGTAGTCGAACTCTCTGAAGCATCTTTCTCTCTGTAAGCTCGTTACTGGTGATATCCATCATCTAACAAAAAAGCGATAAGGCAACTGAGTCAAATCAAAATTTGAAGATACTCGGTTCCTGCAGAAGAATACAGCTTATGGCAATCAGATAAGGATCGGGCGAGTTGGGATGTTCTTTGAAAGCATTTGAATCTGAATAAAGTAATAAGAACCTTAAATCAAGCGTCTTTGTGTTAAGAAACCAATATCTCACAAATGGGGAAAATGGGAAATAGCCTAAAACCCTAGATTGAGCAATGAACACTAGGTCAGGTCCAGAAGATAAGAAGACAGAAATTAACATAAAAACAAAACAGATACAAATATACAATCTACTAACCGAATTCAAGCAACAGCAGGAGTGCAGCAAAAGCAAACAACAGTCGTAAATGACAGAGACTTTTGCCGGTAAGAGAAGAGACGATTCGTCGACAAATACCCAAACTAAGAAAACCTAAAATAAAATAAAATAAATATTCTCCTTTTAGCGGGAAAAACTTCAACCGGCAATGGCGGGAAACAAAACAGAAACTGATAAACGCAAAGATCAAAGGATCATATACTGAATGCGATAAATAATCAAATTTGTTGGTATAATATCTTTTATTATTATTAAAAAGCGTACTTTATTTAAATAATTCTACCGTTCGTGATTGTGTTTGTATTCTTTGAAATTGAGTTTGAATCTCTGTGTTTTGATTCAAATTTTGTTGGTGGAATCTTTTACGTAAAGTATTTATAAAAGAACTATATCAAATCAAACACATGATTGACAACAAGAAACCAGCAGATGAAGAAGTTGCTGGGAGATTTCAATCAATGTAATCCATTTCTTAGAAGTGGCTGATGAATTTTTTTTACTTTTACTGTTGTTGGCTGTTTTGATAATGTACCTCTGTGCACTGCTGATTTCAACTAATGGCCAACGTTGAGATTACTTTAGCTCAAAAGCAGAGATACGTAAGAAGAGAGTCGCATACCAAACTGCAGATACTGCTACTTACAAAGATAGAGAACTAACAAGGATCCAGGGATGTAAACATAGAGAAAGTTCAGGAAATATCTTAATCTAAACCACAAGCACCCTTTTGACCAAAAAAGCAAAAAACCGTCATCTTTCTCTCCCTATTCGTTGATCCACGGTGTTGTTTCAGCTCCAGAGTCAGAGAATCAAGTTAGCAGGCAATGCCTTGATATTAGGTTCATAAACTTCTTGCAAAGCTCCATGTATCTCTTTTGTTACTCTTGAAGTAGGAACTTGATGCGAGAATCTGAGCAGTTCAGATTTCGCAATTGTGAATCTCACATCAGCGCCATCAATCCAATGCTCCGTTGCAGCCATATACACCGAACCAACAAAACCTGCAGAATCCGCAAATTTAAAGCCACCCTCAGGAGCCAACAGCAAAACATTGTAGTCCAATTTATCATCAAGAACTTCCACAAGATCATAAGTCCGGGATTGCAGATCAACGACTTCAATGTCATTACTCCAGTTTCTGTATATTGCCCAGACATCACCAGTCTTGGGCATGATGCTGTAATCATCTCCATCTCCAGAGGAGTCTGGGCTTATCTGACGGGAAAACACATCAAGATCAGTGAATATTTCAAGAACTTTTCTCGCTCGGAAATTTCCACAGCCTATGGGCATTTCCTTGTCAACCCACTGGATGACGCCTTTGATAGGTCTAGCCTTTAGCCGACCTATATGCAATTTCATTACAGGATCCTGCTCAAATGCCTGAATAAATGTGATCTTCTGAATCTTGCCATAGTACCGGGGCAAGTTATCGTCACCACTGCAAAATGACCAGACTTGGCCAGTTTCAAAAGTCCTTCCCGTACTAGCAAAGTGCACGCACTGCGAATTTTTGTCGTTGTTCTCAGAGTTTGACACTGTAAGCTCTGTTAGTAGATGTAGAGGGACATCAATCTCTTTGATATTTTCCGGTAGTGACTTGGGATCCAGTTCATAAGCACCTCTTGGCACACCTTCTGCCTCAAGTCCCGTCATCTTGAATGATGGAACACGGTGGGAGAATTGCTTTGTATGACGAATGCAAGATTTAACAATTTCCTCAGTAAAGCGACAAAACACACTGGGAAAACCTCTTGCTTTATGCAGGAATCCAACAGGTGCACTAGATCCACCATCGTATTCTGACAAGATTTCGACAAATGCATAGTTATATTTACAGTGAGAATCGGGATCAGCTGACCAATCTATGTCCCAGTTCTGGTACAAAGACTTGTAGCGCCCCTTGAAGACAGCCCATGTCTCTCCTTCCCTTGGGTATATACTGAATTTACCTGCGCTTCTTCCTTCATTGCAATGAACCACATGAGAGAACCTTCCGCGATCATTTATATCCTCGTTTTCCCCAAGTCTGAACCTACCAATAGAAACAGGCAAATCTTTTTGTATTTCTTCCTCTTCATCTGGATCAGGCTCAAGCCATGTGACACTAAGACAGAAACTCGAGATTGAAACTTTTCTGATCTGAGCATACAATCTAGGCATCCCTTCAGTATCATAAAGAGCCCATGTCTGTCCAACTGCAAATTTACTTTCTTCAATCAGCTTACCAAAGTCATTAAAAGTTGAATCTTGTCTTGCTCTTTCTGGTTCTTCTCCTGCTTCTTCCTTTGCCAAAGACCCTTTAAGATTTCTGTTGCTTTGTAAATCGAAAGCCTGTCGCTTGCTAAACACAGACCTCTGAGACAGCTCTCCTCCAACAAAACCAAAATCTTTAAAAGCCTTAGTGTCACCAACTATAATAACTTCTTCATTCTCGCTGCTGTTTCCAGATTCTCTTTCTTTTCCAAATAATCCTTCCCTCTTTCTCTTCTCACCAGTGTTTGTAGGAACAGACGTCTGGTTGTGATGAAATGGAAACTGTTCTGGAGCACCGTCAGGGCTAGTCTTTTCCATCACAGCTTTAGCTTCGCGTGGCTCCTTCATTATGATATCAGCTTGATCAGGGTAATCTCCTTTTCATCAACAACAATGAGCAAGTGAGTAATCAATACCAAGCAAACAACTGAATATTCCATACCAAGCTCCTTAATTTCTTCCTCAGGGGGGAAGACAAGACGAAGCAAACAACTGAATATTCCAAAATCGGAAGAAACTACAAAGAATCCTACATTTAAAACAAACAAAAAAAAACATTTCTAGTTTATCGTTTTATTTGAAACACATTAGAAAAAAAAAACTAAAAACCAAAAAACCTTTAGAAGCCAGAGCAATACCCAATAGTGTCAGATACAGCGATACAATCCAGGAAGGTATAAACAGACAGAAACGATTCGATCAAGTGTTTACGCAACTACGGAGACAAAATCTAAAATACCTGCGGTGAGTTTCGCCGGATAAGGAAACAGAAAGAAGATTAAGGAGCCCACTCCGTCAAAGAGGCCGACGTCGGAGAAAACCCTTCTCTTATTCTCACGGCGGTAAAAAAGCCCTTTTCCCCAATTTCTTTTGGCGGGAAAAAGTTCACCGAGAAAAGGATAAATGGGCTAACGATACTATGGGCCCAACAAGCCCGGCTAATCATTTTCAATTTCGCATAGCTCTTTTTTTCTTCAAAATATAATCAATCATTTATCTTAAGTTTGTCCAGTTTTCCTTAGGTTTTGAAATTTGAAAATTTTCCGATTTTTTCTCTCTATTTCCCCCCTCTCTCTTTCTCTCTCTTCCCAAATCGATTCAACAACGTCCACTAATTCTCTTTAGAGCTTGGAAGATTCCGAATCCGATCTCAGGCGAGTTGAAGCTCAGGACGATGAATCAGTACCACATATATGAAGCTATTGGGCAGGGCAAATGCTCGGTAATTTATAATCTGCTTCAGCATACCGCGAGAATCTTTGTTTCTCCAGTGTTTTGTTCTGCAATTTTTGTTCAAATCCGTGCGTATTTTCATTGCAGACTGTGTACAAAGGAAGGAAGAAGAAGACGATCGAGTATTTTGCCTGCAAGAGTGTTGACAAGTCGCGGAAGAGCAAGGTGCTTCAAGAGGTAATCACCAGATCTGTCTCCTCTTCACCGAATTAGTGATTCATGGATGGTTTGCCTGAGATTTTCCTGCTGTTATGCTTTGAATCCTTGATTCTAAGGAGTTGATCTCCGGATTGTGACGGATTCACTCTAGATTTGTCAATTGGTGCTCTTTAAGTTTCTATTTCTGGATGATCTTTGCACAATTGAAAGGTCGAATTGATTTTTTAACATTTCTGAATTGTAGTTTGGCTGATTATTGAAAACTTTTGGTATTTATTCACCTCCTTTTCAGGTCAGGATCCTTCACTCGCTAAATCATCCAAACGTACTCAAGTTCTATGCGTGGTAAAACTTACTAGCTAATATCTAAACAATTATTTGGCTCCCTTTATAGATATATTTGTTTCTAATTATCGTCTTCATGTGGTCTCAGGTATGAAACTTCTGCTCACATGTGGTTAGTTCTGGAATATTGCGTTGGGGGTGATCTCAGGACATTATTGCAGCAGGTACGGCTTGTAGTTTAGCTGTCTTATTTCTAGTAGGTCACAAGTTTTCTGAAAGCCTTTTGTTCTGCAGGACTGTAAACTGCCAGAAGATTCAGTCTATGGTCTTGCCTATGATCTCGTCATAGCCCTGCTGTAAGAGCCTTTTAATACCATTTTGACACTATCTCTAGGTGCATCTATAAAATGTTTTCTCTCATGCAGATTTATTTTCCTAAATTTCTCAGGTATTTACATTCGAAAGGAATTATATATTGTGATCTGAAACCATCAAACATCTTACTTGATGAAAACGGACATATTAAGGTACGCATGTTGCTGTCTATTCTCTGCAGGTGCGTAGTTTATGATGATAGTTTATTTGGTTCAAAAGATCTCATATCAATGTTTGTTGCAGATGTGTGATTTGGATGGCAAGGAAGCTAGATGATATTTCGAAATCTCTTCAACGGTAAATAATTGTCAGTCTTTTCTTCTTTCTATATAAACTTTACAGTATTAGTGAATATATCATCTCAAATTACATTGAAAACTGTAAGTCGTAAGTACTTTATCTCTTGTGATGACTTGCATCAGGGAAAACGTGGTACCCCGTATTATATGGCTCCGGAACTATATGAAGATGGAGGGGTCCATTCTTTTGCTTCTGATCTATGGGCACTTGGGTGTGTGTTATATGAATGTTACACAGGGAGGCCTCCTTTTGTGGCAAGAGAGTTTACCCAGCTTGTGAAATCAATTCATTCAGATCCAACTCCTCCACTCCCTGGAAATGCAAGCCGTTCTTTTGTCAATCTCATTGAGTCTCTTCTTATCAAAGACCCAGCTCAAAGAATACAATGGGCAGATCTCTGTGGTCATGCATTTTGGAAGAGTAAGATAAATTTAGTACATTTGCCGCCTCAGCCTGCTTTTGATAGTATGATTGGCATATACACAAAGCCATGTCTTTCCGAGCATAACGGAGACAGACCAAGCAAGACCCCACCAAAGTATCGGGAGAAAGAACCAAAAGGGGGTTCAAAGCACAAGGAGAACTCCACTCAAGTTTCAAGGGGCCGTGAGACGCCACAAAAGGGTACTCCTGGTGGTTCTAAAGCTCAAACAAGGATTCCTAGTAAGGCAACTGAGGAAAAGCATGGAGGTCGTCCGGGTGCTAATAGACAGGTGAATATTCTAAGATTGTCAAGGATTGCAAAGGCAAATCTTCAAAAGGAGAATGAGAAGGAAAACTACAGGAGACCCTTACCTAATAGCAACGAGAACTGTGCTGAAGTGAAGATCGAGAACACTGATATGGAACTTGATTTTGATGAAGACAATGAGGACGAGGGACAAGATGAATCAGAAGAAAACGAGAACACCTCTTGTGCACAAGATGATAGAGTTTTGAGTCAAAATGAGAGTCACAGAACACAAGGAGTTATGAGCAATAATGTGCCTGATGATAACTCGTCTGCAAATGAAACACCAACCTCGGGTGAAGCCAGAGATTGCCATGAAGAGCAGTCAGAGCCTATTGAAGTGTCAGCTGCGCTACCTAGTGCTAGTCCTCAACTTAAAACTCACAGAGGAAGAGAAGTTTCTGGGCTTACTGTTAATCACGACTCGTCTAAAACACCTAACAGCCTCAGTGACGTCCTTTGGCATTTATCTGATCTTTCTGTTAGACCTGTCATGCCCAGTAGAAAATCTGACAAAGAAGCTTTGCCTTCTCTCTCATTTGAAGCACCACAGCCTTCTGATTTTGGTAAGATGGGAAAGCAAGAATTAGAACCGCTTAACAATAGGATCATAACGGTTCTAAGCGGGAGTAGTGCTGCCATGTCAGAGAAACAGAATTTGATCAGATACCTCGAGAAATTGAGTAGCAATGCTGATGCAGCCAACTTATTGACCAACGGGCCAATAATGCTTGTGCTTGTTAAAGTTCTGCGGTTATCCAAGACCCCGGCGTTTCGTGTACAAATTGCTTCTCTAATTGGTTTGTTAATTCGGCATTCTACTTCCATTGAAGATGATTTGGCAAATTCCGGTATTTTAGACTCTCTAACAAATGGCCTCAGAGACAAGCATGAAAAAGTGAGAAGGTTCTCTATGGCAGCTCTAGGTGAATTGCTATTCTACATCTCAACTCAAAGTGAGCATAAGGATTTCAAACCAACAGAATCTCCATCAAAAGAAACCCGGTCTGCATCGGGTTGGCAGGTCAGCTTTCCAAGATTGTTACTCTTAAATTGTAGATCATTTGGCTTTTAATGTTCATGATGTAATTCCCATGGGCCGAAGTACATTGCTTAATCTGAATGTTATATCTTTTCATTTATTCCTAGTTAAACAGATTCTATTTTTTCTTGAACTAGGTTTCAAATGCCTTGATCTCTCTTGTATCATCTGTCTTACGCAAAGGAGAAGATGACCTGACTCAGCTCTACGCGTTAAGGACGATAGAAAACATCTGCAGTCAAGGAGCTTATTGGGCCACCCGTTTCTCCAGCCAAGATTTGATAAGCAACCTCTGCTATATATACAGGGCAGTTGGGAAACAGGAGAGCATGAGGCAGACTGCTGGATCATGTTTGGTCCGTCTTGCTCGGTTTAACCCTCCTTGCATTCAGACTGTTGTAGAGAAGCTTTCACTGAAGGAAATAGCTTCATCTTTTGTCAAAGGCAACGCACGTGAGCAGCAAATCTGCTTAAATCTTCTGAATATGGCTATGATTGGAAGTCACACATTCGCAAGCTTTGGAAGGCATCTTGTGACATTGACAGAGGAGAAAAATCTTCTCCCTAGTTTGCTCTCCATCATAGAGCAAGGAACTGAAGTTCTAAGGGGAAAGGCTGTTCTCTTCATTGCACTTCTCTGCAAAAATAGTAGGCGATGGCTAACAAATTTCTTCTGCAATACAAGATTTCTGCCTGTGGTGGACAGATTAGCCAAAGAAAAAGACAGTTATGTGCAACAATGCCTTGAGGCATTCGTGAATGTAATCGCCTCCATAATACCGGGTTTGCTGGATACAATAACCAGTGAGATCCAGCAACTAATGACAGGGAGACGCCATGGCCCTGTCTCTCCCCTTAACAGTCGAGCTGCTCTAAAGACTAATGCACACTTGTTCCCTGTGGTTCTTCATCTTCTTGGAAGCTCTTCGTTTAAGAACAAAATGGTAACCCGACAAATTCTACGCCAGTTGGCAAATCTTACAAAACTTGTGGAAGCCTCATTTCAGGTCAGTAGTTACACCTTACCGATCCCCTTTTTATATTACTCTCTTACTTCAAATAAAATGCGCTGTGTTATTTTAATTTGCACTTATGGGATTGATTAACTGCTTGTCAACGTTTAAATTCCTTGCCTTATGATAGTTACTCTTCTATAATATGGCTAACATTGCTTATAGGATAGGATTAGAAATTTCAAACAATTAATTCCTGAACTTTCACGTAAATTACATCTTTCCTCTGTTCACTATAGATATATGTTTAAGTATCTAAGATTTTTTAAGAATCTTCTCCATTTACTCTTGTCTTAACCATGGTCTATGACATAGTGAACCTTGATATGACAAACTTGGGCAAATACTCATGACTTGTTAACAATTCGCAGGGAAGAGATGACTTCCGTATAACCCTACTTCAAGTTTTAGAATGCATAGCAGAAGATGCTTCTCTGGTTACACAAAATGCTGAGATTATTATCCGTGAGATTCTCCCATCTTTAGCTTCAATTTACAATGGGAACAAAGATGGCGATGCTCGGTTTCTCTGTTTGAAGATCTGGTTCGATTCAATGACAATTCTCTTAACTGAGTGCACCGAAATCGAGCAACAAACATCTGAGGATTTGAAATCAATATCCAACTCTCATTTCCTCCCGCTCTACCCTGCATTGATCCAAGACGAAGATCCAATCCCAGCCTACGCGCAAAAGCTCCTCGTCATGCTAGTTGAGTTTGATTACATCAAAATCTCCAACATATTGCATCAGAATACAGTTTCACAATGCTTTGAGTTTCTTCTTGGAGACCTATCAAGCGCGAATGTCAACAACGTCAAGCTTTGTCTTGCCTTAGCCTCAGCTCCAGAGATGGAAACTAAACTGCTTTCTCAGCTCAAAGTAGTGAGGAGAATTGGAAATCTCTTGGAATTCGTGAATGCCAAAGACATGGAAGATTTCCTTGAACCCACTTTAAATCTCTGCAGAGCTTTTCTGCTACGGTCACTTGGGAACAAGAAAGGTCTCAGCTCCAATTACACGAAGGAGCCAACGCTTTTATCAGAGACATCTTTTACATTCGAGGTCGATCCACAAGAATGTATAAGAGACATTGCAGATTTCGGTAGCAACATTGGCTTATTCTTGGGCCTCGCTGCTTTAGACGACACTAGCATCGCAGTCGCAGATATTGCTTCTGAATGCGTCGTGTTGCTACTTAAAGCGGCTTCAAGAGAAGCCACGACGGGATTTTTAACCAATCTTCCTAAGATCACACCGATTCTCGATGCGTGGCGCAGGAGGACGAGCACGGAGCAACGACTGTTGGTTTTGAAGAGAATTCTGCATTGTTTGGGTTACGCGTGCAAGCAGTATGTATCGCAGGCGATGATTTTGTCGATATCAGGACATGATGTCTCTAAGATCAACGCCATTGTCTCTGAGATCGCGAACTCAGACGTGGCTGGTCTAAATAGCGTCGCTTCGCTTGTTGCTATGGAGTTGCAGAGGTTGCCTCGTTGAGTTTGAAGTTTACTGAACCGTTACAAGATCTTTCATTGTTATTTGTTTAACGGAACTCATTCTACATTTTCGTCATTCCTCGTTACTAACTAGTTCCATTCCAAATATCATGATGTTTTATCTATAGCAGATCTCTTGAAAGTGTCAATGACAATAGGAAAGGCCTCCACTTTGTATCAAAATTCAAACTCTTCAATTATATCCTTCAAACACATCAACCAGCTAAATCATGCCACGTGGTAAACGAAAGATCAGCTTTTTTCCTCCCACTGAACCTACTCCAATAATCTAAAGACGTACAACTCAAATGCAGTAATTTCGTAGCCGGTTTTAAATTGCATTATCATGGAATGGAATTATTAGTTTAACGCTTCGAATTATCTAATATACAATCATTTTCTTTGTAACAATCCAATAGTGTGCTTAAGATCATTTATATATATATACAATCTTTAGGTAATAGCATAAACAAAAGTAATAAGGAAATTGGGGTATAAAAAAAAAGTATTAAAATATGGAGATATAGAGATTGGTAATCATACAAAATTCATTCTATACATGAGTCATGCTCAATTGCTATGAAAAAATAAAAATAAAAGAGAAATAACTTTATTGAAAATTGAAAATTATGACATATATACTTATAATTTTTGCAAAGATGAGTTACAAGATCTTCTCTTTTCCTCCCAAAAAAAGACTGAGGAGTATTTTATATTTGTTTCAAGGGTCCTCTTGTTTTAATAATATAAAAGCAAAGCTTCTTTTATATAGAGACAGCATCATTACAACTCAAAATGCACTCCGATCAGTAGATAGAGAGAGAGACTGGAGACAGATCCACTAAACTTTTTATTTTCATCATTTTAACCAAAACAAAAGAAGAGAATATGGCTTCCTCGTATCTCAATAAACTTCTCATCATCAACATCTTCTTCTTTATCTCTCTCTGTTCTCCTTCTTCCCTCTCTTCTTCTTTGCCATCTTCTCAAACCATCTCTCCCTTCCAACAGCTTTCGCCGGAGATCGCTCCTCTCCTCCCTTCCCCCGGCGATAATCTACCTTCCGACGACGGCGCCGGCACAATCCCTTCTTCCCCGAGCCCTCCTGATCCCGACACGAACGGCGATTCCTCCCATCCTGACCCGTTGGCCTTTGCTCCCTTCGCTTCTCCGCCGGTTTCTTCTACTGCTCCGCCGTCTCATTTTGCCGCCGGAGTTTTACTCATCTCCGTTGTCGTCTCCTCCGCCTCGCTCCGGCTTCGTGGCATTATATCGCTAAAGTAGTTTACTTACTTCACTTATACATCAATCGAACTTTTTGGTTCTCACGTGTTTGTCCAAATGTATATCATTCGTGAATATAATAAATTATTTAAAATATATCCGTTTATTGTTTCTTAAAGTCATTTTTTTTCTTTGTAAGCTATATAGTATTTATTTAATGTTCTTTCTTTTGCCACCATCTTTACATTTTGAGTAGATGTTAATCGTCTAGATTGAATAATCATTTGAATTTCTATAAGAAAGAATAATCATTTGTAATTGCATGCATATATTACATATAAATAGGTGATCTCAAGTTATAATGCGTTATATCTTCTTCTTTTTTTGAATTATGTATCATTCTAATAAACGAATTATGTGTTATCTCAGGACCAATAAACGAATGGAGATTCATATCTAAGTATTACTTTATATTTATGTACGTCCATTATACGTTTGTACGAGCCATAGACTTTTATATACCGATATATATTCAATTCTTTGTGTTAATGGGAAGAATCTATGTTTAGGACCGTTAGGTGAACTTCATTTGTCTGTTTCTGCTGTTGCTTTGTTCCTTTTTCCCTGATAAAGGACCTTCTGAAAAAGTTTAAATCATGTTTTGTGGATTTAATTAAAGGCTAAGCTATGAAGTAAGTATACAAAAAGAAATTTTTTTAAAATACTAGGAGGTAATTAGTTTAGAAACTACTCCTATATATGGAGAGAGATATAAAATTGTTGATATGGTTAAAAAAAACGCGAAGAACCTATACATATGTTTACTTCTTGTACAATTACATAAAGAGATGTGTACTAATTATATACATATGATTACCTCAGATATGTAAATATGGATACGCAGATTGGTGATAAATATGGTATATGATATTCAACCACATAAATCCAATCAAATAATTGCAGTATTCCAAAGTGCCAAATAGTTAGAGCATGCATGTGAGTTGCTCCTGACGGTGCCAAAGCATAAAAGTGTTCTTCTCCTCACACTTTTAGTTACTTTCTAATTTTCATAATCCTTTTTTGGTCAAATCACAAAATAGTAACTTTTATTTCATTTTTTTTCTGACGTCTTACCCATCTCGACGAAAACTATTATTTCATTTATATAAACATACGACTTTATAAATTAAGGTTTTGTGCGTGACAGATTGTATGTAGTGTGATCACTACAATGTTGTGTTGGAGTTGGTGCCCACTTACTTTGTCTTTAGGAGTTATATGAAGCTCCAACATATATATATATATCATCAAAAGAGCCCATACTCGATAAAACTTGATAATCTCTACATTTAATTTTTTGTTTAGCACACGGGATATACAAGTTCAACTGAATAATTGTAATTGATCATATATCCCAGCCATAACAAAATTCAACAACTCACTATCTCAAAAATGCAAGATCTCATTGAACTCCACAATTTTGAGGTTCTTCAGTTATGATTCAACATCACACAACACGAACGCCGCTTAAATACACTTAAATACACTTAGAACATCATTATCCCTAAATTTCTTAAATAAGTTCTTAAGTACTTTTTAATATTAAATATAGGTTAAAAAATTTTATTAAAAACTTAATAATTTTAGTGGTATATCGATAAAGCTCCAATAAATTTCTTAAAAAAACAAAAAAAATATAATTTGTCCAATGCCTGTGCGAGAAATTAGTCTGTTCATAATTATTTTGATACGTGTGCGAGAAGAACCGATTCTTCCAGTTCCATAAAAATCGATTTTTATTGCTTTTGGACTTTAAACATTATTTTATTATTTTTTTGGGTTAAGAAACCCACTAAAACTACTGGGATAATGATGGTCTTAGACACACGTGCTCTGTTTCTTGTTATAAGCTTCAAACAACTCCGGTTCACTCAACTCCTTGGTTTAATTTTAGCTCAGATTGTATCGATAAGTTGAGTTCGCAAACCAACACCATGCTGTATAAACTCAAAGTGTAATACTGACCACATATTGTAAGCCCAGGCCCGTATTTAAAACCCATAAACTTAAACGACTTTTATAACTCAGGCCACAAAGTACAAAACAAAACTAAACCTCACAAATCCAATGTGTATTGCAAACCTTACAACTATAACTTTTTGTTTTTGTTCTGATCTGATAATATATGCAAGTATAGGCATGAAAGATTACAGGCAGTTCGAACAGATTACAACCCCGTCTAAGGAATAATTCCTTAACCTGTACACCTAATCTAATCCATATCACTCCAAACAGGTTAACAAGAAGATCCTAAAAATTAAGTTTATCAATTAGATGATTGAACTCTTATCTATAAACGCCAGTCCTTCGTGACAATTTGTGCATGGACTAGCTCCTCTATTTGATGCCGATTCTTCCACTCCTAATTTCCACGTTACCTAAGAATCCAAAATCTCAGTAGCTTAGAACTTGAAAATGGCCACGCCTGATGCTTATTAATAGCCTTAACCAGCTCTGCCACTAGATGACTATCTATTTTGTAGCTAGTCATGCTTTCAAATAGCCTATAACACTCTGATTAGCTTTGCTTCTTCACCATCATATCCAAAATGCCAATGAAGGTTCTGCGGCAGTGAAGAAAACCACCCCCTTCAAAGTATCTCACCACCAATATATGCACACCTTACAAATATAAAATATTCTTTGCTTTTGATAAGATATGAATAAACGATCAAGGAATGATGACTGTGAAACTACAAAGAGACGTGAACGAGATCATATGGCCGGTCCAAAAGGTATGGAATTTAGCTAGTTACTATGAAATGTATATTACTTAACTGGAACAGTGGAATAAAGAAAACGTTGATTATCAATGTTGACATTTTGTACTGCGATATAATTAAAGGGACGTACGAGTTATAAATTAAAATACAATATATTATCTACAATAATGGTTAAAAGCTATTAAATAGCACTGAGCTTGGAACAGGACATGATTAATTATACAGAATTAATTAAGCAAGCACCCAATACTTATCTAGAACTATTTCTTATTGTTGTTTACTTGTTTTCATTCAAAAAAAAAAAACTATGGAAACGCCTTTTTTTGTCAACAAATTAGTTAGGTTTGGCTTTAAAAGAAGAAAGGGACAAAACACGAATGGAATAGAGCATATTAATATATAGAGTACCCGCATTTGGGTTATCCACTCATTCGAATGAAAAAAAGAAGAAGCATGACGCTAACCTACGTTACCACCCACCCAAATTTGTTTATATAATAAAAAAATGATCTATGATTGAACCAAAACAAAAGATCTATGGCTAATGATTCATTTACATTGTTCAATTCATTTTGGACCAAGTAACCAAACCCACAAACATACGATTGCGAATTTCCACTGCTGATTCTATCTTACTGTACACTTTTTAAATATATGCCTTTTTGCTTATGTCGATGGTTAGCTTGAAATTCGATCTCTATGATTTACCATTATTTTGTTTTCTTAAAACACATACGATAAGAGTTAATAGTACATAATTTCTGTTTTTGGCCTGATTTTGATTGTAGAATATATATATTTTTTGGGGTAAGACGAGGTCCTTTCAAAAGTCGTCTAGGGGTAAGAACTTAAAAGCCCTCGATTTCTATGACTTTTTTTCTATTTTGAAAAGCTTTTCATCTCCCTCTAAAAGTCGTATTGCTACTCAAAAAAAAAGAAAAAGAAAAACAAATTGAAGGTCAAATAAATAGGAAGGGACCGAATGAAGTAGAGAGGGCCATGGCCTACTACTTCTAGTAATTTAGGAGCGATGGTTAGATATTATTTCTAAGTGGGTCCCCATGCATGGACCTCCTTATAATATCATACTTTTTTTACTATTTATATATAGCCCATGAGCTTCGTTGGCTTTTTTTTCTTTAAAAAAAAGTTGTATGCGATATGAATATTTAAATTAACATTATAGAATAACAAATTATATATGTGATTTGAAGTAATTATCTAATTTTAAACTTATTTACAAAAAATAAACACATATTTTAAAAAAATTATTGACAAACCCGAAATCTTATCCAACCCACCGATTTCTCAGCCACTATAGGTTTTATCATCAATAACCAGAATTGTATTTTTCAAGAGGTAAATTAACTGTAATAATATATATACTCACCCTTTCTACATTTTCTTATCAAAAGAACAGTTTGCGCTTGATTGGAACGAATTAAATAAATTAAATGTATAAATATTTATTATATTAAAACAGAAACAATTTTAATACTTGTTTCTAAACACATCTAAAACTTTTTTTTAATAAATAAAATATATATATATATATATATAAATTTAATTCTAAAAATTAAATATTAATTTAGATAATTAAAAGTTTCTTTAAATATAGGTTATATCTATAGTCTATAGATATTAATTTAAATAAACTTTTTTAAATATATGTTAGATTTAATTTAACATTTGAAATTCAAATAAAATTTTCAGAATAATATATATGAATTTAATAAATATCTTCTTATATTTTTTTAATCATATTGTATTAGATTAAAATTTCACATATTAAAAATAGATAAATATTAATATTATATAATAATTTAATAAAACAAGTTAAGTTTTTTTTATAATTATGGTTTTATGCGGAGTTAGGTTATCAAAACATTTAAGATATTAGGAAAAAAATATTTCAACATTAGTAAATATTTATATTATAAAGTAATATAAACGAACGGTTTAGAATTATAATTTTATAATCATTGTCTTTTTCGGATTAATAAAACGAGCGAGTTAGAAATATATTTTTATAATAATGGTCACTTTTAAATTAATAAATTAACCGAATTAAAATTATGTTTTTATGATCATAGCGATTATAATAATACTGAAAAAAATAAAAAAATTATATTTAAATATAATTTTTTATCACTTATTAAAAAATTATATTTTATAAAGAAAACATAAATTAAATAACAAATTTTAATTAAAACAAAATTCCTGTGCGAAATGCACGGAGTAAAATCTAGTTGGTGTTTAAAACAAAAGTACAAATGTTGTTGTCATCCTATGAATTTATGAATTTATGAAGATGATTGATTTTTAATTCGATATCAAAATAAACAAAGAAAATGTTTTTCAGAAAGATCATCTGAAATATATATAACAACAAAAAAAAAATCAAACAGTTTCTCAAGAAAAGAAATAACAAAACAAACTATTCCAATACAGTTTTGAGTTTTCAAATCAAATAAATATAATTTTTTGAGTTAATATATGCATTGGTTGTCGCCTTCTTTTTCCATTTATAAATGTACCCCCCTTTGCCAACTATAGTACAAACGTCAAAATGTAACTATTATTTTTGTCGGACTATAATTTACATATTTAAGTACCAAAAAAATGCAAAGAAAACAAAAAAACACATTTCCACAACCAAATTTCTTAGTAGAAGGAAACTATCTTCAATAATTGTAAAAATCTACTTTTGTTCCTTTCAACAACACCACCACCACTTTCTTCTTCTTCCACCTAAAACCTCTCAATCATTCATTCTCTCCTGAGGCTGAATCCTTCTAATCATATCTTCTTCTTGATAAGTCGCATGACCATACGAAGCTTATTCCTAGAGATGCGCTCGAGGTCGCATCGTGTGGTGCACGACCTTGCCGCCGACTCCACTCCTGCTTCATCGGAAGCTCATCGCTGGTCAGAGATCCCTGAAGAGCTTTTAAGGGAGATTCTGATCAGGGTTGAGGCGGCTGACGGTGGCGGGTGGCCGTCGCGACGCAGCGTGGTTGCTTGCGCCGGCGTCTGCCGCGGCTGGCGGCTACTAATGAACGAAACCGTCACTGTCCCTGAGATCTCTGCCAAATTGACTTTCCCCATCTCTCTCAAGCAGGTTTTCAGTCACAATCACTCTCTCTGTTTATACATCTCTTGTGTGTGCATATGTCTGTTTTGATTGAATTAAGACATAAAGTTACGATTTTTGTTGATCATTTTCAAATTCTAGAGAAATGGATGACTGAATTTTGATGTGACTGAGAGCGTTTGCGTTTGTATTTGCTCTGAAACGAAGAGTAGCTCCTAATCTAAACTATGACATTGATTATTTAAACCAGAGATATATATGAGCATTTTCTTGATTGTATGTGTTGGGTTCTTGTGTAGTTCTTCGAATGTTGTTTAATCGAAAAGGATTGTTTTTTTTTGTTGGTGTGTATCGTTGTGCAGCCTGGCCCAAGGGACTCTCTGGTTCAGTGCTTCATCAAACGTAACCGAGCTACACAATCATATCATCTATATCTCGGATTAACCAACTGTAAGCATCTATCTCTGTTTAATCTCTTCTTCTCTTTTTGTAATCGACAAAACATATCTATTGGAGTCTGTTTTTTTGTTCTTCTCGTTTTCTCGGTTCTGCATTTGTTTGATTGACATCTTTCTTTTTCGTGTCCGTGCAGCTTTAACGGATGATGGGAAGTTTCTGCTTGCTGCTTCTAAGTTGAAGCACACAACTTGCACTGATTACATTATTTCTTTGCGTTCTGATGATATGTCGAGGAGAAGCCATGCGTATGTTGGCAAAGTGAGGTGCGTATATACGATCAAACAATAGTGAGTTAGAGTGTACTAAAAAGGATTGCAATTTTCAGTATTGATTAAAGAGTCTTATACTATTCTTAGCATTTTGAGCTTGTGGCACTGATAAATTAGAAGTCTAAATAAAACTAAATACGGTTCCACTGGAGGTTCTTTGTCGTTTTATTTTTTCTGTTATGTTGATAAATATGTGTGAACTCTTGTTGATATTTTTGCTCTTTCTAAACTTGTCGAAGATCGAACTTCCTAGGAACCAAATTCACAGTCTTTGACGGAAATCTTCTGCCTTCAACAAGACCCGCGAAGCTGAGGAGGAACCGATCTTCTAATCCCACAAAAGCTTCACTAAAAGTTCCTCTTGGAAGTTACCCCGTTGCTCATATCACATACGAATTGAACGTCTTAGGATCTCGGTAATGACTCCAAATGTTTGTTGTCTCAATTTAATTACTTTTTTCTAAGAGTTACTGCAAAATGAAAATGGTTCGAACTATTGAACAGAGAGTATCATTTCTTTGGACGAGTTCTCAAAGAAATTAAGGTCTTAATCGGTATATTTACAGAATACATATCTTTTGTTCCGGCTCGGCTTAGTTCATCCAAATTCGTAACCTTTGGTTTCGAGAACATCTGATATGTAATCTCTTGATGGTATTAATAGGGGACCAAGAAAGATGCAATGTGTGATGGATACAATACCTACAAGTGCAATGGAGCTTCGAGGAGTAGTTTCAGAACCATCAGAGTTTCCTTTCCTCGGTACTCGGTCAGCTTTTTCCAGGTCTCAATCAAAACCATTACGCAGCGGCTCGAGCCACCTGAAAGAGACACCATTAGTGCTGAGCAACAAGACACCACGGTGGCACGAGCAGCTACGTTGCTGGTGCTTGAATTTCCATGGTCGTGTCACAGTGGCTTCAGTGAAGAACTTTCAGCTGGTGGCGGCGGCAGCTAGCAGTGGCGGTGGCGGTGGCACGGGATTGTCACCGGAGAGGCAGAGCGAACGGATAATACTGCAGTTTGGGAAAGTCGGTAAAGATATGTTCACGATGGATTATGGATACCCTATCTCTGCTTTCCAGGCTTTTGCCATTTGCTTGAGCAGCTTTGAGACTAGAATCGCTTGTGAATGATTTTTCTTTTTTTCATCAACTTGTTGTGAATGATTTGTAAGAATTTTATTGAGGTTAGCTTTTAAAGAGTATTTTGTTGCATTGTGTAAATTGTGATGCCTTTTAAAAAAATCATATGTTGTATCTGATAACGCTTCAGGATTTATGTATTGTGAAGACATGGATACAAATAATTTTACAGTAATATGACAACATCTATATAAAGGCTAAAAAAAACAGGAGGCTTTTTTAAATCTATATACAAATATGAATCTGCATTTTCATCAAGCGGCTTGCAAACTAGCTGCACCAGTGCCTGAACCTATGCTTAATGACTCGGCCACATTCTCTCCTGCTTGATCTTGTGAGGATAACTCGAATTGGTTCATGTTCCGGACAAAGACTGCGAAAGCATGGAAATGCTCCGGAGAGAAGAAACGTGCTCCCATTCTCTGGTAAGTGAACAGATCAATTCCTGCATTCTCATCTTCTAGATTCTCAACGATCCTCTCGAACCCACCAGGGACCGGGACGGACGAGTTTTGCCCTGACACAACCACTCCTTGTTTCTTGCAGGATGTTTTGATGTGGGCAAGTAATGACTCGGGGCTCGAGAGAGATTCCGGTGGTTGGTGCTCGTCCGATAGATCCATTCCAGGTATTATCATTCTACAAGAGTTCTTTGCAAAGATCTCTGCGATGGCCTCGTACCTGTCCTGCCCATTAGAGCTGTAGAATCCAGCTGTTAACTCAGAAGGCTGAGATCTTAGCTTATGCCATTGGTGTAAGAGAGGTAGCTTCCCACACACAGACACTCCACTTCCGTTGAATGCGGATGAGGCAACAGAGAGGACTCGGTCTGCATGGGAGATGAGAAGAGACGAGTACCAAGATAAGAAGAAATCACCGTATTGAGATTCCCAGGACCCGCCATCTGAGAAGAAAGAAGAGGAATGAGGCTGTTGATTGTAAGTAGGAGCATCGTGTGGACCACCAAGTCCCCAAAGAGGGTTTCCTGTGGATTCAGCGTACTGTTTAAGAGCAGAAAGCATGTATTTGTCGTAGCACTGGAATTCTCCAGCACCAGAGAACTTGTCGTCGTGTTGATGAGAAGGATATCTCAGCTCACCGTCTGGTCCCATACCTAATGTGATTCCCTGTAAAACATTGAGCAAAAAATCAGGAACCAAAACCAGAGTAGACAACTTGAGAAAGTAAATGCAAAGCAAAGTCTGATATGATTACCGTGATTGTATTTCCCATGTAATCTGAGAAAGCAGACTTGAAGCTCTCGCAGAAACCTCTGTAAACCTCCATAGGAGTCCTCCCATCAAGAACAGGAGCATCATCGACTGCAAACGACAAACAATCATGGTACTGGTTTCCATATCTGTCTGTAAAATAGAGCCCTGGTTCAGCTTCGCCGATCTTTGACACCCAGTCAGGGAGACCTATTTCCGGGTCTTTTGATCCGTGGAAAGAGAGTGAAGCGTGAAGCTTTAGTCCCACCTTCTTCACAATCTCTGCCACTGCTAAGTAGCCTGACCATTCATATTTTCCTGCAGCTTCTTTCTCAACCACTCCCCAGAAGATTGGTAACTCAATTCCCTCTACACCAAGTAGTTTTAAAGCTTTGAGCCCAGCCGTGATGGCTTTCATGTGATTCACGTTGTAGCAGTCTGAAACTGTGTCCAGTGGAAGCCCAACAAATAATTTTACGCTCTCAAGCTGCAACAAAGGAAACAATGAAAACAAGTTTATATTCACCCTTCAAAGAGGAAGCACGCTTCACCTAGCTCATTTACCAACTTGTTCAGAATTGGATAACAGATGAAGAACTAAATTTTGCTAAGTTAGGCGCTAATCTGAATTAGGATCACTGAACACTGCTATATAAGAATCATTACTCATTTAAAATGTATGGGTATTATATATCACGGGAAAAAGGAGACTTTTTTAATCCGATTTCAGCAGATTTCCCGGGAAATGATAAATTTAGAGAAAGACGAATCGACAGTCAAACCCAAATGAACTATCTCAAGTCTAAGCAAATGTTCATAACAAATCACAGGGTCTGAATAAATCTGAAGCATTTTGAATTAATAAAAGTTAAGAACAATAGCAATCGAGGAAGAAGAGAAGAGAATAATTACCGATCTAGATTTTGGAGTGGAATTCAGAAACGGGACTTGATCGGAGATGATGGCTTCGCATTTGACAGACCTAGATGAGCACCGGATCCCAATCTCCTTCAGTTTCGAGATTTGGCTCCTGAAACTAACCCGATTTCTCGATTCACCGGAGATTACTTCGGACCCAAATCTAAATCCGAGCTCCCTATACACTAACTCTGATCTGCAGATCCTTGCTTGAGGATTTCCAATCACTGAAACTTCCATTTGACAAAAGAGAAAAATCGATACAGAATCGAGAGATCGAAGAGGGAAAGAGAGAAAAGTAAAGCGAAAAAGAGATCCTTATCCTTTATCCAAATCTCACCAAAATAGCCAAATTAGTAGCAAAGAAAAATGAATTACAAATTTTTTTTAAAAAAAGTTATTTGTGGATTTCTTGAGGATTTTGGGTTTGGTTATATAAGAAAGAAGAATTAGGAAAGAGAAAGCCTAGTGGATAAACGGTGCTCTCGTGGACACTACACGTGTCATCACCAGAATGCTCCCATACTTGTAGCCGCTTATAATTGCCTTTTCGTTTTTCTTTTTCTTTTGCCGCATTTAATGACAATATTGATGTTTAAAATGCGACCACAAATATTGAATTATTAAGGAAAGCATGCCATATTTTTCTTCGTCAACCAAGCAAACATTATACAGAAAAGTATTTCTAGTGGTATAGTTCAATGGAGAAAAAAATGAATGATACAGATCAATAGACAATATATCTGCGTCAAAAAGAAAGATAGAGCTGTCAAAAGAAAACAAAGAAAATAGATCATGACAATGGACTAAAATACTTAATTTTATAATAATGGTGAAACCTTAACAGATTTTTTTTTTAGTAAGAAAGTTAGAAAATAACCAAAAAAATGGTCGTTGAAAAATAAACCCTCGCAGAGACATAACCTCACTACAAACGAATGAACCAGCATACACTAATAATATGAAATTTGGCTAACAATTTTTGTTCCTTTTAATTACAACTATTATTCTACAGTTTATGTTTTGAAGTTAGAGTTATATTCTATGTCAAGTTGGTTAAGTACAGTTGGAGTATCGAGACAATTGAATCTTATCCAAATTAAATGTATAAACCTATATTAGCTGGATAAATAGATTCAGTGAATCACATATCCAGAACCGTTCTGATTGGTGACTATACTCTACATTATATAAAACTATTAAAATGTATTTTCTAAATGTTGCTTCCCCCAGTATTATGATGGGCATGGCCGCATGGCCTAAGAATACAATCAAGTCGAAGGAACAACAAATTATTTCCTTTATCAACAAAAAAACAACAAATTATTTCCATGCATGATGCATTATTGGAAAAACACAATGATACTCGTATAGTTAGAAACATCGATGATACGCTTAAAAACAAAAACAGATCAAGTGGATAATATCATTGTATTGTCCCGAGAAAAATCGACGTGGTAATTTAAGAAGGCCACGTCAAGTCAAGTTGTCAATGACGAGGTGGGACTTTTTAAATAATTAAATTTTCACTGGGTGTGATTTGAATCAACGTACGGGTTCAGACAAGTTGCCACGTGTCGTAATATGGGAGGTTTTAAATATCCACGCTGAGTCAGGTCCATGCAACTATGTCCCTCAGATTCTGTAGTACTGTGAGGCTGCGACTCTTTTTTTTTAATCGACCACATCTTCTCTCTCTCGCTGCCCCCTGTTTCTCTAGAGATCTCTGTGTGGTTCTTATAACTTGTTTAGTTTTTCTTTTTAGAAAAATATTAATCTATATATCTCGTAGTTTTTTCGTTTCTTTAGTTTGTTTTTAGTTTCTGTAGGTTTTGCAGTCAAAGACAGAGCGAATTAAAATCATATTTCCTAACGTTTACGGTTAATTTATTCAGTAAATTCAGAAACATAACATCAGAAAGTTATAAGAGCGAGTGTAAATTATCTTCACCTCTGATCAGTGATCAAAAAGTGTTTTTCCACTACTGAATAAAACGTGGCCTGAAATCTTAATTGATTTTTTTTTTTGTACTTAAGACAGTTAACATAAACTAACTAAGACTTCAATGTAAATGGTGTTATCCACAAATACAAGACAGGAACTCTGAGATCCACCTAGCAAATTCTCAAGCCACTGAGAACTTGGCCTTTTTTTAAGTCACTGATAGTCTATTCGATTAAGAACGTTTTTCACTTCCAGTGATAGTTGTGTACTTATGTTCACTCCAAGTGAACGTTTTATTTTTTCCTTTTCTCGATATGTACTTAGTATTACTTACAGAGGTATAGTTAAAGAAAAAGTGTTATATATCCTTAGTTGAAAGATAATGCTTTAGCAATTCTCAATCTTTAGCGAAACTGGAAGTGTTGGGTCAAATGGTGTTTTAGATATGTAAGCCCAACCCAAATATTTTCAAGTTGCATGTGAGTTGTGCTTCACACGTCAGTCACGTTCACGCCCAACATATTTAACGATTGTAAGTTTGTAACAAGTTCATCCGCGATTGGACGTTGGTAATTAACCTGCTTTGATCTCAAAAAGTTAAAACTTTCGTAAAAAATAAACCATCGTGTACGATCAAAACCAAACAAAATCATTAGACTCAATCTGGCTAATTAAGAAAACATAACTTTTCCTGATAACTAAAGTGTCAATGTAGAAAAGGAATACATACAGTAGACCACGACTTAAATCATCTTTTTAAGAACATAATTACTTGATCGAGTAATTTCGTACGTAACAACACATTAAAGAAACACAATGTCGACTAGTTAATTATACATTGACGAGAGACCATGTCTAATGTCTTAAGTCTCCGGACCATCAAAATATAGGTAAATAAAAACAAAACAAAAAAAAAACATATTAAAACATAGATTTATACATAATTAATTAAAACAAGAAGTTGGCTGTTACAAGTCCAACAAAAACCATTTTAAAACCCAAATTACCAATCATAAACTCATCAAACACAAATCCTTCTCATCTGCCACAATTCATCTCCTCTTCCGTAGACTCACCATATTGGATCTTTAAGGACACAATTAAGAAGAATGGGTGGCATGTGTATGTCTTCGTGTTGTGGTGGTGGTGGTGACGATGATGGTTCGAGTTTAATAACACATCTCATCATCATTCTGGTCGTCTGTCTCTCTCTCATGGCCGTCTGCACCTCCAATGAACGCCGTACAGCCGTCCGTGTTGTCCGGTGCCGTTGACCGGTATATCATCTGACATCTATATATCAAATCACAACTCTACAAAAAATAAAAAGATTTCTTCGGATTCTTTTTTTATAAATGTATGTTTTGATTCTTGGTTACTGATAAATAAAAGATATTTTGGCTTTGGTTCTTGATTAGTGATGAATTAAGGCTTTTTTTTTTATACCAAAATTGATGGATCAGAATGATATATAGCACATAAATTCCTCCGAAATTTTACCAATACTAAACTATCGGGGTAATTTTGAAATAGCTTAATATATGCGGGGCGATATTGAAAATTATATTGTTTGTGTTTGGGGATGAAGAAGAAGAAGATCAAACGAATCATATTATCCAGTGGTCTCACATATCATCACTACACTTCGTCTCTTGAAAATAAATTCCTTGGCTTTCTCGCACTTTCCCTCTCATTTTCTCATCATCGAAACAGCATTGTACAGCGATTTTTAAAGAATGTCCCTTTGTGCTTCCTTCAACGTATTCGCTTCATACTCACCCAAACCTAAAAGCTTCTTCAGAGATTCCAAACTCGTTTCACAGATTCAGGTAAATTCGTCTGCTTTAACTTCAACTTTCCAAATCCATGAATCCTCGACGAATCTAAGATTCAGGAGGAGGAGACTCAAACCAATTTCATCTCTAGACGCGGGAATCTCAGAAATCGCTACATCGTCTTCCTTCAGGAACAAAAACCCCAGCGATATAAACGTTCTGGTGGTTGGTTCGACTGGGTACATAGGTAGATTCGTAGTGAAAGAGCTTATCAAAAGAGGGTTCAATGTGATTGCTGTCGCGAGAGAGAAGAGTGGGATCAGAGGGAAAAACGACAAGCAAGAGACGCTGAATCAACTTCAAGGCGCGAATGTGTGTTTCTCAGATGTTACTCAATTAGATGCTCTTGAGAAATCTGTTGAGGATCTAGGTTTAGGCATCGACGTTGTTGTTTCCTGTCTCGCTAGCCGTAATGGAGGGATCAAGGACTCGTGGAAGATCGATTACGAAGCCACAAAAAACAGTCTTTTCGCTGGTAAGAAATTCGGTGCGAAGCATTTCGTTTTGCTCTCTGCGATCTGTGTGCAGAAGCCTCTCTTGGAGTTTCAGCGTGCGAAGCTCAAGTTCGAAGCAGAACTGATGGATTTAGCAGAGAGCCAAGACCCGAGCTTTACTTACAGTATTGTGAGACCAACAGCTTTCTTCAAGAGCTTAGGTGGTCAAGTAGAGATTGTGAAAGATGGGAAACCGTATGTGATGTTCGGAGACGGTAAGCTATGCGCTTGTAAACCGATCAGCGAGCAGGATTTAGCAGCGTTTATAGCTGACTGCGTGTTGGAAGAGGACAAGATCAATCAGGTTTTGCCTATTGGTGGACCAGGGAAGGCCTTAACGCCAATGGAGCAAGGAGAGATCTTGTTCAGGATTCTTGGGAGAGAGCCTAAGTTCTTGAAAGTACCTATAGAGATCATGGATTTCGCGATTGGAGTTCTTGATTTTCTCGCAAAGATCTTTCCTTCGGTTGGAGAAGCTGCTGAGTTTGGGAAGATCGGGAGGTATTACGCCGCGGAGAGTATGTTGATTCTTGATCCAGAGACTGGAGAGTATAGCGAAGAGAAGACACCGAGTTACGGGAAAGACACGCTTGAGGATTTCTTTAAGAAAGTGATCAGAGAAGGAATGGCGGGTCAAGAGCTCGGCGAACAGTTTTTCTAGTGGTGAAAGTTTATGCAATATTGAGCTTGGATGTGTATGTAACTGATGAGATTATAAATATTAAAATCTGTATTCATTGACTGCAACAACAATAAGGAAACACAAGTTGCAGAGACATTGGGTCTAAAAGTAATAGCTCTTTTGCAGAGAGAAAAGGAGAAGAACATGTAGCAAAGTATCAAATTATACACTAAGGTTGAGACAGTAATTTAAAGGAATGAGGCTACTTAATCGAAATAGACTCTCCAAAACCTGAGTTTTCGACAAGTCTCTGAAAACATTATATCCAGGTAATTTTCCTGGGTCAAGAATACATAGATAGTATTACACATAATCCTCACTTTCCAAACACCCAAGCATAGATGGTAAAATATAACCATATAAGAACAACAACAAATCAAATCATGAGGAAGACAAATGTGTGTTTTACTTTTGTGACCAATACATATTGATCATCAATCTTTTCTGTTTTTTTTTTTTTTCTTTTCTTTATGTTATAACCGATCATCAGCACCAAATTTTTCTGCAACAAAAAATGTTCTTGCTTACTTTCTGGTGGCAATACATGAGAGATCTTGGTTCTGTCATTGAGGAAGAACAGGAGGTCCAATCGCTCTCGTGTTGTAAGATCTGCAATGTCCACATTTCTGTCCGATTATGTGGAAGTACACTTCTGTTGTGTCGTTACAGTCGTTGCATAGTATCCAAACCTGTGATTTCCGCAGAATCTTATCAGAAAGTATTCAACTTTGATGTCAATTCCGTGAAAGTGCTTTACCAGTCTTTAGTTATTTACCTTCTTGTCGCGGTAATCTGAAGGCATAGCAGTGGCTTCGATCTAAGGAAACAAATGAGACAATTTGATATTCTTCAGCAATTGATTTGCATATTTTTTAACATATGTACTTCAAAGATTCAACAATGGATTTAAACTAACCTCTTCATCCATTCTCAGCCATGTTTTTGACATATCAATCACAGACCTCGAGCAAATCGGACAACAAAACCTACGCAAAATTCACACATTTCAAAATCATCACAACTACCCCAAAAAAACCCACTTTGCGGTTGAAGCAGAGACATAATTAACTGTGAGAAAACGAAAAATAAAATAAAATAAGAGTTACTTGTCACGCTTAATCATCTCGTGGTAGCATTCACAGTGCATCGTGTGTCCGCATTTCATCACTGTTGTGTCCTTTAGAGAGTCAAATAGGTACTGCAGCCAAAAAGCTTTTTCACTCACACACACAATTTGCTAAAACCGCGATATGTTTTCCTGTGAAAATATCGATTTTTACTGTTGAAAAGTTAAGTAGCCTTAACATACATACCTCGTAACAGATGGGACAGTGATGCCGCATTGAATTCTCAACGCACCGATGGTTGTTACGCAGACCGATCGCATAACATGATCCTAAAGGCAAGAAATGGATAGTTTTACGAGTCAACAACTTATGACTCAAACTGGTTAACATAGAAAGAAAAGTTCAGTGCTTTTTCTTTACCACATTTCTTGCAATGGAAGAAGTTCTCACGGCCACCAATTCTGCAACACACCAAGAATTGCCGCAAAAAGAAAAAAAATAATCACATACTTCAAACGGATCAATATAAAGAGGAAGATAATCTATTATACTGTATGAAGAAAGATTCTAACCTGCAAATCCCACAGTCATCACAGTGGAACTGTTGTTTTTCAGTCTGAAACAGGACAAATAGAAGCAACGATAAGAATCAAAATATCGACAAGGAAAAGATTTAAACAGGTGTAAAAATCAAAGTTCTTTACATTGTCATCATAGAATTTGCAGATATTGCAGAAATATTCTCCCATTTTGACACCACAGTTGGAGCAAACTTGAGCTACCTAAAAACACGTTGAAACAAACCCAAATTCACACGCGATGCAGAGAGCTAAAACATCGAAAGTGATCATTATCTAACTCACAAGAAATGTTAAAAGCAATTCAGACTATAATGATGAGAATTACCGGCTGCTCTGTATCGCAAACAAGACAAATTACCTGCAGAAGAAAAAAAACGCCGCAAGACGCAACAAATTAGAAGACAAAAACGTGAATTTGGTAAGATCACATAATTCAATCAAGAAGATGATATCGTACTTGTTTAACGTCTTGACGAACAAGCTCGTGACGGTCATAGATATTACGCAATGTGCTCTGAAACATACAGAAATTTACGAAGGAATATTTCAAACTTAAAAATCAGGTTTACGGTTGGGATTTTCCCGGGAAAATTAATTTAGGACTGTAATTAATTGAGATCATACAGTGCTCTCGTTGTGACAATGGCGACAAGCGAAGACTTCGTTGCAACATGGAGCTCTGATTAGGCATCTCCTCCTGTAATGCTCACACCTATCACACATGGAAGAGAAACGATTTGATATGGATCAGAAACGGTTAAACTGGATTCAATATCTGTGGATCGAGACAGATCTATGGTTTAAAGCAACAACAAGAAAAACAAGAATCGATCGGGTTTATCTGAATCAAGAACAGATGAAAACCCATGAATCAGATGTGCAAAAAGGAAGAAACTTTATGAATCAGAGCTTAAGATTATTGGAGTCTACGAGATCACAAAGCAGAAGAGACGAATCGTCGTGGACCATAACGTGAAAACGAGAGACGACCCACAAAGGCCACAAACCAGGAAACACTGATCTGTTACAGCAGACACTTAGAGATTAAAAGAGAAGAAAGAAACAGAGTATTTTCTTTACCCGAAACCCATCTTGCCAAAATGAAGGCGATCATTGGGTGAAGCTTCCATGATAACAGGAGGAGAAAAGCCGATAGTGAGAGAGAGAAGGAGAGAGAGAGATAGAGATTGGAAAAGGTAAACTCTTCTCTCTCTATATATATATATTTTGTAAAGAAAAGGATTTAGATTGATTGAATGGGCTTCGAAGCCGATAGTTTTATCGGAATCGCTAGGCCAGGAATGAAATCAGACCCCACGCCTTGTTTTTATAGAAGAAGATAAACCCACAAATTATTCAATCTTCCGTTTTACAGAAATGAAAGAGAGAAAGAAAGTAAAAGCTTGGATCTTTTTTACTTTTATTCTCTCTCTTTCTCTCTCTCCTTTTGAATGTTGTTAGCTTGGGAGTTCGTGAGATTTGTGTAGCTTTAAAGAAACGGAATCAATTAAGGGAGAGAGAGATAAGGTGAAGAAGGTGGAGGGAGTTGGGATGACATGGATGCAACCGTAACAGAGAGCGCCGAATTATTGACCAATCACAGTTCTCGATCGTTTATCTTAGCAGACAATTCCTTCTATTTATCCCCCAATACTTTCTTTATAATAAAAAAGACACATTTTGTAAATTGTAAATTTAGTAAAGAGATAATAAATGACCTATTTGTTTACCAATTGGGTTTTCGGACGACTAAAGTTAGTAATTTTTTCAAGAAATTTTCTAAAACATGCTGCCAGTATTTTTGTTTTCTTTGAGTTTCTCGAACATAGTATACTATTATAAAAAGGGCCTAAACCCTAAACCATAATAATCTTTTGTTTGTTTTAATAATAGATGTCCTAAAATTAATAAGAAGTTACAACAAAAGATGTCTTCTATCTAAATTTGCAAAACCTATTGGAATTAAAATCTTTTACAACATGCAGAATTACAAATGTTACTGGAACTGTAGCTAAAAATCAATTTGTGTTGACTGTTGAAGTTTATAATTTTTTTGGTATTATAACCAAAATTTAAAATTATACTACTTTTTATTTATTTTATTTAAAAATATGTTAGGTTTGGCGAAAACAAAAGATATGGATAATCATTTTGAAGACAATGGTAGTACAGTGAGTTGCATCCTGCGATAAAAAAGGTCAAGTGTTCGTTGCTTGAGTCAGTTACATTGCCCCCACCAAACCCATTGGACCACGTGATGGTACTTCGAACCTATCCATCTTAATAGTTATGATTACTAAAAATGAAAATAAAATATAGAATATAGAAACGATGAACAAAATATATTGTGTGTTAATTTTTTTTACGACATATTGTGTGTTAATTATCCGTAGGCTGCAAATAGTATCTGGTTGAAAAACATATGTGAAAACTGAAAAGAAAAAAAAAAGAATGGAAGGGAACATATGTAGCTATTCCGGTATTCCATATCCATTCTTTTGACCAGTTAAAATACGAAAAAATCATTTATATTTTTGCGAGAAATAAATAAATCAGAAATTTGCAGAACAGTAATGATATTTTGATTTTTTTTGTTAAAAAATATATTTTGGTTTTGTTCATTTTACTTTGTTTGCTTGTATAGATATTTGACAAATTAGACTCGATCGTGTCATAGATATTAGTGTTGTTATTGTTGCTGAATTGTGGAAAATACTTTCTTTTTGCTTATTTCACTGTAAAATTGATATAATAGATTTTAAACGTTTAATCAATCATATTTTGACTTATTATACAACTTTTATATGCTAATATAAGTTATAACATATGAATCCGGAGTAGATATCTCAACAAGTGAACCTATGTGATATTTAAAAGAAAGGTGAATTCCAGTCTTAACTCGAGCCATAAATTCAAAGAAAAAAAGTAATAGTTTAACAGGCTCGAATCTCCGGTATAACCAGATTACAAACAGTTAGTTGAAATCTCATGGGGTTACTAACATATAATTTTTAACTTAAAAAAAAAGGAATATATATATAAAATGACGTGGGATGTGGAGAATGTTAGTCAAAGGCTACAAAAGCATTCGTTTCGTGTACATCTTTACAATACATGTAGGCCACTTGACATTCAGATCTCTATCCCTACAAATGAGGCTTCTACTATTAAATTATAATTTACAATATAAAATAATGCATGGCGATAGGGTTCGCATATCATAAAAATGTATACAATTAAATAGTATTTGCTGTTGAAAGAATAACTAAACCGATAAACAAAAAAAGGTTTTATGTGAATAAAAACGATAAAGGCAATTTTTTTGCGTAAATAACGTATATTTCGAAGAATTTTCACGTATCAGCTCGATTGGAGGCCTAAATCAGTCCATATTCCATTGAAAAATAAGACAAATTCAGATAGAGTTTATCTTGAAGACCCGATTAGTCCAAACACTTTATGTGGAACGAGTTCATCAGAGTACTTTGTAGAGTGTTTTTGTCAAGTTAATGGTGCATCATTTTCAACAGTTCCCTACATAGTCAAATGGAGGTAGAAGAAGATGAAACAACAAATGATGCATTTGAAAGAAAAGAAAAAACCAAAAAAGGAACACAGAAAGATAGTGATTAAATTAGAATGTTGAATCATAAAAATCGAATCTATCCGCTACTAAACAGTTTAACAACCATCTCTGAAGCATGTAGATAAGAAAAACATTTATCTCTTTGGAGCTCCAATTATATGTCATCTTTTAATTGGTGGAAACTAAAGAGATGTGTGAATATTATATAACACAGAAATTCATCATCCATAGATATTGGATATTCATTCACGTATTTACATAGTTGATTTCAATATCCATGTGAAGATATGGATTTAAAGATTTAACCTGGTGTTTTTTTTTCTTACAACATGCTATCAACCTACGAGACTATTTACAGAGTCTTGATTATTATATGTACAGTTTCTTTCACGACCACAAAGAATCAAAGAACACTTCTTCTTTCTCCACATCTGAATCTCCCAACCTCTCCCTTCTAAGCAAGCAATTCTTGTTCAACACTCGAATCAACCAGCTTCTATAGACTAGAGATTCCGATTTTGGATAGAGTTTTCGTTTCAATCACCTCCGTTGAAGGAACTGTCCGCGACAGGAATATGTTACCCTTTGAATCTTTCCTGCTGTAACTCTCCATCTCATGGCTCATCACTATGTTGCATTGTCTCCAAGTCTCACACATCAACTCGACCCCAAAGTAACTTAAATGGTCGGATATGCTAGTTCCCATTACCGATCTGAGAGAACAAAAGTGCAACAATTATACTGGATTCAAGTCCAAAAACTGTCATGTACCCAAGTGAAAACATAAAACATAAGCCATGTTGTAAATATTATAGTAAAAATGCCCTGCACCCAATTCATAACATCAAACATAAGCCATGTCATCCCTCAGGCAGAAAGTGGTAGTAAATAATGATCGTATGCTCCGATTTGCCTGAAAAAAGAATAGTTACCTGCAGCAAGTAGGATCTTCACCGGTGTTGTCACAAACTTTCTCCACACCAAAAAGAACATGTTTCAAAACACTGAAATCTCTGACCCACACCTGCAACCAAATGTTGCATAAAAATCTCAAAACTGTTACTCTGATGAACAACAAATGTACCGGAGGACGCTGAGATAATAATAGTAAAAGACGTTACCTCTGTTGGGAAGTGGTGGTATGTTTTTTGAGGGAAAAGATAAAAGTAAGGAGGCAGATGAGGAACTATATCTCGGTCATGCGTGATCCGGAAGGTATTAGGCACTAGCAAACTGTAATATGATGCAAAAGCGGCATTCCCAATACGAGGTTGCCCAAATGTCATAACTTGGACGTTTTCTTCTCCTTCATTTACCTGAGATTAACAATTTCACATCCCAATCGAAGTCAATTAACAACTTCAAAGGACATAACAGTAAGATATAACAAAGTTCAAGTCAGGTATGATTACAACTAGGTCGAGCCCACAAAAAGCAGCCATGGCTGCTCCCATTGAATGACCAGTCACCATGATGTTGATGTTCGCCCCATAGGATTTCTTAGCTCGTTTTACTGCACCCAGAATTGCAGGACGTACAGTAGTATTGTGATAAGCACTGTAGAAGCCATGGTGAACCTGCCAATGTAGTCAACTATTAAAAATTCCACCTTACTACATGACAATCCCCATGACAAAAAAAATTGCCGTTAAAGTCGTACCATTGCATCAGGCATATCAGGGTAATTTAGATCGAGCTGTTTCCAGAACAAGTCTGAGACCCAATTTTGTATGCTGCGCAAGTTTTGGGTTTGATTAAGCATCATCAACCAAGTTTAGGCAAAGATGTGTAGCTTATCAGATTACATTGACGAGAATAATACCTGTGTTCTTGAGTTCCTCGAAATGCAATAACGATAGCATTCAAATCCTTAGCCCACCCAACATATCCCTGTTGTTACAAGTTAAAATGAAATGATATCCATGATTGTTCAACGAAAGAACAGAAAGTCCTAATATAGCTTAAGAAAACATGGCAAACCTGTAGGCAGTGCTCAATGTCAACTATTATCTCAATCACTTGAAAACCCTGCAACATCCTAGAGAACGTTAGAATACTCAACTGAAGCTACTAGCTTATTTAGAAACTCTGGCTTCAAACAGTGATCTGCCTTATACCTTTGTCAAACCATTGCATCTTTCGCACGTCCAAGTGAAGAGTTGTGTCAAGTCCGACATATAGACCTGCAAAGATATATAAACTTGATTTATCAACCTGCCGTACTTTATCAGCATAACCTCTCTTCTCTACTAGTGCAAATAACGATAAATCAAAACATGAAGAGGTTGCAAGTGTTTGCAACATCTAGTATTCCTTTTTATCACTGCAGTAATTTGCCATTAACTTACCGCAGAAGTATACTCCACAAGTGTTAAGGCAAGCGTATGGTTGTAAACAGGTCGACCATCATCGCTCCTCGTATTAAGAACTGCAATCAGAAGAGAGAAGCTCACAATAAGTTCAAAATTTTCAGTCTTAATGAAACATCATTATCCTAGAGTGAGAATACAGGTCTGATTGTAGATTAGCCAGAGTAAACTGTCATCTTTAAAAGCTTCTTATCTTAAATTAGGCTCAGAGAGACTAAAAAAGAGAGAGAGGGAGCTGAAAATTGAAGTCTAAAGAAAGGAAACAGATGCAGAAATCATTAGACAAGTTGCGTTATTACCTCTTCCACGGGAAAAGAAAAGAAGACAAGCAAAAATTGCCAGGAAGAACAAGCACCTCTTTTGTCCCATATTCTGCAAGAAGACAATAAGCACAACCACATCATCTTCTGTTCATCAATTAAGAAACAAGGGTGAAAATTGAGCTGAAACAGAGCATAATTCGGAAGCAAATTAACCCAAAAATACAGTTAAGCTTATAAAACTAGACTCACGAAACCCAAACTAAGGAGGATTAGAGCAAAGGCCCCCAAAGAGATTTACCAATTAAGTCCAGAAAAAAAAAAAAGACAAAACTGAGGATCAAAGCAAGCGAACCAAATCCTTTATGAACGCAAAAATGGGGAAAATTCTAGGAGACTAGGACAATGATCGGATATAATCCCCGATTGGTTGAAAAATATGCGATTGCGAATTGCGGAAGAAGAAATCGTTTAGGAATATTCTCCTCTATCTTCTTCTTTTTTTATATGATATTTATAATTATGATTTTCCAGTTTCAATACGCAAACGCGAAGGAGAGACGCGTGTTAGCTCTTACAAAGGGTATTATCGGAACTATAGAATTCCGATGTTCAGCTTCGGTTGCGTAAGCTCTTCTCTTGTCCCCGCGAAACTTTGTGTCTGAAGACGGAGATTCCACTCTGTTGAAGACTCTTTACAATTCAGAGGGTATGATGTTTTGCAATCTGTCTAGAAATTATTTTATCAGGTATAATTGAGAAAAAATTAAATTTAAATTACAAAAAACATATGACATTATCCATTCACTTTACATACAGTTCATGCCAATATCAGTCTGATCATAAATTAATAAAAGATTTAACCAGACATTCTTTTTGCTACCCGCTACCAATTATTTACAAAGTCTTGATTATATATATGTACACTTTATTTCCAATGATCAAGGAAGCCTTCTTCTTCATCCACATCTGAATCTCTTCAAACCCCAAACTTTCCTTTTCAAGCAAGCTTTTCTTGTTTAAGACTCGAACCAACCACACTATAAGTTCCGACTTTAGATAAGAGTTTTTGTTCCATTTATGGTCGTGGAAGGAATTGTCCGCGACAGGAATAGGTTACCCTTTGAATCTTTCCTGCTGAATCTATCCATCTCATGGCTCATCACTATTGTGCATTGTCTCCAAGTCTCACACTTCATATCTACCCCAAAGTACCTTAAATGGTCAGATATGCTATTTCCCACCACCGATCTGAAACAACGTGAACCAAGGACTTAATACTCGATTCGTGTAAGAAATGTCTGGTAAACTGAGATCTAAAACATGAAACATAAGCCAAGTTGCAAGTTGTAACGATTACTAATAGCCATCAGTCGGGTGAAATGTGGTAGTAAATAATAGCCCTAAGTTTCTATTTACAGGTTTGTTCTCACTAGTGTAGGTGTCTTGCGGAGTGGAATTATATCAGCAAGTTGTATCGGATTGATAGTTACCTGCTGCATGTAGGATCTTCACCTGTGTTGTCACAAACTTTCTCCACACTCAAAAGAACAAGATTCGAAAAACTGAGATCTCTCACCCACACCTGCAAACCGAAACAGTCCATTATCTCTTTCATCGGTTCTTCCAGACAGTTAATAAACCAGGCGGAGAAATTACACTCAGACAATGGAACCAAGTAGTCCAGATTTTTGCATAAAATATAGCTTTTAAAATTAAAACTGCTATTCTGATGAACATATCCACTGCACTGAGAAAGGTTACCTCTGTTGGGAAGTGGTGGTATGTCTTTTGAGGGATAAGATAATAGTAAGGAGGCAGATGCGGAACCATATCATGGTCATGGATGATCCGGAAGGTGTTGGGCACAAGCAAACTGTAATAAGATGCAAAATCGGCATTCCCAACACGAGGTTGCCCAAATGTCATAACCTGTACATTTTCTTCTCCTTCATTTACCTGAGATTTATATCATCCAAATCCAAGTCAATTGACAACTTCAAAGAACATAGCAATAAGAAATAGCAAAATTAGTTCATGTCAGGTATGTTTACAACTAGGTCTAGCCCACAAAAGGAAGCCATGGCCCCTCCCATTGAATGACCAGTCACAATGATGTTGATGTTCGCCCCATAGGATTTCTTCGCTCGTTTAACTGCACCCAAAACTGAGGGCCGTAGAGTTGTATTGTGATAAGCACTATAAAAGCCATGGTGTACCTGCCAATGTAGACAACTATAACACGTTCCACCTTACTACATAATCAACTCAATCACAAAAACTTGCCATTAAACCGTACCATTGCATCAGGCATATCAGGGTAATTTAGATCGAGCTGTTTCCAGAACAAGTCTGAGACCCAATTTTGTATGCTGCGCAAGTTTTGAGTTAATTAACCATCAACCAAGTTTAGGCAAAGGTGTACCATTTAGATTACAATGACAAGAATAATACCTGTGTTCTTGAGTTCCTCGAAATGCAATAATGATAGCATTCAAATCCTTAGCCACCCCAACATATGCCTGTTGTTACAATTAACACGTATTCAATAACCATTCGATGAAAATATTTCCAGATGTAGCTTATGATATCAGGGCAGACCTGTAGGCAATGGTCAACGTCAAATATTATCTCTATTACTTGGAAGCCCTGCACCATCCTAAAGAACGTTAGGATGCCCAATCGGAGCTAGTAGCTTTTTACATACTGTGGCTTCAAAGAGTGATTTGACTAAACATGTGTTATACCTTTGTAAAACCATTGCATCTTTCACACGTCCAATTGAAGAGTTCTGTCAAATCAGACGTATAGACCTGCATACATATATAAACTTGATTCATCCATCTGGTGCACGTTATGAACATAATCTCTCTTCTCTACTAGTGTTAATAACAGTGCTGCTAACAAGAAATGAGGACAAGTATTACGCATCTTGTTCCTTCTTTTCTTGGAGAATATTAAAGTTACTAAAAAGGATGCATTCGGTAAGGAAATACAGTGTCAAGGAAAACACTTGTTACAGGCCTTTTTGATTACTGTAGAATCTACCATTAACTTACCGCAGAAGCATACTCCACAAGTGTTAAGGTGAACGTATGGTTGTAAACAGGTCGACCATCATTGCTCTTCAGCTTGAGTACTGCAATTAGAAGAAATAAGTCACCATAAATTTCACTTCCCAAGCTATATAATTACACAGAAGTTTCAAATCTTAATCAGGCTAGAAAAGGAAGATATACAGGGAGAATGGAAATCTGAAGTCCCCAGAGAGGAAACAGACACATAATTATCAATGTAGTTGCATTATCACCTCTTCCACATGAAAAGGAAAGAAGACAAGCAAAAATTCCCAGCAAGAACAGCCATCTCTTTTGTCCCATTTTCTGCAAGAAGGCTATAAATAAATACATCCACATCATCTTTTGTTCATAAATTAAAACAAGGGAAAAATTAAGCTAAACAGAGCAAAATTAGGAAACAAATTAGCAAATAAAATTAAACAGTTCACCTTAAATAAGAGAGTCACGAAACACAAACTAGAGAAGATTAGGGCAAAAGCCGCTAAGAGATTTCAGTAACCAAATCCAGGAACTAAACAAAATCCGAAAAAAAATTGAGAATCAAAATTAGCGAACCAAAGCTTTGACTAACATCTTTCACCACGAATGAAAATTTCAGTCGATGATCGGAGATAATCTCCGGCTGGAAAATTGAACGGCGACTTATAGAGCGTTATGTGCGAATGCGAATCGCGAAAGAGAAGGTGAAAGAAGAAACCGCGATGAAACACGAATATTATTTTTTTATTTAAATTCCACTTTCATCCTTTATACGCAACGGCGTTGGAGACAAGCGTGTTGTATCTTACTAAGGGTACTATTGGAAATTTAGTTGTAGCGTGTCACAGCTTCGAGTGCTGAGGTGTCATATGCGTGATTCGGCGGGTTATATGGATAAGGCGGGTAAAGAGAATAAAAAATGTTCACTTTTTTGACTTTTTTATAAAATCTACCCTCGTTAAATTGAATTTAACCACAAGCCCATGGGCCTCTCGAGCCCAATAGTACAAACCACAAAGTCCAAGGCGGGAATTTCCGAAACTCTCTTTCTCAGGTGGCGGGAAACTCAAGGTCACGTGGCACATCGTAGCCGTAGATTTGATCTGTCGAATCGACGGGTTATAATCGGGCTCGAAAGTTGCGGTCGTTTCAAACGTCGGTCTTTGACTCTTTTTGTTCTTTGCATCTATAAAATTCTAATTTCACTTTTGTTTATTTAAGTACCCAAAGCAAACTCAAGAACCCTCGATCTCAGACAAAATCTGGAATCGTAGAGAGGCGTCCATGACGAGAGCTTCGAAGCGGGAACTTTCTTCAGACGAGGCTTGCTCGTCGGAGGAGCAAGTTAACGATCAGGTCAATGTGGAAGAAGATGATGAGGAGCTCGAGGCCGTTGCTCGCTCTGCGGACTCCAACGAGGAAGATGTTGCCCTTGACGAAGCACCTGTCTCTGACGACGAGGTTGTCCCTGCAGAAGATGACGCCGACGAGGTAGCTTACTCTCCCTTCTTCGATCGCATTCGCATGTTCTCTGTGCATCTGTGATTTCGGGGATTGCTGTATTTGGAATTTTTAATATCGTCTAAGCACGATTAGGGTTTTGTTTGGGATTCCTTTATGCGTGTAATGAATGGTGTCTTTGGGTCCTGTATTCGATGCTTTAACTTTCGGGCGTCTTTTAAGTTCGAGTTTATGGTGTTGTCCTTTGTTTGTTTCGTCGCTGGATGGAATATCTAGTTTGAGCTCGGGTCGTAGAGTTTCAATTCTTTTATTGTTTGAAGGTTTCAAATTAGGACTACTTACAAATGCTGCTTGGTCGCATATTATGGTGGTACATCCATGTGACTCGTGAGGCTAATTGGTCATTTTTTTTTTTCATGATTTGATGATTATATGTAGGAAGGAGTAGACGAGGAGAAAGCTGAAATCAGCAAACGTGAGAAGGCCAGGCTTAGAGAAATGCAGAAGATGAAGAAGCAGAAAATTCAGGAAATTTTAGACGCCCAAAATGCTTCCATTGATGCAGATATGGTAAGCTAGTAATATATTGTAAGGATTTGAGTTGCTTGTCCTTTACATCCAGAGGCATTGAAAATTTTCAATCCTTCTATGTATTTAGAACAACAAAGGAAAGGGGAGATTGACGTATCTTCTGCAGCAAACTGAGTTATTTGCACATTTTGCTAAAAGTGAACCATCGCCGTCTCAGAAGAAGGGGAAAGGAAGGTGTGTTGAAGTCATTGATCTCAAAATAAATTGTGGTCACTCATTTGAAGTTGCATGAAATATGATGGCTTAATTTATTGGGTTTCAATTTATCTTCAGGGGTCGTCATGCTTCCAAACTAACTGAAGAAGAGGAAGATGAAGAGTGTTTAAAGGAAGAAGAGGGTGGTGTACCTGGATCTGGAAGCACACGATTGCTTACACAGCCCGCTTGTAAGTACCTTTTATCTAGAAATGGCGCATAATTGCGCAAGTCTTTGTGACCAATGCCCAGAAGTTATAATAGGATTTGACACCTTATGGTCACTTCTCTAATTCTTGTTTTACATATTACCTCAGTTGTGAGCTCACAGTTTCTAGGTATACTGTGCAAGTTCTGTAGAATTTTAGAGATCTGATCTTCATACTATTCATATTACAGGTATTCAGGGGAAAATGAGAGACTACCAATTAGCTGGTTTAAACTGGCTCATTCGATTGTATGAAAATGGGATAAATGGAATTCTTGCAGATGAAATGGTAAAGCACTTCTTATCCAATCATTAACGAAGGTTTTTCAGCTCGCTATTTTATCTGATGCTAATCTTTACATATTCTAATGTTCCATGGTCTAGGGTCTGGGGAAGACACTTCAAACAATTTCTTTGTTGGCTTACCTGCATGAATACAGGGGAATTAGTGGCCCTCATATGGTAGTTGCTCCAAAATCAACCCTTGGTAACTGGATGAATGAAATTCGCCGATTTTGTCCCGTCCTGCGTGCTGTGAAATTCCTTGGTAATCCTGAGGAAAGGGTGAGTCACAAATGCTCTGCCATTTTAATGGTCGTATCTATTTGTGTCCACCAGGATTCTGAAATGTATATTCAATAATGCAGAGATATATTCGTGATGAACTGCTAGTTGCGGGGAAGTTTGACGTTTGCGTTACAAGCTTTGAGATGGCTATCAAAGAGAAGACAGCCTTGCGTCGCTTTAGCTGGCGTTATATAATCATTGATGAAGCCCATCGAATCAAGAATGAGAATTCACTCCTTTCAAAAACCATGAGACTTTTTAGCACTAACTACCGGCTTCTTATCACGGGAACCCCACTTCAGGTATTTGTTCAATCTCATGATCTAGAATTGCTTAGATGTTAAAATAGTTCGATAAAAATAAAAAAAAATCTGACTGTATGTTGAACCCACTTTTTTCATGAGTTTGCTTAAAAAGTCTTTTTGATTATACATTGTTTGTACATGCTTCTTATATCTTTCGTTCTTGATTTGTTTCAGATAATTCTGCATTGATATAAGTCATATTTGTTCTTGAATACAGAATAATCTCCATGAGTTGTGGGCTCTTCTCAATTTTCTTCTGCCCGAGGTTTTTAGTTCAGCAGAGACTTTTGACGAATGGTTTCAAATTTCTGGTGAAAGTGACCAGCAAGAAGTTGTTCAGCAGCTTCATAAGGTATGTACTCGTGGTTATCAAGTTTCTTATCTCTGTTGTTATGCTAATCTCTTCCCTCTCATCTTTTTAGGTTCTCCGACCATTTCTTCTTCGGAGGTTAAAATCGGATGTAGAGAAAGGCTTACCTCCAAAAAAGGAGACGATACTCAAAGTTGGCATGTCTCAGATGCAAAAACAGTACTACAAGGCGTTACTGCAAAAGGATCTTGAAGTGATTAATGGTGGTGGAGAACGCAAACGTCTGCTGAACATAGCAATGCAGTTGCGCAAATGCTGCAACCATCCTTATCTCTTCCAGGGTGCAGAGCCCGGTCCCCCCTATACCACAGGAGATCACCTTGTAACAAATGCAGGTAAGAGTTACGTTCAAATTAGATCCTCCAGATATTCGTGTTCAGGTGTCTTAGTTATTTCTGTTACATTTCTTGTTTCTAGGTAAGATGGTTCTCTTAGATAAATTGCTACCTAAGTTGAAGGAACGCGATTCCAGGGTTCTGATATTTTCTCAGGTAAACATTATCACAAACAAATAATGGTTCCTTTCTGTGTTTCCTTTTGTCTGAGTGCCATTCCTCTTGTCGTGTGCTTATTCTAATGATTTTGGTCATCTATATCAGATGACAAGGCTTCTGGATATTCTTGAGGATTATTTAATGTATCGTGGTTACCAGTACTGCCGTATTGATGGAAATACTGGTGGTGACGAACGAGATGCTTCCATAGAAGCGTACAACAAGCCAGGAAGTGAAAAATTTGTTTTCTTGTTATCCACTAGAGCTGGAGGGCTTGGTATCAATCTTGCTACTGCAGATGTTGTGATCCTTTATGACAGTGACTGGTAAGCTCTTTTCTTGTCTATTGTAGTTAAAGAGTATTTTCTTCATGCTTAATGAGAGGGGGGGGAGTCTGGCAGGAATCCTCAAGTTGACTTGCAAGCTCAAGATCGTGCACATAGGATTGGTCAAAAGAAAGAAGTTCAAGTATTCCGGTTCTGCACCGAGGTTAGTCTTCTACTCATTTAGTAAGAAATACATTGAAAACCGAGAACTAATGTATTGGTCATTTACAGAATGCTATTGAGGAAAAAGTGATAGAGAGAGCTTACAAGAAGTTGGCACTTGATGCTCTGGTAATTCAGCAAGGGCGTTTGGCAGAACAGAAAAGTAAGTGTTTGTGTACTGAGGATGTAAAATGCATTGATCTGTCTCTTTAATATTTGTCTTATTTCTTATAAATTGGTTTATTTACTTTACTTTCAGCCGTTAATAAGGATGAGTTACTCCAAATGGTGAGATATGGTGCCGAGATGGTGTTTAGTTCTAAAGATAGCACAATTACGGATGAGGATGTTGACAGAATCATTGCCAAAGGAGAAGAGGCGAAGGCTGAACTTGATGCGAAGATGAAGAAATTCACTGAAGATGCAATACAGTTTAAAATGGACGACAGTAAGCGTCTCATGATCCGTTTTCTTGTATTGATGGTAACTCCCGTGCATGAGTGATGGGAGATCCGAATAATCCAGTTTCCTGTTTGTTGCAGGTGCTGACTTTTATGATTTTGACGAGGACAATAAGGTACTCTTGCATAATTAATTGAACGGTTCAAGAAAATGTTCAACCCATACTGTGCTGACGCTTGCACTATTTTGAATAATTTTTTTACTGAATTATTTTCTATTTTGGTAGGATGAGAACAAGTTTGATTTTAAGAAGATTGTAAGTGAGAATTGGAATGATCCACCAAAAAGAGAGAGAAAGCGCAAGTAAATCTTCTTTTTTTTGTTGCATGGTCTATTCTGTCTTCCTAAACAACATCCATATTAACATTTTTCTGCCCACCCTTCAGCTACTCTGAAACTGAATACTTCAAGCAAACATTGCGCCAAGGTGCTCCAGCTAAACCTAAAGAGCCTAGAATTCCTCGCATGCCCCAGTTGTAAGTATCTCCATTATCTTTACTCTGCATTGAGCCCTTTTCCTGGATAGTAATTTATCTTATATATCTACTTTCTTTTTCATCCCGCAGGCATGATTTCCAGTTCTTCAACATTCAGAGATTGACCGAGCTATATGAAAAGGAAGTGCGACACCTTATGGTGGGGTTTTTATTTTGGAATATAATTTATCAACTTATAATTTATGCAACTTGTTTCTCTGATTAGTTTTAATGTGATTAAAAGTAATCGCAATTTCTTTCACTTTGATATCAGCAAACACATCAGAAAACTCAGATGAAAGACACAGTTGAAGTTGATGAACCTGAAGGTCAAGCTTGGTTTCTCAGTCTGTGCCCTTTTTTCTTACATTATTCCACTGAACCTTTTACTGATTAAGAATTATTTTCTCAGAAGTTGGAGATCCCTTAACTGCTGAAGAAGTGGAAGAAAAGGAGCAATTGTTGGAAGAGGCAAGTGAAACCATTTGAAGTTACAGTGGGTTGACATATTTTTATGGGCTTTGTATAATGGAATATAGCTGATTGTTTTTCAGGGTTTCTCAACATGGAGCAGAAGAGACTTCAATACCTTCATTAGATCTTGTGAGAAGTATGGCCGGAACGACATAAAAAGTATTGCCTCTGAGATGGAAGGAAAAACAGAGGAAGAGGTTGAACAATATGCTCAAGTTTTTAAAGAGCGATACAAGGAGCTGAATGGTAAGTAACTTTAGATTATTAAGTAAGTTTATGAGTGTCTGCAGTAGAATACGGTAGAATATTTTTGCCTCGCAAAAGAATATTATGCTGATTAAGCTTTACCTCTCACCTTCTAAAATTTGTAGATTATGATAGAATCATCAAGAATATTGAGAAAGGGGAAGGAAGAATCACTCGGAAAGATGAAATCATGAAAGCTATTGGAAAGAAACTAGATCGCTACAGAAACCCGTGGCTGGAACTGAAGATTCAGTATGGACAGAACAAAGGGAAGCTGTACAATGAAGACTGTGACCGTTTCATGGTCTGGCATCTATTATCCTTCTTTGTTTAAAATTATGTGGGTTTAGATTTCACTGTTTGTTTCATTCTTACATGGCATTGACCCGAGGAACTTGTGATTAACAGATATGCATGGTCCATAAACTTGGGTATGGAAACTGGGATGAGCTAAAGGCGGCTTTTCGGACATCCCCCTCGTTCAAGTTTGACTGGTTTGTAAAATCCCGAACAAGTCAGGAACTTGCCAGGAGATGCGACACGCTGATCCGGCTGATTGAGAAAGAGAACCAAGAGTATGATGAGAGAGAGAGGCAAGCCCGTAAAGAAAAGAAGCTTGCAAAGGTGAGGACTCGAAGTTGACATTTTCACATACATGCTTTAGTGCTTGGTTAATGGTGAGAAACGCAGTCGAAATGTTTCTGATCATCTGCTTTATAAATTGTTTCAGAGTGCAACGCCTTCAAAGCGAGCTTTGGCTAGGCAATCAAATGAGAGCAATCCATCATTGAAGAAACGAAAGCAGCTGTCAATGGATGATTTTGTGAGCTCGGTACGCAAATTCGTTTCCAAAATACAGACTTGTTAATTTTGCTGGTTAAGTGATTGCAAATCAGACAACTCTTTAGATAACACAACAAAAGGGTGAATCAATTTGTGAAAAGTTTTACAAGTTTAAATAATGTTGGCAAGTACCGTGTCGTTCTGATTTTAACTCAAAAACTTTCATGTCTCTGCAGGGAAAGCGTAGGAAATAAGGAGACATTAGTTGAATCCATTCGGCTTACGCAGATTGTGGTTACTTTCCGTTTTAGGTATGATTCCAATTTCCAAATCAGAGATTTCAAGGAGACCATTAGTTGAATCCATTCGGCTTATGCAGATTGTGGCTGCTTTCAGTTTTAGGTATGATTCCAAATCAGAGATTTGGTTATAAGGCCAACCTGATATTTTGTATTCACAAATATCCTCAACAGCATTATTTTTGGCTACTCTCTTTGCTCGTACGTGTAATATCATTTTAACCTTTGTAGAATCTATATATGTGTAACACATTCCTAGCTTCAGCAGTCGTTACTCTATAAATACTCGTTACTCTATAAATACATCTCAGTTCTGCGTTTGTGATCCCTCCTTAAATTCTCTACAGGAGTGACAATGGTAAGAAGCTGACTTAGATTGTAAGACTCACTTCTTTTCTTTTTCTCTCTTTCCGAGAGACTCGAATCCATACACAGGATACATTAAAAATAGAACAGAAAAAGAAACATAAAAATCGACTCAAATTCTCCCTCCCATTACATATACAACCCATTTTGGAAAAAAAGAAAAAAAAACCCCAAAAACATGACTTGAAAAAACCTTTTCTTTCCCCTCCTAATCGTCCAACATCTCTCTACTCATCATCTCTTCCTGCAAATGTTCTTGAGCTTCAACCACAATATTGAAGAGTCTCCCTTCTGACTCAGACATCAAATCCGACAACTGACAGACCCGACCCGACATATGACCCCAAAAGTCTCTCCCTTTGCTTCTTGCCACAAAGACGAAATTTCCTCTCCTTTGCAAACATACAAATATTTTGAAGTTTTTTCCCTTTCAGTCATTTGAACTATCAAAGCTTCCCGGTCCATTGGTAGCTCTTTTCCTCTCCCTCCAATTCTCTCCCCACACTTTTGCCTCCGCCACCGCTCTCTCTCTATCCAAATCCCGGTTCCTCGGAGTCCCTCTCGTCGCTCTCCCAACACTCGCTGGACTCCCTCTCTGTGACTCTGTCCCTTCCACATCGCTTAATCCCCACTTTCTCCCTGACCCGCCTCCTGTCTCACTCCCTGCCTCTGATCCTGCATTCACTTCCCTCACCATATCCCTTCGTCTGTAATCAGGAGAGTTCTTGTGTGTCGCTGGTGACCCTAACCTGCTACGAGTCTCTGCAGGACTATCCAAGCTACTCCCATCTCCCATGCTTCTCCTTTCATCCCTCGTCCTAATAAACGGCGGCCCACTACCGCTTCTACTGTTTTGACCGCTTGACGCGTTAGGGTCAAACGTTTGAGAAGCCAAGTAAGTAAGAGCTGTCACCACGTCTCCGATCAGCGGTCTTGTCGCTGCTTGTTCCTGTAAACACATTGCTGCAACCGCTAGCGCTTGATATAGACCACGCATTGGATACCGCCCTTGCAATGATGGATCCGCCATCTTCGGAAACTTCCTACGATCTTTGAACAACGGCCTAGCCTGTGTAATCCAAGCAAAAACCAACAAGGGAAACAGAACCCCACCGGTTCAAGTAAGCAGAGTGCATAATAAGTTGAGATTTTTTTTTCTCTTTTGGTTATATGGGAAAAAGTTGAGATTTTTAACATACCCATGCGACGAGGTTGTGCTCTCCCGGCGCTCGAGCATTATCAATCGCTTTTCGACCCGTGATGAGCTCGAGAAACACAACTCCAAAGCTATAAACATCAGATTTCAATGTGAGCTGCCCGGTCATGGCGTATTCTGGTGCACAATAGCCATATGTGCCCATAACACGTGTTGAGACGTGTGTTTTGTCGCCCACAGGGCCCAACTTAGCTAACCCGAAATCAGATAACTTCGGGTGGTAGCCATCACCAAGAAGAATGTTGGATGATTTCAAGTCTCTGTAGATCACTGGCGGATTCGCCTTATCATGCAAATACTCCAGTCCCTTCGCTGCTCCTGCAGCTATTGTCATTCTCGTGTTCCAGTCCAGAGGCTCTTTATCCGGTGGAAGATCTGAAAAAACAAAACTATAGTTACTCTGCGTAGAACTATTTACAAGCTACGGTTTCGAATCGTTTACCATAAATAGGTTTCTAAGTACAAATTAAGAAAATCTAAAAACTTTTCCAGTGTATTAAATGAAAGAACACTAGACTACGTGCCGTAGTTTCTTCTATTTTTGAATTCGAATAACCTAGCAATTGTTTCCTATCCATACCAAATGGAAATTCCATTCTAAGAGCAGGTAAATATCTATAAGCTTACCATGTAGATGATCCTCCAACGATCCTAGTGGCATATACTCGTACACAAGAAGACGCTGGTCACCATCAGCACAATAACCAATCAAATTGACAAGATTGGGATGATGCAGAAGGCTCAGCATAAGAACCTCTACAAGAAACTCTCTGTTTCCTTGTAGACCATTTCGATCTAGCTGTTTAACAGCTACTATCTGCGACACATGATATCCAATCCATAAAATTAGAAGAGGGGTTTGATTATGATAAAATAAAAGGATGATTCTGTTAACTCGATTTCAAGAACTCCACCTGTCCTGTGCTCTCTAGACGACCCTTGTAAACACGCCCGAAACCTCCTTCTCCAAGAAGGCATTCCGGTCGAAAGTTTTTAGTGGCGGCAGCTAACTCTCGGAAAGTAAACGTTTGTGCAGCGATATGAGCAGTTGGCCCTTCTTTTGGAGCGGTTATCTCCTTCTTATGTTCAGGACCTCCTCGAGACTTTGATTTGTCTACAAAAAAGAAGAAGGAAATATTAGTACTTTTCGTTACAAAAAAGGATAGATAGAGTAGCTGACTAATAAGAAAAGGAACACAAGTACATTGAACATCGAAATCGGTGCTTTCAAATTCGAAAAGTCATTATCAACTAAAACCCTAAAACTTTTCGGATTTCAAATAGTATGAGCTTCCACGTCCAGCTTCAATCAACACAAAAATAAATTCACCAGCCTTCGTTTCTGTATTCTACTCTTATTAAACTAGTGATGTCTAGAGGTACAGAATTTATCCAGAACTCTTCATTTCTGAAACCCGAAAGCTAACATTTTTATGATCCCTTGTTCGTTGGATAGCATTGAGAAATCTACTTTGGCATCTCTTAATTGCATTCCAAGTATAGAGAACTAAAACAAAATCTCTAATTAACATCAGGAAACCATAATTTGGAGCTCAATTGTATATTAACTTAATCAGAGCTCCCAAAACACATCAGATCTCAGGAAGTTAGATTCCACGGACTCCACATCCGTGAAGCTATCGCATATGGATTATGGATTAGATCAGAAACATCAACATTTCTTTCCAAATTCATTACCAAAGGTAAGAACTTTAAGGTAACCCAGAAACTTAAATCGATCTAAGACACGAAAACTCAACAGATCCCAAAGTATCAGCGAAAGAAGTTTAATGAAAATCTTCACCTAAGATGACATGGTGAGACTGAGTAACTGAGCCGTCTTTAGCTGAAACTTCCTTCTTCACCGAATCTTTCGCAGCAGCGTCTTTAGCCGAAGATCCAAAGCAAGGCAAGCACCCACTCATCTCCGAAGCTAAGTCCTCGGAGAAATCCGAATTCCAAAGAACAAAGAAACCCTACCGACAAAATCAATCAACTGGAGAATCCCAACTTAAGCTCAACACATCTCGAGAATTTTTGTGTTTTTTTTTTTACTGTGAAGCCAAACAGGAAAAACAGAAAACTAAAGACGAAAAGCCTCGGCTTTTTTTCAATGCATCATCTCTCTCTCTCTCACTCGAGATCTTTGGAGAGAGATCGAGGCCAGCGGCAGATCAACAAATCAAGGAAACTTTTTTTTTTGTATGTGGGATTGTGGGTGCTACGCGAGAAGAGAAGGGTAAAGGAAAAATAGAAAAAATAGATATGAATTTTTGTTTTTTTAAAACGATTTGACATTTATTAAATCATCAAAGGGATATCCTTTTTTTAGTATACGTTAAAGATGAAATTAAGAGAATCATTATCCGTATAAATGTGTGACTAATGGCAACGTAATCTAATCTTCTGCCTAACCATTTTTTTCATTTGTATAATTCAGTATATTTTTTAAACTTCAACATGCTTTCTAAAATTTCATATACACCGATGATACACGTACAAGTTTAGGCTGTTTAGCTGACCAAATGCGGTATCTACGCGAAGTGATTAAATGTGTTACGAAAATACTCAAAATAGTTTAAAAAAAAAATGTTTGAATAAATCATCCTAAAAACAAACAAAAAAAATCACAGCTTGGGCATTTTAACCACCATAACATAGTGGATTTTGTGCAAACGTATTACACACTCTTTTTTTTTTTTACATTATTAGACACTTTTAAGTTAAAAAGTATATTTGTAATCTCTTGGAATGAATGTATGACAATTTTATGAATTACAAAACATTATACACAAACTTTTTTCTCTTTTGTGTGTTGTTTTTTTTTCAGCTAGTACCGATATAGCTTCTCTAATGTGTCTTTTAAGTTAATATCATAAGTTGAAATTCTTTGCTTACTTGTTTACTAATGAACTCTGCATTCTTCCTCTTCATCAATTAGAAAATTACAGGATATAACAGGATTTTACAGTCTTCCAAAAGTATTTAAAAAATTTGGGATCATCTGGTCGATTTTCAAATGATTTTAAGGATTATATTATTCTATTATTCAGTATAATATTTGGGATTTGGGATTTCTAATTTTTCCATTTCTTAGTAAGGACACAAATGTTATATTTTTCAGTTTCCAAATTTGGGATTCAGGATTTTAAGTTTCTAAATGATTAAATGATTATATGTTTATCACTCAGTAGCATACAATGTTCTTCTTCAAATTATTTTATAGAACCATTGATATTTCCATTCTTAGTAAGGACAGAACTCGTGGGAATTCGATTTATAACATGTTCTTGAAACAAAACATAATCTTCTTAAAAATTAATTTAATTAGTACATTAATTAAAATAAATAAAAATTACTCTTTGAGGCTAAATTAACGGCGTCGGGAGAGAAAGAAGAATCATCACGGTAGGAATGTAGGCTCCACATCTAGGATATATGCCCTCACGCTTTGTGAGCAACATTTTTAAGCCCACGCTTTCTTTCTTTCTCGCCTTCAAAACTATACTACATATGTAAGTAACACGATAAATAACAATATGTTTCTATTAGAATTTATTCACGAGTTTTTATAAATATGTAATATGTTGACAAAGAAAAAGTATGTAATATAATAAATAATACTATGTCTATACAGAAAATTTGAGTCTTCCCCCAAAAGTTTATATATGAAGTTATTCACGAGTTTCGTGTATACATATTCCTATATAATAGTAGAATTTTAGTGTAAAGCAGCTGATTATCCAGAATACTAATAATCCCCTATATCTTGTTGACATAAAAAAAGTTATAAAAGAAATCTTGTCGTCTTTGAAATAAGGCAGTTGGTCAAATTATAACGTCTAGCAACTTTAAAAATAATTATGGCCTATATTTTTTTTCAAATTATAAAGCGGGTTTTCTAGAAAAGGAAAAGGTCTAATTTTAAATGCCGGCTTAAAAGAAACATCAAACAAGTTGACTCACGAGTCTCAAACCAAAAAAAAGGCCACAATTTTGTCTTCCAGCTTAGTTTTAAGTTTAAGCGTTTCTAATCTATCTAGAAAAGGATTAGTCTTAGTATAAAACTATAAATTAATTTGTTACTAGTACATTATCTAAGAATACTAAAATTGATTTAAAATAGAAATTAAACGTCTAAAGGTAAATTGACGGTAGGGTCAAATCCAACAAACCAGACTTTGAGGTTGATGTCAAAAAAAAAAAGACTTTAAAGTAAGAAAAATGGCATGAGTCATCTACAAAATACTCTAACTAGCAATTTGTCATTTTCGAAGACCGTTTTTTGTTCCTCCATCACTGGTTTATAATCATTAATTTTCAACTATAAATTTTTCGAGTAATCAAAAAATTGATAACACACAATTAAAATAAATAAAACTCTCTTCGAGCACAATTTACTAGAGAGAATCGAACTTGGATTTCACTCCTTTCTTCTAATCGCTTTGGTGAACGATTCTGTGGACAATCCACAAATCATACTTACCTTTTCTTTTCATTTTAGTCCGTGAAACTTTTTTCTTGATTTTAGTCCATGAAACTTTTGTTTTCTGAGCCAACATCCTCCGTTTTTGGTAACATCTGTAAAAACAAATAAGATACATGTATATGCAATTTCAACAAGTTATATACTTATATTGTGTGTGCCAGTGCGTCGTTAAAGAAAATAAAGGTTGCATGTGCCAAATGCCAATGCCACTCTTCACAATTACGTAATCTATAACTAAGTAAAATCATTAAAAGCACTAAAGCTTGCAATATGAAAATATTATTTTAAACCAAAAATTAATTTTGAGTTTTTAAACCACTGTCGATTCAGGAAAAAAAAAATATGGCTGAGCTAGCTTTGGGAGTTATCATCTGCTTCTCGGCACATCGTTTTCTCCATGTTCCACTATCAAGCATAGTACGACACGTGGCTGGTTAACAGCTAAGGAGAGTTTCATAAACAGACAATGCACATGAGCGTTGTGGATAATTTGCCTCACGTTGTCGGAGAAACATTATGGACTTGTTACGTGATCAAGAGGACGGTTCTTTTCTAAACTTGAACACCGTCGATCCTCTCATCACCCGACACGTGTTATAAGCAAGTGTAGTCAATGATTGTTGACCAAACTCCTTAACGTCTGCTTAACTTTTACAAAGACATAAAAACTTAATTTTATTACTAATTGTGTATAAGTGAGTATAACAAAGATTCGGTGGTTGGACTCGTAAATTTTTGTTTGCTCAATTTAATGGTACTACTAACTCTTTTATTTTATGGAAAAAAATAGTACAAATAAAAATATTATGATTACCACAAAAATAAAATTACAAACTTCTTCGATCTTTTTCTTAGACAGTTATAGTATTCTAAAAAGGTTTCGTACGCGACAGTGAAATTCATTGATATAGTAGTTGCCGTTAGACAAAATAAATTTAACCATAGAATTCTCCTTTTGACATTAAAGAATTATAAATATATCCAGACTAATTAATGACCAACTTTATCAGAGTGGCGTATATTTTGATTACACATCGAGACAATTACATAAGTCATACTTAATTCAGAAAAACCATTATCCTTTTTTTTTTCCCATGTAGGAGCATGGTCGGACAACCATCAAAATTAAGAGTTTCCCAAATGTCACGTAATATCTATTTGAAGGAAACGGGACCGAATTAATCAAACGCGTATAGTTACGTTACACGTAACCAGAGCTGATGGTATGGAGGGGTTCGCTTAATTTAATGATTCTCTGTTCATGTCAATTCAATATCAACGATCAAACCACCCAAACACAAAGAAGAATTACGACAACTGGCAAGTATACATTTGATCACAATGTGATATAGGATAGTTGATGTAAAAGAATCTACACCATGGCCAATATATAAACTTCGGTTAAAAGTTCTGAGAGATAAAGGAAAACTATAGTATGTGATATTAATTGTTGGAGGTGAGATTTGGGCTTTCTAACCTAAGAACATGTGGATGCTTCGTCAATATGGCAATATTTGGGGAGGCCTTTGATTGCGACTCAACAGGTAGAATAGACTCCGGCCAGAAAATACGAGTGGAGCATATATAGTCTCTCTGAAAGACATGTACCATACTTTCATTTTGGGTCTCGAGAACTCGACTCTCGGACTTATGCAACTCGTCTTTTGGGCTTTACTTCTGTATGAATGTTCTTTGCAATAATTGAAGTTAAAATTATTTAAATTTTCATTTTTATGCAACATAATCGTATAGTTTTACGCTTTATCATAAATGTTCGCAAATCTACATATTTCGTATACAGTGAATTGAGTGATACGACCATACTTCGATACATAAGCAAATATATAAAGCCAACAATTTGTTATAACTAAATAAATATAGCAACTTTTTTGGTATTGTTACTCTTAACAAAAAAAAAAATCTACAATATCTGATATTGTCCTTTGGGATTACTATATAGCCAAACAATGTGTTTTATTTTATCTATATTCTAGGTGCAAACGAATCTGCAGTTTAATATCTATAAAGGTGAGTTAGTCTGACGCCAAAGAAAGGGAAATTCTTTTTTTTTTTTTTTGGGATTTAAATCAAAATTTGTTTCTTGAAAAACTGCATTTTAATTTGGGGCGATAAATAGATTGAGGAATATGATTCGGAATCGTTTGCGGGAACACGTGGTTCTCTGCCGCGGGTTGGATCATATTTTTAGCTGACGCCAAACTCATCTCATTGCTCCACGTAATAATATAGATAGATCAATAGACACACACCTATACACGAATAAATGAAAACAAAAATGAATGTTCAATAAATAATTTTTTCTTAGCATCTAGTATCTCTTATAATTGAGAAAATATTTATTTATATTTTAAATAGAACATTGGTAAAATGTTATACAATATGAGTTGCAACTTGCAACCACGCGATGTACGGACGATACTACATGGTATTATCAATTATATGTGATGCCACGATCCGTCCTCGCGATTTTTATTATTATCAGCGTCAACATTTGTGATATGGTTGATATGTTTTGCACATTAAGAATAAAACATTGTAGAGGGCCGGGCTGTAAAAAAATAAAATAAAAAAAAAGAGAATAAAACACATTGTTAGGATTCACCATGCATGCATGAACCAATTAATTTGGCCATTCGTCATCTAGCAGGCCAAACTTGGAGGTCTAAGAGTCGTACATGCAACCATCATTCGAATTTCTTAATTTTCGTATTCTGACATAAACGTATAGACAGTATATATATTATACCCTATTTATTTACATATATAAGCAACTTTAGAAAGGAGCATCTGCAGTTTGGAAAAATAAAGGTTCGTTATTATTGGATAAATGTTCTTTTCACGTGCTTGTGCAAGGATTCGATGGATTCGATGATAAGATAAGTGGTAAATGTTAAAAATCATGGATGACAACAGCTAAGGACTACGGTTACAAACACTCAGGTTTTGGTTAATCATTTTTAAAAGACTATATTAGTTCAATAATTTTAAAAACTGACTACAATAGAAATAACTTTTAATAATTGGATTCCCCAAAATCGCTTTTGTCAGAATTTTGATACAAAATGCGGCCCTTATAGAAAAAGACTGAAAATAAGAAGAAAAAAAAATCTGCACACGATAATTGTTCACCCCCAATGTAACAGTTACGTGACTTACGTCCATTTACTGCCATTACAGATTTCAGTATAATCAAAAGAGAGCATTTAATATTTGTTCTATTGTTCATTATCAACGATTAAAACAACGAGAAAACTTAAACTAGTGAACAAAATTAAATGAGCACACGCCTCAAACAGCGGATCCGAGAGATTGGGATCCATCAGTTAAACAGTCTTACATACGGATTACCTCAGGACTAATGGCCTCTCCCAGTTAGGTATGTCCCTCTCTGTACAAATTTCTATGGTTTTTTAACACGATCGGATCACCTCTTTGACACTTTCTCTCGCTCACATATACAATGACAGAATTGCATGGGTTTAAAGCATGGTATTAAAACGTTTTCTTCAATAGAATAACTACTTTAGTAATCGGACAAGAGACAACAATTGTAATAACCATAATGTTTGCATCTTGATTCTTGAAACACAGCTTTACAATAACAGAAACCCTATTCGAAACAGATTAGGTATTTGCTTTTTTTTTTTTTGCTAAATTGTAAATATTCATTAAAATGAAATGTTAGGTGTTACAAATTGAGTTAACAATCGATCGACCTAAAATTTTTGGTCCCATGACAAAAAAGAATAAAAAACATGGAAGCAAATTCAATCGGTACTTTTCCGATACCGAAGCTCAAGAGCAACATGAATCAAGTAGCGATAAGGAGCCTGAAAACCCAAAGGAAAGATGAGACCAAGATAATACTATCGAGAGTCGAGACCACCAATATTTTTAATGTACATTCAACAGTACACTCAATATGTTTGGCGTTTTTTTTTTTGTAACATTTTTGTTTTTGTTTTGGAACATTATATGTTTGGCATGTTGCAATGGAATGACCGTCTAGGCCACGCATCTTATCCGACATTCATGGGACCAGATCACGACATGGTCTAGTGAGAAGATCTACGTACATATCTAAACTGATCTTGGATTTATCGCTGCTGCGATGTTTCCTCACATCTCAAAGATCATGGGCTATATCTATGTCTTCGATGTTTATGCATGAATCCCATGAATATGCACACACACAAAAAAACAGTATTAAAAATTTTACATTAATTTGTAGATATAAACCAATATTAAACCACAATCGGTGAAACTATTATTTTCAAACCGAATAATGGAACCGCATGTTGCGTGGAGAAAAGTTATTTAAATAGGGACCTCGAAGGCATATATATACAAGTATTTATTTTTACTTTCATACGTATTCACGATTCTTTTGTCCTTAACATTCTATGAAAGCAAATGAAGTGCTTAGCTCATATATAGAATCTCTCTCTTTTGATTATTACAATATAAGCTTTTTGTGAGTTGCAAAATGTGGAAGTGGCGAGTCGAGAATAGAATCCTCTCGTAGAAGAAGTGGACGTGTTCTAAAGAAAAGAGAGACCTTATTTTGGATAACTATTTCTCCAACTCATAAGATGCCTCATTGATAAGCTTTACATATTCCATTTTTTTTGTTCGAGAGAGAGGTAAGCATATATAAGAAATGCACATTGCGCATGCAAAAAACCCAACTCTACTTTAAACCTTGAAGTAAGTATGCTAGGAAAAATTTTATGATGATAAGTGGGCGGTAATCAATTAGATCAACTTAATTCGAAATCAAAGTCGAGAATCAAATCCCATGAAAATATTCAGCGCTAATCCGCCGAGGACAATGTCACATGAATTATAATTGAACACAATTAATTTGATTAATGGTATTGGTATCAATGATGAAAATTATGCAAATTAATCGGTACTAATTACTAATTAATGCACATTGTACCATTGACCTATATCCACTCACTTCGGTTCGATCCAATTATATCTCAATGTGCGTAGGTTGGAAAAAGGGTTTCATAAAATGTACACACAAACACACACAAAAAGTAACATAGTAGCAAGTAGCAACAAAATCCGTGATTAGTCTGATTTCAATCCGGGAGGATTCAGTAAACCAAGCTTCCTCTGCCTTGTTTAGCCAGAATAACTAAAACCTATTCTTATCTTTCATGAATCAATGATTTATGGATTTTTTATATCAATTGAGATTGACTATAGATGGCTTTATGGAACCGTACGAGCTAATGACAATCTCACCTTTTAGCCATGGCCCATGACTATATATGTGCCTCAGTGGACCAAAAGAAAAAAAAAAAAACTTTCGAAAGTCATTAGATTCTCAACACTTACATTTTGTGATCCATAAATAAAATTGAACTTGTGTCGCTTTCGGACACGATATCGTTAGAAACAAAATCCAAACATCTTGTCCGATCTAATCCAATAATCATCGTCTTCTCTGCCTCTATATAAACAAAAGACTTCCCACCAATTTCATATCCACACAACATTCTCACAAAACCTTATTCTTCCAGTACTCGAATCTTATTTTCAATCTCATCTTCCTTTGCCCGAAAATACATACATATTTGATTTTTAAACCTAATTCAGAAACACGACGTAAACAAAACTATATAAACAATATTTTGGATCGTAGCTCTTATACCATAAACTAGAAGAAATGGAGATGATAACGAAGATGGTGTTGGAGAGACCGGTGGTGATATACAGCAAAAGCGCATGTTGTATGTCTCACACGATCAAGACTCTGCTCTGCGATTTCGGAGCGAATCCAGCAGTTTACGAGCTAGACGAGGTGTCTAGAGGGAGGGAGATTGAGCAGGCGTTGTTGCGGCTCGGGTGTAGCCCTGCGGTTCCGGCTGTTTTTATCGGAGGAGAGTTGGTCGGTGGAGCCAACGAGGTCATGAGTTTACACCTTAACGGATCTTTGATCCCTATGCTTAAGCGGGCTGGTGCATTGTGGGTTTGACTTGCTATACATATACTTAACTAGCTACTTAACACTAAGTTAAGTACGCCGAATAATGTTTTTTTAACACAGCTATTATATGAGCTTTGACATGGGGATATGAGTCCAAGTCAGATTAATAACTAGGGTGTTGTCTTCTTGTTTTTTGAGGTCATCCTAATATATTAAATGTATGAGTTATATGAACTTCTATGATATTGACCTACCAAAACTAATATATATACTGCAATAATGAAAAAACAACAAGATTGCAAACTAGGCATTAAATTGTACCGGCAAGATGAAATAATGATTGATATTACTTCTACTTATAACTGTTATTTTTTCTAAAATAAATAAATTCGAAATTAGAACATATTTAACATTTAAAATTATATATGAAAAAATCTACAAAAACACCTTAAATTACTAGGTCATAGTTGGTCAGACTATAGGTTTCAGTTTGATAAAAAAAAAGTCATACTATAAGGTTTGACTGTTTGAGAGGAAAAAAAAAAGGAAAATGGTAGAAAATAAATAATTTAAGTCGCGGGAAGTAGCGAAGGTTGGGACCCACAAAGGCGTCGCAAATCGCGAACATTAAATATCTTCGGCGAACTCAAATCACAACTTCGCCAGAAACAGACAAAACATGTCGCCATAACTCAACGAACCATTGCATCAAAAACATCACACATGACACAACACAACACAACCGCTGTTTCCATCTCTCTCTCTCTCTAGTCTCTAGTCTCGCTAGTCTCTCTAGTCTCTACTCTAGTCTCTCTACTCTCGAACGGCTAACTTAGCCAAGATCGTTACTAGATTCGTTTTTTCCCCTTTTTGCTGGTTTTAAGACACGAACTTGGTCCAGTAGTTATTGCTTAAAGACAAGAAATTTATAAGCTTTCCAATAAGCAAATATCATCTCCCCTCCAATCATTTCCCTGCGCTGGCCCAGCCAGCTTGCTACGATTTCAACACGACGTCGTCTTGATTCGTTTCGAGCTGTGGATATGGCTACTGTGGTTGTTGGTCCTCTCTCCAGAAATTGATCCTCTTCTCTGCTTTCTACTGTGATTTTCTCCGCAAACCAAACAAGTGAGTTTTGTGGATCTCTGTTTTGCCGGATTTGGGTCAGCTCGTAAACTTCTAAATCTTAGATTCACAACAAGTCAAGGACGGATTCTATTTCAAAAGTTCAGAAATTTCTTGCTCTGAGCAAGTCAGGATTCCTGACAATGTAGCTTTTTTTCTGTGTCCAATTTTTTTTCTAGGTTCTTATATATTTGAGTTTCTGAGAAATTGGAAGAAAATGTTCAGCTTTTCTAAGAGGCGCATGAGACTTGGCAGGTTAGTCGTCTTTTACGCTTCTATAAATCAAGTCACCTTTTTGGGTCTGTATTGATTTTCTGAAAGTTGGGAACTTTTTAGGTTTCTTTTAACTTTATTTTTATTTTTACATTGTAAGCGGATAACGATTAATCTAGGAATCGCCTTTTGGAGTATCCTGTTTAAGCTTAGTGTGTAAAAGCAACTCCTTTTTATAATATTGTTTCCGGATCAAGTATTGGTCCTTTCTTTTAATAGTTCTCACTTTATGGTGTCTAATTTTAGATTGATAAGCAATTATATCAATATTTTGGTTCATGTAAATACGTCTTCATGGTTACTATAGATTCAGTTGATATGCTTCTTCTCTGATTATGGATGTAATTGATCAGAGTTAAGAAGGTGCAGCTCTCGGATTCTGTTCAAGGATTTAAGAGTCCTTTGCGAGCAACCAAACGCGCAGATAACTCTAGTGTAAGTCATCTCTGATTTAGTGATTTGTAACATTTTCTCGGTAAAATCGACTGTTATCTGATTTGTAAGAAACATGATGCAGAATGAAGCTGCTTTGGCTGCAACTAGTTATTCTGATGAACTTGATTTCCAGCCTTCATCGGGAAATTATGAAAACTGGATGGTGTTATCGGTTAGTGGGGAAAAACCTGCTCCACGCTTTAATGTAACGAGTTTCTCTGTTTCCAGTCAATAGCTTCTGAGTCGTTTTGAAAAATATTAATGGGGAAAAAAGTTTTATGCAAATCTACTTTGATGCAGCATGCAGCGGCTGCTATTGGTAACAAAATGATAATAGTGGGTGGAGAATCTGGTAATGGCTTCTTGGATGATGTACAGGTAACAAGACGAGAGACAAATTATTTGGTTTCAAGCAATTATTTGGTTTAAAGGGATTGATATTCTCAGTCTTTGTATTTACAGGTGCTTAACTTTGATTCATTTACTTGGTCCAGTGCGTCTTCAAAAGTTTACTTATCGCCAAGTAGTCTGCCCCTCATGATCCCTGCATGGAAAGGCCATTGCTTGGTAATTGATTGTTGGTTTGTGCAAATACATGTTTCTGGTTTTGTGGTTTTATATCTTTCGGTTTTTGATTGTTTTTTTTCTATTGTTAGGTCTCTTGGGGTAAAAAAGTGCTATTGGTGGGTGGAAAAACAGATCCTTGCAGTGATAGAGTCTCAGGTTTCACATTGCTGTTTAGATTCTAAGGTTTAGATTCTTGATGTTTCACTCTGCTTAAGACGGTGTTGTATTTGTATATGTTATTGGCAGTTTGGGCATTTGATACTGACTCGGAATGCTGGTCGCTAATGGATGCAAAGGGAGACTTACCTGTAATTTTCTAAGTCCTTAATATACATTTAGAAGTTTGTGGTTTTCTGGTTTGGAATGTGAATTGACTAGAAGAAAAAGTCTGATTCCAATGAGAGATTGCAGGTCAGTCGCAGTGGTCACACAGTGGTGAGGGCAAGCTCGGTATTGATTCTTTTCGGTGGTGAAGATTCAAAGAAGAGGAAACTAAACGATCTTCATATGTTTGATCTCAAATCATCCACCTGGCTTCCTCTTAATTGCACGTGAGCTTTTCATGTGTTTCCGACGTCAGTTCACATTAAACTCTTGTGATTTCCTGACAAGTTTTCTCTTAATAACCAGAGGAACACGACCGTGTGCAAGATCGAATCATGTAGCCACGCTATTCGACGACAAGATTCTGTTTGTGTTTGGAGGTTCGGGCAAGAACAAAACACTAAATGACTTATACTCACTCGACTTTGAAACCGTAATGCTTATCATCTTTCTATCTTTTTTACTAGATTGACTATTTTTATTTCTTGAAACTTGAACAACATTTCTTATCTTCTGGTGTCATCAAGATGGTATGGTCAAGAATCAAGATAAGAGGATTTCACCCGTCTCCAAGAGCGGGTAGTTGTGGAGTTCTTTGCGGTACTAAATGGTATATAACCGGAGGTGGAAGCAGAAAGAAGAGTAAGTTCTACCTCTAAACCTCACTGAATTTACTCGGAGCTTACAAGTTTTGCTTGGTTTTCGCAGGACACGCGGATACGTTGGTCTTTGATATTCTAAAGGTCGAGTGGTCTGTGGCAAGCATCTCCTCTCAATCTTCCATCACAACTAATAAGGTGGTTAAAAACATAACGAACGTTTCTATTTTTTCAAACGCAATCTGTTAAAGCTCGATTCTTGTCTTTGTGAAAATGATTGGTATAGGGATTTAGTCTAGTTCTTCTGCAACACAAGGATGACGATTATCTCGTAGCTTTCGGAGGAACGAAAAAAGATCCTTCAAATCAGGTCTGAAGCTCATCATTCCTCTGTATTATTCATATTTTTGTTTCAAATTCTCGACCTTTCTTTGTGTTTGAATGTATATTTTACTATGGAAAGGTCGAGGCTTTTATCATTGACAAGAACAAGAGTGAGTCACCAACACATCCGCAAACAACTTCCAAGAAGAACCCTGGCCGGTTACTGTTTGGAAAACGATCTTCTTCCTCGGCAGTTTTAACCGTTGATGAATCGGTTAAAGCCTCTTCTCAGAGGCTGATCGATTCGGTTGCAAGACAGAAACTTGCTTCAGCCATTGAAGAGCACGGTGGCTCTGGTAGAAGGTCTTTATCAGAGATTGCTTTTGCAGATCATCGTAACCCATCTTCAGGAAATGTCTCTTTGCGTAAACAGTTCAGCACCGAAGAAGAATACAGAGCTGTAGTTGAACCAGCAAAGTGCCCCGAGGTATATAATACTACTTAGTTTATGTTTTAGCTGCATTTAATATTGTTCTTGAATCGCCATGAAAATGTCTGCAATTTTTTGTCTTGGTTCAGGCCTCAGATGACAAAAACAATGGAGGAGCAAAGATTACAGCGGAGAAAACACTTTCTACGGTGTCTGACCGTGAAATGTCAAATCTTCAGAAGCAATGCTCTGAAACATTTCCTTTTGCACACATCGATGATGCCTTGATATTCCCGGGAATGGATAAGACCAATTTAGCAGCAAACGCATCATCATCGAGCGTGTACCAATTCCACGAGGCCAAAATGACGGCTCTTATAAGAAGAAATGGGATTCTGGAAGGACAGTTAGAAGCAGCATTGGCGGGAAGAGAAGCGGCTGAGAGGAACGTGTCGGTTGCGTTGAGAAGCAAACAAGAGACTGATAAAAAGCTATGTGACGCCATGAGAGATGTTGAATTGCTTAAGGAGAAGCTCACAGGGTTAGAGCTCGCTCAAGAGGAAGCTAACAGTTTGTCAAATATGGTTCACTCCGACAATGTCAGGCTTGAGCATGATGTAGCGTTTCTAAAAGCTGTCCTAGACGATACTCAAAAGGTAAGATAAAAATCCTTGTGGATACAAGTGTCTCCAAAACGCAGAGGCTCGAATTTTAATAGCGTTTTTGTGGGTTATGGTTTATTTTTATTTATTTTGTAGGAGTTGCATTCAACAAGAGGAGTTCTTGCAGGAGAAAGAGCAAGAGCCTTCCAGTTGCAGGTATCATCATGATCAACTCTCTTCAGTTTATGCATTTCTAAAACGCAGCGTTTTTTGTTAAAACGTGAGGTGAATGCAGGTTGAAGTGTTTCATCTGAAGCAAAGGTTACAATCTCTGGAGAATAGAGCTGCTACACCAAGAAAGCCTTTCCATGTCTGAACACAGACCAGAGTCCACAGACAAGACAGGAACCTTGAGACTTCCATTTTGTAATCTAGACGTGAATGAAACCTCTATGTTTTGTGGATTAATGTAAAAAAAGAAAAAGAAACTTAGAGATCTCAATAATATCAGATTCCAATCAGAAGAAGACAAGTGACAATATAAACAGTCATTTTTTTCCATATAATTAAATATTTAAATGTCACCCAACTAGTAAGCTTCTTTTACACAGAGATACATCATGACTAGAGGAGCCTCTTGGTCTTTCTCCGACCCATCTGGTCTCAATGATTAGCATTTTTTTGTAGACACAGAAAATAACATAATCACTGCGACTCTTCCTCCGGAGGTTCTTCTTCTTCTTGAAGAAGGTTCTCACGGTTGTCATGAGCCCAAAAGCCGCGCACATCTATAAGCATGCTCGCAACGGTTCCACCTTGTTTACATCCCAAGAGATCATCCAGAGTGATTTTTAATGGGTCAGATGGTTTCACCATGTCCCAGATCTCGTCCCGGACATCCTCTATGCACAGCTCATAGTTTCCACCTTCTATCCATTTCTGGTGAACATCTCTGCAGGTTTATCAGATGAGATTTGTGACGGTTAGTTTAGAAGAGAGAAAAGATTATCACACATCAAGGTGTGTTATATTATGCCCTAGTGTCTTTGCAGTTATGAGACTCGCGGAACAAAACTCAGCTTCCGCAAGCAGGAAATGCAGAGTTTTTTTATATAGGAAGATTGTATCAGATAACATCACAACTATTTGATGCTCCCCTTCTTTACTTCCATAATTGTTATGTTTTGTACGAGCCTTCAGTGGGAATTATACCAAAAAGGTAGCAAAGTAAAACACCAAACAGATTCCGTCACTTGATAGAGATTCGTTACCTGAAAAGAGAGTGAATATCAGCAGTGGTGAGAAAGCCTCTCCCTTGGAGATCCAGACAGCGGAATAAGTATGTCAAGCCCTCTGGAGTGTCTTTGTTCTCCAAAGCAAGAACGAAATCTAGGAAGTTGTCGAAGTCCATTTCCCGGGAATTTTTTTTTGGTAAGTCCATTTCCCGGGAATTGCCATAACCGCTTTTGACACGACGGATATGCTCATCAAACACTACAAAAGAGCAAGGGATATCAGAAGCTTTTATGTCAGTTGAAAAAAAGAGGGAAAACTTATCGATACCCAATTACTTCTAGAACTATAGTTAAGCATGTCTCGATCCCTATTGGTGACTATCAATACCACGAAAAGTATACAAAGACTAGAAAGTATTTGAATTTACCTCTTTCGATGAAAATCTCAGTAAGGGTCCCATCTGCGTATTCTTTAAGTTCTTGTTTACTCAGCGATCCACTCATATCTTTATCAAGAGCAAGAAACATATCTACAGAAGAAAGAGAAACTCTAGATCAAGTTGCACCTGAGTTATTCATACGACATAACAAGAGTTGTGTCCAGTTCATCTGCAGGTATAAAGGAAAAAGTAGCACACTCACCACATATACGTTGAGCTGAAGTCAAAGAGAACCAATTTTCAGCCTGTTCTGTGTCTGTGACTTCCTCCTCACTTTCCTAACGTGGAGTATCCGGGGAACAATCAGTAAATGCAAGCAAAGTAAGAACTAGCTTCTGAGAGTGGAAAGCAATATATGATTACACAGCTGTATGTCGCTCATCCTTTTTCTAAAGTACCTGATGCAGTTCCATTAGTTCCTGCAGACAGTTACTAAGCAGTATCTTTTTAATACAGGCTTTTCCTGTACGCAAAAAAAAAGAAGAAGAAGCATTTAAAACATGACGATTCAATACTAGGTCAAGCAAAATAACCCGTTGCCTCAAAATTGAATATCTTTGGTGCCTACCTCGCCTATGGGGATCACAGAAGAAGAAAAACTTTTGTGAAGCTATGCGGCAATACGTTTGAGTAAAGCTCGGAGGCATCTCCCTCAGTTGGGCCAGGTTAGGGATAAGACCACCAATGTAGGACTCCATTTCCTATAATAACAGCAAGTAGACTATTTGTAAGGAACCTGAGATTAAAGTCAGTAACATTTGCGGGGAGGAGAACTCCTTAAAGTTTCTTGGGTCAGTTGTAAACTTAAAGCGTTAGAGCCAGTTGAGTACTTACTAGAGGTTGAAGAAAGCCATCAGAGTCTTCATCAAGCTCACTCATATCAATTCTAGCTTGTGTAAGCGACACCTGAACAGTGTTGAACAAATGATTTCAAATTAAGTATAAACTATAGTTGGTTAAAGTAAAGGACAAGTCCAACTCAAAAAACAAACACCCAACACTAGCGAAGCTGATGCCACTCAGAGACAGCAACAGGATGATACTCAGCCAAATAAACAAAATTGTAATCCAAAGATTTCAGCTGATATAGTAATCCAAAGATACTCACCGTGCGCATCACATAAAGATAGAACGGTAATATAGCAATCCTCCCAGCCTCGTCCTTCTCAAACTTCATAAAATTGGATGGGCTGAAAAACCGACGACACTTGGGACCGATTTGTTCAGTACATACAGAAGCAATGTGACAGAAGTCCTCATAGTTCATCTACATGGACAACACAGCGCAAATCTCAGCATCATCTTCAACAAAGAGAAACACAACTTCACTACAGAGGATACATGTACCTTTTCTGCACCAGTGGCATCATCAATCACACAATTTTCTCTCAAACAATTCCACATAGCAGCCAAATCATCCGCGTTTAACAAAAGATCCGCTTGTTTCTGGGGAAATTAATCAACTTACCGACGTGAGCAAAAACATCAAACTTCTTCTGAAGAAATAAGAGCAGGCAATAAATTATTCTATACCCTCAAGAAGCGGTATTTTGCAAGCCTTTGAACCCTTTGACTAATCGATCCTTCTTCTGGTTTCTGAACAAGGAGTAAAGGAGCAAAATTTTATTGTCTGACAGGTTTTCTATAGACTATAGGGTAACCAACTTTCGACGGGTGTAACAATGCAAGACTTAACCGGGCAGTGTCGTGAAATGCAAAGACAATCATCTTATAGAGTAGAATACCCATGTAAGGGACATGCCTTCTTGTAGAAGCTCGGTATGGTGCCTGCTTCTTGGCTTTTCTGTTGCTTCTCTTTGAATATCTCGAGCAAAATTCTCTTAGTCTCGAGCTCTGCATAAAAATGAAAACAAACCCTTATCAAAGTTAGCATCACCAATACTCAATCACGGTCAATATACACAAAGGTCCATTTTTATCCAGACAGCCCCACATTCAGCAAATTCACTAACAACGAACTCGAAATGCGATTAAAAGTTCAAACTTTCTTAGGAGAAAAATGAAAAGAGACCAAATTTCTAACTTACCCATTAGAGCTTCGGATCCTAAACCGGCGCCGGAACCAATGTACCGTCTTAGATTCCTAACCCAAAGCATCGAGGACGCCGGCGGGATCTTCCTCTGCGTCGATGTGTCGTGGCTTTCGCCATCGCTAGATCCGCTATACATTTTTTTCCTAATCACACAGATCGTCACAGTCTTCGACGAAAGATACAAGCCCCAAAATGAATCAGAGAGATTAAAACCCTGAAGCGGAGGGTGAGAACTGAACCAGGAAGTGTAGAGAACCCTAGAGCAGCCTTGTCTCTCCCTCTTTCAAACTCTCTCTGATCTACAAGATCCACCAAGCTTCAAAGGTAACCAAAGTTTCTCACTTTTACAATATAAGTCCTCACGTTCATAGTACTTTTCATTATTACCCACTACCTTCACTAACTACTATGATTGTCCGAAACTTTTAAAAAAATCAAAACTTTGTAAGAGATTTTATCTCATAAAATGATAAAATCCCGTTAAATCTTTTTCTCAGAGAAATGGCTTCCATATCCATCAACTGTTTCTTCACTCCTCAAGCTCTAGCTCGACCCACCAGGACGAAGAAGATCTTCGCTAAACCTAGCAACGTCTCGGGAAAAACCCGGAACCCTAGAAAAACGAATCTCCACCGCGAAGCAGAGCTTAAATCTCGAGGCGGTGATAAACCCCAGCCGGTTTCCGACGCCGGCGGTGAAGCCACTACTTATACGCGTCTTCCTCCCAGGGAAGATTTCTCCGATGTCTCTCTCCTGTCTTCCTCTTATCTGAATTTCTCCGAAGAAGTGAAGCTATCTGAGTCAAATGTCGCAGGGGTCGAGGAAAATGTTGACACTTTGGGTGAAAATGATGAAGAAGATAAAGAAAAAGAGGCGAAGAGCGATGATGACGAAGATATCTGGGGAAATTACAGAGTATTAGATGTATTTGAAGGGAATTCTGGATTAATTGATGAAGATGATGATGATTACGAAGACGACGAAGTGTTCGAGTATGGTGATGAAACGGATGTGGAGAAATCTGGAGTGAAAGATGGAGAAGCTATATGTTTCTCGGGTGAAGAGGAAGAGGAAGAAGAACAAGAGGATGAGATTGGGGTGAAGGAGAAAGGGGTCCCTGCGGTGATGCGGTGTTTCGATAGAGCCAAGATATACGTGAAAGCCGGAGACGGAGGGAACGGCGTTGTGGCGTTTAGGCGGGAAAAGTTCGTTCCTTTTGGAGGACCATCGGGTGGAGACGGAGGGAGAGGAGGGAATGTGTATGTTGAGGTTGATGGGTCGATGAATTCGTTGTTGCCGTTTCGAAAGAGCGTGCATTTCAGGGCGGGGCGTGGAGAACATGGGAGAGGGAAGATGCAGAGTGGTGCTAAAGGAGTTGATGTGGTGGTGAAAGTAGCTCCTGGGACGGTGGTGAGACAAGCCAGAGAGGTTGGGAGTGAGGCGGTGGATGATGGGGAGGAGGAGAAGGAGGTGCTTTTGGAGTTGTTGCATCCGGGGCAGAGGGCGTTGGTGTTGCCTGGTGGGAGAGGTGGTAGAGGGAATGCTTCGTTTAAGTCTGGGATGAATAAAGTTCCTCGGATTGCTGAAAATGGTGAAGAAGGTCCTGAAATGTAAGTGTGTTTTTTCTTTCATTCCTGAGTTGGTTTTAGTTTTAGGGTGTTGATGGGACAAGTCTTGGGAAGTGTTTGCTTTTTGGTTTGGGAAGGAGAGAAGGTTGTTGTAATGTGTAAAGTTTCGGACTTCAAATCACTGCAATTACACTAGAGTTTCTAATGTTTAGTTTTGCAAGGATGAGCCAGTCTTAGAAGCTAAATGTTGTAAAGATGCAAGAGTTTCATTTCTGTTTAGGAGCATGACTTTGGGCACTCTTTGATTTCTGTTTCTATTTTTCGGTAAAGCTTGATTCATACATGTGAGTGTTGGTGCCTTCATATGATCACAGGACTTTTTGAAATCTTCCATTGCTGCTGAATGCTGAGTATGCTAGTAGTGATGCTCTTGTTGATACAGATATTGCTAATGTTTTATGAGAGGATATGTAAGATGTGTCTTTCTCTGGCAAAGCTCTGATTCAGAAATATAACGTTACAATTCACAATAGGTGGCTGGATTTGGAACTGAAGCTGGTTGCAGACGTGGGGATCGTGGGTGCTCCAAATGCAGGAAAAAGCACGTTGTTGAGCGTGATAAGTGCCGCGCAGCCAACCATTGCAAATTACCCATTCACCACATTACTTCCCAATCTAGGCGTGGTTTCATTCGATTACGATTCAACAATGGTGGTCGCAGATCTTCCTGGTTTGCTCGAAGGAGCTCACAGAGGCTTCGGTTTAGGCCATGAGTTTCTAAGGCACACTGAGAGATGTTCAGCACTGGTAAAACAACCATCTTTAGATTCAAGCTTCATACTTTTATTTTTGTTTCGTTTAAAAAGAGCCTCCTTTTTCTTTGCCGTGTAAAGGTACATGTCGTAGATGGTTCAGCTCCGCAACCTGAACTTGAATTTGAAGCTGTTCGTCTCGAACTCGAACTATTCAGTCCTGAAATCGCTGAGAAGCCTTACGTAGTGGCATACAACAAAATGGACCTCCCAGATGCTTATGAGAAATGGCCAATGTTTAGGGAAACTCTTCGTGCCCGCGGGATTGAACCTTTTTGTATGAGCGCAGTACAGAGAGACGGCACACATGAAGTAATCTCTTCCGTTTATGAACTCCTGAAGAAGTACAGAGAAGCCAACGCAGAAGCCAAAGGTCTTTTCTACTTTTAATTTGGCATTATAGGTTGAAACCTCGCTTTTGCAGTGTACTGATGTGTTCTTTTTTTTCAATGTGGCCATAGGGTTGTACGATCAAGCGAATGAGAATCTGGACCATGTAGCTAAGAAGATAGATAAGGAGCGAAGAGCAGCCATTAATGAGTTTAAGATCTTCCGTGATAGCGGTACAAGGGCTTGGCATGTAGTTGGAGCCGGGCTTCAACGGTTTGTGCAGATGACTAACTGGCGGTATGAGTTAAACCATAGCTAAGATTTTTCACACGATCAAACTAATCAAGTGTCACTAACCAGTGTCGATGCGATTTGGGGTTTGGATAGGTACATGGATTCAGACAAAAGGTTTCAGCACGTGCTTGATGCTTGTGGTGTGAACAAATCGCTGAAGAATATGGGCGTTAAAGAAGGCGATACCGTGATCGTGGGAGAGGTTTGTATTGAGTTTCTCTGAATCTTTTCTGTTAAAAGTGGTTAACATTTGCGTTTATGATCGTATACGAATTTTGAGTGTGTGTGTGTGTGTGTGGATAGATGGAATTGGTGTGGCATGACTCAGCCAATGGCTCGAGCCGTCCTACAGAGTCGAACAAGACTTCGACAGACTCAGTCAGATGGCCTCAATGGAAATGATTATGAACCATCTGATAACTTTTTTTGTGGAGCACAATATTTCTTGAACCGAACCGAGAAGAGAATTCGGATTACTTTTCTGGTCACTGGATTGAACCGGTACCAGATAATTGAATCCATTTTTAATGTATACGCTATACTGTATTAGTGAAGATAAAGTATGATATGTGTATTTTAAAAACTAAAATAAATAAAATAAAATTGTCTTTTTTTTTTACATGAAACTAAATCTTTTTAAAATCATTTTGTTTATTGAGATTTGTTATGGTCTGCCGTTGATGAGACCTTAAGTAAAAGAAAGAAAAACGTTGTTTAATACTCCATTTCTACACCACCACTTGAAGTCTTGACCAACTGCAAATGAGCTGGTCTAGGCAAATTATTGATTAGTCGGTCCAATGTCTTGAGTTTTTGTTAACAATTGTTTATAACAGTTTGCAAATCCATAATTGATTTGCTATGATTACAGTAGGACAAAATAAATTGATAATAGGTGGATCACAAAAGGAAAGAAATGTCCGTGCGTGCGTGCTCTGTGTTTTACTTTACATATCGAGACATCGCACCGATTAAGAATTTGGGACCGGTATTCAAATCAGGTCAAGCAAACCGGGTCGGTTTTGCCTTGTTTCTAATTAAAAAAAAAAAACATGAAACAGAGGAAACGGGAGGGAGGGTTATGGTCTAAAAAAAGGGATTGACATAAAATCTCTCGCAGTTTATTATCAGCAGTCCAATCTAAAATCAGAGACGGTCCGTACAAGAGAAGATCTTCTTTTTGACCACACACATCAAAACAGACAATCACTTCTGTCTCTATGAAGTGGAAAATCGTAGTTCATCAGACACAAACTTCATCACTCAGATCACGACACGTAGGAAGAGCATTCGATTATATTACTAGGTCCCACGCTTGCTTTGTTTCCTCGTTGTCGCGTGCGGCAACAGTATCTTACGTGTCATCGACAGTGTCCCACATAGTATGTGCGTACTAGGTTCGGTGGGGCTTCTTCTAGCTTACGTGTCTATATTTCATTGGTTTTTTGTCCTTCCTGAAGTATCCAATTGTGTTTGGTTTATATAGTTGCCTTCTTTGGTTCCGTGTGTTTCGACATCGAAATTATTAGTTGTATGTAATTTACTAACCAAACCGACAATTTTCACCCTTTTTTTTTGCTATAACAATCTTTCACGTCTATACTTCAAATTAAATTTCTGTAATTTCAATGTCGTATATTTTTTTATTCAATGATGTATAATAATCTAATTATCTAGTGAACATTACTATGCTGATATATAAAAATGAAGTACTAAATATGGGACATTCATATCTATGGATCTTAGTATATGTATGTGTTGTATAGAGAGAGAGAGAGAGAGAGAGAGAGAGAGAGAGAGAGAGAGAGAGAGAGAGAGAGAGAGAGAGAGAGAGAGGCACATGGAGAGCACAAACATAATTTAGAAAATAATTAGGATGTATCACGTCTCACTAGGTGCCACGAGTGTGTTTGATCACATGACTTTTAAATTTAAAAATGATTAGTAAACAAAAGGATCGGAGCTTATAACTTTCCAATCACCTAAGATTCTAGAAACTACACGAGTGTGGTAAAACCGTGAAAAGAAATATCATCCTCTGATTTCTGAGCAAACGACGTTATTAGGTAAAAATATTGAAAATACCAGAAAAGTCGAATAATTGTTGATTAATGAACGTTAAAACTGGATGTGTTAAATAAAGGATTAGATATCTCAACTTACACCTGGTTTAGACCAAATAATACATCACTAGTAACTATTGATACTAATTTACCCTAGTTACCCCAAAAAAAACTATTGATACTAATTTGTATCTGCATAACCTTAATTTTATTATTGGATATATAGAATTCAAAAGCAAACTAATAGTGAAGTGAAGTCCCCACTTGGCTTCGGTCACACTGTCTGGACTCTCGTCAAAGTCCAAGTTTGTTCTAAGACAACCTTTACCCCTAAATCCCGGGATGTCCTTTTGACACAAAAAGAAAATTTTAAACTACAACAAAAAATTATTAAATTTCATAAGAAAAAAAGTTTTTGGCTTTTCATTAGCTGTTCAAAATTTTCTGTGTTTTTCTTTGCCTTTTTTTTTGTTGAGAAATGTGAAGAAATTCTCCATTCCTAAACCCAAGAAAGCCTCGATCACATGGAGCTTGACTAAAAGATTTCACCCAAAAGGTGTTCAATAGTGCAATCCCAATATCGTGCAATGCCAATTGGGTTTTATCATATCATATCTTATAAGAATGATTTAAGATATTTTCAAAAATGCACAAGGAAATACATAGTATTTCTCAGAGTATTTGAGGGAAAATTCAAATAGAAGTCGAATCTTTCAACCACTACGTGGATTCAATAGTAACAGAGTGTATACACTTATTAGTAAATCATTTTCCCATGCATCATCATAACAATCCTATGGAACTACAATCATTTAGCTAAAGCGATAGTGTTTTCGCAACCTCATAACGTTAGAGATGAAATGAGGGATCATATATATATAGAGGAAACTACTCAAAATTTGTAGTCTAGTACCCATATTTCTGCGTTTAGAGATCCACAACGGAGAAATCAACAGTTTTTAAGCTGAATAGTTGGACTAATATATATGGGTCATCTCTCGGAGTTAACAGGTATTGTGCACATGAATTCTAGGGAAAATGAATAAGCGTCATGTAGTTTAAAGCAACATACAAGAATGGTTGGAAACTTAGGCGTTGTCGAGGAAGTATCTTCCGATGAGTTGTGGAACACATTTGCCAACTGCCATGTCTGAATCCTACCCTTGGTTATGATGGTGTTTTATGAAATATGGATATGTGGAAGACTTTCATGTATATTTTTGACTCATGACATACCTATTGTTCATGAAAAAAGATTTCAAAAAAAAAAAAAAGATTATAGGAAATGATCTACGTCTTTAAGTAAATATTGTCCTAAGAAAATACTATATAGGAATTGGATGTGGATGAACACTAAAAGTTAAATATAGTATAGTTGATTTAATAATAACACGCAAAATATGAATGGTAATAACACGCAAAAATGCAAAATATGATGTATACTGGAAGATAGTCAAATGGAAGGCTAGTCCCACATGGAGTTCAAAATATGAGTGGATGAGTCAAGGGTCGTCAGATTCTTCTATTGCTTAAACTTGTCTCTAAACCCAATTCTTAAAAGGGATGAAATATATTAATAAATTCACCAAATCAAACATTTATTACTTTATCATAATCATTGCATTTTAGAACTCTATGTAATTTTTTTTTTTGTTCAAAAAAAAAAAACTCTATGTAATTTCCGGACAAAAATTATTGGTCTCTAATAGTTTCTTAGAGTTCTGATACAAAACATCCCTACCTATACAATTTGTTTAGTTATATACTGTATCTCGTTCTCGTAATTTGTCCTACATAAATTTGCATAAATAATTATTTTCATGAACTAAATATCATTGGTGTTAATTTATCTTGGCGCACGACAACGTTTTTTTTTGTTGTGTTTGGCAAATTGTATCGCTAAGACGCCAAGGGCTGCACTAGAAGATAGTGACTCCGGTTATCGCGATCGTGGTCCGACCACGGTAATATTTACTGTTGTATTAGTCAAAGATAAAATTCTAAAAGAGCCAAAATGCATAAAACTATATATAATATTATTAGTTTGACTCATCATTATAAGAAAAGAATATAATTTTCATTCCCAATGCCATTTAGCAATGTGCAAAAAGCTTACCAACAATTGTCACATTTCCAAGCCTTAATACAAGGAGTCCATCACACTTTTGTACCCTCGCCCATTCGATTAAAAGGCACAAAAAAAAAAACATTCACATCAAATCAATTTGATATTTGGTTTACGTGGCTTATATGACTTTAAAGAAGACGAAAAAAGAGGGGTTGCAACACCTTTTTTAGTTAAAAATACTTTAAAATATCAAAATAGAAACCTTGGTAACAATTAAAATTTAGTAACAATGTACTTCTTTCATCTGCACGTTTGTAGTTAATTAATAAGAATCATATACTTTTATTAATTTCCGATGTGAGATATTCTTCACAAATACTACACAAAATGATCTACCAACAATAGAATTTCCAAACCAAAATATTGAATTCTTAATCGCTAATAAGTGAATATCACAGTAACCTAAAAGAAAACAAGTGATCTAGCGAGATTGTGGGAATCAATATGTGACCATCAATTAGTTTGTTTGATATAGACTAAACTCAAAGAAGTGGCCTACCTTGTTGCTCTTGTTTGGGAAGTTTTGATCTAACTTTGCTTTACAATTCCTTTTGACTATCAATTCTGTTTCTTCAGGATCCCGTTAATAGTACGTATAGATTACAATGGTAAATTTATAGACGATAAAACTTATTGATTGACTATCTATATCGTTAGTTTAGATATATGGTTATTAGACGAAGATGTACCTACATACCGCTAACGAAACTAAAGGCCAATGAACATAGATATAGTCGGAGCGTTACAAGTATTTCTTAATTTAGTTTGAGATTTCAATTTCAATTTCAATTTTTGATAAGTAAAGTCTCAAAATATTGATCACGATCATTAATTCTTTTTCTTCGACTAAAATTATCTCTAATGCATGGAGTAAATTTCATAAACCGGGGCGTGTCTTAGTTCGATTCGTAAGTGTTCTGGCTCTATTTGAAGTCCCTAATCTAAAACGAAAGTTGAAAGTTAGGGCTCATAGTCATATTAAACTATATATTTTTTTTCAACTCTTAAGTAAAAGTCTTGTAATAGTTGACTATGAACAATTTTCTTGATTTCATCATATATATCTGTTTGTCGGGTAAGACATTAATTTCTAAATGCAATCATATATGACAAATAACTACTCGAAGCTCATGTGTTTATATATATATATATATTCCTACAAAAATACAAACACAAAGAGACTAAGATTGTTGTTGACTTGTGTTTGTTTGCATATACGGACATCAATACAAAATTCTCCACTGAGATATTAAATTGAAAACAAAATTTATACGTACATTCTAAGCATTAATTTAGTTTGTGTTTGGTTCATCGTGTCTTTCTTTAACCACTCCCATTGAAAATCAGTACAACTTACAAGATGACAAACAAGTTTTTTTCTCATTTCTATTTCCGCTTAAAATGCGGGTAACCATGTGATTTGATCAGGGGCTTCTACAATTACGTTAGAGTAATACTTATATTTAACCAAACTAAACAAAGTCAAGAAATGATGGAAAAACTCGAATTTCTTATCCGTTGTAATATTTTCTTCATAAAACGCACTGGGATAAAATTTAAGCTTAATTACTGATTTTGAAATGTATGATCAAATAATTGTTGATAAAATTTGCCAGCAAACAAAATTCATGAATCTACCTCAGTTCATTCAAATCTCGCTCTTAGACACCCTAATTATAATTAACAATGCATATCTTCTCACAAATATATCATTTACGTAGACCCTTGACCTTCAGGCTATGATATGTAGGGTTATTATGCATATTGCACGTGACCACTAAGCAGATTACTTGAGTTAAATAGTTAATTAATTAGCTTGCTCCCACTGAAATAAAAGATTCACATAGCATGACGCAATATATACATCACAATTAAAACATCTGCTTTTAATCAATAGTATTTTATTATTCAATATATATATATATATATATATATATATATATTCTCGTTCTTTATTCTAAATCAAGATTGGTTACTGTGACATTCCAGATTTTGCAGTAGTTCCAATGATTCTTGGCCTCCTTCTTAGGCTTTCATAAGTAGCCGACTAGCCATCCTTATACATGTGTATACATATATATGTACTGTTTATACACAGTAGAAAATTAAGACTCTAACCGGTGAATTGTAACGGCCGGAAAACAGATTACCAACAACAAAAAAAGAGAGTCAATTAAGCTATCAAAAATTGGTTTTAAGCCATATATAAAAACTTTTAAAAATCCAACTAATGTGCCAACGTTTAATTAAATTCTGTCGTTGAAGCCTAAATATAATATCTTTGTGAAAAGAGCTAAAAACAAAAACAAATAAAAGAAACAAAAGATAGTCTACTAAAAGCAGTTGAATCAAAAGTGAAGTCTCTCTACTCTATCTTCTCTCTATCACGCTCAATGTCTCTCTATTTATAACAGCACTTCACTTCCATTCCCAAACAACACTCATCATCTTTAGACAGAAGCAAACCAAAAAAAAAAAAAACCATACTCATCATAACACATCTTTAACCAAAACCCTAAAAGAAACATCCTTTCGAAAAACCATTTTTCATCATCATCATGTCAACCTCCAAAACCTTGGATCATAATAAACCATTCGAAACATCCCAAACCCAAATGGGTTTTGCTCTAGTCCACCAAAACACAACCACCACCACAACCTCCACAGCCGGCGAGAGACGAGGCCGGAGATCAAAGCAAGCAGAGCCAGGGAGGTTCCTAGGAGTCAGGAGACGTCCATGGGGTCGTTACGCAGCTGAGATCAGAGATCCAACCACCAAAGAACGTCACTGGCTCGGCACTTTCGATACAGCTCATGAAGCTGCTCTTGCCTACGACAGAGCCGCTCTTTCAATGAGAGGCACTCAAGCTCGAACTAACTTCGTCTACACTCCAAATGATGTTCACACCATCCTCACAAACCCTAATCTCCATTCTCTCATCGTCTCTCCTTACAATAACCAATCTTTCTTACCAAACTCTTCTCCTCAGTTTGTCATTGATCACCATCCTCATTATCAAAACTATCATCACCATCAGCAACCTAAACATACTCTCCCACAGACCGTCTTACCCGCCGCTTCTTTCAAAACTCCGGTTCGTCATCAAAACGTGGATATTCAAGCGTTTGGTACTAGTCCTCAAAATTCCTCTTCTAATGGCTCGTTATCTTCTTCACTAGACGAAGAAAGCAACTTGTTCTTCTCTTCAGAACATAATAACTCCAATAATAACTCCGGTTACTTGGACTGCATTGTCCCAACCAACTGCCTTAAACCACCTCTGGAAACCACCACCATACAAAATCAAACCGGAGCTGGTTTCACAACTCCGGCAGCAAGCAAAACCTCCGAATCGTACGGAGGGTTTAGTAATAGCTACTTCGAAGATGGTGGTATGATGATGAATCATCATGAGTTTGGTTCTTGTGATCTATCTGCCATGATCACTAACTATGGTGCTGCTGCTTCAATGTCAATGGAAGATTACGCGATAATGGGGCCGCAAGATTTCTCTGCTTCTTCTTCTATCCCTGGTTTTGGAGATCTTGTTGCAGACACTGCAGGCTTCTACTCACTCTATTAGAACATTCTATTTAATATTTCTGTTTTCTTTTATATTATGTAATAATATAATTAGTACTGTCGTTATTCCATGGTCTTTTGATTTTTGTTGTCAACTATATGTTATCGACTTTATAAAATATGTCCTGCTTATTGTATCATGCACCATAAGGTTACCGTACCATGAAGTTTTGGTTTTTTTTGTTCTTCTTCATTTTTGTGTTTTTTTTTTCTTTCATGGTTTTGATTAGCAAAAAGCCAAAAAGTGTTAATTCGAGTTGTATTAAAGACCACTTTTTGTCGATGCCACTTCCAACACACTCATTCTGTATATAATAAGTGTGTGTGTGTGTGTGTGTATGACTGTGTGTGTATAATAATGAAATCAAATGACTTACTCGAAACGGAGATTTGACTAGCAGTGAATACCTAAGATATGTTGTATATATCAGAATTATAGGATTAGTTGCAGAAACTCTCGGTTATTATGAACTCTTATGACAGTTGGAAATTTGATAGTAGTTTGAATTTTATGGAAAAATTGTAAAGATCAAAGATACGAGATTTCTCGTCAAGTTGTGCATGTTTATTAAAAATTGTATAGTCAATGTGAGATGGACTGTTAATGAAGTAGCATGATGATGTTCTTGGTCTTTGGACATGTGTTTTGGTCATCACTTGTTTGGTCTTTAATTACACAATCACTGTTTGATGTCTCCCTCCTTTTTGCCTATACTTTGCCTTAACTTTTGTCTACAACAACTCAACATCACAACTCTTTTTTTGTTTTTTCATTTTTTAATCAGTTTAAGGTTTTTGACTTTCTTTCATAGAACTCAATTAGTCCCTTTTCCAATATTGATCAACTTCACCTTTTTTTGATGTTAAATCATCAGACCCAAATTATATAACTCAAATATTTCATGGATTCATCATTTATGATGTTTTACAATCTGTTTCGCTTCAAAGAAATTAAATAACTTACAAAAAGTATTTGTTGCTAAGTTCTTCATACATCAATATCACAATTTTAGCTCATTATTCTAGAAAAATAAACGTGACCTCTATACAGTATGCATGGAGTATTAGATAAAAATATTTCTTTTGTGATAAGTTGTAAAACATTATAATCGTAAAAAGAAAAAGAGAATAAACTATCGCCATAAATTTTTTTTTTTTTTTTTTTTTTTTTTTTTTTTTTGCGAAATATCGCCATAAATTTGTTACGTCTATGATCTATCGTAACTCGGACATATGAAAACCTATATGTATCTATATATCTATATACAGTCTTATTTATGGTAGATCATCTAAGTAGTAAATCAGAGAAAAAGCATTTAATGATTAGTAATTTTCTTGGGTTGTTGAAAGCTTTTGTTGTGATGTTTCAGTGACCAAACTCATGATTATGATTTTTCTGTTGTTTTGAGTAAAACTAGACGCAACGAACAAACCAGACATGCACATGTTATATCACCAACACAAAGAACCAAGTACTATATATACTGACTTCTACTTCCACATTAACAGTGGTTTTTACTTGTTTTCAATTTTATTTTACTCACTTTCATTTAAAGTATTTCATGATCAAATTTGTACGGAACGAATGTAGGACAAGAACAAACATAAACGTGACTCTGAGATCTGTTCTGTTCTGCTTTTTCATGCTATTCCTCTTCTTGTTGCTGTTCCAAAAACCTTTAGAATCGGATTTCAAACGACTGTTGCGTTTGTGCGTTTACTATTCGATATATTTTTTATTCTTTGTTAAAGAAATAAAGGCAAACATATTCGATATATTTTGTCTTTTTTTTAAGGAACTTAAATACCTTTTGTTTACAATTAGAAAAGAAGAAAAGTCTGAATATATTCCTCAAATCTTCTTTACAGAGTGTAAACGCAAAGGTAAACAGAATTTCACATTCCGTTCTTGTTGAAAAATATTTGATAAAACTTCTTAATATTTTTCTTGATAATAAATTCAATAACTTAAAGAAACACAGTGAAAAAAGAAAAATCGGATTCTTTACATATACCATAAACTTTAAAAAGTAACAGGGGATTTTCAAGAATCAGGGATTTTCGTAAATAATAAGGCCATTTATTAATAATCGTTTCGAAAAGTGAAAAAAAAAAAAGAGAGAGGAGATGGCCGTATGAAGGAATAATATGAACATGGTAAGAGAGACCCAAGAGGAGAGACATAACACAGAGAACTAGAGGTGCTTTCGTCTCTCTCTGCTTTTGCTTCTTGTTGCTGTCTCCACTCCAAAAAAAAAAAAAAAAAAATCCTTTTTTTGTTTGTTCCCGAGTTCATGAAAGTTTGATGAAAAGAAGAAGAGAGAGAGAAAGAAAAGAGAGATAATTATCAAAGAAGAATAGTGAGAGATTCTCTTGTCTCCTCTGAGTTTGTCTCTTTAATTTGAAGTCTTAGTTTCAATGCTAGCCGAGTCATTATTTTTGGTCTCAGCAGTCTCGGAATGGCTCACACCGCTTGTCATTGAAGAAGAAGAGACTCCAGTAGCCACAGTTTCTGAGCCACCACTTGTTGTGGTTTTGGGTTTAATGGAGCTTGAAGAGAGAAGCTCTGTGCGTTGGTCAGACGAGGATGACGATGATGGAGCTAATGTGCCGAGCGATGAGGACCCGAGAGGGTAAGGCGCGACGGGCATGTCAGTGAGCGAAGAAGCGGATGGGCTGTAGCTTAGTGAAGAAGAGCTAATGGAGTGATCGAACTTGCAGGCAGGACCAAACTTGCAAATCCCGTGTTGCGCAAAGTGGCTGCATTGCGCTGTCCCCTGAAAAAAGTTATTATTATTAGCTTTCACTTTGTCACCAGATGCATATTTGTACAGAACGAAGAATAAAATTTGCAACCAAAAAAACTTTATAATCAAAACAGAGTTTCTCTTTGTTATCAGATACATAATTGTCCGTTGCGCAACAAATGAGTGGAGAAAAAACAGAGCTTTATAATCAAATCAAGAAACAGAGTTTCTGTATGGAACTTATCATTACCAAAAAGGTTGATAATGAGAATTTCAAAGACCGTTCTTTTCATATTTCATGGCTGTAAAAGCTAAAGATATGAAGATGCTTGCGCAATGAGACTTACAGGACGAAGTGGGAGGCCAATATTGCTAAGAGTAACTCCCTTTGGCGATGCTGCTTCCAGAGGATGATGGTACTTGCAAGAGACTCCGAATTTACAATCTCCGGTTCTCATAAAGTATTGACATTCGGGTTGTCCAGGTCGCTGAGGAAAAGATTGTTCCTTCATTGAAGATGGACCGGATTGATAAGCAGGTGCTGAAGGAGATAACGGCGTAATGCCATAAACAGAGCTTGATCCAATAGACGCCTGAGTCCCACGCGAAGGTATTGTACTTACAGAAGCCTAGATAAGTGGAATGAGCTCAATCAAGAAACTAAGAGAAAGAAGAAGAAAAAGCTTGAAATGGGTTTTTACCTGGTAAGGGTTCCAGCCTGAGTATGGAACCATACCGGGAGGAAGAACCATTTGGCTGTAACCGTAAGGGCTTTGAAGATATGAGCCTGGTAAAAGCTGAGGCCTTGCTACAACTACTCCAAATTGCTGTGATGAAGGAACGGATTGAGACTGAAGCGAGGGATAAAGAGCTGGACTCTGCTGTTGCTGCTGCTGCTGTGATGGAGATTGTACACCAGGAGGAACAGGATGGTGAAATCGACAGGTAGAACCGAATTTACACTGACCCGTTCTCATGTAATATGAGCATTCTTTCTCGCCCTGCTTAATCCATTAGTAAGGAAAACTTTGAGAGATCATACATAACAATACACCACAACACAAACAAAAAAAACAAAGAGGGATAAAAGGGATTGAACAAACCGGGCGTAATGGAAATCCCATGTAACTAAGTGAGGTAGGAGTAACAGAGTCTCCTCTTCCTCCTCCTCTAGGATGGTGATACTTGCAAGAAGCGCCAAATTTACATGTTCCCGTTCGCAGAAAATGCTGTGCAAAGAAAGCGTCAAAGTGATACTTGGCTACACTAAATCACTACATTAAGAGTTATTAATTGGCTTGAAAGAAGTTGAAAATCGAAGTGCATTGCTTAATCCGCAAACAATTCGTTTGATCGATGGATCGAGTAGATACCTGACAGACGGGCTGTCCCAATCTCTCTGGGAACTCTCCAGCTTCTGTTCTGAGACCTCCCAAGACCTAAAACAGGGAAACTAAGAACATACAATGAGAGATTCGAAGCAAATTGAAATCTTGAATTCTGTTTCACTGGTATCAGATCAACAATGCATCTGATCAACTAAATCGCCACAGTTAAGATAAAAGACTGCATCAAAAAATCGAGACACGTAGAAAGCAGACAAAAAAGGCAGTAACTTTATCGAAAAAACTCAGAAAGTAGAAAACAGAGAGATGAGAGAGAGAGTGTGTTTATTACCGGTGCACGGTTTCGTGGGTGATTGAACCGACATCTCGACCCGTACCCGCAAACACCGGTTCGTAAGTAATAGATACAATCGGGCTCATCGGGTCGTTCCGGGTACGATTCACCTCCACCTCCACCGCCTCGCAACCCTAACCGCCACATCGAAGCTAAAAACGCCGCATTTTGAAAAATCAAAGCTTTCATTGGATTCTCAAATAACCGCTAATCGCAGAGTTGAGACCGCGAAATAGAAAGACAGGAAATGCAGGGGAAAAAAATCCATCGTAAACGTTACCTTCGATACCGGTTTCGCTCTCTCGAGCGGTCCATTCAAGTGATGGATCCGACCGCGACTCTTCTTCGCCGGCGCGACCGTACCGCTCCATATGTTATATACCCTAAATCTCTTTCTTTCTCACGGCCGGAGCGGCGAAACAGAACCCAGCAATGTCGAGCTCCGATCAAATGGGAGTGTCGGGAAGGGACTTTCTTTTTTGGTGAGATTGGTGAAATAAAGGAAGGAAAAAAAAAAGGACAACAAACCACAGATCGTGGTTGGTTCTGTCTCCACACCACTCTCAGTCGCTTGATCTCTTTGCTTAAAGCTGAAATCTTTTTTTTTTTAAATTCGATTTTTGTTTTCGGCTACGATTTTTTTGGGGTTAATTCATGAGGAGTATTATTATTATTTTTTTTTTAGGGGAGGGGGTTGGGTTGGGATTTTGGAAGAGAGGGAAGGTTTTGATCTTTCTTTATGCGTGCTCGCCTTTTTTGTGGGTGTTTTGCCGGTGGTGGTTAATATACGCGCCAAACATAGAATAAATGACTTCTCTTAATTTATTGCTTTTTTTTCATCAATACAGAATTTCCTTTTCTCGATATTTTAGAAGGAAAAAGGTGCACATTGTGGAATTAAAACCTCCAAATTTAAATTAATGTAAACGCTTTAACTGGTATATGTGGATCTATTTATCGGCTATTTCGGAAATTCACCGTAATAATTAAACCGTAGGATCTATTATCCTACATAAACTCGACGAATTCGAGTTAAGATTAGTCACTGCACCATATATGACGCATCACAGGCTTTGGAGAGCTTAAATTCCAATGGCATGAATGTCCTTTTTGTATTAAGGTTCTAATTTGTTTTGTTCATTAATCATCTTAAATTTAATATAGGTTACACATTTTTTAACAAGTAAATTATTGTAGAAAAGACAAAATAAATTATTGTAAAAACAAATCACTAAATTTTTTTTTGGTGAAAAGTGATTTGTAACGCTTATATTCCGTATTTTCGTTTAACAGTCGATTATCTAATTATAAATTATAAAATTTTAATTATATTTTTTTATGACTAGAAAATTCGAGGTTCGTTAACACGTACATTCATTCTGTTATAGAGATCAAATTTATAATCTCCAGAGTCTTAACATTATCAGCAACGCATAAATTTAATTATTAGGTGGTTCTCTTAAATTAGAGTAAACATCTCTAGAACTTTTATATTTGTTCCTGGATTTATTCAACTCCCTACTTATTAGTGATTATATATTTTAACTATTTAGAATAGTCATGATACACACATTTTTTATAAGTGTCGAAGAAATGAAAATTGCTTAGATTAATTAAATAAACAATCGTCACTTATACCGCTGTAGTATTAGGGCTTTATTTTAAACTTAACTAATCGTACTATTATCCGTTTAGTAGTTTGGTTCTTACAAATCAATCTAGTTTTTTTGGTTTGGAGAAATGAACTCAATGCATACAGGTTCACAGCAACATGACAAAATAATTGTTTAGATATTGTAATGGTTAAGAGCAAAATAAGTCAAAGAAAATAATTTCTGTCGGCTCAAGTTGCAAATATATAGCAAGTAGCAACATGACAAAATTGTTTGCCATGCTACGATTTCTTTGTCAAAATTAATTCATGAGTTATTTATTTATTGATGTGAACATTTTTTGTTTCCTCAACTAACCATTCCCACCTGTTAATTATTTCGTAATCTTGTCGTCTAAAAAAAATTATTTCGTAATCTTATATGAAAATATTGATTAGTCGCTACTCTCGAAACTATATTGGCCAGCGTCGGACATAATACTTCGATCGTTGTGATAATGTTGACCTCGACTCATACCTTATATTTTTGGCTTTGATATATCATCTACGCCTCAGATTTTGGCGTAGTTGTATTTGTTAAAAGAATCTGTTCTATTTTATTTGTAAACTGTGAACGTATCAAACATAAGGAAAGTACTATATGTATTAGTGTGAACAAAAAAAAGTGATCTCATGCAAAATTATATACAAAAAAATAGACTACCGACTAAAAAAAGCATTTCCATTTGACATTGTTTGGTTTTGGCAGTCTAAGACAAAGATCAGATTTCGTTTTTGAAATCGTGAATACAAATAAGAAAACTGGTTCGGTTTCCTTAAACATCATTTTGAAATGTTTACAATTTGTCTTGATTTGTACTTATGCTTAAATTTAGTTGTTTTGTGGAAAAATCATTAAATACAAAGGATCGGAGAACAATAATAGAGGCTTTAACGCCATTTTTTTGTTTTTGGTTTATTTTACAGCAAATAAAAAATTCCACGTGTAGAGAAGGAGTAGAGGCATATACGGAAAGTATTTTCTTGCACGCTCACGCAAAGAGTGTGAATCGCACTCAACACCAAACGTTTAAAGGTCACTTCACACTACAAGGCATATAGTATTACCACTTCCGTTAATTCAACTGATCGTAAATTTAATGCTTTGCATGATTGATTACAAAGGTCATCATTCATAGTATTAGTTTTGTCAAAATCGATTTAAGTTTGTAACGTTTTTTCTTTTCACCTTCATTCTAATAGTGTTAGTTTGGATTTTGGATTTTTGTTTGTTTATAGGCTTATATAGCTCACAAACAATGACTTTTGTTGGCTATGTCGACTTACAAGTTCTTCTGTTGGCTATGTCGTCGACATACAAGTTGGTGTTACAAATTCAAAGTTTCAAGTTTCAACAGTTGTTTTTCTAAAATAAGTACATATATTATATATTTATATACAATACAAATATTCATTAAACATACGTTGTGTCGTGTGTGTCACTGCAAGCAAACACAACGAAGTGTTGTGTTTGCCTTCGAATGATTGAAGCGCGTGAAGTTAAAAGCGTAGAAAGGAGCGTGAGAATTTGTTCGGGAAATACAGTATTGACTTTTAGATCACTTGAAAAGGTGATGCTGTTAACTGATCATGCAATTACCAATCGAACGGCTGTAAAGGCATTAGTGTGAATAATAGACGGCTGAGATCTACTTTCTCATTTGTAGTTGTTGTTTGTTTGTATTTATGTTGAACTTGCGTAGTGAAGGTTAGGACCGTTAGGTGAAGAAAACTTAAACATGCATTAAACGGAAGTAAAAAGAGATAAAAAAAAAACGAAGACAATATATTTGAATAGCGAGATTTAATTTCACTTAATATCTTATTTATCTGATTGATGTGAAATACACGTTTGAGCTCTAAAAATCCAAAACTTTTGTAAATGTACTAGAAATTATATTAAAAAAAAACGGAATGCAAATTCTATAATATTTATAGGTCATTAGCTCACCGGAACAAACAAGTAAAGTACGGGGATTATGATATCAGAAAGGAAAACTAATAATACTGGATTGTTAACTGAATACATTCTAGCCACTCTCAAGCCTCAAAGAGTGAAAATTAGTTTTCTCGCCAAATGAGACATTTAATAACTTGTAATAAGCATGGTTTCATGAGGAGCATGGAGTATATATTTATTAAGGCTCTTTTAACGAATAATTAAAAACAGAGTTTGACTTGGCGAGGCATTGGCCACATGTGAGCAGCTTTTGGAGATTGTGTTATTCTCCCAGAGATATTTTGGACCATGACATTCGTATCCTCATCTACCAAATGTCGGCGAGGTCATTTTTTTTTCATTTCCTAATAGCTTTTTTTTTTGTTCTTTCTCATAAAAACTTCTGAAAATTTGAGCTTGGACCATGACATCTATAGTTGAGCGATAGTATATAATTGATAAACTTTTTCAAAACATAACAGTAGAAAATGAACTAAAACATGTAACTGAATAATGACTTTACTTGACTAGCTAGTTCGTAGATCTTTACTTCTTTTAGCAATTCTTATTTTCGTAAAGCGCAACACGGTTTATGCACTGCTTGATAAATCGATGACAGAAACAGAGATTACAATCATAACGTAAACAGTAAATATAATCAAATCCAAGCAAATCATAGAAATTAATAACTTAAAATGTTCTCCCTGATTAAATATTATTGTGTCTCCTCGGAAGTGGTACATGCACTTATACTCATGAGCTCTGTTAATGAAATGAACTTGAGCAGATCATCACAAATTGGAACTGGTCTCATAACTACGGATCTAAAAGGCTAAAAACACAAGCAAGGATCTTCAACCAAAATACAAATTTCAGATTCATGAAGCTATTTGTTCTAAAACCACAAACTAACTCCAGTCTCAGATTTAACCAAACAAATCCCGAGAAAGCTAACCGAAATAAAGAAGAAAGATCATGACCCTAATCTTTAACCATCGGATAAACCAATCCATTGGAACAGACAGATACTGGTGATTGAGTTTGTTCTGCTAAAGATTCAGCTAAACCATCTTTATAAATATGTGACCAGTAATGCACAACAATAAAAGGGCAAACTAAAGCTTCAACTTCTTATTGGGTCTCTTCAACTTGGCATCTTCATCGACCATGATCTGTTGTTTTCAAAAAAGTTTTCCACACGCAGATATGAGCAACGGAATCCAGAAAGTAACGTAAACAGACTTTATAAAAATCGTGTGGGGAAAACGAAAAGCAAGTAGAAAGATGAGATAAGGAAAAAGGGTGTGAGGGAGATAACCTTATGCTTTTTGTTTTTCTTCTTCTTTTTCTCATCTTTTTTCTTCTTTGCGTTTTTCTTCTTTTTCTTTTTCTTAAGCTTTGTGTTCTCTACCTTATCGTCATCAGAAGATACCTAAACATGACGAAGAAGGTGTACGAATTGGTCAGTAGAACATATTCTCAAAAAATCGATCCCCTACCCAGCCCAGATAGAATGAATGAGAGTAGGGAGAATCAGATACCTCGACGTCTTCAAATGAGGCAACGTGTTGGATTGTTCTTCCTGAACTCGAAGCCCCACCTGAGACCAGTAGAGTATCATAAAGATTATGCCTTCACATTCGATATACTTAACAGAGCTTTAAAAATACTCATTCTGCCATATATATATTCCCCAATAACATAACTAATGAATGCATTTTTTTCATATGGATTGGCTCGGATAAAAGCAAATCTCTCCATGCTAGCGTGCTATGTTGTTTTCACCGACCATCCATGAATCATATGATTATTCTAAGAAGTGAGCTAAACTTAGTCCATAGTTACAATGAACTTATAGTGTGATACTAGTTTCAGGCAAATAGTCACAATGCATTCTCGTGTACCGAATGCTACATATCCTTTCCAAACTCTTTCAAAGTTACTTTGAAATTAAGGGAATCCATGGAATGCATCAGTGCACAATCTTTATTTGCAATAATGTAGTGAAGATTCAATGCCATATACATCTCCAGCACTATCATGACCTTTGAAAAAAAATTCCGATAATTTCCGGCCAAACTTATAAGGTCTCCTGTCTGATGCTACCCACAGTTTCTACAAGCCTATCCCACTTTTCATAGTTCTCCTCCACTTTATTGAAGGTAAGAGTCAGGATGCCAATAGTTACAGTTACTTTGGCATTCCTTAACTAGAACTGAGCTATAATTCCGGAAGAACTTGTCACTAACTCAACCCTAATGCCCAACCAAAATAATAGCAAATCCAAGACACCAAATTGTCCCTTTATAAATTCTTCAAATCAATCACAGAAAATGGACAGAGAAGAAACGGCTGAATCAAAATAACCAAAGATAGACCTTTGCGTTGAATTCTAGATCACCCTAAACTCTCCTGGACCAATCTAGAGTGCCTCAACTCATTCTTCTAGCTTTCATCTCAAACCTTCAGCTCTCGCTGAGCTAGCAAAGCTAAACTTCCTTGCACAAACCCGTAGGCTAGTTACAATAGTCCTGAACTGGACACAACAATCAACACCTCAACAGATTTTTCGTTGCACCTCAGCTCTCACCTAATGCTGAGCTATCAACCGTCACTTTTTAGGCTAGCTACATGGTCCTCTACAAACTAATCCCATTTTCGTTTCAATGCAAAATTACAACTTCTGGCCAAACAGAATAAGTTTTAGTACTACTCACTGGAAATAACGGTGTCTCGGGCGTTTTTGACAGCCAATTCGAGAAGATCTGGATCAATGGAAGACAACCCATTAGGATCCTGCAGCTTCCTCTCAAGAAACTTGGCTAAAGCCGCCGCTTTGTTCGTCTTCAAGGGTCCACCTGGATGAGCCAATCTGTAGACATACACGCGGACGCAAGAGAGTCAGAAATTTCAAATCGAGATAAGGAAGAAGAAGAAGAAAACAAAAGCCCTAAAGAGTGAAAAAAGAACCTGGGCTGCTGAGAACGAGAAGAGGACGGAAGAGAAGTAAGCGGAGCGAATTTACTTCCTCTGAGAGCTCTCTTCTCATCTTCGGTCAGCTCGTCAATGCCTCCTCCTCCTCCTCCTCCTCCTCCTCCTCCCATTGCAAATTTTGTTCCTTTTCACTTCCGACGGCGAAATAATTTTGAAAAATATTGACAAAGAAAGAACAATTTTTGTCCATGACCCAAACGGCGACGTTTTAGGAAACACGGCGTTCTTGGCCGCGTCTTATTATTATTTTTTTTTTCAGAAGGTTGCCGTCGAGGTTGATCGATCCCTTGTTTTGCAAATTTGGACGTCTCTCTTGCTCCATTTTTCTGGGAAGGCTCTTGAAATCGACTTTGATAAAATGCGAGGAGGTTACTGAGAAAGTAGGGATGCGAGGTGAAGTTTGCTTCGATTGCCTCGAGCAACGGATCAAGTCAGACTTCTCCGACCAGATCGTCTTCTCTTACGGCCTCTCCGATTCTCCGCTTCCTTTTGGATCCTCCGCCGTCGTTCAGGTCTCCCTCTATTCTCCCTCATGTACTTCAATATACACAATACGTATGTAGATTTCGATGGTGGAAGTATAGCAATTAGAGCTGCTTCGATGGTGTTTTTTTTGTAGGTTTCTGATTCTAGCCGAGAATTCTCTGCTTCTGCTTTTGATTCTACTTCCTCCCAGTTCATTTTGGAGTATCTCCGCAAGGAAGAACATGGTTGCTTGGCCAACTACGTGTATGGTCAAAAATGTGGAAATTCAAATGATGCTGTTGAATGTGATGAGTATTTGGATTGCTCACCCACTGGCTCTGAGGCTACTAAAGATGATGACAGAGATTTAGTCACAGAGGACATTACTTGTGGAAGTGTTACTTGCGAGATTTCAGGTACTTTTTCATGCTGGAGAAAGATAGCTGCACTTTTACCTATTGCTCAGATTAGCAGATGTTCTGCCTCTGGTCTTCAAAAGCTTGCTTCTAGTTTCCTTTCTGAATGCCCGGAAGATCAAATTTTAGCCTCTCTGCATCGCCTGATTGATGGAGAGTCATCTGGACAAGAAACCCAAAGTTTCCTTCGTCTTCTTGGGTTACCGTTGTTAGAGGAGAAAAGCAAGTTTCAATGTCTCAGGCATCCAAATCTATCACCGGTCTTAGGATTTTTGACATCATCTGATTGTTTGGTCTCAGTGCTCCCCAAAGCCCCGTATACGTTGGAAAATATTCTCTACTACAGCCCCGGTGCTATAAAGTCAGAATGGCATAGAAATTTTATAATATATCAGCTCTTGTCTGCGTTAGCTCACTTGCATGAGTTGAAGGTTTCCCATGGGGATATTCGTCCGTCAAACATATTCTTGTCCGACTCATTATGGAGTTGGTTAAAGATCTATAGCAAGCCTGATCTAGGTTCTGGAGATGCCAATTCGTCTGCTTCAATAAGAAGGTGGTGTGTAGAGGGTTGTTATTCTTCTGGCCTTTATGCTGATCTTCAAATTTCTTCACATTTAGACTGGCAGACTATCTTTGATAAATGGTGGAGGGGAGAGGTAAGCAATTTTGAGTATTTACTCTTCTTAAACAAACTAGCAGGTCGAAGGTGGGGCGACCACACATTCCATCCAGTAATGCCATGGGTTATAGATTTCAGCAAAAAACCTGATAATGATAGTGACTCAGGCTGGCGGGATTTAAGAAAAAGCAAATGGAGATTGGCAAAAGGAGATGAACAGTTAGATTTTACCTATTCGACATTTGAGATTCCGCATCATGTCTCAGATGAATGTCTGTCTGAGTTGGCTGTTTGCAGCTACAAAGCAAGGAGACTACCACTGAGCGTCCTGCGAAAGGCAGTTCGGTCCGTTTACGAACCTAATGAGTATCCTTCTGACATGCAAAGGCTTTATGATTGGACTCCTGACGAGTGCATCCCTGAGTTTTACTGCGATTCCCGCATCTTTTGCTCCCTTCATCCTAGTATGTCTGATTTGGCCGTTCCTCCATGGGCAAGCAGCCCCGAGGAGTTCATTAGATTGCATCGAGATGCTCTGGAAAGCCCTCATGTTTCTTCTCTAATACATCACTGGATTGATATTACTTTTGGTTACAAAATGTCGGGACAGGCTGCTATTACTGCAAAGAATGTTATGTTGTCTTCATCTGAGCTGACTGTACCAAGGTCGGTTGGACGCCGTCAGCTCTTTTTTCGGCCTCATCCGGTGCGCCTGCGTTTCTCCCGCGAGAAGGAACAAAGTAGAAATGAACTAGAAATGCATACGTTTCATGGCTTTGGGGTGGACCACAAGAGGTCCGTCATCCTCGAAGCTGGAGAGTATTTGGAAGAAACTGAAGAGGCATCTGCATTCTCTGAACATGCATCACATCTAAGTCCAAAATATCACCTTCATCGAAACTTGGATGAGTCTCATTTGCATGAATCTTACAGTGAAAACATTAACAAAGCTGATACTATTCTCCCTGGAACTTCAAAAAACAAATGTCTACCATCCGATATAAGTTTGAATTATCTTCTGGAGCATATAGAGGTGAGAGACGAAGCTTCTATGGAACTTCAGGAGTTGTTGCTTTGGCGGCAAGATTTCTGCCCAGGAAACTTTTCCAAGGACATCGCAGGAGATATTTTCTCTATTGGCTGTGTCTTGGCGGAACTTTATTTGATGAAGCCGCTATTTAACTCATCGTCTCTGGCTACTTATTTAGAAGGTGGTGGCTTACCTGAATTGATCAAGGAACTTCCTCCTCCTACTAAGATACTTGTGGAAGCATGCATTGAACACGATTGGAGAAGGTATTTTGTCTCACCCTTTTTTTGGTAAATCCTGGTCTTCTTAGATATTTCATTGTATTTATGACTCGTTGCGTGCTCCATGCTAATTAATATGTGTAGTAACACATTTTGTCTTTTTAGATGTGTGACTGAGTCTTTACTTTCTCTTCCTTTCGAAATTTAGGAGGCCCTCAGCAAAGAGTCTTTTGGAATCTCCGTATTTCTCAGCTGCAGTGAAGTCAGCTTACTTATTTGCTGCTCCACTTCACCTTTTGGCCAAGGGTGGAACACGCTTGTATTATGCTGCTAGTTTTGCCAAACAGGGGGCCTTAAAAGCAATGGGAACATTTGTGGCAGAGATGTGTGCTGTGTACTGTTTGCCACTGGTGACGACACATTTATCTGACCACGATTGTGAATCTGCTTATGTACTTATCAAGGAGTTCACAAAATCTTTGACTCCGATGGCTGTGCAGAGACTTGTCATGCCTTGTATCCAGAAGATCTTACTGGTACAAATAGTTTGTTTGTTCCCGATGGAATTTGTTAAATCTAAATCTCTGTTGGCTTAGAGTATCAGCTTGTTGTTAAGTTCAATTATTGTCTTCTGACAGAGTATCATATGCTCAGACGACAGGTTACTCGCATTTGAAAGTTTCTCTTCTTCAAGATTCGTTTGTGCGGGAACTATGGAATCGTATTGGAAAGAGAGTATATCTTGAAATGATTCATCCTCTTGTCATATCAAACTTGTATAACTCTCCGGACAAGATTTCGGCTTCTGCAGCTTCTGTGTTGCTGATTGGTTCCAGCGAAGAGCTTGGTGCCCCTGTTACAGTCCATCAGGTGAAACGAGATTTCCTGTTCTTGTTTTCCAATTATTTTTTGTACACCTTTCATCGGGTATGTTGTATTTCTGAAATTTTGATTTGGATGCTGACTTTTCCCTCAATACAGACTATACTGCCTCTGATCAATTACTTCGGAAAAGGAATATGTACTGATGGGATTGATGTGCTGGTTAGAATTGGTACACTCTATCTGTTGGTTCATGCAAATCAGCTCTATATGAAAGATTCACATTTAGCTAAGTGATCGCTGTGTTGTAACTTTTCAGGGAGACTGTTGGGCGTGAACTTCATTGTCAAACAGATGCTGCCATTGCTTGAACATGTTGTTTTCTTCTGTATCAATCTTTCTTCTATGAAAAAACCAGAGCCTGTTCATAGCTGGTGTTCTTTAGCTCTGACTGATTGCTTAATCACACTCGATGGTCTAGTTGCTCTTATATCAGACGAGTTGCTCATACATGAGCTGACCAAAGTATGTCTTAAAATTTTTGCACTGTCTATCTTTATTGTAGTTTTATGTTAAGTACTTAAAATTTTTCGTTCTTTGTTGTGGCTGATCTTATCATTACATAGGGTCGGTTGTGCCTACATGTAAGAGTTCTTATGCAGAAAAATATAGAGTTGCGGGTCCTTCAGGTATTCTTGACTCTTTCTTTCGATTTTTATTTATTTTTGCTTAGTAAATTTAAGGGAGGTGTGATGGATAATTTTGAAAGAAGATTGACTCCAAAAAGATTATTTTTAGCTGAATTTTTAAGGCTCTGTTGTAGAATTTATTTATTGTTACTTCCAGGGATGCATCAGTTAACCTCTTTATTGCTCATTGCAATCATATGGAACACTTTTTATCATTTGATTTGATTTTTTAATGTTGTGTTCTTCAATGTTCCAGTTTGCTGCAACTTCCCTGATGTTAATTTGCCAGCGGATTGGACAAGAGTTGACTGCATTGCATGTTCTTCCGCAGTTGAAGGAGCTTTTTGATGAGTTTGCTTTCTCTGAGAAAAGTACAGATTCATCGGACTCTTTAAACTGGAAGATCAGGACTACCGAACAGAATTTCCATCCAGAATCTCCAATCAAAAGTCATATGGATCTTGTGTGCGTGTTCATCTAATTCATCAGTAAATAACTTTGTATGATTCCGTTTTATGTCCTAACGTTATAGGAATTACAGGTTGCTTCTCTATCCTTCGTTCGCCGCACTTCTTGGTATGGAGAAATTACGTCAGGGTTGTCCAACCTGGCTACTACTCGAGCAATATCTGCTAAAGCATCATAACTGGAAGGTATCTTTTCTTCAATATATAGAAAAACTATGTGTCTCTGTTGCAGTAATATTTGATATAAAGATTTTCATTGAGATAGAGACATTTATCTCTAAATCTATTTTGATTCAGTGGGAATACACAGGACGATCTTCACGGTATAATATGGAAGCTAGGCCTGTGTTAAACAAGGGCCCTGCACCTATGCACACTCCTTCTAAGAAACAGCTCAACGGATCTGGACGGTCGGTTCCCCAGTCGCAGGGGTTAAGAAATTCCAATCACTTACAAGGCCCAGTTGAAGGACAAGAAGCAGTCTTAAACCCTTTGGTGCATGAGCCCTGGTCATGGTTTCCTAGTCCAGTAGCTTGTTGGGATGGGCTTGACATTGGGCGTTTTGGAAACCCCAAAGATGAGCAGCGATGGAAAATTAGAGCATCTGTTTTGTCTTCTGCTCATGCCCATCACGGAGCTCTAAGATCTTTAGTGGTTTCTGAAGATGAGTGTACAGTTTTCACCTCAGGTATTGATCCAGGGTTCAAGGGAAGTGTTCAGAAGTGGGAACTAGCAAGCTTAAGTTGTGTATCTGGTTATCATGCCCATGAAGAGGTTGGTTCATTTTGATTATTATAGCTTTCTTACGGCATACCCATATTTATTCTCTTACCTATAAAATAGGAAGTATGAACCTAATTGTTTATTGTATGCTTTAGGTTGTTAATGACATTAGTATTCTGTCAGCCACCGGAAAGATAGCATCTTGCGACGGTACTATACATGTGTGGAACAGCCAAACCGGGAAACTGATATCTTTGTTCTCAGAGTCACCTACGGATCAAGATCAAGCTTCATCAAAAAGTCATTCCAATCAGTGTAATCGACATGGATTATCAAGTGGGATATTCGATGGGAACTTGTATACATGTATGCATTATTTAGAATACATGGATCAGCTCGTTGTCGGAACTGGATCCGGTGCCCTCAGGTAAAGTATTATCCACTACAGTACACTAAAAATAAAAATAATTAAACATTAGAATAATATGCAGCTCTTTTTGCTCAACTCCACTGTACTACAATTCAGGTTCATCGATCTAGCACGAGGCCAGAAGCTTCAACTTTGGGGAGGAGAACCTGTTGAATCTGGGTTTACTTCTCTCGTATCTGCTCTTTGTTCCGGAGGGTCTCAAACAAAACATGGAGACGGAGTTTCAGTATCACCTTCTTGGATTGCAGCTGGTTTTAGTTCTGGTCAGTGTAGGCTATTTGATTTGAGGGAAAGTGGTGTCATTTCCGCCTGGAGAGCTCACGATGGATATGTGACTAAGGTGAATTAAGCTTTATTACTCCCAAAACGAATATAAATTTCTAAAACCTCTATATGGCTTTTCTTCTCATCTTCGCTTTTTTTGTTCTTGCAGTTAGCAGCACCTGAGAGCCATTTACTTGTTTCCAGCTCTCTTGACAAAACTGTACGGATATGGGACTTGAGGAAGTGAGCTAAATAATAATCACGGTTTTTCCTTTTCTTGAAAGTTATTCTTTTTGTTTTCCGCGACATATACATGTAGTAACAAACTGGTTTATTATCTTTCTGGTAAAACAGGAGCTGGACACCACAACCTTTTGTTATCAAAGGACACAACGACGGTGTTTCGAGTTTCTCCATCTGGGGGAAAGACGTTATCTCCATCTCAAGAAACAACATCGGGATTTTCTCACTGTCAAAGTCTCAAGACGAGGTAGTTTCTTACTCCTTGTTGAGTTTCACGTAATGAGTTAAGCAAACACACCTTGATCACTTTGGCTACTAAGATCAGAATTAGATCAGTGAAACCAAGTTTCTCAGTCGGTTTATGCACAGAATCGTCTTGAAAACAAGATAAAAAGTATGCGAGAATGACCGATTTGTTCGATTGACAGGAGGAGCAACATCAGCAGCAGCGGATTATACCACAGAAACTGTACATGGCGGAGAAGGGAGGAAGAATCAGCTCGGATCTATCGACCATTTGTGTTTTACCTTTCTCCAGACTGTTCATCGTTGGAGCACACGATGGTTACATGAGAATCTGTTGTTGAAATTATATACATACTATACACCATATAATTGGTTTTACATAGTCTACTGCCTCTCTCTGTTTTAAAATCTGTTTTAAAATTTATGTTTTGGACAGTGCCAAGGACGGTCACTGATATGATTGTAATGAAAGGAGACAAAGAGGAATGGTTTATCAATGGCGCTAATGAGCAATGACTAATGTATTTTTTTTTTTTTTTAAATTAAACTGTTGTAGTTATTCTCTGCTAAAAAGAACAGAAAAGTGATTCTGGTATTTTTGGCGGCACTGGATAACCACTTAAATCTTGCTATAATCAGAGTTAAACGTCTTGTTAACCAGTGATGAATTTGAATGGCACAAGTGCTGAATAATGATTTGCGGAGAAGAACACTCACTACAAGGCCACAAAATTCGCAACGATTTGAAGCTAATAAAAAGTGTTAAAGGTTCGTGATAATGGAAGTTCGATGTAAAGAAGAACAAAATTTAACCCAAGAAAAAAGGAACAAAAGTAGTAGCAATATTAGACGACTTTAACATAGACATCCTCTGTGTGGTCAAGAGCTTTCATAAACATAAAGAAGAATAAATCTTTGCTTACCCAGAAGAATCCTCCATTTTTATGCTTCTCAAAGCTCAAACTCTTCGTCCCTAAGCGCCAAAGCAGCAGCTTCTTCTTCATCATCATCAACAGCAAAGTACTCATTCTTCTCCTCAGGCCTAAACATATAAAACATGATCGAATAGAACACCAAGCTCACAATCTCCTCTGCTGCAAAACTCACCCACTGGTACTTATAAGCCGCAATGGTTTTAAGCGCAAACACCACGATTCTTGTGAAGTAGAGATATCCGATGACAACAATGTAGAACTGTCTGAACAATGTCAGCTTCGACAAGTTCCTGGCTGCTTTACCATCGGTTTTCGACGTTTCTCTCAAGGATCGAATCGACCAGACGATCGGGAAGATAATGGCACAGCAACAGATGATATCAACGAGCAAGAAGACTTGGTTCCATGTGACCCAATCTTTGATGAAAGGTCCGGTTTCACCAATCACAATCGAAGCAATGTTGGCTAGTACCTGAAGTGGGATCACAATGATCAACACGTTCTTCTCTTTCTCCTGCAAGAAAGGCTTCAAAAACGACCAGCCTGTTCCGATCAAGATGATCACGGTGAAGAGAAGAACCACACGGATGAATTGGAAGATGTAGAAGAGGATGTCCCAACCGTGAGGCGTCCCTGTGATCTTCACGTAGTGTTTGTCTTCAGCTGCACAAATCAGATTTAGGGATTTGATTAGAAGCAGACCTGCCATGAGGAGATGGATCCGATGAACCACTCGCTTGTTGGTCCAGCAGGTGTAGCTCCAGAAGCCGAGGAACGCGGCGTAGCAGAGGAAGAAGAAAGAGTAGAGAGACGGTAACTGGGTGGATCCGGCGGGTAGATAGTCTTTAGATCCGTTCGGATCTTTGTTGTACATCTCCGTGCGAACCGCCATGGAGACCTTGGTTTCAGGGACGCAATTGGCGAAGAAGAGAGAGTACTCGTTGGGAGAAGTGACGGGGTAAGATTGGTTGAATCGGGAATTCGGCGGAGGAGATAGATCTCTGAACGTGAAGAGATGTGTAACGTAGTGCGAATCTAGAACGCAGAACCTAGGATTCTGCTGGATCTCGAGGAGGACCTGGAGAAGCGATTCTTCCGAGAGGAGGAAGAATCCGAGACGTGATGGCTCCGGGTTCGGATATGCGGAGGTGGAGACCGAGGAGACGGAGACAGATGCGACGGAGACGGTGACGTGGCCGGTATGTGTGAATCCGAACTTCTCGAAGAGGATCATCGGACGAGCGTCGTCGGAGATAACCAGGGATTTGATCTCCGCCATAGAAGGCGGAACCACGGAGAGGAAAGCGGCGGAGAAGAGGAGGAAGACGACGACGGTGAGGGGCATTTTCGTCATTGTGAGGTCGATCGAAAGAGACGTGTAGGATCGAGTAACCGACGGCGAGTTTGATTGCCGAATTTTATAGCCTTCAGGTAGCTCAGATCTGAATCAATGTATATTTTTTCTTTTTCTCTTGAAATGCATAATTATACTCCTTAAGTTCGAACCACCTTCTATACAGTCAAGTATTTAACAGGGATAAACACTGAAAGCATGACATTACGCAATTTGATTTTCATGACACATTTACTTTAACCGAAAGACAATTTTATACATTCTTTTTCTTATATACATTCATATTGGAAATTTTAGCTATACTAGTCATCGTTTTTTAGAATATCAGTCAATATTGATATCAGTAGACAGTAGTACTGTATTTTAAAAAAAGAATTACGGTATTGACAACAAAAATTTGTTATAGGAAAAATTTATCAAAATCTATAAAAATGCATAAAATATATATATATATATATATTTGTTTTTGGTCCAAAAAATATATTTTATTAGTTTTCACTTTTCTACGTACCTAAGTAATGCACTTATTTTATGAAAACGTAACGTACTAAATAGCCATGTGTGCGTTTAAAAAATTAACACTATCAGACAGTTTCAGATAAAAAAATATCTTCCACAAACAAACTGCAAACTACGCGTTGTTTTTCTCAAAGACTTAGCATAGCCTACAAAACCTGGCGTTTTTTAGTCCAAAAACAACCTACATTGCAAAACGTAGAGAAGCATACGATTATACAACAAACAAACAAATACTATACAAGCAGATGATGCGATGAAAACAAACTAAAACCATCTTTCTTAAAAAAAACGATGAACTCTCTCTCACTCTCTCCTTATTACCAAAGAAAAAAAGGGAAGATATATCACATAATACAGAAGATCTGGAGAAGAACAAGCACTTGCTTCACATAAAGCTCCAAAACTTGACGACAATTTACACCTCGGTTATTTCCAATGCTATCCAGCTTCAACCTTTTGGTCATGGCACTCACTTTTATCAGTGTCTGTGCTGTTCCTAGGAGGATCTGAATCTCTTGTTGTCCCGTTCTGACTCCTTCGTCTTCTTCTATCCTGAAATTCTCAAAAGTTGGTAAAATCTTTCAGCACCAAACACAAGCAAAACATCTATAAGTTTGTAGACGTAAGAGGCGGTTTTCAAAGTAATGATCTTTCCCTCTGTTCATACCTCTCTAGGGATTGGGTATTCCTCGGATTCAAGCATACGGGCAACTTGGCTCATCCTTGGTCGTTTCTCAGACATGGGATCAACACATCTTAAAGCAGTCAAGAGTGTTCTTTTTAAGGCACTTGTAGATGGTTTTGTGTCGAGGTTTGGGTCAATCACTTCTTCTGATCGTCTTTGTTGAACCATCATCTTCAGCCATTCCACCAAATGTACCTACAAAAAGGAGAACAAAAAAAAAAAGTTAAGAGGACTCTTGTGAGCGAGCAGAGTTTATGTGTTTTGAAGATTTCTTCTGAATTTTTTTTTTACCTCGGGTGGTGGGCGAGCATAGTCTACTGGATATCTACCAGTTATAGCTTCCAAGAGCACAACCCCAAAGCTGTATACATCACTTTTCTCATTCAGAAGACCAGAATTCGCATACTCTGGAGCTACATACCTGAAAGCCAAAAAAAAACAAGTTATTTCCGTAGAGCAAGAAACATTATTAAAGACTTCAACATTACTATGGAAAAGATGTAAAGAGAGAAGCCAAAGCTTACCCAAAGGTACCCATTACTCTAGTAGTTATAAAGCTTTTATCAGCGCCAAGCAATTTCGCAAGTCCAAAGTCAGAAATTTTAGAATTGAATTTGTCATCAATCAGAATGTTGCTAGACTTTATGTCTCTGTGCACCACTTTTGGCTCAATCGCCTCGTGAAGGTACGCAAGCCTGCATCACCATCGGCTCAGATGAGGATAAAGAAAACAAACACAATCGAGAAAGAAAAACAAAACATAAAGCCGTCACAAGACTTACGCTTTGGCTGTTCCAATAAGAATTTTCAAACGTGCCTCCCATGTCAGATACTCGTGGTTTTGATTGTCTCCACGAAGCCATTGCTCCAGATTTCCATTGTTCACATACTCATACACCAGCATCCTAATTAAGTATTTACCCGCACCCGATGCTTAGTGAGATTCAGAAGAAAATCTATGGATCATTTTTCAGCAGAACATACATACCTCTGCGTTCCTTCCATGCAATATCCGAGAAGCCGGACCAAGTTTTTGTGGCGTACGTGACCAATAGCCTCAACTTCTACTCTGAAGTCTTTGTCAGCTTGCCCTCTAGAAATACAAAAAAAAAGATCTTTAAGAAAATGAAATCTTGAATCTTGAATCTTGATTCACCATCTCGGATAAACTTACAGATTGTTTAGCAACTTTTTAACAGCAACAGGAGTGCCATTAACAAGGTTACCACGGTAAACAACCCCATATCCGCCATCACCGATTATATTATCTCTCGAGAACTGATTTGTAGCCATCTGAAGATCTCTAAGAGTGAACCAATGCCCCCATCCGAGGTGAGAAAACTCTGGAAGACCAGACAAAGGAGATGGAGCTGTCAAAGGATTAGCAGAAGATACGCTCGATCCATCTTTCTTCTCCAAGTGATTAAACGAGCCAGACCGGCTACTATCACCATTCTCTGAATCTGCTATGATTCCCTTTTCAGGTTCTTTATCCCCAAACTTCTCACTAATAGAGGGATATCCATTGCCTCCATTGCTCGAGGAAACCTCGTCGACTCTAATCTCTTTAATCTCTTCAGGGACACTAGGAGGAATCTGGCGGCTAACAGGGATTTGATTAGAAGATGATCTAGATGCTTTTCTTCTGAAAGTAAGCCATAGAGATATAGCTAAAACTACAACGAAAATCGCGGAGAGAACAATCACGATTATCTCCCATAGCTCCAAACCATTGTAGTTCCGAGATAATGTGTCGTTTAAACCAGATCCCATCTTCCCCACCTCACGCTTTATTCACCTGAAAGAATTCACAACTCAAGACACTCAAAAAAAGAAATCTTTTAAAAACATAACTTTTGCTGATTAAACAAAAGTGAGAGCCAATCAGAAGAAATATATCTAGACCTGAATCAAAGTAATCAAAACTCAGGAATTCCAAGCTTATACCAATAAATGGAATGGAACCATATCAGACTTTAGAGTCCAAATTGGGAAAGGAACAAGCAAAAGGACAAGAAACCGAAAAGAGACTTCAAGAAAAATCAGATTCATACAACAAGCATTGTGCCTAAGTCCCAAGAGTTGCCAGCTGCCAGATTTTCAGTTCTCAGGCCAAACGCCAGCTACACATTAAGCTGGAAAGAAAACTACAGGTGAAAAACAAAAACAAAAAAAATCCAGCGACTAATCTAGAAAAATCGCTACCGACAATAGAAACTATCAGAAAGTCAGAAATCCGTCGCATTGTCTGAAAAACACGACTTAACAGATCAAAGAAGACCAAAGAAGAACTCTATAATTCAAACTCAAAGAGCTTACAAATTAGAACTAGGGTTCTGAAGTGAGAGAACCAAACCTGATGGGCGAAATTTAGGGGATTCAGAGCGACATTGAAGGGAAAAAAGTCAGATCTCGACCAGCATTGACTGGAAATTTCCCTGCTTTGGATCTTTGTAGGGATCTCTAACCTACAGACAATACCCAAGCAGTGAAAAAAAAAAATTCCAAAGACCAGAAATGTCAGTGGGAAAGATTGAAGCTTTACCTTGTAGCTGTGTTCCAGAAAAATAAAAACAAATAAAACAGTTAGTAAAAAGATGACTTTATCCAATTATTTATTCTGGCTTTTATTAGCTTGCAAAAAGTGTCGACCGACGAAAACCAACAAGGTGAAGACTTTTTTTTCTTTTTTTTTTGATTTGTGACGGACAAAGGCTTTCTCCAAACTCAAAAGTAAAAAAAAAAAAAGTTATGTTTTTCTCTTGTAACTGACAGACTGTAACTGATGATGGAATGTCAAACTAAATCTAATTTTACTCGTTGACAAAACTATCTTTAGCTCTTTTTGGTCTTAAATTGTTGAACGAGTGTGTCTTTTGGGTCATTCTGATTATAAATAAATGTGAAATTAATGCCATTTGTATTTATTTACCAATGTAGGAAAAACGTCTGATGATTTGTTTTCTCTCCAAACTGTGTTTATATGGATAAATCGAAAGACAAAATAAAGAATGAAAGAAACCAAGTAGATTAAAAAATCTAATGTATAATAATACTCCGTACGTATTGATGGTACATATTACATATTTTGATATTATAAAAAAAAAACAACATTTATAACGAAACATAATTAGGACCTAATGCATGTGATATGCTAAAATGTTACTTAATTAAGCTGGTGCCTAATTTCATATCAAATTCAAAAGTATCACCAGATTGATTAGTTTTCGAAAACATATAATATACGGATTAATATAATAAAATTTATGAAGTGACACCTGAAAAAAATATAAAGAAGAGGGAATATGCCAAGTCTAACTCGGCGGCTCGAGTCATGTTGAAGGATTTTCTAAACAACAATCTCCATATCAAATTGATGAAAATGACATATAGGGTTTCTTAGTGATAATGGGACGTTTCACGTTTCAGAATTCAGATAACGTAACATTATCAAGTTGATGCCAATTTTACTAGTTTGATTAACTAGTCCCTGCATAAAGATAAAATCAATGGTCGACGTTACTACAATAGTTTTATACTCTTATACTGTTGAGAGAAAAAAAAACATGGCATTTAATATGCCTGAGATTAATCTGAGTTTTATTGCCTATAAAAAAATGTCGTATGGAACTTGCCAAGACACATCGAGACGGGAAAGGAAAAAAAAAAAAAATTTAAAATACAATCCAACCCGCACTATGTTTAAACTTCGAAGCAATTATTGTTCTTTGCGGATAAGCAAACAAATAGAAGAATTACAAGAAAACCTACTAAGCTCGACAAATATTAAACGTAATACAATCTATGAAATTCTGAAAGACTTTCTTGTTAATAAATGTAGTTTTTTTTTCATAACCAATGTTTGTTATTTCAAAATGTCATTCAAGATGAGACTAATCGTCTAAATAATCGAAAATATTAGGTTTTTTGTTGGAGGCAATATTTGAATTATATGTAAATACATGGGCCTTGAAAGAAAACGTTTAAAGTAAGGGGATAAAATCTGTAAAAGGAAAGAAAAAGCACGAAAATAAAAGGGCAAAGCCACCACCAGTCCACCACTGAACTTCCCTCCCTCACACGCAAAGTAGAGTCAGAGAGAGCTTCAACGCCTCTCTCCTCGCCGTACAAGTCTGCCAAGGAGAAGCTCTTATTTTTACAAAATTTTGATATCTGTGAAATCTCTCCCGAAGTGATCGCGTCAGAGAGATCGGAAGTGGGGTTTTCCTCGGTTCTCTGGAGAATCAATCGCCGATTTGTTCTTGATTGGCCCCCCAAAAAAAAAGAAAGAATATCGGAGAATCTGATTCTCCAACACTTGAAATCAAACTTGTTGGGTTTCTTCTCTAATTCGTTAGCCGTAAGATGTTCTGCGATTGCTTCTATTGGAACCAAGGAATATCCGAGTTGGAATCGGAATCGTCCGAGTCAAAGCCCTTCTTGCTTCCGTCTCCTCTTCCTCGATGGCCACAAGGTAAAAGAACTATCCTTTCTTGGAAATTGTAATTTTTTTATATCATGCAAATTGTTTTCTTTTTTTACATTTTTACTTTTTACTCTTTCCTTTTGCTGAAAATTCGTCAAGTTGTACATATGTACAAGTTGTCATTTGACTGGTTCTTTGTTTGGCAATTGATTCAAGATTTTGTTTTATGGTCAATGTTATTGTCCTAAATACATTAATGGGATTGAAGAAAAATTCTGTACCGGATCAACATCAGTTGCTGACTTTTATGCCAATTAAAATTCCCCCCTAATCTTCACATGTTTTGCTAGAAGGTAGGTTTTTGTGACTTCCATAATGGGAGCAATAATGTATGACCATAAACAAAAGACAATGACATGTATTGTTTATTAATGTAGCACAATGACCATGGATATGGTATAATATTTTCATAGTTTAGACATGTTTTGATTTTTTTATTAAGTATTTGTGTCAAGGTCCCAACAACCCCTTGGATATAGTTGAGTAATGGTTTGATGATGGTAATATGATAACTCAGTTATGGTTATGAACTCACTAATATTTTCCAGTCTATTACTAAAAAATGCTTAAATGCTTGCTATTTTCTATCTGCCTCATGTTATGCTATACAATGCTGTAAAATATTCTTGATTAGAATCTGAATGGGAATCTTTGTCTCTAACGTTGGTTAGTCTTTGTTTCAGGCACAGGTTTTGCTACCGGAAGGATAAATCTCGGAGAAATCGAAGTGGTGAAAGTCACCGAGTTCGATAGAGTTTGGAAATGCGGCACGTCGTCGTCGCGTGGCAAATCGAAATGTGCCTCTTTCTACAAACCTGTGGGGATACCAGAAGGTTTCCATTGCCTTGGTCATTACTGTCAGCCAAATAATCAGCCATTGAGAGGCTTTGTTCTTGCAGCTCGAGCTAACGATCCCGATCATGATCATCATCGCCATCCGCTGAAAAAACCCTTGAAGTATACTTTAGTTTGGAGCTCAGATTCAGATTGCTACTTCTGGTTGCCTGATCCTCCACCTGGTTACAGAGCCGTGGGAGTGATTGTCACAGACGAAGCAGAGGAGCCTGAGGTTGAAGAAGTGAGATGTGTAAGAGAGGATCTCACAGAGAGTTGTGAAACCAGGGAGATGATTCTTGGCCTTGGATCTTTTAACGTTTGGAGCACTGAACCGTGCGAGAGAGGGATTTGGTCTCGAGGCGTGGTGGTTGGCTCATTCTTTTGCTCCACCAATGCTAACAGAGCAGCCATGAGCATTGCTTGCTTGAAAAATCTTGATCCGAGCCTGCATGGGATGCCGAATCTTGACCAGGTCCATGCGCTTATTCAGCATTATGGACCGACGGTTTACTTCCACCCGGAAGAGACTTACATGCCTTCCTCCGTGCCATGGTTCTTCAAAAACGGAGCTTTGTTGTACCGGTTTGGGAAATCTCAAGGCGAACCGGTTAACTCGGCTGGCTCGAACTTGCCTGCGGGTGGAGAAAACGATGGGAACTTCTGGATTGATCTCCCTCAAGACGACGAGGAAGCTAGAAGTAACCTGAAGAAGGGAAACCTAGAAAGCTCAGAGCTTTACGTCCACGTGAAGCCTGCGCTTGGAGGGATCTTCACTGACGTTGTGATGTGGATTTTCTGTCCCTTTAATGGCCCTGCAACGCTCAAAATCGGGCTCCTCACAGTACCCATGAACCGCATTGGAGAGCATGTTGGTGACTGGGAACATTTCACCTTCCGGATAAGCAATTTTGACGGCGAGCTTACACAGATGTTCTTCTCACAGCACAGTGGTGGAGGATGGGTTGATGCGTCGGATCTTGAGTTTGTCAAAGGAAGCAACAAACCGGTTGTGTACTCGTCTAAACACGGGCATGCGAGTTTTCCTCACCCTGGATTGTATCTTCAAGGCTCGTCGAAGCTAGGGATTGGAGTGAGAAACGATGTTGGGAAAAGCAAGTTTGCGGTGGATTCTAGTCAAAGGTATAGAGTTGTAGCGGCTGAGTATTTAGGGGAAGGAGCGGTTTCAGAGCCGTGCTGGCTTCAATACATGAGAGAGTGGGGACCAACTATAGTCTACGATTCTGCAGCTGAGATTGATAAGATCATTAATCTTCTTCCTTTAATTGTGAGGTACTCTTTTGAGAATCTGTTTCCTATTGCGCTTTACGGAGAGGAAGGTCCTACGGGGCCAAAGGAGAAGGATAATTGGGAGGGAGATGAAATGTGTGTGAAAGCTTCTCGCTGAGCTATAAATGAAGAAGTATTTTTCGTACATGTTAAACACAGCTCCTCTGTTTCATTGATGATAAGTGTCTGTGTAATATAGTGTGTAGATATGATGTAAAGTCTTGTTTGGAATTGCTGATTCCTCAGTGATCAAAGTTGTCATGTTCAACCATTTTTTTCTATAAATTCTTTAATGCATAAAGAGTTCTAACTCCTCAGTGATCAAAAAGTTGTCATGTTTTCAATAATGTAGTATCGTTGAATGTGCTGTTAAGCATATTACCGTCGCAGAAACGACGTCGTTACAATTATTGTAATACTGACTTTTGTATTTATCGGACATCGAGAATATGTTGTGGTAGACTTCGTCGTAGGTTACAAAAACTTTCTCGGTTTCTAAACGACGGCTGTGAAAGGAACAGAGAAAAGTCCAGACACGGAACGAACAGCAAATGAGCAAAAAAACACCAAAAAATAACGAAGAAATTTCAAAAACCTATTTCAACGTATACTTTCCTTAAATCTGGAATTTGATTAATTCAATTTCTCTCGAGATCGAAGATTATGGTGAGACTCAAGGCGAGTCTCTGGGTTATCCTGTTCTCAATCGCGCTCGTTTCGATTCAGATGAAGGGTTCGTTTGGATCTGAATCAAGTAAGGAAGCTTATGTGACCCTTTTGTATGGAGATGAGTTCTTATTAGGAGTTAGAGTACTGGGAAAATCGATTCGAGACACTGGATCCAACAGAGATATGGTCGCTTTGGTCTCTGATGGCGTCTCAGGCTACTCTAAGAAGCTGCTCAAGGTTTGGGATTTCTCTTATTCAAGTTTATCTATCTAAAGTTTTGCCTTTTCGATTGATTTTAATTATAAGAGTGGAAATTAGCGACGAGTTTGAGCTTGAATCTTGTCTTTTTGTGGAGTTTGATCAAATCCTCCCACTATATTTGCTTCTTACAGGCTGATGGATGGAAAGTAGAGAAGATCAGTTTACTGGCCAATCCAAATCAAGTTCACCCGACAAGGTTCTGGGGTGTCTATACCAAGCTCAAGATCTTTAACATGACGAATTACAAGAAAGGTACAGCCTTTGATGTTTTTTTCTTTGTTTTCTGGTCTGAGAACTTAAATCTCGAAAGCTTTGTTTTTTTATGTGCAGTTGTGTATCTTGATGCTGATACTATTGTGGTAAAGAACATTGATGATCTGTTCAAGTGCTCGAAGTTTTGCGCAAACTTGAAGCATTCCGAGAGACTAAACTCTGGTGTCATGGTTGTTGAACCATCCGAAGCTCTCTTTAATGACATGATGCGCAAAGTGAAGACTTTGTCGTCTTACACCGGAGGAGACCAAGGGTTCTTGAATTCCTACTATCCAGATTTCCCAAATGCTCGTGTTTTCGATCCTAGTTTAACCCCTGAAGTGTTGAAAACTAGACCAGTTCCTGATATGGAGAGGCTTTCGACATTATACAATGCGGACGTTGGTCTTTATATGCTTGCTAATAAGGTATTTTTTTGTCTTTCTCGGTTAGGAAACAAAATTCGTTCTCAGCCTATGATGTCTAATTGGTTCCGTCTACTTTTTTCCGTTAAATTCTATGGCTTACTATGAAATTGATGTGATCTTGGAATATGTTTGGTTAATTTGGCATTTGGTTTTTGATCGGTTTAAGGTGTATTCGTTTGGTTCTTCAGCTGTTTCAGTTTTTGAACCTTAAGTTTTCTCATTATTTCTGCAGTGGATGGTCGATGACAGTAAGCTTCATATTATTCACTACACACTAGGCCCTCTTAAGCCTTGGGACTGGTGGACAGCGTGGCTTGTGAAACCTGTTGATGCCTGGCATGTAGGTCTTCTTCTCCTCTTTGGGTTTGAGTTTTTTTTCTACTAAATTTGCACTAATTGTAAGTCTGATGTCACCGCGAACACTTTCAGAGCATCAGGGTAAATCTTGAGGAAACTCTTCCTGGAACTGGAGGTGGCAAAAACCAGAACGATGAGCTCGTTGTCAAATTCCTTTTCTTGTTACCTCTTTGTGCGCTTTTGTTCTGCATTTACCGATCCATTCAGGTTAAGACTTCTTTATTTCCTTCACCTCTGCTCTATATTCATCCTTTTTGGTAATTTCATTTTTCTTTTCTTCTGTTTTTCTTGCAGGGTCATGAGGGCTCATTGTGCAGGACCTCGTTATGCAATCAGATTAGATATCTTTATTACAAAATTAGATCTAATGGAACACTTGGTTATAGCGGTGTTTCTACATCTTCGAACATGACTCCCAGCTATCAAGTAAGTTTCATCATCATATCGTTGTTTAGGAAAAAAAAAAAAGTTTGTCTCATTGAACATCTTGTATTGCTTCTGTCTAACAGCTCCACAGTGTCGGCACACACTCCAAAATTCCTCAACACTTGGGCGCGGTTTCAGTTGTTGTCTGTTTTACCGCAGTTCTGATATCCGTTGGAATTTCCTTTGTGATTGTACCGAGGCAAATCATGCCATGGACTGGCTTGATCTTGGTATATGAATGGACTTTTACAATCTTCTTTTCATTGTTTGGTTGCTTCTTGCTTTTGGTGCATCAACATGGCAAGAAAGTCGCAATTCAAACAGAGTCTTCGTCCTTGGATGATTCCAGTAAAGGTATGGACATGCGAAGAAAAGAAAAACCGTGATAGTCGATAATTGTACCATTCACTACAAACTTCACATTTACGAATAGTGAATTCCACCCTTTTATGTTTTTGGTCTCTAACAGGTCATCAACGAGGAGGTGTGTCTTGTGATGTTACTACATTGTATTATGGATTAGGGATGGCTTTTCTGGCTATTGCTGCTGTCTCTTTGCCTTACATTTTAGGGATCACCGCCTTATTTCTGAGGTAATTTTTCTTAATAAACTTGCTGGAAATGGTTCTTGATACTGATTCAAAACACATTCTTGTCCTTGGATATTGACTTGATTCATCCCTTAGGATTTTTCATGATTGAATTTAGTTGCTGGCTAATTTTACATATTGAACAGGTTGGGTCTAATGGTGGGTGTAGCCATAATTCTTGCTGCCTTCATGACTTATGCCTCAGAGCACCTCGCAATCAGATGGTTCTTGAAAGGTCTAGAAGACCGTCGCGCGATATCAAAGTCTTTATGTTTCTTGTGCTGACACCTGACATCTTAGTTTTTGTAGTCGTCATGTCTTGAGATTGTTAGAATTTTGTTTTTTCTATGTTTATTGTCTTGCTGTCTTCTCTCTTTTGTGACATATGTACAAATTTATTATTAATGGTGAAGAGTTTCTCTAATGTCAAGAGTTTACATAATTAGGTTTCTTATATCACTCTGACACAGTCGTGTGACTCGCTATAGCTCAACGCCAATGAAATCCACGATTCAAGCTAGTTCTCAACCTGGTTTTACTAGTTCTTTCTTGGCCACCATCTCGCTTTGTCACAAAATACCCCATCTAATTAAATATCTAAAAGGTTATGAGGGGTGAAAAAAGCATTCGTGCATATATATATCTATGCCTAATTAAAGTTACTGTATTCAAAGTTTTTTCTATTGGGATGTTCAGGCGATGGTGAAAGAGATCATATCATTTGGCTTGTTATAGCTATTTCTTAAGGGCTTGTTTTAATCTTCCCAGAGTCTACTCATTATTCTTCTCTCAGTTAGCATTTTCTTCTTAATTGCCTTGTAGCTTTTAATTTTGCATTGTAGCAAGTCCATGAAGTTCTAGCAAAGCAGGCTGAGTTAGGTGTTGAAGTTGCAGAAGTTACTTCATATATATTATTTATCAAATACAGATGAAGAAGTTAATGGAGATAGAGGAGAGACAACAATGGCCAATTTCAATACAACAAAGAGGGAAGATTTCAGAATAATAGACACAATAAGAGAAGACATGGTGACAGAGACAAGCTTAACAAGAAACTAAGGTTCCAAGAAGAAAATTCATCTCAAGAATCTTCCATGCCGATGTGAAAACCTACATTGCTTGAGAAGCTCCTAAGCTCACACATAAAAAGGCCAAAAGGCCAGCTAATAGTCGTAATTCCAAGCCACGCCCCAATCACAGCCTTAGCTCAGTTTATAAAAGACAAAAATACCCTGGTGCACTGGGATTTAACAGTTCCGGTGAATTATAAAAACCTCCCGATAGGTTAAAACGCGTCCGATAACTTCTCCCATACTCAACTCTCTGAAATTCCATCCTTTCCTGAGAGATACTCTGATCGCTCTAAAAAAAATCACCCCTTCCAAACTCCGATCTCTCACAAACAATCATCTCTTCCATCCAGATACTTTAATTCTCGGAAGCAAGCAATGGATTTGGATCTACATCTTCATCCACCACACCATGTAAGTATATCATCTTCCACAAATCTCTCATACTCCTGATGTAGAATTGATCATCTTCCACAACTCTCTCATACTCCTGATGTAGAATTGACAAGTTTGATGACTTCTGTTTGACTATCTCGCTATAGCGATCGCTTAAAATATCGCTATAAAGATCGCTCTTGATGTTTGAATTTTTGGTTGGGTTTGATTAGGGTTAGAGAAATAACCGCTTTCGAATCTTTGTTTGTATGTTTCGCGAGAATTGACAATGTTACTGGGCTGTAATTTTATCTCTAGGTTATAGAGATCGCTTGAAATATCGCTATCGCTCTTGATGTTTGAATCTTTGGTTAGGTTTGATTAGGGTTAGAGAAATAACCGCTTTCGAATTCTTGTTTGTATGTTTCGCGAAAATTGACAATGTTAATGGGCTGTAATTTTATTAGGGTTTTGAGTTTTGGGTCTTTATTTTCTTGTAATTACTTTGGGCTTATCTCTCTTTTGTCATCTAGTTTATGGAAAATGACGCAGCACCGCAGCCGCTGCCGCCGCCACCTCCTGCCTCCGCCTCTGCCTCTTAGATACCGATCTGTGAGCTGGTATCTCAACACCTGTCCATTAGTTGGTTGCTACCTTCCTGTTGCGCTGAATCTTCAATATTGCTGCGAAGGCCACCAAGAACTGGCTCAACTTTTTTCCCAGCAGCAGAGAGCATTTCATGTTGTTGATGGTTTCAGAAATCCCGAACAACGTAAGTCAGTTTGTGCTACTGCACTCTTCAACAAGAGTAGAGACCTCGATGTTGGCATCGCATCTCTTGAAGATGCAGAAAGCCAAAAATTTTTTCAAACCCAGCCATGGTTACTCTCGCCGAACCTGTTCAATCCAGTTGCTCGTGAATGGCTTTTCTTCAAAACGCCTCCAGCCAACTACACATCAATGGTAGTTGGGCTCCAACCATCGATGAGATGGAAAGGTGATCCTAGACGAAGCATAATTTTCGAGGGTATGATTCATCCACCTGTTTTTGTCACGGTTCTGAGAATTATTGGTGGAGATGAGACCAGTAGAAGATGGAGGTTATTTCTCTTCCAATGTGGTGCACACTCGCTCTACTGCCTTTCTTCCAACACAGCGCCAGCTCCAGAACTTAATATCCTTACTCCAAAGAGCAACAAAAAGCGTCCAGGAGATGACCAACAAAATGATCCTGATGACCAACAAAATCATTCAAGGGTAACTAGGGATTACTTCAATGATGCCAAGGATGCTGGGAACAGCCTTGGCTTTGACCTTGACACCCACTTGGAAGGTATAGTTGTTGTGCCAATGCAATCCAGATACTCTTACAAATCATAATTAATAAAATGTAGCATTTCTGATACATATATAGCATCAAACGTTGAGTGGTTGCTTCACTGTGATGTTGGTGCTAACTGTTTATCTTTTGTTGTGATCTGCGCAGGTGAGAACTTTCTCAATACGATGGTGGAGTACTTCATCAAGTTGACTAAGAAGAAGCAGCGCAAAAATAACAGCAAGGACAAGGAGGGTCTTGGTAAGCTCGGAAGGGAATGTGAGAGCGCAAAGAAAGCACCTAGTAGCCAGCACCAAGTCCTTGTAGAGATTGAGTCCCTATGGTGAGAAGAGCATCCATGATTCTGCTATTGTGCATATAGAGGAGATCAGTGATGAAGGAGACAGCTGAAGTGTAACCGACAAAAAAAAAAGAAACTTAGACAATTAGACTAATTGACTTGGGCTTCGGTTTATCACAATAAACCATCGAAAACCCAATTGGGGATCTTTCCTCTAAAATTACTGAAATTTTGTTTTTGTCATCATGACTCTTGTAAAGATTCCTTTCATTCGAAAACCTAGAAATAACAAACTAGAATCCATCAATGTTGGGCTCATAGAATCCCTAGGAGAAATAACAAACGCTGAATTGAAACCCAGTTAGCAAATAAGTTGTTTAAAAACATGAAACAACTACTTTTTTTTTCGCAAACACGAAACTTTAACTTTTCCAGTTTTTTGTGAAAAAAGCAAACTTTACATTTTGTATGTTATTAAAAAAAAAAGCTTTGCGATCTCTCTCTGTCCGTGTTTCTCTCTCGCTCTCTCAAACTCCATCGTCAAGGACGAAACTTTTCGATCTTCCTCGTCTCCTCTGGCGTCGTAAGTCTTGCTTTTGTCTAGTTCCAAAAACTTTTCGTCTTTGATTCAAAGGATTATCTTTGATTCTATTGTTTAATTGCAAAACTTTCAATAGGTGGAACTTGTGACCCTAATCGTTTTTTTTTTCTTTTTAAATGTGTAGAAGGTACAATTTAATCCCTAATTTATGGCTAAGAGTTCTTCTAGAGATTCGATAAGTAGTTTGCCAGATGAGATTCTGGGCAAAATCCTGTCTTTGCTTCCGACAAAAGTGGCTGCTTCGACATCGGTTCTGTCCAAGAGGTGGAAGAATCTGCTGGGTCTTGTAGACAGCCTTTGTTTTGATCAGTCGTTGGTTGTGTATCCCAACGAAGAAGAAGCAACAAGTGGTTCACATCGCTTCTTAGATTTCATAGACAAGACATTTGCTCTGCTAAGCAATTCTCCCGGCATCAAGAAATTATCTCTGTCTCGTGATCATAGATATGGTCAGGGCTATAACGGACGGTATGAATACAATCGTGTGAACTCGTGTGTCACCCGTTGGATTCGGACTGCCATGGAACGTGGTTTATTGGAACTACACTTGCACGCCAACACCCATTGTGGTGTTGATATAGAGACAGAGTTTTTGACGAGCAAGTCACTGGTTAAGCTCACGCTATCCGGCGAATATTTCGTTCAAGTCGAGCGTGTGTTTTTCCCAGCACTCAAATCACTTTCTATCTTATCAGTTTCAGGGCTTGATCATCTCAACTTTTGTCGACTCATTGATGGCTGCCCTGTGCTGGAAGACTTATTCATACGTGATGATGCTCCTTTCGATACGCCATGTTGCGGTAAGGTCGTGGAAAGTCAACCCATCAAACGACTTGTGGTTTTTGTCGATCTTCCAAAGGAGAAAGACAGTCACGATTTTACTTATTTTGGAGCGCCAAACCTTGTGTTCTTTGACTACTCTAGTTATGTCTTCGAGAGTTATCAGTGTGATTTGGATTCGCTTGTCGAAGTCCGGCTGAATCTCAGGTTATGGGAGTCAACTTATGATTATGATTATGATGATGATGATGATGATGATGATGATGATGATGATGAAGATGATGATGATGATGATGATGATGATGAAGATGATGATGATGATGATGATAGCGATGATGGTTACTATTCTGATGCTGAACCAAATGCAGCTATATTTGGTGACATTACAAATCTAGTTGCGGGTATAAGCAACATTACGACCCTTCACTTGTCTCCCGATTCCCTTGAGGTCAGTTTTTGCTAATTCTTCTTTTTCTATTATTTTGTTTTTGGTTTGTGGATGATTGAATCAGTCTACTGCTAGCTAACAAGGTCTCTCCCTTATATTTTGTTTTTCTTTTTGGTTGTGATGATCATACATAAAATCAGGCTTTTCATTTCTGTTGTGAATCCATGCCTCTGTTCAAAAATCTCCTTTATTTATCTATTGAGAGTAACAAGGAAAAAGGTTGGCAAGTAATGCCACTTTTGCTCAAGAGTTGTCCAAATCTACACACTTTATTCATCAAGGTAAATCAGTTTCCTTATTGAGACTCTTTTTTTTTTGTTAGTGTTGCTCATTATACATATCAAATTGGTTTCTGGTTTCAGGGTCTTGTGCACAGAGTAACAAATAGATGCGGAGATGCATGCGCTTGCATCCCTGAGAAGCAGAGAAAGATTGTGAAGGAGAAGGAGGAGGACTTATGTTGCTTAGGAACATGTCAAGTGAAGGTGCTAAAGATTTCAGAGTATGGAGGTTCTTTTCAAGAGCTGAAACAGATGATACATTTCTTGGGCAAATTGAAATGTCTTGAATCTGTGAAAGTTGGTGTTAACACAGACAACAATAGTGAGTTCTTGCGAGCTGATCTGCTGACTCTCCCAAGACTTTCATCAAACTGCAACATCCAATTCATCTGACCTCTTCTTTCCTTACCTTACTCGGGTAGATGGCAATGTGAAAGTAACTTAACATTATTATGATTTATCACTTAAGTTGGTGACAGTCTGTTTTGTTTTTGAAAGATACGTAATACTTTTGCGTTTTTCTGGTTACCATGCTATTAATTCATTATGGTGAGAGTATAATAGAAATCTACATCCTGCATAACTTGTAGATATAATTGAGCTAGTAGAAAGCCAAATGCTAGATTTTGTGGTGAAGCCACGTTCTGATGCTGTCTTCACAACCCATTAAAGCATTGGTGCACATATATATCTATGGGTAATTAAAGTTATTGGATTCAAAGTTTTTTCTATTGGGATGTTCAGGCGATGGTGAAAGGGATCATATCATTTTGAAGATCTCTTTGGTCTCTGCTTGTAATAGATTACGCAAGACATGGGTCCAGTCCTAGTAAATCTTTGAAGATCAGTTTGGTTTCTGCTTGTAATATAACAAGTCTCATATGATTTGAATCGAATGTGATGGAGAGAGACATTTCGTTCGCAGGTTTTTGATTAAAGTCTCGTTCAGAGGCCCAAGTTTCAGTCTAAGACCAAGGATTGGGTTAATTAGGTTGAGGTCATACCGAGTTGTTAATGGATTTGGTCATACTTCAATTTACTTTGGCTTAAATCATATTTTCTAATTTATGTTTTCTGAAAAGAATTTATTAATAGAACTTTAGCGGATAGAGCGAATAAGTTATCAGATCGAAAGTATTTAACTCAAAAACAAGGATTCAATCTACATACTTAGTACTTATATTCACTTGTAATTAAATTTTGTTCCTAAATCTTTGATTGGTGTGGAAAGTAGAAACTCGTCGTCGGGTCTTTTGCTATGCAAGTGGCAGATGAATAATGAAGATAGTTGATCACTAATTCCAAGCTTCAAGGAATATGATTTTTAGGTAATCGGAATATTATGAATTTTGTATGTCTTTCTTTCTGAATAATATTCATTGATTTAATAAAAAAAATGAACGATTTTTTAGAAATGTAGTGTTACATTATATATAAGTGTTTTTATATTTAGCAGTACAAGTACATTGAGACATAAAGTTTTTGGTTTATGTGATCCGCTATTAGATATTTTAACAATGAATCGAAAAGAATTTGTATATTTTGAAGTTTGAATGCAAATATATTGGTGTAAGAACTATTATTAAGTATTAATCATTGTAGCCAACCAATAAACTAAAACTGCTTTCACATTGTACGTGAGGATAAACTGATTTCGTACACTCATTCACATATATTTCTATTCACCTTGGGGTTTTTTTTTCTTGCTACATTTTTTCCTGAACTAGAGGGATAATTTTAATTTAAACGGCAATTTTTTTATATCTGAAGATTTAACGCACTTAGAAAGCAAAGAAATTATGGTCTCATACTTTTTTTTTTCCTCATTTTGGTCTCATACTTATGTATTGCATATACTCTTCTTTTCCCTATGAAGTATAAATGCAATAAATTACTACGTTTATGCAACAACGACGAATGGAAAACAATAAGCCAATATTCAATTTTCACTACCGATACTTGAAAAAAATTACACATTTGACCCCCTTTTTACCCTTTGCGAACCCTCCAACCCCAAACTATGTACACTTTTAATTTCAATCACACCTAGGATTCAACCCGGGCCCACCATAGTAAAAATAAGTACCCCACTCATTACTATACGAACTCTTAATGTCGTAACATTCGGTGTTCTCGGCTAATATCTTGACATCACGCACCGGTACGAGACTGTTGTCGGAATCAACTATCTCCAAATTCCGGAAGTAACTCGCTTTTCCAAACCCTTCGTCCGGAAAATGGCCTGAACCCATTTGGGTCGTCGTGTGCCGGCCTGAGGCACGTGTGTTCACAACCTCACCTCCCCACTCTACGGTGGTTGCGTGGTCGGCTAAGTGCGTGAATAGCTCTGCTGGCCAATACCCGACCAGCGTGTTGTCCCCTAAACCCATCCACCAATTACCCATTTTTGGATCCTGCATGCATTTGCAACTCATTTAAACATTTTCTTTTAAAATAAATGATTTTTCTTTTAAATGATTATCATGATTTTTCATTTGACTCGTGAAAATAAAGCCAAAGATACTAGATTATCGTCAACATTTACGAAAGAAATATATAGGGTCGCATTCTTTTACGAGTGATTGAGTTTTTGGAAATCCATATCTCATATATTACTTCTGTCGTAAATTAAATTTAAAAACTGTGTTTTTTTTTTTATAGTTTAGGAATCAACTGTTCCCGATAGAAAATCAATATCTATTGATGCAAGCCGGACTATCTCAAATTATTTGGAAATTCTAAGTTTTTACTAAAGATTTCTTGGATGTGTTAAAAAGACTTATTATTATTATCAACCTCAAATTATACACATATTTTTCTCAAATTCAAATTTTTAATATAATAAACTAACTTTTCATTTGAGGCCATGTTCGAATGCACCAGTTGCACATGTTAGAATACGGTCCTCAGTGTGAAATGGGATATGTCATCAACAATCTCATCAACCTTTCTATTTAAGACTCTGATCAGATTCAAATTTAAGAATCTAAAATTCAAGATGTATGACGTCTATAATATTAGAGTAAGAGAGTAATCGTATATATATATATATATAAGTTATATAGAACATATATAAACAAAAAGATAGAGAGACGACGAACCTTCCAGATGAGAATGGTGATGTCAAACTGGTTTCCTTTGAAAGTAGAGAGAGGGGAAATGGCTGCCCCAATGGCAATCTTGTTATTTGTTTGGATAAATCCAGAGCATAGAAGATTGTAGCATCCAGTTGCTTGATATGAATCACTCTAACAATACAAAATTATCATTCGTTTAGGCCAAGCTCAAGCCAAAAAAAAAATTGTTTCCTTAAGCAATGTTCAAGTTACCATAAATTTTAAAAATGATCAAGTTACCAGTTCAACATAATATTGAAGGAAAATCAATATGTGTAGGTACGTCCTCTTTTTTCTAGCTTTGAGCAGAACCAAATTTAATGATTTGAAGAGTAGTACAGAAATTGGACTGGTATCAATCCCATTAATAATAAGCTATTAATGCAAAAGTAAATGCCCTACACCAAACATTATCATGATGACTCTGTTCTACCATTAACTTCAAAATGAGCAATACTACACATTAAAAGTACCTGTAAGAATATTACAAATCAAAATTACCTTCAAATATATTTTATTTTATTTGGGGGGTGGCTTAACTTGCCTTCAATTTACCCTATCATATTTTTCATGCGCAGTCTCACTGAATATCTAGATAACGAATAACTAATGCTATTTCAGAAAGAAAACTACATACACAAAGATAAAGTAGAATATCGGAAGTTTGCCTTCAAAGCAATATTTGGTAATTCTGTAAACACAATCTGTATACCATAATTAGACACTGAACTACACCTAGAAACTACTCCACTGTCACATGAATGACGACCTTACAAGCAATACATTAAAGTCTATCATCTTCTTTCTTATACATGTACATAATTATTCTTGTCAAGGATATTCGGTTTATACCCGCTGGCCGCTGATAATATTAGGTTTATAATTGATTTTCAAAATTATTGGAAAGTGCTAATAACTCTTGATTTTCAAAAATGTTGGAAGTGCTAATAACAACTTTTTGCATTCGTACTAGAAACACAAACAAATAGTAAAATCAACACATACCGTCCAATAAGTGAACAATCTTGGTCTATTGTCACCATACAGCTCCGGACTGACCTGACTAGTAGAACAATTAGAGCTTTAGACACATAGTCATCTAAAATTCAATAATTTTAAAAAATTAGCTTGAAAGTATTTCTATTTTCTCGAATGAAATATATACTTATATGAGTAAATTAAAGAAAAACTATAGAAAGGTAAAATAGAAAGAAAAAAAAAAAGCTCCGTACCTGCCAGCCAGCTTCGATGCTATTGAGATCAGGACCGACGAAAGATCCCGAGAGAATCCAAATCTGAGAGAGACTAAACTCATTCACTTCTTCAATCTTTGGGTCCCACACGTTTATCGTAGCTTTTGCTCCATATATCTCCGACGATGATTCCGTATAAGCGATCGCATGCTATCATTACCCACCCCCACCAAATAGTTACATTCAGTACTTGTATTTTTTACTACAAGTCTTATACTCCAAGATTAACTTCTAAATCATATTTTTAATCCCAATATATGCGAATGAAAATGCGTGCATTTATATTTTATTTTATACTTATAGTTGTCTGATTCAAGAATTAATATAAAGAGACCAGATCTTAAAATCCATTGAATGCTTATGTTTTATGTATTTTACGGCTTTAATTAATGAGACTGACATTAGAAACTGTTATATGGGTCCATAATTAAATGATTACACACACAATTCACATAAAACGTTGATATTTAGATGTATGGTATATATAGGCACATCAACAAAGTATGTAAATGCTAAACATATATATATATATATATTTCTTTTATTCAATTTCAAGCATCAAATTTAATCAGTTTGATTATTATTAATTCCATCACCCAAAAATGTTGTTGCATCCAAGGGAGTGAAAAGAGAGATTTATAAAGTGTACCTCATGCCCATTAGTGCCAAGGGCATCAGGCTTTTCTGTCCGTCGATCAAGGTCAATACTCCGTCGCTTCTTGCCAAAGTCAAACAAAGACTTGGCTCTGAGCACATCGTTCATTCTGTTGCGTCGTATGGGAACAGTTCCCTTAGGGCATCTCGTGCCGTTCACGTGCCACATTTGCCATGCACTTTCCAATACATTCGCTGCCTCTTTAACATCGTCGCTTCTCTCTTTTCCCATCATCTTCGGCATTCTCCTCGGTGCTTTCTGCATTATTAATCATAATTAGATATATCATCAAACGAATCTAAATAATTACGAAAACCAATGCTTGTTAAACTTGTACGTCAAATACTTTTACATCATATTTTAAGTTATTTTCATAAATGTTCTATTTAATATAACAAAAAGTGTTACATCATAAAATTTCAAAATTGTAACTATTACAAATGTTAAATTGTTATTTGTTAATTGCTATTGTCCGGCATAGTTGTGTTATAAGCTAGCTTTACTACATGATAGATGGAATTACAAATAAAGAAAACCTTGTTTAAATTACACATAAGTTTTTAGAATGTAGAGGCTAGAGTTTTGAGAGAAATATACATACACACATATTAATTGAATAAAAGAAAAGTTGCCTGGTTAGAATTACCTGAATCTTGTGATGCTTTAAAAGTGGATGATCCAAAGCTGGCTGCTTTCTTTTGTGTACACAATCTATTACATCACCATCTGGACTCTGTAAATTATTATATCGTAACAAAAGGTAAATATTTCATATGCTAATCAAATTTAGACAAATCATTTACAAATACAAATACAAAACGCATTCGTAGACATCTTCTATATAACCTGGATGGTGAAGACAGGAGGCTTGTTGATCTTGTTCAAGTGATTTTGAATCCTCTCAAGTCTTAAGTTACTGACGTGTCTGTATGCTTTCGTGTAGTTGAAGGCAGAGACATATGTAACCTTCTGGCATAGAAATAGACTTACAATCACAAGGAAGATTAGAAGAAGACATCTCTTGGATGCAAGAACAATATCTTCCATTGATTGATCGTTTAAAGCTTTCAAGGGAGTATCACACTCAGTTTCCGAAGAACGAGAAAATGAAGAAATTGGAAACTGAAAGGAGGACAGGTTCTTAAAAAGTTAAGAGGGAAAGAAGGACCATTTCAAGAAAATGAAATGAGATTTTAAAGAATTACCATAGCTGGCCTAAAATATATAAATGTAAAGTCTGTATATAAATGTGTGTGTGTGTGTTAATAAATGGAGAAGAAGAGAAGTGGGTGGAGAGATATTATGAAGTGTAAATATGGAAATGGAAGAGAAGAAGCGAAAGCAATGAGGTTTTCGAGAAGAAGATCAAATCAAGATTCATCATTGCCCTGCATCGGTTTCATTTTTATATAGACAGATTTAATTGGTGTCTTTTCTTTCTTATATATAAAAAAATGAGAAACAAAAAAGAGAAAATATTCATTTTATACATGTGTGTGTGAGTGAGAGAGAGAGAAAAAGCAAAATTGATTAAAATAAAGTTAAGAGAAGTAAATGAAAGAGAACCAAAGGAGACTATAAATACAATAGAGACCTACCCAACTAACTAAACCTTTCTTCCCTTTTATGACACTCCTTCAATGTTTGCATCTGTCACACTTTCTTCCTTCTCTTTTTCTAAACGTTAAATTTGTAAACATAAACATATATATATATATATATATATATATATATCTCGTAAAAATCCAAACAAATACGGTATGCATCTTGTTGGCATTGTATTTGTATGCCGTAAAAATCCAACTAATTTGAATTGTTGTCTATACAAAACACTAATAACTAACATTGATTACCTATTTAAAATGAACGAAAATGTCTTGGTTTATTTAGTTAGATACTACTGATACCAAAGAGTGAAAGTAGAAAATGTTTGGATATGGTTGAGATCACTTTCCTTCCATAGTAAACTGTATATCCAAAAAACTTAGCAATTCTATAAGAAATCTCGTTTGTGTCCAATATAATAACTTATATACAGAGTTCTGTTAATTAAACAAAGCTTGTTTCGAAATCTTAAAAATAAAATATCATCACATTGCTTCTGTTACAGAGATCTACTAGTAATTAAGGTTCTAGTGGATATGCACGAGGCAGATCAAAATTAATCACATGATTATAATAATAATATAATCATCAGTTTGAACGCTTTGTTTATTTATTTTTATTTTTTGGTCAACAAACGCTTTATAATTCAGTAAAATCGATCAAGCTTTTTTTTGTTACGTCATCTGAATTTGGTACGTTGTCCCACGTGGCGTCTTTTAATTGCGAACCCATACACCTAAAGTTAATAGTATAATTATTTTGCGTATATGCCTATAAATACACACTCTGAATGCGATGTCTGAACTAATTTCAGCAGATGAATTATGAACACACCAACTGAATTCAAAGGTATAATCAACTAAAATTTTGTCATTTTGCTAAATCTAATATTCCCTTTTGTTTTTGTGCAACTTAATAATATTTTACCTCGTTGACCAAAACACATGTTATTTAATCTACTACCCATTTTATCCCAAAACAAAACAACGTTTTAAATTAAATTTACGTATAACATCGTTATACAGTATATATATATATATATGTGTGTGTATAAGTTCGAAGTCAATATATAGAAAGTCATAGTGGTTTATTATAGTGGTCCATGACAGATCTAGTAAGATTAATAGGTATGTATATCAATTGGGTCAAATATATTATACTGTAGAGCCGGTTCGAGTTTTGATCCGAACTTAGTTCGAAAATATTATCAAATTTCAAGTTGATCTGATATTCTTGGGTTAACGATCATGTAAAAAAAATAGAAAGAATTCAAATAATCATCCCCAAAATTGAGAAATACCTTACTTTTCTGTCTGGACAGCGGATTCTGAATTTCTGATCCAGCTATCCCGGAGGAGTGGTACACACATTTACATGCTTCTATACTGCATATCTATCATTCACATGAACATTCTAATATCATTTGTTTAATTTGAATTTCAGCATAAATATTTAACTGCTTATATATATAAACTAAAAGTGTGTAAACAAAAAGCAGATAGAAACTAAAGCTATATACGATTTAGGTGGATCTAATCTCATTATACTACACACATGATATGAACTAGCAAACAATCCCTTGATGAGTGCTGGAATTACACTGATCTTCACGTGGGCAAATTTAAATGATATGAACATTTTAAGAAAATTTGGATACACACTATCATAACACTGCATATAAATTACAAAAAGAAAGGTTGTTGGATTCGATAAGACTAAAATAAAACGAATAAGACCAGGATGAACAAAAAAGTTTTTATAATGTCTGTTTTCGGACTGTGCTCAAATCCCAACCTTTGGATGCTTCTGCTTCATTTGCTTCGTAAAATTAGTTGTATATATTAATGAGATTACATTAAATAAAGCATTATGTAATTACAGTACGAACCTTCCAAGTACGTCACCAGATTCAGGTTTTTAACTACTACAATAATAAACCTGTTTATGTATAAATAAGCATTTACTAGTATGTATATGTACATCCGGGCCGAAATATATATATATATATATATATGCTGGTATTAAATTCAAATCAATTTGAGATTTAAGTAATTAGTACATATAATCAAGTAACAAAATGGTCACCTGATTAAGTAAAAATATATGTTCACCTAAGAATAGAGTAGGAATGTCAACAAAACATTATATGGGAAGCGGATGAAAATGAACAACTTTCAAAGATACCAAACGTTGGGCCAAACTCATTTGGAGCCCAAACAATACACATATCTCAAAGACTAAACTCGAGATTCATTAAGGATATCAAAAGAATTTACATGGTATGGTTTAGATTTTACAATTAAATGGACCATCAAACGGAACAATTGTTCTCGTTACTAAATTTCTTTAATACACTAGATTGACCTTGAACTTCAAACAAAACTGTGTTATTTATTCAGTACTAACTCTGAAAATTTCGTGTTGTTATTCGATTAATTGATGAGATTTCTCAACTCTAAACACAAATTATAAATTCTTAGATCAAATAAATAATATTTTTAAATATCACGATTAGTTTAGAAGTCCTTATTATAATATGTAAGCTGTATGGTTTCGATATAATTGAAATCAAATAAATCCATGTGGGATATAATCATTTTTAAAAGTGAATTATAGAGATCTTTCTGAATTTTTAAGGTCTCCGTTTCTATGTGATGATATGAGTTTATCAGTTCCAAGAAGTAGGGGAGAAGAAGAAATAAGTGTCGCACACTCAACGCTATACGAGTGACACTCATCCCCAGACTTACCTCTTACTATCTTACACTTGTTCTTCCTCATGCATGCCATTTATCATAGGATACAGGGCCGGCATTTAGCACGTGTAACCTGAGATATAACACAGGGCCCAATATAATTTTAAACTTAATATAGTTTTTAAAAAATTTGCTTTTTAAAAAAAAATTATAGAAAAAATACAAACAAATTTTAAGAACAACATATAATATCAAGTGTCAACATAATAAAATGTTTTTACAAAAGCTTTTTTATCATAATTAATTTTATTCTCATTATTTTTAAGTGGTTTATAAGATATACATTTGGTTTTTGATAGATTTTTTTTATATATTTTTTATAGTTGAAAGGTTTAATGTTATATAATAATCATTGTTTATAAAAATTATCAAATTAATTATTCAGTGATTGTTTACTCACCTTTCACTCCTATATATGGTAAATATTTTTATTAGTTCACCATATAAATATTTTAAAAAATTATATATTATAAGGTCTATTGTAAATTAGTAATACAGGGTCTCAAATTTGTTCAAAACGGCACTGATGGGATATATATTTACCAAGAGAGTTTTTTTAAAAAAAAAATCCTGATACAAATTATAAAAAACTGTATAAGAAGATTTATATTACAAAAAATTATAACTAACACAATGTGAATCGACTTGGCCTTTTGGTATACCAAATGAATACATTTTTCTCTAAAATTTAGACTAACTGTTGGTACTGTAACTCAACCGACAATCCAAAACTAATTTATATGGAAAGACAGATCAATTCTGTAATTCGAACAGTAACTATACATAAGACTAATTTGCACGTTTTAACCTCCAAACTAAAAAAGCTATCACACCATAAAGTTCATAATTTATGTTTAACAACTAATTTCAACAGGTCAATATAATACATTTTCTGCAAAATGCCAAATTAAATTTAGCTGTAATTAAATGTGTGTAGTTATCATCATACAACCCAATGTACGTCAATGCATATGTTTTTCATCATCAAAGATGTTGTAAAATGTAGGAAAAAATTAAGTCTTCGCTGAACACTGTTAAAATGTAAAGAAAACCTTAAAAAAATTATCGATGTTTTTTTAATTGCCAACAAGGAAAACAAATAATTAAAATAAATGGAAGAAAAAGATTTAATAAGTAGTGGTCGTAAAAAGAGGTACTTCGAGCCGAAGCACCTAAGAATGCTTGAGCCACGTGTACCGAGTCGTTTGCCAGGCCGTCCTCCTCTCTGACACGTGGCAGTCAGATATGACATCTCATTTTCGAATGTACGTAGACTTTATATAGTTTGTATACTTTGTCCCTATTTTTATTTTATTATCTAAAAGTGTTATTCACTTATTCCTATCCCGAAACAAAACGGGGGAAGAAACTGTTGGAAACACAATGGTTGAAACTTATAACCTAAGTAAAACACTAAAGCCAGAAAAATATAAAAAATAGAAAACGAAAAAAGAAGAAGAAAAACCAGAAAACGAAAAGCCCACAATATGAAAAATGGAATGATAGGAGTTTATCTAAGTAAAAATACTTGTTCTTTTGTTCAGATTGATTTGCGTAGTAATGATTGTTATAATTTAATAACAAATCATGATCTCTCTTTTTAAACATCCGACCCAATATGTTCGGAACTTTTTGCTAGGTAAATAACTTTTAAGAAACTAAAATTAGCTAAAAGTATATTGTGTGACACAAAATAATAAATATCATTACTAAAATATTCTTTATAATTAAATTATTTACTGCCTTAACTAATATATTGAAATGGTATTTTCAGGGAAAAAAAACATATTGAAAAGGTTTAAAATTCACTTAAAAAGCACAAGAGTTTTAGAGAGAAACACGTGAGTCATCTACAAAACAGTGGTCGGGGGTCGCTTTCGTGTAACACAGAGACATTTTAAATAAACAAAACGAGATTCGTTAGTATACATATATACACACGTATACACTCATACACATGCCACGCTAAGAATACGTATACTCATGACGTGTCCACGAATATATATAAACGTACGCTTCAATTTTTCATTCGAGTCTTGCACACATTTTGGTTGAAATAGATTGAAACCATTATATCCATTAACTCTCAAAGAAAACACCATGGAAGAAGAGCAACCTCCGACCAAGAAACGGAACATGGGGAGATCTAGAAAAGGTTGTATGAAAGGTAAAGGCGGTCCAGAGAATGCCACGTGTACGTTCCGTGGAGTGAGGCAACGTACTTGGGGTAAATGGGTCGCTGAGATCCGCGAGCCTAACCGTGGCACCCGGCTCTGGCTCGGCACGTTTAATACCTCAGTGGAAGCTGCCATGGCTTACGATGAAGCCGCTAAGAAACTTTACGGACACGAGGCTAAACTCAACTTGTTGCACCAACAACAACAACACCAAGTAGTTAATAAGAACTTGTCTTTTTCGAGCCACGGGTCGGGTTCTTGGGCTTATAAGCTCGATACGGTTCGTGGGTTGGACCTTGGTCTCGGCACGTCAAGTGGGTCACGTGGTTTGTGGTCGAGTAGATTACAAGATGATGATCATCAGAATTCTTATCGATCTTTATCTTCAAGTGGGTCGAATCTTTCTTGGTTGTTGCCCAAACGAAGTAGTTCGCAAGATCAAGAAAGTGTTGATGCTGCGAGTGGTTGCGGCGGTGAAGGCGGCGGGTTTACGTTTTCGACGAAGTTGAAACCGAAGAACTTGATGATGACTCCGAATTATGGAACATCGAATGGAGTTTGATCTAGGTTTCTTGTGGGGCAAGAAAAGAAAACTGAATATGATGTGTCATCATCTTGTGGCTCGTCGGACAATAAGGAGAGTGTGTTAGTTCCTAGTGGCGGCGGCGGCGGAGAAGGGATGCATAGGCCGGAGGTGGAGGAGGGAACAGGGTATTTGGAGATGGATGATCTTTTGGAGATTGATGATTTGGGTTTGTTGATTGGCAAAAATGGAGATTTCAAGAATTGGTGTTGTGATGAGTTTCAACATCCATGGAGTTGGTACTGAGAGATTTTTATTTCTTTTATTATTATTTTTTTACTTTAAACATCTCTTAAGTTGCGATTTAGGATTATTAATTTGTTATACATCAATCGTCATGTTGGTTTTTTTTTCATGCATGTAGTCCTTGTGTGTATTAATACGTCGGAGTCAGTTTTGAGTTTTCTTAAATGATATGTAAAAAGAAAAGTAATAGAAAACTATATGGATTTGTTTTCGTGAATATTTATGAAAACCAAGAAATTCTTAGTTTTAAAGAGAATGTCTTGTAAAGAGAATGTCACAAACTTGTGTGTAATACGTCTTTCCCAACTCAGCCTATCAGCAAAAACACCATTACATGTATAACTTGTTTAAGCTTTGTGAGCAAATTATAATCTGGTTAAAGGATTTGTGTGGTGTGGATACCAAAGAACATTGAACTGCACTAAACGATAGTTTACTCTCTGATGTTCATGTATTACAAGAACTCTTATCTCATTATATTTCCTACAACATAAGCTAAAAAAGGAACACAGATATATTGATACGGCAAATCCTTAATTAGACTCGTGTTTTTGAGTTCACAAACTTGAAACTTATCATTATCAATCAAAAGCTTCGTCACATGAGTTATCTTCACCATTCACACCCAGATCAACATCATCGTCATCATGATCATCATCATCATCTAGGTCAGCGCATAATACTTCACTTATCAGATCTTCTTCCCTATCATGTTCACAACCAGTTTCTTCTACCATAACCAAAGGCAACTTCAGAGGCTGCTCTGGCAGCTCCTGGAAGAACGAATTGATAACCATGAAGCGGAAGACCTGTAATAACTGGCTTTTGTCTCTCTTTATGTCTGCGCTTAGGAGCTTCTCAAGCAATGTAGGTTTTCTCATCGTAATGGAAGATTCTTGAGATGAATTTTGGTCTTCGAACCTTGGTTTCTTGCTAAACTTGTCTCTTCCACCATGTCTTCTCTTATTGTGTCTATTATTCTGAAATCTTCCCTTTCTCCCATCCTTGTACTGAAATTGTCCATTGTTATCTCCTCTGTCTCCATTAACTTGTTCATCTGTATTGGATAAATAATGTGAAGGAATTTCTGCAACTTCAACACCTAACTCAGCCTGCTTTGCTAAAACTTCCCGGAGTTGCTGCAATGCAAAAATAAAAAGCTATAAGGTAAGAGGAAAATGCTAATTGAAAGAAGAATTATGAGTAGACTATGGGAAGATTATAACAAGCTAAAAAAAAAGTTATAACAAGAATTATAACTTTTAACGCTAGAAGATGTGGAAAAATTAAGGAGTAAACCATAATAAAGGGTACCTCACGACGCCTTTTTGCTTCATCGTCAAGGATGCAGTCTGAAACATTTTTCTTTGATTTCTGCAAATAAGCTCACTCAGCATTCAATATTTTGCCCCTAGAGAGTAAATTTCAACAAATCAAAGGCGCTGAGAGAGGGAGGGCTACTCTAACCTTTTGAGCATTGAGTTTTGTAGGCCAATTCTTACGCCGAGCTTCACGCCATTGCTGAATTTCTTTTGAAGTATAAAACATAGCAGATGATATTCTATTGGCAAAAATAACATCATAAAACTAGTATTAGAGACAGGACCCAATGAGCTGACATGAACTTGAACAAAAATGGTAACAAAAGATTATAATCTAGATAATAATCCTAACCAATATTAACAGTTATATGGATCACACTGCTTAATGAACATGAATGAAGGAAATCAAATGGCTTATGAACCAAAGGAAAATTCAATGAGCCAAATAGCAAAGTGATACGATAGTAAGACATGTCGCTACCTTTTCTTTTCCTTAGCTATTCTTCCAGAATCAGATCCATCGAGTCCAGTTGCCATCTTATTATAGTTCCCTGTAATTGAAGTCATAAAAGGAGAAGTCAAAAACATAGAATAAAGGAAACACTTTTGTCACCCTCAACATTCTTAATTTTTCAGGGGTTAGACAGTACTAAGGCTTGTTCACACAACTACTAACTTGAAATAAATAAAAAGTTTGGAATTAGATATTCCTAAGAGATGTGAAAATTTCCTATCTTAATGCTAACTTTATTAACTAATATATTCCAGCACATCAACGACCACAACAAAGCGTAGAGATAACAACATTCTTTGCTCTAATGACCATTTCACTTCCAAGGAAAACTGAACGAGTTCGGAGTTTATATCCTTTTGACCAAAAGACTAATAATTTCACATCAGTGATGTGATTTGATGGTAAAGGACTAACCTTTGCCCATGTGATCCTTATTGAACCCGAACTTCTTCTTTGCATTATCTGCTTGATGCAACTGTGATCTCTGGAATCTACAATAACTCAGAATACATATAAACCAAGATTATACCAAACAAGTAATCAAAAGGGGAGAAAGTGGTAGGAACATACCCTTGACCAGAGCCTTTGAATTTCTGTTGTTTTGTACATTTATTCCGAAAATCATTCCCTTTAGAATTGGAACCATTGGTGTTGTTGATATTTCCTACAGGCTGCACCTGCGGAAGCTAAAGTTAACTATGGAAAAAACAAGAAGTGCTGGAAACCGCTTAAGACCATCCTCAAGAGTTAACATGCAATGAAATAAGAAGTATCACCTGTGGTCTTGGCTCTGGAAAACCAGGAGGGTGCAATTGGTGATTTTGATGTGGAGTTGGAACAGGAGGATACGGACGGGAGTTAAAGGAATTGAGCTGTGGCTGAGAAGTGAAAGGAGAAGGTTCAAGAGAAGGCTGGAAAAAATTAGGCTGAACTAGGGGCAGTGAGTGACCACCCATAAGATTGTTATTGGCAACTGCAAATTGAAGATTTCCCAAGAGGCTTGGAAGCAACTGGTTGATATGGTTGGGCATACCAAACTGGTGAAGTTGTTGTTGTTGTTGTTGCTGTTGAGGCATATTGGAGAGATTGTTAAAGAACTGAGGATGTATTGGCATATTCTGCATTGGAATCGGATTGTTCATGTGACCCATCATTGGATTACTCATCATCTGTGGATTCATCATCCCAAATTGATTAGCTTTCACTGAATTTTGATACCCATTATGTTGGTGGTGATTAGAAAACCCATTGTTCTGCAGAGGAAAAGTGAACACAGAGATTATCAATACGAAAAATCCTTGCTTTTGTGGTAAAAAAAGAGATTTTGATGTGAGTGAAAGAGAAAGAGAGACCTGGTGTTGTTGCTGTGGCGGTCTCTGAGGACGAGCTTGAGGCTGGAACGAGTTGAACGGAGGTCGCATCTTCCTCTGAGAAGGATTTTGCTTTGCTGAGGTTTAGGGTTTAGGCCAACTTATGAACACTGATGAATCTTAGCTTGAATCTCTGCTCAGTGTGATAAACCGAGACGATGGGTAAGTAAGAACAAGCAAAATCAGGTCGAAATCAAATCAATAAGTGGATATCGTCGGCGTTGAGCTGTGGCGAGTCACACGACTGTGATGGATTGAAAGAAGAAACCTAATTTTATGTATACGCGAAAAACGTTTTTCCATCTCCTTCTCTTAATTGGACCGCGAACCAACAACCGGTACGAACCTGTGATGTGCTTGAAGACGTGGCGATACGAACCGGAGTCAGATTGATGATCCACGTGGCTATGGACTATTGGTCTGGTTCAAAGTTTTGGATCACTTGGGCCTAAAACATCATTGTGATAATTATATACTTTTTATTTTTTAGGGTCAAACTCAAATTTCTCTATATTCTATAGTCAAAATACTATATTAGAAAATTTAGAACGATCTAGATATTTGTTCATCGGGGAAAAAGTTATGATGTAGAATTGTAGATGGTTTAAAGCGTGGGTGAAAAAGTAAAAAAAAAAAAATTCATAAAATGTATAATCGTTATGAGATTCGAAAACAATAGGATCTTCTCTCATCATCTTTTTGTTGAAATATATTTTATCAACTTATATGAACTAATATTCTTGTTATGGAACAGTTCATTGTTGTTCTGTATATATAAGCTGTCATACACAAGCCTCATGTGAAATCTTGTTAAGAGCAAAAGATTCCATGTCCCAACGCTTTCGTTCCTTCTTGTGAAACTTGAGGTGGCTATAGGTATCATTAAAACATTCACAAGAGGAATACAAAATTATTGGTGATATCGCTTTTGATTATTCGTACTTCAGTTTATAAAAAACAAGAAACATTGTAGAAACCAAATAAGGTGTCAATGAAAAAACAATAGCAGAAAAAGGATATGAACTAATGTATAAGAATAATACATAAATGTACAGTATTATCATGTCTTTTTAATAGCAAGACTGCAAACAAATTCATAAAAAATAATAGATGTAGTTTTGGCTGTCATAACACGGGACTGAATACATTTGAATAAGTCACATGAAAAGTGAAAACCAAAAATCCAACTATTGTATATAAATTCCCACTCCATTTTCCATTTCCATCTTCAGTTTCTTCATGAAATCATTTCCTAATTGAAGAGAAAAAAACAAAAGCACCGTTATATATGGCGATGATAACGGGTAAATCCAAATCATTGGTTATAGCATTCGTGTCTCTGTTCCTAGTACTGGTTATGTCCGGTCCGATCGTGGTCGAGGCACGTGCTTTTTTCGTGTTTGGCGACTCGCTCGTCGACAGTGGCAACAACAACTACCTGCTGACGACTGCACGTGCCGATTCTCCACCGTATGGAATTGATTTCCCAACTCGAAGACCAACCGGCCGGTTTTCCAACGGTCTTAACATTCCAGATCTTATCAGTTACGTTTGGTTACTTGTAGTCTTGGTTCAAACAAAATACAAACATTTAGTTGTTAGGTGTAAAATGATATACCAAAAGACTTAAGATAATTGATTGATATATAGTATGTGATTTTGACAAACATTTAATAATCAATTGGTTAAAATTGGTTAGGTGAGGCAATCAGCAACGAAGAGCCACCGTTACCATACCTTAGTCCGGACCTAAGGGGGCGTAGACTGCTTAACGGTGCCAATTTTGCCTCCGCTGGCATCGGAATTCTCAACGATACCGGATTTCAATTCGTAAGTAATCAAACCGGATCTGACCATTAATCAGAAAAAATTTCATAAGTTATGCTGTTTTCTTAAGTACGAATTTTTTTTTATTTTTTGGGTATGCAGATAAACATTATAAGAATGTACCAACAACTAGACTACTTCCAACAATACCAACAACGTGTGAGTCGCTTGATCGGGAAACCGCAAACGCAGCGGCTCGTGAGTCAATCGCTTGTACTAATCACGGTCGGTGGCAACGACTTTGTGAACAACTATTTCTTGGTGCCGTATTCCGCTAGATCGCGCCAATATGCTCTGCCTGACTACGTCCGGTTACTAGTTTCCGAATACAAGAAAATACTATTGGTAATAACAATAGGGTTACAAGAATTTAATGGTGTAATTAATATTATTAAGTCGGTTTTATTTTTGCATGACAAGAAAACTTTGGATATTTCTATAGATTGGAGACCAAAAACAGATTTAATTTTGGTCACGGGCTTCCATACTTTAGACGTCGATCGAGAATTTTTACTATGTCAAAGTAATTGATTTTTTGTTAGATACTAACAACTTAATTTGTGTCATTTTTAGAGGTTATATTCGCTTGGAGTGGGTCGAGTTCTAGTGACCGGAGCCGGACCACTAGGATGTGCACCAGCCGAGCTGGCGAGATCAAGCTCGTCCAATGGGAGATGCTCGGCCGAGCTACAACGAGCTGCGTCTCTATACGATCCTCAGCTACTACAAATGATAAATGAAATTAACAGAAAGATTGGGAAAAATGTGTTTATTGCAGCGAACACTAACCAAATGCAAATGGATTTTCTAAGCACTCCACGAAGCTATGGTAATTAAATCGTTTTTTAACCTTTCTACTTATCTACTCTTTGTCAACAAGAAAGTGTGATGACAATTATTTTTGTTTTTGTTGGACTTATAGGATTTGTAACGTCGAAGGTTGCTTGTTGTGGACAAGGGCCGTATAATGGGATTGGTTTGTGTACGGTACTATCGAACTTGTGTCCGAACCGTGACTTATACGTGTTTTGGGACGCGTTTCATCCGACCGAGAAAGCAAACCGCCTGATAGTACGTAATATCTTGACCGGTACCACCAAGTATATGAATCCCATGAACCTTAGCTCTGCTCTTGCCCTATGAGCCACACATCCGATAATTTCAAGTCCAAGTGGGAAATTCGGATTCGTCTACTTTGAATGATGTTGATTCGTTTCGCAAGAGCATGAATAACTCCTTTACCAGAAAAAAAAGAGAGCATGAAATAACTCCTTTAGTCTGAATTTAACTTGTTTCTTTGTTTCTTGTTTGTCATTGGAAAAACTTGTGTTTGATTTGCTTGATAACTCTCAGCGCATGCACGAACATATGAAACTAAAAAAAAAAAAGAAGAAGAATTTCATTTCTCTCACAAATGTAATATTGTTGCATTGTTACTAGTTTTGAATTGATATCAACATTGTACCATAGATATATGAATAATATAGGTGTATAAAACTTAGTTTATGCAAATTATATAACAAAAGAGTGATGATAATATAATGAATGAAGAACTACTACCAAGAGCCAATAGTTCAACTATTAAAGATTTTAGCTAAAACCTAGAGGTCGTTGGTTCGAATAGCTCTTCAGATGAACGTATTGTGGATTCAGATTTGGTGAGATTACGGAATTCGGTCCATAATCTTTTGATAATTAAAAAAAAATGAAAAACTACTAATATAGACAAAACTTATTAACAAAAAAATTCTATATTAAAACCCAAATCTTACATCCGAAATCAAGTCTAAACACTTTAATCTTAGAATCTAAAAATATAGAATTTCTTAATTTTCAAACTTTTAAACTGTTTCTTTAACTCTAATTTTCTTAAATTTTTTCTTCTTCTAATTATTCATATCATGTATGACCAAAAATTTATATTATGGTAATACATCTTTAGACATATATTGAAAAATAGTTATTTGCTTTACAAAATTGAATATTCTTACCACTTTTTTAAGGTAATGAAACTAATGAGGAAGCAAAAAATTCCAAAAATGGCCTCAAAAAGCTGTCTCGAAGGACTCAAACCTTCTGAAGGGAGGAGAGGTATATAGGGTCAATTTCAGGAATCTAGAAAAACAAAGCAACTTTGAAAATAAAATCATCCAGATTGAACTGGAATCCAGGTCTAGCGCACCGACGTCGATCAACGATGCTGAATTTGAAGATGGAAGAGACGGCGATTGTTTGGTCGCTGCTCCAGTCGGATCTCCGGCCGATCGAAGACGTTCTCGCGGAATTCAACTCTAAGTTCCCTCGCTCTCGTCACTTCACTGCCTGCACTTCTCTTTCCCTGCTCTTACAGGCATCTCCTCTCGCCCGTTATTCTTCTTTCTTTGAACTTCCTCTCGTTGCTCGGCTCCGTGTTCTCGATTGTGTGGCAGTAGCGAGTTTCGGGGGCTTTGTTTTTTGGATATTTTCACGCGGAAGGATTTGATTTGATTGAATCTAGGGTTTTCTTTTTCACTCTGAGGATTAAGCAATCGAGGTTTTAGTCCTTTTCGATTCACCTTTAGTACGAAACTGGTTTCGTGTTAATTATGTGTCTGCGAAAATGAGATATATCGTGAATGGAATTGAATGTTTGAATTATCTTATATTAATGCTCATTCCACTCATTGTATATCAGAATTAAATCGAAAGTGATAAGGAACTGCTTGAGGCGTGTTTACATTTGATTACCATTTCCTGGTTTTGCGTATCGCATAGGCTATGTTACATTTTAGCATCAATTCTCAGATTGGGACTAATAGAAAATGAAATTTGGTTCAATTTCAGGAACTGATGATGCTACGGAGTACTAGTCGTCTAATTGGATTTGCTATCATATACCAGTGTTATTCTTCCCAGAAACCATCCTCCAACCCGTTTGTATCTGAAATGATAAATGTAAGCAGCCTCCACCAAACAAATTGAAATTTCTTTGCGTGCTCTGCTGTTTTTTTGGCCTTTTATGTATTTTGATTTAGGCAAACATGTTTTGCGTCTTAAGCATGATGTGGTCTTCTCGTGTGAAAGAATTAACTATATCTACGCCTTTTGTAGGCTGCTTGTAATGAGCAAGCGGAAAAGCATGAGAGAGCATTTCTTCTTCACCTGTTACAATGGAATGGTTACAAAAACGCTAAAGAGGTAGGATATGGCTGCATGTATAGCTGTTTCCTTCTGTTTGCCTGCTTCATTTTTGCTAATTCCATATTTTTATGTTTTGTCGAAATATCTCTCAACATTGATCATATGGTTTAGAACTATGATTTCTAAAGCTGTTATGTAGTATACTTTTGACATACACTCTCTTTTTTTTGTTCAAAATATTCACATACACTCTCTAAGACTACTGTTTTCCTTGGTAAAAACTTGTTTGCTGGGTCCAGTTATCTTTTTCATATTCAGTTCATTTCCAATCAGGCGTATTCTAAGCCTTCTTTTGTTTCCAATGTAAATTTGAAGTCATGGTTTGTATAACTTTATGATCTCTGTTATCAATCAAAGTAATAAAAGTTTGCGCTCTTGCAGATCCTTAAACAGTCAGCTGTTGATTATGCCAAATCGTTTGATCCTTCAACTCATGTAAGATTGGTTGACGCATAGACATCTAATGTTTGAATTATATTGCTAATCCATCTTGTCTTATCATAACTGCTCTATTATTATGCCTGACACTACTTGTAGAACATTTAGAGAAATTTATCTGTTTAGTGATTCAATACGGTGATGTTCACTCAGGAATTTCCGGAGCTAGGAGAGCTGCAACAAGAGTATGGGAACAAAGCCAATCCTGGACCGTCGAGTCACATTTTTGCAGACTATGCCCTAAAAAAGCTAATGCATGATCCTGATGTTCCTCGTGGGTGCGATCCTAACTCTCCAGAGTACGTAACCTATGAGTTAGGGGGACCATTTCTTTCTAACTGCTATGTACATTTTACTCTGATCTATTTCTCGCAAGCTTCCAGTTTGCCGCCCAGCTTAATTTTCCGTTTAATATCATCATGTGCCAATTTTAAGTTGATTTTATGGATAACATGAGTCAAGTAATATTTTTAGGTTTGATGTGCAACCTGGAGGGAATACCAAAATTGGATCCGGTGACAGAGATGAGGCCGTATCAGGAATATTGGGAAGTTTGACAATGGGGGGATTAACTCCTAGATGGATTCGTCCATGTCCTCCGAGGTACCCAGTTCATAAGAGCGAGGTAAAGCTAAGATTAACCCACTGTTTAACTGGTTTAGAAAATTATCTAACTGATCTTAGTGGTTCAACTTCGTACAGTTGCTTTGGATTGATCCTGATAACAAGCACGAGCTTATTTGGGACGATAAAATGTGTGCTGACACTAGCAGAGGCGCTACAGTTAGAGACTTGCTTGTTAAGGGTTTAAAGGTGACACTTTCACCTACAGAGCAAGAGGTATATATTGCACTTTTGTTCTTGATATATGTGTAAAGTCATACGATCTGCTCTTAGGATAACCTTTTATTGCTGTTCTTGAATTGACACTGATAAGTGAGTTACAATAGCAATGGGACAGTTACCACATATGCACCAAATTTTAAAGAGACAGCCATACACTAGTATACTCTAGTTTTGAGAGCGAACTCTGCTATCACTTTTCCTCTTTCTCATTAGGTTTAAAGATCTAGTAGGATATTGAGAGGGAACTGATTGCAGTAAGAGTTTATGGACAATAATTATGCAATAGACAAAATAGTAATTGTCATAATTTAGTTGATCAGCCTTGCGCATATAGCTGTATCAATTTTGAAATCCTGGATCTTTTGAGTGAATAACACACAAAGTTTCATTCATTTGTTGGCCAGGACATCACTACAGAATTGGCAAATGACCCAAAGCTTGTCTATCACTGTGGAATAACTCCACGGAAGCTGCCGGTATGTGATTTCATTATATGGCAGCTTTTTCCCCCTCTCATATCATCTCTTCTATCATGTGATCCAGTTTCTTATTCTCAGCAATTAGTAGAGCACAATCCTCAGATAGCAGTTGAGATCCTCACCAAGTTGATTAACTCACCAGAGATTGCTGAGTAAGTCATCACCTTATCAGTTTCACTATTTAGATTCTTAGAAAGAAATAAACTTCAAAATTAGGAATCTGAGAATGCTTGTGCAGCTATTTTACAGCTCTTGTAAGTATGGACATGAGCCTGCACTCAATGGAAGTTGTGAACAGGCTCACAACTGCAGTTGAGCTTCCCAAGGAATTTATACGCATGTACATCACTAATTGCATATCGTCTTGTGAGAACGCCAAGGTATTAAAACAAAGCTTTCATTTGTTTTTTGGGCATATAAAACAAAGCTATCTATGCAGCGATAACATCATTCTGTGCTCAATACGTCTCCTCGTGCTATGACATTATGTTACTTTTGTGGATATGTTCTCGGATTTGTTAGTTTACAAATTTGTACATTTCTTCGATTTGGTTGTCTCTTTAATGGTGTAGTGATACATTGTTTTTCGATCTGTAGCAGCAAGACAAATATATGCAGAATAGGCTTGTACGGCTTGTTTGCGTCTTCTTGCAAAGTTTGATTCGTAACAACATCATCGACGGTATGGAGTCTCTTTAACTATTATCATATTGATATTTTTGACTGATTGTTATCAAATTTGGTATATTTTGCTTTGCCAATAACACAAAGAAAGATCAGTAGAGTCATCCACGAGAGAAAACTATAGTCTATATGCTTTAGAAAAATCTATGAATTAGCTAAAATATATGTTTCGAAATGACTGTGTTTTTTTTTTGTGGGTACATTGAACAGTGAAGGATCTATTCATAGAAGTTCAAGCTTTCTGCATTGACTTTTCACGGATTCGAGAAGCAGCTGGTCTCTTCAGGCTCTTGAAAACATTGGAATGAATAATTTACTCTTTCTTCTTCTTCTTCTTCTTCTCATCTATCTTCGTCCCCATTTGATCTTTTATTTTCGATTTTTTCGAGTTCTTTTGTAGCTAAAGAAATGACTTTTTGAATTCAAGACTGTTTTATTTAGATTTTATGTTCTTAATATAGATGCTTTTGACAAAAGATTTTCAGTTACCTTAGGAAAATTGCATGCCTTTCCCTAGTCTACCAATACTTAACCAGGAACTGACGGTTTAAGCATAAACCGATGATACAAACTGCTGGTTCTGCACCCGGATTGGAGATAAACCAAAAATGTATTATGCTACAAAGTTGACTTATATCGTGTGTTTAATATCATATATATTATAAGCAAAGTAAAATTTTGAATTAAAAGTAAAATTTTGAATTAAAGCTCTCTCATTCAATTTTGGAGTGGTTAATTACCCTTTACCCCTCCTTATATTTTTCTAAAATAAAATTTAATAAACAAATTATTAAAAATCGAAAATTAATAAAATTTATTATTAAAAATCGTAAATTAATAAATAATTATTAAAATCGGAATTTATTAAAAAAATATTTAAATTTTAAAAAAATCTTAAAAATCGTAAATTAATAAAAAATTATATAAATCGGAATTTAATCAAAAAACATTTAATTTTAAAAAATTATTAAAATTGAAATTTAATAAAAAAACATTAAAATAATTTCATATTTAAAAATCGTAAATTAATAACAAAATTATTAAAATCAGAATTTAATAAAAAATATTTAAATTTTTTAAAAATATTAAAAATCGTAAATTAATAAAAAAATTTATAAATCAGAATTTAATAAAAAACATTTAAATTTTAAAAATTTATTAAAAATTGTAATTTAATAAAAAAAACATTAAAATCATATCATATATACTATATGCGAAGTAAATTTTTTGCGATAAGTTCTCTTATTCAATTTAGGTGACTAATCATCATCATATATATTTAAAGCAAAGTGAATTTTAGCTTTAAAGACATCTCATTCAATCTCAGCGTGGTTAATTATTTTTTTATCCCTTTCTAAAAGGTTATTAATATCCTTTAATTGGTTAAAATTAAGTTTTATTTATAATTAACTATACCAAATTTTGTTACCATGAAGTTAATATTGGATCTTTTAATGCTATAAAATTGTATGGTTTTGTATATGAAAGTCCCAAGGCTCTCACTTTAGCCCTAATCTCCGATTAGTCAGAGCTTCTTCTTCAACCGGTGGTTTCTGTGTTTTGACGTTTGAGTTGTATTGCTTTATTAAAATTTTTGAATTAGGGTTTTTTGTTTAAAAGCTTTCGGTCTTTGTTCATGATGAATGAGGACGATTTAGTATTTAAGCTTTGCGATTAATTTCCATCGATATTGCTCTATAAGTCTATGACCGATCGGATCTCATACTGTCTATGCTCCTCCATCTCAACTTTGTTTCTGTTTTTGGAATGTGTCTGGTTTATCCAAAAATAATTTTGCTTCGGACTTGAGATTATGTTTAGATTTCATGTTTAAGGTGTATTCATCTCAGTTAAATTTTGAGGAATCAAAGTGATGCTAATCATACTGATTTAGCGTTGTTTATTTTGATGTCCAGTTATAGTGAAGAATATATTCACAAGCATAAAATCGTAGCCAAAAAAAAAAAAATCACAAGCATAAAAAAGACCATATTGAACGAGTTTTTACTGTTCTCTAAGCCAAGTCGAATTGATCGCTCTGCTTCTTCACTCTAATTATAGTAAAGACTGAAGAAATCGTTGGAATAAAGATTTCGATGAGCCCGAGACTCTTGCCCCAACCAGACTTTCTTGGCCTTGCAAAATACATGGTTTTCAAGGTGAACCAGGATGATGCATAACGGAATATAAATGGGAAATTATTGATTAAATTTAAAAAAACTAGACCAATCAGGGTTTTAAAATTATATTTTTTCATGTTAAATCTTGTGGAATCGTTGAACAGAGAGTGTGATTTCACTAAAGACTGTTATTGGTAAAATCTTGTAATCATGCTAATTTAGGAATATTAGTAATGACACTTTCAGTGAGACTTTTGTTACAACATTTTTCTTAAACGGACCAAAGTATTTATGTGGTTGATTTTACGATTGGATAATGGAATGTAGGAGGGTCTTGAATTGGACATTTGCATATGGATACTACCTTGCTCATAATGAACATGCAAAGACACAATTTTTTCGAGTATTTGAAAGAGGCTTCATCATTGTGCAGAGATGTAGTTGGAACAGTTTGTCTCCGGAACTAATGAACCATCCAAAATTTTCAATGATTTCGGTTGACTAAAGTAACCAAACCTACTTCGAAAAACACGTGAAAGCTTTGGAGAATGGTCTTGCTGATGTGGAACACAATGAGAGCACAAATCAACAACAGACTCTAGATCTTCTTTCAAATGACAAAGGTTGACAAGGGTCTAAGAAAGATCCAAGTGGTAAGTGAGAGATCTTTCAGCTTCAGATTTATATTATTGGTGCAAAAAAACCATATGGTTTATTGCAAGTGGTATTTTCCAAATTAAGGATCATATCAAGTATTCGGTTTACAATTCGGAGGGACATGTGAAAAATTGTAAGTTTATAGTATTGAGAAGCTATTGGTTAAGATAAATAAAGAATAGATTTGTTTCCCCTAAAAAAAACCTATAGCATCACTCCGCTAATTAAAAAATTTTTACTTCTTTCAATGTCTTATAAAAAATAATCTCATTATGTAAATCTCAATAACAGAGTACATTGGTAAAGTTTAAAAAACCAGGAAATAGTCAAGATAATACCAGTAGGCACCTTACATAACGATCAAAGGGAAAATGAGTAACTCCTATGCAGAGTCATCTCATTTATAATTGTTTAAAAATCTAATATTTTTTTAAAAAATAATTGGAAGAATATATGTCTCAAATAATAAATAATTCATTATGTGAAGATTATTCTTTCTACAAAATATAAGAAGTGAATACAGTTCTAATTTTTATGATTAAAAATTAAAACATGTTTTAGTTGTTTGGATTTATATATAATTTTGGAATTACTTTTTAGGCAATAAAGAATAACAACTTTAAGAGTGACTTGGTTTCAGCTTCCAAACTATATTTCAACTTTGTTTTAAGAGGAGAGTTCATATTAGAATACTCGGATAATATGTGTCTATGTTATCTTTGTGCTTCACTTCGTAAGATTTTTTGAAATTGATCGTTTATACAAAGATAATCAAGCCTATAAAAGATGTGAAAATATACATCTGAAAACTTCCAAAATACGAAAAAGGAATAAAACTAAAAAAAAAAAAACACAAAGAAGAAATCTGTTTATTTAATATTTTATGTAAAACAATAAGAAATTGGAAAAGATAGACTATATAAAGAATAATAGGAAGAAAAAAAAATCGAAAGAACAAGACAAAAAGAAATTGAAAGAAAAGATGATGTTTCCGTCCGCGTAACGCGATTTTGAGTAAGTTTTTCAAGTAAATTAGCGATTTTGAGTAAGTATTTTTAATGAAACATTTCTGCCCGCACAAAGTGCGAGCTAAACACCTAGTAAAATGTATTTCTAAATTTTTTTGTCTGTTTGATAAAGAGATTGCTATATTTTCCAATATCAGACACGCTTGAAATAAACGGAATCGGTAATGAATGATTTAGTTGTCAATTGTCATCAAGTTTGCTTCATAAAAAAGATACAAATGCAGTGCTTCGTCTCAAAGCTTTCTTGATATGTAAACTAGTTTTTGGAAAACTAGACTAAGTAAAAGATAAATACATCGCAATAAAAACTTGAAGTTGAAGTTACATCAGAATAAAAACTTGAAGTTGCTCAAAACCATTTCTCTTTAGATTTGCTGCAATACATCGCAAGAAGCCTACAAAATGCGTTTTAATATTTTTTAGATGATGTAGTAACTGTAATGAGTTTAGCTCATAAATTCACATTTTTTCTAACCGCATTATTAATATTTCTTGGTTCTCTGTAATCATAGGTTAATGAACAAAATTGAGGCCAGCATAGAAAACTACAAATAAAATTGAAAATATAAGACTGCAAAATCAATTTACAAAAAGACAAAGATATATTTTTGGAAAATGTTTTCTTAAAAGTGAAATGACGAACACTAGTCGCAGTTTCAGCGTCAAGAGGACTGAAAAAAGAAACATTTTTTTCTACATATGTTTAGTATAAGTAAAAAAAAAAAGGGTTTATGAAAGCTTTCAGCTTTGGTGCGAACAGAGTCGTAGCAATTTCTCGATCCCCGGTCCATAAAGAATCAGATACAAAAGCCGAATCAAAAATTGGCTTCAAGTAGTAGCAGCTCGCCTCTCCATTGTTGTTGGGTAAGAAAAGCAAAGTTTGAAAGTTTTATCCTTCACGCGCCGATGTTGATTCCAGCTGCTAATTGCTTCCTCTTCTGATCTTTCCAGGTGAGTCGATAGACGACAATGGCGGTTCCTGTCGAGGAAGCAATCGCAGCTCTTTCCACATTCTCCTTAGAGGTAACTGCGATGTTGAATTTTTTATGTTAAATTTAGAAATTGTGCTTCTTTGGGTCGGCTTTTTTTTTTTTTTTGGTGATCTTTGACTATAATGTATCTCTGTGGAGTTTAATTTCAGAAATTTGACTAGAAAGGAGAGGAATTGTTGTTTCTCCATTTGCACTTTCCTGATAAATTCTCTTCATTTAATATTTGTTGACTCGCCTGTTTACTTGCGGATCTTCGATAATCCCAAACTTCTATGCTTAGTTAGCAGTGAAACAGGAATCAATAAAATGCTGAAGATTTAAGTATCTTGTTGAAAATTTGGAGTCACTGTAACAAGCATTTTGAGTTTTGTTGGGGACATGATAGGATGAGCAACCAGAAGTTCAAGGACCGGCTGTGATGGTTTCAGCTGAAAGAGCAGCAACTGATAGTCCCATCGGTTTGTTTCTGTACTCATCTTTGTTTTTTCACTATTTTGTTTTTGCATAAAAGACGACTGATTTTAAGATGGTTGATTTTGTAGAGTATAGTGATGTTGCAGCATACCGTTTGTCTCTATCTGAAGACACAAAAGCTCTTAACCAGCTGGTAAATGTCTCTTCTTCTTTTGCTTCGTTTCTATCAGGGCTCTTTTAATAAAAGTTTTGATAGCTATATTCT